GTTCAAACTTCCCATATGGGAACAGGATACGCTAAGGTAAGTTTCCCTTGTTCTTGAGAGTTGAGACAAAAAAACCGATCAATCAGGAGGCTACATCCTTGAATGGGAAGACGGAGGTCCACTTTTTTTTTTTTTTTTTTCTTTTTTGTTGCGCCATCAACAACTGATATGCAGCTGATGAGTAGACAGGGGGATGGGGAAGAAAGAATATGAAAGAATCATTCGAAACTAATTGAGCCACCTCGTAATTTCGTAAAATAATTCCTTGGTCGCCGACGGAGCAGGCCTCCTGACCCCTGACTTGAGCTCGATTTGTTCTATCCATTTTCTAGCCTCTGTAGGTTCCGTCCTCTTCCTCTTCTTGTGGTATCCATGGGTCCGCACATGCGTTCCCGGCGGTTTCTTCCTGGAATCTTCGGCCTTTGATTCGCACAGGCAGCTAGATACTTACATGATGATCTCAACTGTCCGGCGTTTAATGATGACGATGATGCCGATGGGGGTTATCCAGAATTCCAGATAACTTACTTGGCCTAGTCACTTAGCAGTTAGACTAGTGTTAAGTTGGATTCTGATCGATGGGCCGTTAGTCGACTATGACCTGACCATTGAGCCTATTCGTTCCTCGGACTGAGTACGACTGTACGAGACTGCGAGTGTGTGTGTGTGTGTGTGTCTGCGTGCACTGGCCGATGAGGGTTTGAGGGTCGAATCCGTAGTCTGTACTGTAGCCGCAATGAACAGGCCAGGGATGGAGGCGGAACGAACGTAGCGATTTGGTCTGTATTTCTGGTAGCATACTCCGGTTACGGGCATTGGCTGTCCCATTATAGGGTTACTAAGTATGGAGCATGGAGCATGGATCATGGAGCACTCTTGTGATTTTGTGAGTTGTGATAGTCCATACAGATTACAGGGATACAGAGAGCGAACAGATCAACAGATGTCTGCTCAAGTGCTGAGTAATGAAGCACAGCTTTCGGCGTTTAATCCCAAAGTCAATTATCTCGAGAGTCTAAGACCTAAGTGGCTGGGATGGTGTATGGACTGTGGAGGGGCACACGCCCTGTCTGGCTGTCTTAGTTTACTCAACCACCAACACAACATCAACTAAAAGAGCTAAAAGAGGTCCCTCTTTTTTCTGGAATGATGCTAGACTCCACTCCCCAAGGGTCGACCGCCGAACAGATGACTCGGACTTTCCCTCTATTTTTGTCCTCGTCGGTTTGACTTTTGTCGTCGTTGAACTTGCTGATTAGGCACTACTACTCTATCTTCTTCATATACAAGTGTAGTACACATCATCACTCACATGCAATTATCCGTATTCTTCATCGGTGGTTCTTGCATTCCTTCCCTATTCGAAGCCTTGCATGGCATAAACAAGACGGATCTATCACCATTGTATCATCCGGGAAGCGGCCAGATTGTCTTGTCAACTGACTAGACTAGATCTTCCAAGGATCGCGAGTTGAGAGTCGAGAGTCGAGACAAATACGGAGTACAGCCACGGCCACTAGGTACTGTCAATGGAGTACGGAGGAGACTAGTAGTTAGTTGGATAGACAGTATCTACTTAGCTGGGGGGCCGAACTGTCAGGACTCAGGACTCAGGACTCAGGACGACTACTAGTTCTACCCCACCCCACTCTATAGTGGTGGTGACTGGTGACTGGTGAGCACATTTTTGCCCTTGGCTTACTTCTAACCAGGAAAAGTTTCTTCCTTAGGTAGCCGGACTTCCGGTTTATTCTAACTGGAGCCCTACTGTGTACTCCGTAGGCATTCTCATTTTCTCAGTACTCCATACTAGACTACTCTCCAGATATGAGTCGTAATCCTAAAAATAATAATAATAATAATACTCCGTGACCCCCGTTAGTATATCTATGTCTCATCTGCAGGATCTCTAGATACTTTCCAGAACTCGAGAGTCCAGAATAGACAGATAGATACCGATGATTGGCAAGGTAGTACCTTAAGTGCTCTGAAACAATTATTCCACAAGCCACACCAAATAGCAACCTCCTGCCGTCCTACAGGCTACAGATTTTCTGCCGTCGCCAATCACCGGACGGGGACACACTAATCACAATGCTCCGTAGTTCCGTCTGCTGCGCCTAATCGAAATGTCAAAGGCTTGGTATGGAGTGGACAGTCAGGCATGATTTGCTTGGCATCCCATGAGATTTCCAGATTCCAGATTCCAGATTCCAGGTCACAAGAAAAAAAAAAAAAAAAAAAAAAACCAAAATACCAAAATCTAGCCCATTCTGATGCTGCCATCATCGAGTGATCGAAATTCAAGCCAACCTTAATTCAACGAATAAACCGAACCTAGTCAACCTACAGGCTACGTACCCTGAGTGATCCGAGCTAGAGATGCATGGTCAAGCCGGATGACGAGGTGATTGAAGTTTGATATTTGAACTCTACGGAGCGGATGGTTTCGCGATGAGATGAAAGATTAGACCAGCTTTGCCAGATGTGCGGCTTGGGGCCCCCGGTGAGACCGAAGGATGACGGGGAACGAGTGATGACCTGTACGGTGTACCTAGGCTGTAGATAGGTGACAGTGACCATAGTCACTGATAGTATTAGCAAGGATATCCGACAAGATAGTAGGTACGACGACGCCCTACGAAGGCCTCCCCCCCACCCACTGGTCCAGTAAGTTAGTAACACGGACAACAATGGTAAACATGACCCATCGATGACCAGATTGATCAGGAAAGATCTCGTGCGTGTAGACTGTAGACTGTAGGACTGTAGATCCCTTGCGTGGCAGGTATTGAGGGATGGAAAAAGTGGTGAGGTTTGTGACGCATTATTGCTTGGGAGGAATGAACTTGTGGGGAATGGATGGATGGATAGTACTCCGTACTCCGTAGTCCGAACTTTTCCAAGTCGAAGACTACCATCTACACGATGCATGAGTGATGATAGTATTCCGTACGCGCCTCAATAATTATCCCGAGGAGGCAGAAAGGGCTAGAATTCCATGAGACACCGGGCGGCTATTGAGTATTTCCAGGTTCAGGGTTCGGGTGGACTTGCTGGCCAGTAGCCACAACTCACAAGGCACATAGGTTTGATGGCTGGGTTGGATCGCGGGTCAGCAGTCTGGTAGACTTGGTGATGGAGTCACAGACAAGGGATTCTGCTCCTGTCTCAGGAGGACTTTGATTCACTTTATCCTGGTCATACAATATTCGCCCAGGCTCACATGGAGAGTGACAAGTGGAGGTAAATATTCCTGCTTATGGAGTCAATATGGCAGTGGTATTGTTATTAGGTAAACCATACTTCGTACAGTATGTGGATTGTATTTAGAATCTACTCCGTAGATACTAGTACTACTAGATAGTAGATACTACTCCGTACTCAAAGTCCTGGGTGGGGTGGGGAGCTAACGGTACCAGCTTCAGTAATGCAGTCCAGTCGTGGGCATGTAACCGATCACAAAAGGCTGTAACTTATTTCCGGTTATCTTGACTAGCTTCAAGATGAGAGGTCCCAGTCACACACATACACACACACACATACACACACACACACACACACACACACAGGTCTGACCGTCTGACATTTAGTGACTTTGTATGGACTAATAGTAAATTGTGCTTTGTTTTTTCTCGCGCTGTCTTCTGCTTTGTTCCTTTTTTCTTCCTTTTAATGTTTTATTTGATTTTATTTGATTTTTTTTCTCATTTCGCTTTTTCATATCGGCTTGTCCCAGAGACCCCATCTTTCTGGTTCCTTTTCGCCCTGCCTTGCTGCATTCAATGCCTGTGATCCTATTTCCCATTTCCCCATCGAGCCATCCACGACATCCTATCCAATCAATTGCTTCCTCGCCCTTTCTACTATTCGCGACTCGTGAGAATTCAGGTACTTACGTAGTAATAGTGATAACGTACAGACGGTACAGGTCGGATCGTCTCCACTGTTGAGATTATCCATTCTTCTCTCCACCATCATGGTGGCACCATTACCATGGTCAAGTCAAGTCCAGAGGGTCTAAAAAAGCCATGACTCAAATGGAAATTGGCGGAAAGAAAGAAAATGAAAAATTAAAAAGGAAAAATAAAATAAAATGAAAAAAGACACGCAGCAAAGCAGTGGAGCTGCCGAGCTCAGCGGCATGACCCATCAGATATCCCATGAGCCCCTCTCTTAATCGTTACATCCAATGAACCAACCAGTAAACCAGTTGCATCCCTACCTTGTCCCTTAGCCCGTCTTGCTTGTTCCAAACCTTTTCCCACTCCGGGCGTGGACTAAGCCCGTTTCGTTAGTGTCAACGTTGTGTCATCCCAATCAGAATGTTTGCGCCAATAACACAGCATCATTATCGTCAACCCTTTTTTGGGATCGTGGAGCTGGGGGCGGACGGTAGATCGGAAAATGTCCATGTCGGCATGTTGATGCCACGAGTGGTAGTGATGCGACCCCGTATTGATTACATGGAATATTGGTTGTCGCAGACTCGCAGTTTCGTTTAATTATTATTATATTTTTTTTTTTTCAAATTCCACTTTCCCCTAATTATTATTATTATTATATTATATTATATTATCATTATTGCCTACCTACTGCATTGAATGGATGTGACGGGGGTCATATAACGCAGATCCTTTAAGAGTCAATTTCTTTAACTACTGACTTCCTCTCCGGCCAAGTCAACTTCATTAGTAGGTCCTTAACCTGCTACCTCGTAGTAGCTGCTTCTGTACCTTACCGGTTAACAACGCCCTGTGGCTCCCCCCCTTGTGTCATCTTTAAAGATCAGTCTCGACTTCTGACTTTCCTATTGTGCATCTGGCTGCAGTCATCCATGGATTCAATCTATTTTGCATGCGCCTTATAAAGCATTCACACCTCCTCCTCTCGTGTCTATGCCACCTTCATATTAAAACGAGTCAGGCTTCCTTTCCAGCCAGCTCTCCAACACAACTCTTCACCCGCTATCCTCCACCTCAACAGCGATCTCTTCCACAATGGCCGACTGCTGGCAACCACAAGCCTCTGTAGTGGTCCCTCACTGGACCTTCCAGGAGAATCAGCCATGTTTCTGCACCTCAACTTTCCGCGATCTGATGTCTGCGTTTCCAAGACCGAAGCATACCAGCCGGGTGACAAAACCCCGGAGTGCTGGAAACAGTCCTTCTGCTGCTGCTAAACGGAGAACAACCATGTCACATCACCCATCAATGTACAGTCAACCACCACAGCAGCAAGGCTATCAGCCTCCAATGGACGTTGCGGCTATGGCTTCTGCAATGCGCCGGGCAAGGAAACCTCGGCCGATGAGCTGGCACCCGGCATCATTGGGAATGGCCACATATCCGACTGCCCAGTACATCCCCGCTGCGACTACTGCAGACAACCTGGCCGCCACGGGGCTGTGCGCCGCACCCGATACCATCCCCGTCACATTTGGCGGTGACGGAATGCTACCACCATATTCGATACCAGACACAGCCATGTCGGATACGATGCTTTCTTACTTCTCCGGTGTGGGAGATGCGGCTACTGCGATGCAGGCCTCCTACCTCCAACAACAACAACAACCAATGGACGACTCGCAGGTTGCATGGGATGCCGGTACATCCCAGTTTTCCACAATGATCACCCCCATGTCGGATGGCTGGTCCTTCGACATGATGTCCATGAACAATAGCATGCCGTCGGCGGATGTTGCAGGCTCGAGCTACGAAAGTGCGCCGTCATCAACTGGCCCCTCGACACCGGATTTCCTACCAATCCAACAATTCGACAATGACGCCAATTTCCAGTCCGAGCCGCTTGAAAAGGAGGATGAGCTCGTCGGAATGGGCTTGTATAGCCACCCCGAGATGTCCTTAAATAGTTCTCTCAACGGACTCGGGGGCAAGGGCCTGAAGTTGGAAGAAACCTTTACACCATCAGCCGACGAGGGGATTGAGAATAAGGATGCCGACGCGGAAGATGACGACGACGAGCAAGAATCAAATGAGGACCCGCTCAAAAATGACAGCTCCGATCGCTACCCGGCACAGCCTGATCCTCAACCCTATCATCAACAACCAGTGAAATCAACACAGAGCATGCTCAACAGATCATTCTTTTTCGATGATGACGACAAACTAGACCACAATGGCGGGATAACCCAGCAATTTTTCAACCTGGAGAATCAACCATGCTTGAATTACGCATACGGATGGATTTGAACATTTACCAGCCTTTTGTTTGTTTTTTTCTTTTTGAAGTCACATGTTTCACGAAGCGAGTCTCTTTTTTCTTCGTTCCCTTTTCTCTTCTCAGGGCATAGCGCGGAGTTTCGAATACTAGATGCACCAAACACGACACGGATACCCAAATGGAGGTACAATGATATGAGCAGCATTTCCTTTTTTGTGACAACATGTAACTAGAGCCACTGCAACCAACACTAGCATAGACCAAAGACTTGATGAATGATCGTACAGTTCCCACACTCCTACATTTACCCGTAGTATCTAGCTTGAGCATGAGAGAAACTCTAGATGCACATTTTTCTAAATTGAGAGGAGTTGCAATCACAATTAAAGATAAATGAAGTTCTTATGTGTGTGTTTGTCTACGCTGGATGGTTCAGAAAAACAAAACAAAAAGAAATCGTCCCCGGGCAGGATCGAACTGCCGATCTCCCGATTACTATTAAGTAACAGTCGGACGCCTTAACCAGCTGGGCCACGGAGACAACTTGTTGAAAAACGAACATCCTTGTTGGTTACATAACCTTCGATTTCATTTACAAGATTCTGACCACTCGCCATGTAAGGAAAAACGATCCACCGATCATAAAAATCGCCAGTGACATTGGCCATCCGAATTGCAATAGATAGGCAAAGGGCAGGAACAATTGAAGGCTAAACTCAAGTAATATCTGGGGATACGTCTCTGCCCAGAGATCCAAGAAGCAGAATGGCAAAAGTAGTCTTTACGCCATGGAAGGAGCATTCGCAACTCCTCAGTGTTCGGAATCAATTCTATCCTCCGCCTGGCTATGAGGGACCAGATATGCGCTCCAAGGCCTGTGCTCTGGTATGCCATCTTACCCTCAATTTCGAGCCGAATACTGACTTGCTGCAAGGTTGGAGTATGGAAACTACGTGGAAATCTGCCGCACCCAGTCGAGGCTACCGCGCTTTTGACAGATGCGATTCTCCACGACGATGCCCAGAAAAATTCCATCTTTTCGATCCGGGCCACCTACTCGGCTGCTTTCTGTCGGTATGTCTCATCTTTAAATTTTTTTTTTTTTTGTTTTCTGGTAACGTCGCAAGCATGTCTGACTCCCGTCTAGATTCGTAACGGGTCTCGTCGACTCGAAGCTGCACGGACAGAAAAGGACCATGTTCCAACGGGCGATTGACCTCGGTCTCCCGGCCTCTTTTGTTGAGCTGCGTCACGAAGCCACCCATCGAGAACTGCCCTCGCTTATTGTCCTGCGCAATGCGACGCAGCGCTCGCTTGAGTGGCTCTGGGACTACTACTGGGCCAAGACAGCCCTCGACTCTGCGCTTGTGCCTGGGGCGCCTGCTTCTGAAGTCGCTGGCAATGGCGAAGATCCTGTCAAGCACATCCAAAACGCTGTCAGAGCTGCGCTCGAACATCCAGCGAGTCAGGAGGATAGTTCAGAGCCGCCACGGAAGAAGAGGAAGTCGGGTCAACACTCTTCCTTCCTTGCGACGCAGTTTGTGTCGATATGCAGGGCTAGCAGGGATGGTCCGCGTGTGCTGTCGCGGGTCCTCATTGAGGATTCGGTCTTGGTCCCCAAGGGACGAAAGTAAGTCGATCTATGACTAAGATAAGAGGATTCCATGCAGCTGACATCGTCCTATTAGGCTTGGAGAAAGTATGGATGATTCGTTCGCTACGTGGGATAAGTCCCTTCAGACGATAGCAACAGGGCAGCCTGCCTTTTTACCAGCCTTGACCGAGGAGCTGGTTAATGAGCTGGCTTTCACGAGTCGGTCGAACGCAAAGACTGATCCTAAATGCGAGGCGATTTACAAGTGGCTGGACCACATCTTAAGATCTGCGCAATGGAGCACAGCGCGGCAAGCTCTTTCCCTTGGATACATTCTTACTGTTTGTGAGAAGAGTGCGAACCACTGGACGAATCTGCTGAAGGATGCTGTTCGCCGGGGGAATGATGATTTGAGTGCCATCACCGGAGGGCGGAGCACCGTCTCAGCTCAAACACAGAAGAAATCATTGACCGGGACATCGTCGCCTGGTGATCTCCAGGGGCTACAAAAATATGGTTGGGATACTGTAGATACTTGGGATAGCAGACCGATAGGGGTGGTTTAACCCTATCATTGGGATCGATGTCATGATACCAACTTTTCTTTTCTTTTTTTTTTTCAATTAGGAATTTTAGGCTATTTCGCCTACTAGCATTCATCAATCTGTGTTAAGAATCTATCGATCTTGACACTATTACTGCCCCCAACTTCCTCGATGTATATAGATTTCTACATGCGGATTAGCGCCAGCTGCGTGATCTCGGCCGACGATGAGGTAATGCTTCTTCCGTTGTCTTCATGTATCTAGTCCAAAGCCGCCCATTACTAAACGATCTCGGAGTCACCCCGCCTCGGTTTCAGTATTCATCGTCAATGAACTTCGCAAGAGCACTACGGCCGTACTTTGGATCTCGATTCTTAAAAGTTAGCCAAGTCAGAACCATGCATATCCAGTCGATTCCCATGTGTAAGTTGGCCTGGAGAGTCATCTATTGTTGACGTATCATGCTTCCCCGATCTTCGATACAGGATGTATATCTAGAACGCATTGAAGCTTACTCTTGGAATAGGGACCGGGAAGGGCAATAACTATGCCTACCTGGTGACAGACGAACCCACCAAGGAGTCTGTTATCATCGACCCGGCCAACCCGCCAGAGTAGGTGCCCCTCTCTACGGGATTGGGAGACTTCCTTCTCATCTTTACACTAGAGTCGCTCCGGAGCTCAAGTCTCAGCTGGAAGCCGGCAAGATCAAGCTCTCGGCGATAGTCAACACCCATCAGTATGTTGCATCGATCTTCCCCAACCAGTCAAGACAGGTATTGATATACAAGTTAGCCACTGGGACCATGCTGGCGGCAACAAGGAGATGGTAGGTCCAGCACCGCGGCCCAACTCATGTGCCTGGCTAACATAGCCAGCTGAAACACTTTGGCCAACTCCCCGTCATCGGAGGAAAAGACTGCGGATTCGTTACGCGGACCCCGGCACATGGGGAGACGTTCAAGATCGGAGAACGGATCTCTGTGAAGGCACTGCACACCCCCTGCCATACGCAAGATAGCATCTGCTATTTCATGCAGGACGGAGATGAACGGGTAGTTTTCACAGGCGACACTCTGTTCATTGCAGGTCAGATGTGCAATTCTGCTTATTTACAGGGGTCGAATCTCACAAGCGACAGGATGTGGTCGGTTCTTCGAGGGAAATGCCCAGGAGATGAACAAAGCCTTGAACGAGACTCTGGCCGCGCTTCCTGATGACACCAAGGTTTATGTGAGGATCCTGATGTCTGTTCTTGACACTCATCACCGAATGCTGACTCCTTTCCTAGCCTGGCCATGAGTACACGAAGAGTAATGTCAAGTTCTGCCTTGCTGTCTCCCAGTCAGAGCCGATCAAGAAGCTCGAGGCATACGCAAACCAGCATCAACAGACGCAAGGCAAATTCACCATTGGAGATGAGAAGGTGCGTGATCCCTATGATTTGGGGTAGCTGTTACTAAAAATATGATATAGCTGCATAATGTATTCATGCGGGTAAATGTAAGGCCACCTGGACCCTATGTGATATTGACATGCTGATTGTTGTTTGTTACGTAGGACCCGGAAATCCAGAGGAAGACTGGAAAGACAAACCCGGTCGAAGTAATGGCAGCTCTGAGAGAGATGAAGAACGCTATGTGATTTCGAGTATGGTACTGTGTGTGATTGAGAACTATCAACGGACTACGATCGTCACTGGATGATGGTTAGATGCAGAACTCAGGCAACACCCCGAGTACTGTTAGTAGAGAAAGTATATAGTACGTTGTATCCATAAATCATTGCATGATGGAAGATAAACCCAGACCTGAGACATTTCCATGCCTCTTGAACATGGCAAGTTGTGAATGGTGACTAAGTCACAGATGACCGTCTTCTTTGTTCCTGAAAAACCTCATTTTTTCCGATCCCATCCCATCGGCATCCCACAGACGGTATCCCATCCCAATATGCCAGATGCCACCACCATACTTAATCCCAGCAAGGATGATTTCTCATTTGAATCCTAGTTCGATTTTCATCTTTCTCTGCTTCTCTGTCCCTCTCTCTCTTTCTTTCTTCTTTGATTATTCTACAAGAATAATTTTTCTGATAACCCCATCTCTCCATCCCATTTCTGCGCGGAGTCGATGCGAAATGGGCCGTCAGCAACAGACTCTGAATCTCGGACCATGAACCGCACCACCAATCCGACTTCCGCCACCAAAGCCCTATTTCATTGTCCCCATCCGGGATGCGGCCGCAGCTATCAGCGCAAGGAACACTTGACTCGCCATTTTGCAAGTCACGGCCAAGCGCCAGCCTGCGAATGTCCGTTCTGTGACAAGGTCTTTTCCAGAAAGTACGTCTAGTTGGCCCTGTTGGAACCAGAGCTCAAGATTCGGATCCTAATTCCTCCTATGCAGTGATACACTCCGCCAGCATGTCCGCATCCACCATAAAGATAAGGAACTAAAGTCTACTCGCACGATCCGCGCATGCAGCCACTGTCGCGCACGACGGTCGCGGTGCGACGGGCGAGTCCCTTGCAAAGCGTGTACGCAACGGGGCATCCAGTGCTCGCTGGGGCAGTCGTCGGCCGCAGCGGCTCACGCTCACCAGGGGACCGGGACGCCGCGGGATTCCCGGACGGATCTGACGGTCAGCGACTCGCAGGACGAGCAGCCTGGTCCGAGTGACCGGTCGATTACGCCGGAGCAGCGCGCGGAGGGTCCGCTGCTGGTGCGCAAGGCGGCCATCCTGCACTATGTGGAGGTGTACTTTGAGAGATTCCACCCCGTGTGGCCGTTTCTCCACCGCGCGACGTTTGATCCCGACCTCGAGCCGCCAATTCTGCTCCAATCTGTGATCATGATGGGGCTGTGGATGGCGGGGGAGGAGGATACGCAGTGCAAGGCGCTCAAGCTGCATGAGAAGCTTAGCTTGCTGGTCTACCAACAGAGGGTGCGTTGCGTTTTAAAGTCTACAGGGCGTTCCCTGGTGCTTGGGGTTGTTCTTGTTTCTTGGATATCCTTGCTGATCGCGGAGACAGGATAACTGGGCAGGCTCAGACTTGAACTACGAAAACCCTCCCCCCTGGCCCATGGCAACCTACCAAGGCATCCTCCTGCAGATCATCTTCGCGCTCATCAAGGATAACGAGACCCAACTCGACATCCAGCTCACCCGCCCTCTCTGCCGGGGATCCTCCCGCCTCCTCACAACGCTCATCGACACCTGCCGCCGCCAAAACCTCTTCTTCTACCCCGCCATCCTGGCCCAGTTCAGCCGTGAGTCCGTCCCAGACGTCTTCATCTGGGTCGGCATCGAGGAAGTCAAGCGCTTTGCGCTGGCCCTCTACAAAGTCTGCAGACTGTGCCACGTTCAGGACACCGAGCTTGACACTCCCCGGAGTACCGGCCGGGGCAAAGACCTCCTCGCCCTGATGGATCTGCAGTTCGCGCTGCCGGACAGCGATGAGCTCTGGCATGCGAGTTCGGACCTGGCGGCGAGGCTGGCGCAGGATGGGCCCATGTGCTACAGCAACAAGAACATCGAGGCGAACTGGATTTCGCAGGCGGCGAGGTTGTTGCAGAAGCAGGGTTTAGCGTTTGATTGGTTATAGGAGTATGGGTTTGTGTTGATCCTTTGTTGACCGCTACCTATCGAAATTCTGCTGCGGCTGGGCTAGAGGTCTTATTCCCATACAACCATTTTCTCGGCTGCCGATGACTCTTTGTTAAGTACAAGATATTGATGTCTTGTGCTTCTGTACTACAATGAATAATAGAATGATTCAAGGCTGAAGAACAGTTCTGGATGCTCGTTGACCTGGGTAATCATCATGACGTCAGGCCCTGATAGAGCTCCTTGTTTTGTTCAACGCAGCGTGAAGCAATCCCAAACGACTTACGAAACGATATTCTCTCTCTTTTGACGATCTCAACTCCAGCTCACATACTAAATAACTTCTTAACAAACAACAATGTCCTGCCACGAGAATATCCCCAAAGACGAGCATGGCGTCCCAGGCTCGCCTCGCACCACCAAGAGCCGCGTGCTTGAAGGCGGCGCCAATATGGTCCAGGACTTCACTCCCGTCAAGCAGATCTGCGCTCACCTGAACGCCTTTCATGTGTATGCGACGGATCCGACGCGGAGTGTAGAAGCAAACCACTACTGCACGCATGTGACAGAAGGTACGTGCCCGCTCCTCCGGTTCGAGAAGAAAAACAAGCGGACTGAGATGGGGTAATCGCAGACATCCGACAATGTTTGATCTATGATTCCACCAAGCCCAACGCCCGGTTGATCGGGGTCGAATACATGATTTCGCCGCGGCTGTACGAGACCCTCCCCAGCGAAGAGCGGAAGCTATGGCACACGCACGACTTCGAGGTCAAGAGTGGCATGTTGATCATGCCTTCTCCGGCCGGAGTGCCGAATCCCGCCTGGGAGGTTGCAGAAACATCCGAGATGAGAGATATCATTCCCTTGTACGGGAAAACGTATCACTTCTGGCAGGTGGATCGGGGCGATCTGCTTCCGATAGGACCGCCACAGCTCATGGGGAGCTTGATATCGGACGACAAGGTCAAGTATGCGAATCCAAAGGGGCTGGCTGGACTGCTTGCGGAGAGAGATGAGAAGTTTGGTGTCGATTATCGAGTTAAGGCGGAGAAGAGAAAGGACATCGAACCCGTGGAGAGGCATCCAGGTAGGTCAATTGCATGCTCTCAGTCGTGCCTATGTGGTTCACTTTTGCTAATCGTGGTAGACGCCGACTACATGTGGAATATCGTAGAACAGGAGAAGAAAGCATGAGTGGAGTTCGACAGGATTGATGTTGCAGGATGGTAGCTTGACATGTTGCTTTCTACCACAAGGGCTGTTGAATTGAACCTTTGAAAAAATATCATTCTGACTAGCGCTGTATATGATATCTAAAGTGTCTCCCACCCACGCCACCTAGCATCCCAGTCCCATAGTTAAATGGGGTCAAAACTGAGATGGCGTTCGGGGATATCTCGCCACGTTTGTGGTTAGTCGAGACGTATAATGTTCATCTTGCTTCACTGTCCACACTCGCGCGTCCTGGAGTTGAATTTCGGCGACGACGAGCTCTAGCAATTTTAGAAGCGGTAAAGTCACAAGTAAAAGAACATAATCTATGGATTTGACGAAAAGGTCAATTTGCAATGATGTCTGATCATCATTGATGTCGAGAGTAAGTCCCATATCCATTAGAATCAAGACGAACGCGAACATTATGCGAGCGAAATCCCTAAGACATGGAACATTTCGAACTTCGAGCTCAGGCCATACCCCAGATCCGTCATGGTTCTGAACATGGTTCTCTGAGTTCTCGGCGATTGTATATGTACTGGAAGAAGAAGAAGAAATCTCAATAGCGGAAGTGCGGGAAAAGTCTTCATATATAGCCGCTACCACGTGACCCGCGACGGGCGCGCCGAGCCTCCGCCGATCATACAAGGCTCTCCGAAAGCTCGAACAGACGAGTCCCCAGCAGAAAGAGCAATGTGCTGATCTCGCCAATGGAACGATTATTCCGTCAAGCGCTGAGGCGGTCTACGTCGGGGGCCTTCTTTCGTCTCACCCTGGACGGACTGGGCCTGTTCTGCGCGTTTACCTTGGTCTGGGAGAATCTGATCACCGTGCAGCTCAGCGAAGGGCCGTCGATGTACCCCACCTTCAGCCCCCGGGGCGATTACCTGATGATTTCGAGGGCGCACAAGTACGGTCGGGGAATTGAGGTTGGGGATGTGGTTCGGTTCTATCATCCGACGTTTTTGGGGGTCAATGGTGCGAAGAGGGTGTTGGGGATGCCTGGGGATTTTGTCTGCAGGGACCTGCCTTTTAGTACGGAGGTTGGGACGAGCCAGGAGATGATACAGGTGGGCTTGGAATTTTATGATCAATTCGAAAAGCTTGGATTTGGCTGATAGAAGGTTGTGTTCTTCTAGGTTCCTGAAGGCCATGTATACCTTGGTGGAGACAACCTTCCCTGGTCGAGAGACTCGAGGAATTATGGACCCATTCCTATGGGATTGATCAATGGGAAGATCGTTGCTCGTGTATGGCCACTGTCGAAGATGCAATGGGTGGAGAACACACTGCAGCCAGCCCAGTTGTCCGAAGAATAGATTCGAACGGTTACAATCGCATTACTATCGTTGCAGCTGCCCGGCCCTGCAGGCGCATATGTTAGGCGGAACCCAGGAGTTTGGAGTCAAAATTTGTGTACATATTCATACATATCGGTTGTACAATACAGGTGTAGACCAAAAAAAAAGTTGAAACAAACAGAGGAAGTGACCGGAGAGAGGGAGAAATATGATAGCAGATCACCGGAAAGTAGAAGGATTTCTCCTCTTATAAGGCAAAGGCTCGACTCTCTTTCGGCGCAGCTCCATGTCAGCATCTGCGAAACCGATCTCCCTCATGACATCCGCCATCGTCTCATCCCATTGTGTTCTGAAAAGATAGGCTCCAATCGCCTTCAGGTGATATCTGGCTTGCAGAGTTCGGAGCAGAACGTCACGGTTGTTCTCAAGAGCCTTTACCGAGGCAACATTCAATGGAGCGGAATCCTTCTGCTCCATGATGAAGATAGACAGTCTGTGGTAGGGGCTACCCTTCTGAGCGACTGGGGGCAGCCAGGGCAGGATGACCTGCGAGTCCGCCGAGAGGTTGGCAAGATCAACCTTGGTGGAAGTGGCGGAGATGGGCACGTTGACTGCGAGGTAGTGCATCTTGTAGTCGAATTCGTCCTTCTCGACATTGGGGACATCCGAGTCCACCACTGCGATAGTCACGAGTTTCTCACCAGCCTCAAAAAGCTGGACGTCGAGCTTGGGAGCCGTTGTGCTAACTCGGGAGTTGACGAATTCTCCGGGTTGGATCGTGTGCCGGCCGAAATGGAGCTTGATATCCACGACAGGGTCGCAGTGAGGGAGGACATCGGGGATGACCTTCATCTGAGTGATTCTTTGTACGAGGATCTTTCGGCGATACTCCCTCCACTTCCGATCGGCCAGATAGCGATAGATGGGCTTGGTCATGTCACCTAAATAGCATCTCGAGTTAGAACCGCGAACCAGGAGCCACATGACAGGCTTAATGAATGATTCGTACCTTGTCCATCTTCGAACTTCTTCTTCACTATCGGATCGTTGATGTCGGCGCCGATCTTCAGGCGCTCAAGCTCTAGTTCCATTGCCCGCAACTTTGACTTCTGCACTTGCTCGCCGCCAGCCTCTTCCGTGGGGATCACCTGGAGTCTTGCAATCTTCTCCCGCATGGCCGTAATCTTCTTGACCTTTTCCTCCCGATCAGAAAGTAGGACCTTTCGGGCTTCTTGAAAACATTGGTACGGCAGTTGCTCGAAGGGGATGTTGTCGGAGTTCTGCAGTGCTGCTCGACGACGACGGGATCCGACAGGCGCAATACCTTGCTTCAGTAGCTTTCGTTCCAGACGCGGACTCGATACCAGAGCAGGATCCGGATTCTTGTAGAAGGGTTGGCTGTTGGCGTCAGTCTGGGCTTCCTCACGGGCCAGAGAGGTCGACTGGAAGGCTCTCGTGGATTGCAACTGGAGGCCTGTCGATCCCCTTGTATATTGTCTCTGAAGACATTGAAGCAACGGCTTCGATGCCCTTTTACAAGGAGCCATTGTCAAGGGAAGGGTTGTGGGAGGTGAGAGTGGTGGTGGACAAGGTGTTGGTCGCGTTGTCGGGTCGAAGATGGTCGAGGGTCGGACGGAACTCTTTTTTTCAGTCCGGCACAGCCAAGCCTCACCCCCAACTAGCGCCAACCACCGCAAAGCCCCGGATTGAACTTTTGCTTCACCTGCCCGCGACCCATCAACACTGGAAGACAGGGCAATTGAATACACAATATGCCTGGACCAGATGCTCTTCGCGCCCTGAGATGGCTTTCGAAAAGCTCGAATGGCCTTCTGTTGGGCACTGAAGCCACAGCGGTACGAACTTTTCTTCTTTCCCCATGGCCTGTTCAAGTGCCGGTTGCATGCTGACAATGGTATTTTTTTGCCAATTAGAAACGATGCCTGGCAACGTCTCTGTCGAGATCGATGGCCACAGAGGCTCAGTCCACGACCGAATATCTCACAAGGGAGGCCCCTACCGTGCCCAAGCCGACATGGGAGCCTGCCCCCGTCAAAGCCACCGCCTACTCATTCCCTTCGATGGAACCCCTCCGTGTCATTGAATATCCTCGAAACCACCTCTTGATGCCTCTACGAAAAGATATCCTTCACCGAGCCGTTGTGTATGAGGGCGACATGACCCGGCAGGGTACAGCGAGCACCAAGTGGAGAGCCGACGTGCATGGAAGCAACAAGAAGCTGTACGCGCAGAAGGGTACTGGTCGGGCGCGTGCCGGTGACAAGAAATCGCCCATTCGAAGGGGAGGAGGTGTTGCTTTCGGTCCTCACCCTCGCGACTTCGCGACGAGTCTGCCCCAGAAGATCTACGACCAAGCGTGGCGGATAGCCCTGAGTTACCGGTACAAGCGCGGTCAGTTGATTATCATCGACAACGAAATCTCCATTCCCGAAGACGCCACCCCGCATCTGATCCAGGAGATCTTCAAAGTTAACGGCTGGGGCCGCGAATTTGGACGGTCAACGTTGATCACAGACCAGCTGAAGGAAGGCCTGTTTGACACGGTACGGGGGGTCGGAGAACACGCAAAGATTCTGAACCGCCAAGACGTGGACGTCAAGGATCTCCTGGAGACAGGAAGACTGGTCATTGAGAAGCAGGCCTTGGACCGCATTCTGGCTCATCATTCGAGGGACTTGAACAACGAGCCGGCCAAGGCTGTGTATTAGTTGGAGCGGGTTGGGGCGAATTAAATCAGCTACAGTTTGTTCTCGTGTATCAAAACAACGGTATTTTGTATAAATAGATCTACATTGATATGGCTATCTTCCTTGAGAACTATATGCTTTGTGAGCACAACTGAAGTGGTAGAAACCTCTGGCGGGAATCATCCAGAGAGCGCACTCTATGGAGTACAGCCCGTATAATTCTATTTAGTAAGAGAAAGTTTCCCCTCGATTCTCCCAAGACACTAAGGCACGCAGCAAGAATTAAGTCCCATTGAGCTCTTCCATTTTACTCCTCAATATTGTGCAGTTCAATTACGTCTCAGACCCCCCTCATAACCGCGGAGTTGGGGATCTGCTCGGCAACCACAGCGTTCATCTTGTCCAAACAGCCGGCGGAGGAAAATCAACCAGCGCGAAAAAAACTCCGAGGTCAAGCGTCCTGCCAGAGCGGAGAAACGCCTTTCTTTCCGAGTTATAAGCACTCGATTCTCTTCCCTTCATTTATCTACGGTTCTTCCTTTACGACAGGCTGTCGTCTGCCTCGATGTTACTTCGACGCAGTTTCTGCCGCTTACCAACGCCGTCGAGCTGGATCTCGCGGGTTTCACCAGTCACAATGCCTCTCCGCGCCAAAGTGACAAACCCAGCATTCGGGGCTGCTGCCAAGGTGATACTGCTGGCTTTTACATCGAAAAGAGAATATATCGGTTCCTAATCCATGCTTTGTTAGATGTCGACTGCCCCCGAACTCCCCAAGGAGCTCCCTGGAGACGAGCCCGACGATGTCCTCTTCAATTCCCTCTACGGCGTGCGGTTGATTGAGCTCAACAGACCCAAGAAGCTGAACTCGTTGAACGGCTCGATGGCACGGAAGATCCTCCCCCGGTTGAAGGTTCGCGATTTTCTCAAGGCCTACAGTTTGCTGGATATGTTGGTTGCTAAGTGGTGGACTAGGAATGGGAGAAATCTCAACTTGCGAACATCGTCATGCTGTCCGGTGCTGGTACAAAAGCTCTCTGCGCAGGAGGTGACGTTGCTGCTCTGGCTCTGCAGAATGAGAAGGGCCCGGAAGGACAACAGGCGTCGGCCGACTTCTTCGGCCTCGAATACCGCCTGGACCACGTTATCGCTACGTACACAAAGCCGTTTATCTCGGTGATGGATGGAATCACCATGGGCGGCGGTGTTGGCCTCAGCGTGCACGCCCCCTTCCGCATTGCGACCGAGCGTACTGTCTTCGCCATGCCCGAGACGACCATCGGATTCTTCCCGGATGTCGGCGGCTCTTTCTTCCTCCCCCGTCTCGACGGTGAAATCGGAACCTACTTGGCCTTGACCTCGGAGCGTCTGAATGGCGTGCAAGCACTTTACGCTGGTGTCGCCACACATTACCTGCATTCCAGTGTTCTCAGCAACCTGACAGCTCGTCTGTCGGAGCTGGTCTTCCGGGATCAGGCATCGCTTCCCGAGCGCTTGGATCTGGTCAACAAGACCATGGCCGAGTTTTCTATCGGCCTCCCATCTCTGGAGCAGGAGCCCATCCACCTCGCTGGTAGCCTGCGCAGCGCCATCGATCGCTGCTTCGGCCACAGCACGATTGAGGAGATATTCAAGGCTCTCGAGCAGGAAACGGTGCAGAAGGAGTGGGCCCAGAGAACCCTGGAGACTCTGTCCAGCCGCTCGCCCACCTCGCTGAAGGTGACTCTGCGCCAGATGCGCGTGGGCAAGCAGTGGACCATCTCCGAGACGTTCCAGCGGGAGTACCAGATTGCAGCCCAGTTCATGAAGCATCCCGATTTCGTCGAGGGTGTCAAGGCCCGCCTGATGTCCAAGCCTCCTCGTCAGGCTACATGGCAGCCCGCTACCCTGGGCGAAGTCACCAATGACGCCGTCGATGTGTTCTTCAAGCTTCCCGAGGGCGAGTCCCGGCTGTCCCTCTTCAACAAGATCAACTACAAGCAATACCCCCACGCCTATGGTCTCCCCAGCGAGGCTGAAATTGAGAAGTTTGTCCGAGACAGCTCGGAATCCGCCAACAAGACCGTTTCGGAGTTCGTGCAGAAATGGGGTCACAAGGAGGGAGTCCGGGAGAAGGTTGCGGAGGTTCTGGCTAGGCGAACAGTGCAGACTCCTGAAGGTCTGCGATGGGAGTAAACATTGAGATCCGGGTGCAAATGAAAAAAAAGCATGATATATACCTCCCCGGGCTATTGTTAGATGGAATGTGCATACTGCTTTTAATCTTTCTTTACATGTATTTCTATGTTAAATCTAGAGTCATTGAATTCGTATCATCAGCCGTATGACTACAACAGCGCCGCATAACTAGAGCGATTAAACATCAGTCTTGTTTCGGCAGTATACATCTCAAAAGATAAATCCGAGCACGAAACAATATCTCTTCCGTATGCCAGCCATCTGCTGAGATTGTTAACCATGTGAAGAGCTGGGAGGATATCTTTCGAGATTCGGATCTCCGACCATCGGGAGATAAAACTATCATGTCGCACTACTAATAATTCTCCTTCTAGCCGGCGTTGAATTCCTTTGCTCAACAGTTGATTTTTTTTTTTTTTTTTTTTTTTTTTTTTGGTTTATCATACGACTACCTGGCACATTGGTGCTCATAAGGGCAGGGAAAAATACAATAACAATTCTGAATTAACTAAACAATTTCATGCATAGAAAGCAATCACACAATCTCTGCTGCACATCCTCTCCCAAAGATGGCGTTGTACCCTCCTCCCGGTGCTCGCGATGAGAACGCCATGGACGCGACGGAGCCTCTTCTGCAGAGATCTGACTCTCCAGAGCAACTGCAACCTCATACGCGAAGCAGCAAACACGTATTGGCTCGCTTATATGTCTCTCACTTCCTGTCAACATGGAACTCGCGCATGTTCGAATTCGGAGCCATCCTGTTCCTCGCTTCAATATTCCAAGATACCCTGTTATATGCCTCTGTCTATGCACTAGCCCGTTCTCTGTCGGCCGTGGTGTTGTCTTCCTGGCTGGGTTCGCGGATGGATCATTCCGATCGCTTGGTTACAATTCGTCGCTCAATCAGTATGTACAACCTCGGCGGTTGGGGGCATATAACTGCTATCACAAGCTGACGGTCTACTAGTCTGGCAGAGACTTCCCGTAGTGTTGTCTTGCGCATGTTTCGTGGTTCTTCTGGTACCCTCGCTGATGGGAAACAAGTTTGTCACCTGGGGTCTATTTGCTGCGGTGCTTCTGCTGGCTTGTGTGGAGAAATTGGCTGCTATAGCAAACACGGTGGCTGTTGAGAGAGACTGGGTTTGTCACCTCTTGCAAGTCCATGATACATAGATCACTAACAAAAAAATTAGGCTATTATTGTCTCGGATAGTCTGGCAATACAGAGGCAGGGTACGTGGCTTATACATTCTGGCATGGTAGGGCACACTAACAAGCTAGGAAACAGATTTAAATGCATCGATGCGACAGATTGATCTCTTCTGCAAGCTCCTGGCTCCTTTGATGGTCTCTCTCATAGACAGTCTATCCACAAGTATAGCAGTATGGCTTGTCTTGGCCGTGAATATACTTTGTGTCTTTGTTGAATACGTTGCCATCGCTCAGGTGGGTTATTATTCCTCCTCGGACGGGGGGCTAGTCTGATTGTATTATCTGCAGGTGTATGAGGCGATTCCTGAGCTCCGACGAGTTCAGCGGGGCCTAGCCACGAATGACGGCGAGAACGGCGAGGATGACTTCCAGCCTACTTCCAGAGCAGTCCAACGGAGCGTGGTCAATAGGGCTGCACGCCTACTCAACCATGTTGCTGCTCCCTGGAGAGAATACATAGCCAGCCCGGTCTTCCTGGCCTCCTTTTCACTGAGCCTGCTGTATTTGACCGTACTTTCCTTTGGTCCAACCATGGTTACTTTTCTATTACACACCGAATACACATCTCTGCAGGTCAGCTGTATGAGGGTTGGCTCGGTGATTGCAGAACTGTCTGGCACATGGGTAGCACCATTTGTCATGGACAAGGTCGGGCCGATCCGATCAGGGCTGTGGTTTCTCAATTGGCAATTCACCTGTTTGTCTGCTGTCGCAGCGGCGTTTGCCCTCACTGACGCTACGTCTCGACTGGTTCTGGTGGGCCTGATAGTCGGGGTTGCTCTTAGCCGGGTTGGTCTTTGGGGATTCCATTTGTCCGCCCAATTTCTCATTCAAGAGGTATGAATTTTCTTGCAAGGCATCATATCATTTTATGAGTCTTCTGACGTATGTCTATGATAGGGCGTCGAAGAAGAGACGCGTGGGCAGTTTTCCTCCACTGAGATGGCTGTGCAGAACATCTTCGAGATGTTGTCCTTTGCAACCACGATTGCCTTCCCGCTTCCAGAGCAGTTCAAGTACCCAGTCTTCATCAGCTATGGTGCCATTGCAACGGCTGCCATATGCTTTGCGGCATACGTTAGAAAGGAGAGAGGGCATTTGCTGCATATGACCAGATGTCTTGGTGGTGATAAAGTACCAAGTCCAAGTCAGGGTCTTCCTGGGGATTTTTAACAGTACCGGAATGTCCTTTTCTTTTCGAAATCTCTCGTCATTCCTTCATGACGTCTCGTCTTGTAGAAATGTGGTTGGGCCTGGAAGATGGAGGATATATATATATATATATATATATATCATGCATATCATCATTACCACGTGCCTCATATAGTCCATGCTTTATGAACACTCACGTATTATATCTTGCACGTATGCTGGATTATTTTCAAAAGAAATTCCGACGCAACTGCTCTATAGCCTACTCCTATAGTCTATACAAGCATCGCCTTGGCGTGGAGAAACTCCAACTGGAGAACTAAACTTGCGATGACGGGTCACCGAAACTAATTGCGGGGGAACACTCGCTGCTTGTTTATCTCTTTTCCTCCAGCTGCAACTGCATACTGCCCAATTCAAGTACACCATGACTGGTGATCAGGGCCAACCGAGTCACTATGGAGGTAGGCAAATGTCACTATTTTGATTGAATTTACATTTTGCCGTTCAAAAATGTCGGAAAAAAAGAAAAGACGAGTACTGACTCTTCTCAGGCTCCAAGAGCACGGGGATTAGGCAGGTCGGGTCCACGACGACGATCCGGATGTCTCACATGTCGTGCACGCAAAGTCCGATGCGATGAGGCGAAACCCATCTGCGCGAACTGCACGCGACTCCGGCTACAATGCGAATACAAAACACCTGTCTCGCGACGGGCAGATGCGCGAACGTCCGCCGTGTCTGGGGACCCGGCCGCGAACAGCCCCCCACGACCGGACGTGAATTTCTTCAACACTGTGCTTCAATCTGATGGACGGCAGAACGGGCTGATGCGGCATATGGCCGACGCCTCGCAGTTTAGCCCCACGGACAACGTGACAGATTTCTCCGGACCATTCGACATGCTGGGCTTCATGAGCGAGATCACGTCCGAGCTGGAGCGGAAACATTCTGATCTGACCAATGGCTTGTCGGAATTGACCACTGGGATGTCTTTGAAGGTCTCGGATGCCGCGCATGTGTCGCACAATGGTCGGTCGAGAGCACTACCCTCCGGGGACGCGACACAGCTGCAGTCTCCAGTCAGTGATGGCATATGGCCGGAACCTAGAGCGACGTATGAGGAGCATTTACTGGCGTATTTTCTGACTATCGAGCCGCCTCCCACGATCTTTGGACCCGTGAATCTCGAATGGAAATATGTGCGCGAGGTGATTGTAGCGCAATCGCGCGACTTTCGTCCGCTGCGGAGTAGTATCTACTGCTTTGCAGATCTGCACTTGGCTCTCAAGGAGGGGAAAGAGTACAACCTGGCCCCGACGTACCACCAACAGGCAAGCTTTGAGGGGCAGCCATACATGCTTGGGGATGTCGATGAGACTACGCTGAGGAAGGTCTTTACAATGGTCTTTCTGCTCATGCTGTCCGAGGTATGTTTTCCTCAGTCCATTCTCATGTTCCGACTTCGGGCGAACGAAACGTAACTGACAAGAAAACCAAGTCATTATCGTCGCCTGACTTGGGCTGCCACGGTACCTCTTTTCTACACTCTGCATATTTATTGCTGCAGCGATTCCATAGCCAGACTAGAGCATGGATTGGCTTCGACCATCTGGTGATCTCGTGGGTTTCACTTCTTGATGTGAAATCGTTGGTTGCCGGCCGAGAGGGCGATCCTCTCATCGACTCAGACAGCCTAGAGGAACCTACCGCGCGGCACGAGATCAACGGCCCTGATGCTGGTCCCTCACCGGCTAATGGCACTCTGACAATCATATCAGCCGAGACGAAGGACGCAGGGGAGTATCTTCGATCCAAGCCTGGTTATCTTGTCTACGATGCGATTGTGGGGCCAGCTTTCCGGTTCTTCGTCCAAGCCCAGCAGATCATCCGACGGATTGTCAGCATTGACCTTCATCACCGCAGCCGCGGGACGCTGGGCGACGAATTCGAGGTCTTGCAGATTGCGCACGGCGTGGGTGCCGACCTGGAGGCACTATGGAATTGCCGGCCGCCGGTGTTGGACGTTCATGACCGACCGGAGGAGTTGCTCGACACATTGAGTGAGCCAGTTGCGGTCGAGATATGCCACACCTTTCGGCAGTATGTGGCCAACTTCCTGGCAATCTTTATTTATCTACATCGTGTAGCCTTCGCCATCTATCCTCGCACCGACCGAGTCAACCGGGCGGTGGATCAGATTATCCAGCTAGCGACGGCGGAGACGGCGAGTTCGCAGCGACACTTGCCCGTCAGCTTCTTCTGGCCGCTCTTCATAGCCGGACTGGAGGGGACATTATCGCAGCGCCAGTGGATCGTGCAGGAGATGCAGCGCATGGCGGCTTGTAGCAGCGATGCGACGCAACGGCACCCCAACGCGAGCAAGGTGCTGTTTCTTCTCGAGGAGATGACACGGCGGCAGGATGCGTCTCGGACATGGGCCGACTCGAAAAGCGTCAGGCGTGAGCTCTTTACTGATTTCTTTGTCATGATATAGCTGTCGTCTTGGACCGGGATATCTGCATTTCATGGTGTTGGGGGGGAATTCATCTAGATCAAGGAGGTATTTGGTGGCTAAAAAGGAGTATACACACACACACACACACACAGTATACAGGACGATCTAGAACTGTTTGACCACCCTCTGGAACCGCTCTGGCTTCCGCATGAACTTGTCCGGCTCATCGCGGGCTCCCGTCTTCCAGTAGTCATATTCCATCCAGGCATTCTCAGGCATCTGCGCCTCGGTCGCCTCGATGAAGTCGCCCAGATCCGGATTCAGAGGGATCACCCCCGTCTCAACGACATATTGATCCCACAGCTTGAGCAGCTGCTTTAGGCGGTCCGGATGGACCTCCGCCAGATCATGCACCTCGCCCAGATCGTCGGCCAGATTGTACAGCTGCCACCGCTCCGGGCCCTTCGGTTTCGGGATATACACGATCTTCCAGTCGCCGAACCGGAGCGCGGCGCGGCCGCAGGTCTCCCAGCCCTGGACGAACTCCTTCTCGTGGATGCGGTCCGACTCGCCACGCGCCCACGGGTAGAAGCTCTTGCCGCGCATGGGCACCACTTCGCGGCCCTGGTATGTCGGGGCCGGATGCGTGACGCCCGCCATGTCCAGGATCGAGGGGGCCAAGTCCATGACCGTGGCGAACTGGTCGGTGATGCCGGAGCGCGCCGCGGCGGCGGCGGCGGTCACGCTGCTGGGGAACTTGGCCAAGAAGGGGACGCGGACGCCGCCCTCGGTGGTGTAGGCCTTGTAGAGGCGGGAAGGGGCGGTGGCGGCCTGGGCCCAGCGCGGGCCGTACCAGATGAAGGAGTTGGCGTTGCCCAGGTTCTCGAGGCTGTTGTCGTAGTACTTCTGGAGATGCGGCATGACGCCGCTCTGGACCATGGGGTAGGCCTCGTAGGCGGCGCCCTCGGCGCCGTTGTCGGACATGAAGCAGACGAAGGTGTTGTCGAGCTCGTCGATCGAGGCGAGGTAGTCGATGACCTTGCCGACGTTGGCGTCGATGCACTCGACCATGCCCGCGTAGACCTCCATGGCGGCGCAGGACTTCTTCTTCTCGTCCGCGGTGTACTGGTCCCACTCCTTGACCTCGTCGGCGACGACGACGGGGTGCGGCTCCACGTCCGGCCGCACCATGCCCAGCTCCTTGAGGCGCTGCAGACGCCGCTGGCGTAGCGCGTCGGGCCCTTCATCGTACACGCCGCGGTAGTGGTCGATGTACTCGCGAGGCGCCTGCAGGGGCCAATGCGGCGCCGTGAAGGGCAGATAGGCGAAGAAGGGGGGCCGGTCGTTGTCGTCGGCGGGGCCAGCGGCATGCCAGTCGCGGAGATACTGGCGCATCTTGTCGCCGTAGCCGTCGGACGAGTACCAACCAGGCGGCAGCTGCTTCACATAGCGGTCGTCCTCCATGTGGAGGGCGATGTAGCTCGCCTCGAGGAAGGTCGGGGTGTCGTCGGGGTCCTGCAGCTGCGGCTCATAGGCATAGTGGTTGGAGCACGCAGGCAGGTGGGCCAAGGAGCGGTCGAAGCCACGGCGGTAGGGGGCGCGCTCGGGCGTCAGGCCCAGGTGCCACTTCCCGGCCATCAGCGTGTGGTAGCCGGCGTCGCGCAGCAGCTCGGGCAGCGCGACGACGCGCTCGTTCAGGTAGCCTTCGTAGCCGGGCATACCGCGCTGCGGGGCGGTGCTCATGTGCGAGCCCTTGGGCCCGTTCTGGCCGGAGATGTTGGTCCATTCGATCAGGTTGCCGAGGCCTGCGATGTGGTGGTCGGTGCCGGTCATGATCATGGCGCGGGTGGGCCTGGGAACTCGGGCACATCAGTTCCGTTTTAAACAACTCCGGTATCTTCAAACTTTCCATCGTTGAATTCAAAAAAAAAAAAAAAAAAAAAACGTACGAGCACGCGGCCGCGGCGTGGAAATCCGTGAACCGCACGCCACCGTTGAGAGCGAGACGGTCGATATTCGGCGTGCGGATCTCGCCGCCGAAGCAGCCCACGTCGGAGAAGCCGAGATCATCGGCGACGATGACGAGGAAATTGGGCCGTTTTGCCGTGCTGCGAGTCATCTTTCACTGGGTCCGGGCCTACCGTTCGAGATAATCCCCAGAGAGAGAGAGAGAGAGGGGATCGAGGAGGGAAGAAGAACGGGAGAAGAGGGGGGGGGGGGGGGGGTAAAGGGGGGTTGATGAGGGGAGCAGCAGTAGCATTATGCACCTATCTATAGATGTACATAGATGTAGGTAATGGCATATCATCCACCAGTAGTAAAGGTCAGAGTCAGAGTCAGGGTGAGATTGTTTTGCATCCGGTCGAATGAGTTTCGTTTCGTTTCGGCTGTCGGCTGTGCTGTACAACTGGAACCCTGCTGAATCTGATATTGAGATGCAGATCCTGTCGGGTACGGATTACGGAGTAGAGTATATCGTATCAAACTTCAAACTGCCATGTCACTCGAGCTGATCAGATCAGATCAGACCAGATCAGGTCACTGAATCAATCTTTCTCCCGTAGACTAGATCGATACGACTGTCCTGGCATCGATGAAGCCGCCTAGGCACTTCCTATTCTCAACGGGTTCGTACTCCATCATCTATCATCCGTCATGAAAATAGAATACATAATCCTTGAGTTAGGAGTATATAATGGTAATGGTAATGATGATGATAATGCGGGGACCCCGGATTCAGCCAGCATCTCACCATCACCATCACCATCACCATCTATAGTATATATAGAGAGAGAGAGAGAGAGAGAGATATGTATATATATATATATATCTTCCTCATCCATCCATTCACTACACTTGCCTTGGACCCATTCAACGCCAATACCCAAAGTACTCTACCCATGGCGTGATCTCTCCACTACGTGTTGCGCAGTCGACTGTCGGCTAAAGTCCCTCGCTTAGCTACTCCCAGGAGTCAGAGTCAGAGTCAGAGTCAGTCGGTACAAATGGATAATGATATTGATACGTGATCTGCCCGGATCGACCGTTCTTCAGTCTCTCAATCGTCAACATAAACCAGGTAACAGAGTCAACACCGGAGCCCCCTGGGCGCTTGGCTTCTGCCATCTGCGATGCGGCAGGGGGTTCGAACTAATACACAGAGGTTACAAAGAGGTTCAACTGAGTATAATACATCTATTGATTGATTCTTAGCTATGCCATGACCTCGGCGATCGACCAGCAAAAGCAGTCCAGCATCCAGCTCCAGCATCTCCCGTGGTACTGAGATGGGTCATTCCTCATTCATTGTAAATCGCCATTGCGAACCAAGCCCTTGAAACTCCACCCAAACTCCATTTCTCAATCCCCCAATGCCAGTTTGAAAAAACCTAATCCGCCAGAAAAGAAAATCAAGTAAACGCACATACAAACAGGCTAATCCGTAATTTATTCCACACCTTTTGCTACCAGGCGCCACCAGTGCCAGTATGGATCGTCATCGATCAAGCAAGCAAGCAAGCTAGCTAGCTAGCAAGCGCCAAAAAAAAAAAAAAAAAAAGAAAGGTCGTTAATCACATCAGATAGGGGGACTTGATCCCCCAGACAGTTCAAGGGATCAATTTCAAATTCAAAAAGGAGACAATCAAACATTGATCAGGTCGTCAAAGCTGTCGTCGGCGGAAAACGCATACGAGTTCTCCGTCATGGCGGATGCTTCCGAGTCCCGACGGAGAGGTTGGTCGAGAGACTCACCTGGCCGCGACGGCTCCAGGTGCAGAGGATCGTCGAAGCCGAAGGATAGCGCCTGCGGGGGCCGGGGGGTCACTGGGCCGTCCGACGAGGAAGCGGCGTCGGCGACATCGGTCAGATCCGGAGCGGCCGAGTCATTGTAGGTAATCTTCTTGACCATCTGTGCCAGATGGAGCTTGATGGGCTCGTCACCGCACTGAGCATGCTTCAGCACCTCATTCTTCAGCCCTAGGATCTCCGAGCGCAGACGGGCAATCTCCGAGACGAGCTGCTCCTTCTTGTCGGACTGCTCCTTGTACCGGGACTCCAGCAGCTGCGTGTGCTCTTTCTTCTTCTGGCGGCACTTGCTGGCGGCCAGGCGGTTCCGCTCCAGGAACTTCTCGCGCTTAGCCTTCTCCTGCTGCTGCTCGTCGTACTCGGCCTGGGACATCTTGGCCTCGCGGGTCGTCTTGCGGCGCTTGGAAGTGCCACCGGGGCCGTCGAGGCCATCGAGGCCGGTGTGGTCCCCGTAGGTTCGCCGCTCGCCGTGATGGGTGGGGAAGGACGAGGCAGCGGAGCCGTGGAACTGGCACTGGGAGGAGAGCGAATACAGATCCCCAACGGAGTGGGTCTTCTTGTCCCCATAGGGCGGCGGGGTTGGTTGTCCATTCCGGACGTGGGAGTGTTTGAGGTCCCGTTCTAAGTTGGGGTTGGTAAAGGTCTGGTCGGTCTTGCCGTTCCACGAGGGCATGGAGGGGGAGATGGGACTCAAGCCCCAGAGATGCTCCTCGTCGGGGAGGGGGAGTCCGAGAAAGTCCCCGGAGAAGGCATTGGGATGGGCAAAGGGGGAGGGGCCGGAATTGACAGCATCGGAGCGACCAAAGGCGGATTGCTCCGGCAACATATTGAGAGTCGACATGAAAGGTGGGTGGGGGGGAGGGAGATGGAGGAGGGGGAGGGAGAAGGGGATTATTATTATTGTTGATGTTGTTGATGTTGTCAATGTTGTTTGTTTGTTGCACGAGGAGTGGGACAAGTTTCAGCTGAGCGTTACGCAACAATAGTATTGATTGAATCAAGATGAGATGAGCTCATCGATATAGAGAGAGAGAGAGAGAGAGAGAGAGAGAGAGAGAGAGAGGGAGAGAGGGAAGACAGGACCGTGGGAGAAGGGAAGAAGAGGAATGGAGTCAACCGATAGGCGGAAATAAGAGTCGCGGGCCGCAACCATGGAGGGGTCTAGAATTGACCGCTTGCCGCAGACTAGACGACTAGACAGTGGAGGCAAGAAGGGAATGAGAGGGAGGGGGAGTAACCGTGGTTGATCGAAGACTAGGAAGGGAAGCACCGTTGGATAGGGGAGAGAGAGAGTGTGTGTGTGAGAGAGAGAGAGAGAGAGAGGGAGAGAGGGAGGGAGATGAGATAGAGAGAGAGGGAGAGAAGAAGAGGAAGAGAAGAAGAAGAAGATTCAAGAATATATTCCCATTTGAAGCGGAGACTAGAGCAGTCTAGAATGGGCGTTGGATGGACATTCAAACCAGTTGAAAGCATGGAAGGAGGAGAGAGAGTGGGGGAGATGCTGGGATAGATTGATAGAGAGAGAGAGAGAGAGAGGAAGAAGAAGAAGAAGAAGTAGAAGAAGTAGAAGAACAGAAGAGTGAATTGAATTACAATTGCAACGGCCTGAAGGGACAATTTGACACACCTTCAGTCAGTATACTTGGATGCTCTTGTACATGATCTGATAGAAGGAGAAAATGGACACCTCAGGTTCTCCTCCTCTACTTTGTACTTCCTGTAGGTACCCAGTCAGACTACGGTACTAGTAGTAGTACCTCTTCTACACTCCCTAGTACAAGGTACAGAGTAGTACCTAGTACCTAGTACCTAGTACCTAGTACCTCGTACTTCGTACCTAGTACTTGGTACTGTCCCCAGTCCCCGTGATGGCCTGATGGCCTGATGGCCTGATTGGCCTGAGGTTTCTTCCGGATCCACCGGCACCAGCAACCAAGTGATGATGTCATGTTCTTCTCTCTCGATATCATTCTTCTCGACTTCCTCGATTCTACTTCTACTACTACTTCCTCCATTTCTATTATTATTCTACAGAGTCCTTCCTTCCTGTAGGTACAGCCCAATAATAGGATCGATCATACAGTCTGCAGTATGCAGTATGCACCCATACCTGCCAGAACTGTCAGAACAGTCCGCTATCTAACTCTCATGGACCTGGACTCAACCACGGCTCCCTTCCTGTCACTCAGCCTGTCATCTCTCATCTCTACCCATGGGTCATGGGACATGGGAATGTCGAATATCATAAAAGAGAGAGAGAGAGAGAGAAGAGAGAAGAGAGATATGAGAGGAGAGGAGAGGGGAGGATAATCATCACGTCAACATCCAGAGATCCAAAAAAACTTCAACCTCCAAAGACAGGCTTCCAAGCCCATCACAGTACACGCGTCTCCTTAGAACCTAGATCCTGGATTGGATCGAATTACAGTCGAGTCAAAGCGGAGGGACCAACTCCACCGGATCAGAAAGCCGACGACTCAGCGGCCAGTGATCGACACAACGATCAACTTCTCCCGCTAACCTAGCTTGTAGTCCGTTTCATCTTCGCCTTCCACTTTCTAGTTCCCAAGAACTACGGAGTAACCGGTACAGGCACGCACCGAGGCTAGGAGTAGAACCCTGGGTCCCGGCTTCCTCACTCCAATCTTTACTACTAGTTACTAGTACAGACTACTTCGGATTCCATCAATTGATATCGTCATCATGACCATCTACCTCTCCATCACCATCCTAATAGATAATGTACACGAATCCTCGCTGCAAGCTCCAACTCTTCACGCTCATTGCCTCGGCACCAACACCACCTCTCTCTCTCTCTCTCGCGAATCCCTTCCCGGAACGCTCCCCTCCCCGTCCCATCCCCATTGTTCCCCTTCCCAACTCCCCAAGGGACTCAACCAGATGACCGCTCCCCAGACGATGACTCGTCCCCACAGGACCGCCACGAGATCGTGAGTCGCGCCGGCCCGCGAACTTGATTCTCCCACACTCGCAACACTCGACTCACCCCGCGCCAGTTCGCAATCAGCATCATAGCCACCTGCTGCCGCCGGATCGTCATCGCCCGCATCGTCTCCGCCGACTGCATCCCATCTTCCGCCAGCTCCCCATCCGTCAGCAGTGGGCCAAACGCCTGCCCCAAGCGACTCAGAATCCCCCAACGCGACTCCGGACTCTGCCCCATGCGCAATCGATGCCTCGCAGAATCCGTCAGCCGGCCGGTCTCATGCAGGAGAACCGCACAGAGCCCAAACACCGCGCACATCAGCTCCAGTTGCATCGGACTCGTCAGCGCCACCATCGCAAGTCCGATCGCTTTGATCCGCGCGTAGGTCGTCTGGCTCAGACCCCCCAGGCAGCTCCGCGTTCGTTTCAGTTGGAGTTTCGAGAATCGCTGGTCGTAGATGCTCGAAAGGACCCGGTACAGCGCCACCGATCCGAGAATCCCTCCCGGAAGCCCCGCCAGCAGACTCCGGTACGTCCAGCCAACGCTCAGGGTAAGCCTCGCGTCCTTGTCCGGCGCGTTCGCATACAAGATCCCCGCCAGCTCCGACGGCATTTCCTGGCGCCTCATGGTCAACTCGATCGTGTCCTGCTCCTTCTCGGCAGACAGCACTTGCGCCGCGAAACAGTCATACATCCGTGTAGCCGTCTCCACATCCCCGGGCTCGAAGAACAGGTTGTATATCAGCGCGCCTGATGCACTCCGGTTAGCACATGCTTCATCTGCCCCGCCAGACCCGACGAGCCCGCAGGATTTCCAAAGATGCGTACCACGAGATCTCAGATAGGTCGCAGTCGCTACAAAGCACACCGGGAGTTTCAGCGCTGCCGGCGCAAAGTCCCCTGGAAGGGCCAGAAAGCTGTGTCCCCCCAGTCGAGCAAGACTTTCCAGCGACCTCCCGCTCAATAAATTCATCCCATATGCACGAGAGGGAAGATTGGCAAACGTTTTCATCCGGCGCAGCGTTCGTTCTGGAGGCACACCCTGACCCTTGACATGCAACGTCGACCGCATCGTCCTGATCCGACGGATGATCCGATCCCGACGCCGCGGTAGCTCCTCGGTAGAATGACAATTGTTGTTGCCTACACTCGTTAGGACCGGCCGTGGGTCCTTCTTTGCTTGATTGGTGACCTACCTGCAGGATGGGCATGATTGCAATCGTCGGCCCCACGCCCGTCACTGCCACCCAAGGACAACCGCTCCAAACCCACTTCTGTAGCAAGGTCGTTGTATGCCATAGCAGCCTTATGCCGATCAAACGTATCCGCCCAACTGCCTTCACTGAAGCATGAAGAGGGAAGCGAACTCTCCCGGGATAGCCCCCCTAAGATATCCAGGTGGGTACCGAGCATTGGATCCCGCGGCCTCTTGAGCACATGAAGGCCTTGCAGCACCTGCGCGTTGCTGATACTGTAGTCCGAGCTGGATCCCCTGCTTGAACGTGTAGTGTGTTGCGACTGATCCGTAAAGGGGTTGGAGCACGACCCCGATCGTGACGACTCGAGGATCTCATCAAACGGATTTTCGTAGACGTACTCTCGTTGCACAATCGTAATCGGCGTGGGCGTCCTTTTGGATGGGTCGCGGCATACCGTCTCAACTGTGTGGTCAGAACTGAGAGATTCCAGGGTCTTGTCACTCTTGTCACTGACTTTCCGGGATTCGGCGCCTTCATCTTCGGCTTGGTTCAAACAGAAAGCGTGCGGAGAATCGAAGTATCCCTCGCGTGAGTCCCCGCCGCGAGGATGATCCATGGTTGGGCTTGTATCATAGCCGGATGCGCTGGTCTCATTCTGGACGGATTCATGCGACAGATGCTTCAGGGACTTTCGGTGCCGAGCCCTGCGGGAGCGTATGGATGCCATCAACCCTGCGATTCGCCGCGAGCCTCGCATTGAGTGTGCGTAGCTTGTAGATGGCTGATGCGAGTCCATCTCGATACCTCTATCACCTGCAGACGATCCTTGGTGCAGGCGACACTCCTCCGAAGAAGGTACAACATGCTCGAAAGGGCCGGGTTGGATGGGTCTGCACTCGATCGGGTTTCTAAGAATGTTGCCCTCGTTGGTAGCAGCGGGTCCTGTCGTATCTCGCTTATTGGAGACTTGCCCGGTCCGCGAGTTCTGCTGATGAGCATGTCCTGTCACTTCCCCGCCGCAGCCTCTCCGGCTCCGTCCATTCTCCAAAAGTCTTCTTCCACTGTCATGCTCCGAGGATCTAGAGAAAATAGTATTGAAAAGCCCCATTCTCATTTCTCAAATCAATAGGTGTCGTCTGGTCAATCATGCGTGGCTACTTTCAAGTGCGGGAGGAACTGTTGCTGTCCAGAGTTGTTGGCAGCTTCGGTCTCCATGACGGGTGCCTTCTTCCCGCCTGCGCACGCCGCTGTCGAGGAAGGTGGGCACATCTCGCTCCTTCTTTACTTACATGCGTTTCCGCGGCAGTTACCTCCATGAATATCCTAGCCCATTGGGGTAGCCTCAGTGCGAGTGCGAATGCCAGTGGGAGATCGAGATCCAGGAGTTCCAACGGTGTGGGATTCACCAAAACCAAAAGGCCAACACGAAGTTGGCAAAGAAAAGAAATGTGACATGAAATGAAATCTATTGTTGTCAGGCCAGGCGCCATTGCTAGATTTTTTTTTTTTTTTTTTTTTTGGCAGAAATCCTTTTGAGATAAACCCGGCAAATCGGAGGCCCACCAAGCTTCAGTTCAGTTTGAGACACCACCACATTGCCTTCGCTCTTTTACAAAACAAATCCAAACAACGCCAGGCAAGGACAATGAGAAGCAGGTAGATAGCCGAAGCAAATGAAAAAGGGCCCGAGTCCGCGGCGCAGCCTCTTGGTATCCGCCAAAATGGATGCTTGCAGATTGGAAGATCCGTCCGAAAGAAATGGGAATGAGTCAACGCCGTGTTCCATGCAAGATCTGTAGATATATGTTGAGTCAATGTGCGCATAAGTAGGTACTTTGTTTGTGATCATGGTGATTCGTCATTTTCGCCTTCGAGGAGAATGTATTGTAAAATATCACTCAACGTGAGGACGCCTTTGAGTCGGAAGTGTTCATCCACCACAACCAGGCGGTGCACGCGAGATTTGCGAATCGTATCGAAAATGGTGTCCAGCCCATCTGTCAGGGAGCATGTATAGATACCAGGGAATTCCTGAACGAATCGTCAGTGATGGGACATCAGTGCCCACTTGCGTACATCCACATACCGCATTACGCTTTTTCAGCGCCTCACCGACTGTGAGACTCAAATCGTCATAAACACCCCCTTTGATGAGAGTGATCACATCGACTGCTTCAAACACATTGTAAACAACGCCTGCGTTCGGGAAGCAGGTCAGCGAGGCTTTCACGATACGAGACTGAACGAGAGAATTGTTCAGTTGGTGGGTCAGACCTTTGGAATTCAAAATAGGCACACTTGAGATGCTTCGCTCCACGAGAATGTGGATGACATCAATCACAGGTGTATCCATTGATGCCGTTGCAATATTATTATAGGTACCCAGCAAAATCTCCCCAAGCGGCTTCCGCAACTTCTGCGTATCATTCACATTGACGGCTACGAACTTGAGAATGCGATACTGAGTGACGACACTGAGAACATGAGGTCGATCCGTCTGGCTATCATTCGTGACAAGAGGAATTCTGCGAGCGCGAGATTCCAGCATGCGACGACAAGCCTCGTACAGCGGCCGTTCTGGATCAATCGAGATTGTCTCAGGGGGTGCAACCCCCAGGGCCTTTTCCACTTCTGTAGAGTCATATGAGATTCGAATTGCACAAAATATCCCAGCGCTCTTGAACAACACAACGCACCTCGGAGACTGTCCAGCCGAAATTGATCAATCTGGTCGAGCGCTGCAGGATTCTGAAAATAATACTGTATCACATTTATGTAGTCGGAGGTGGTCAGGAGACCAGCAAAGGTCGAGGTCTTGGAATCCCATAACGGAGCCGATACGATGCCTGTAAATCACACCACGCGCGTCCGGTCCCGGTCAGCCTATCGTGTTCCAATTCACACCATCGAATATGCGTTGGGAGAGCAGCGTTCGGATGGACTCGAGGATCGCTTCCGAGCGCCCACTCTCTCCAACGAAGGCAAATGGATACATGCCATTTTGTATCAAAATATTCAAGCTCTCTTTCACAGATAGTGATGTATCAAATATGATTAACCGAAAACTGAGAGGGAGAACATCGTAACTGGTCCGGACTTTGAGGAAGTTGCGGATGGCACACTACACCATAGGCGAGAACCGAGCGACGCATTAGCCGTGTCCTTCAATAATTCTCGTCTAAACATAGATCAAAATGAGGAATTGCGCTCCCATGTGGCATCATTCATGAACACGGGTCAGATCGTCGGCGATAAGAGCCTCCCACCACGACGCGCATAAAAGGCTATTTCTTCCCATTCTGGAGAACGTGGGGGGAGGGGGATACATTTCGCGTGAACCCAGCGCTTGCATCAAAGACATGATAAATAGAAGCCATGTGAGATTGACAAACGACGAGAGCAGATCAACGAGAACAAAGGGAATGCGTTTTAAAAAGAAAAGAAAAAAAAAAAAAGGAAAAGGAGGGGTAGACTCACTAGGCCCTCACGTTCTTCCCGATCAATTGCCCTCTCGGGCTGGGCTGGGGGCATTGGATGGGAGAGACCTCGAGGCCGGAGGTAGGAAGAGGGCTGCACAAAGGGCCCCTCGTGACCGTGGAAAAGATTGGGATCAGTCGTCGAGGCAAAAGGGATGGTGGTGTTGGTGGAGGAGGTGACAGGCACGGCAGTGGAAGTCGTGGTGTCGTTGGCCGTTGTAGTGGTAAGTTCGGGCGGCAAGCTGTTTCTGCCCGTGGGGGGCTGCATCCATCGTGAAGCATTCTCCGCCATCGTCATCACCGACTCTATCTAACTATTTCTCGAGAGAGGATGGATCGACTAACTCTTGCCCGGAGAGCCGCATAAAGAGAAGAGGGGCGCCGTCAGCTGTGTTTGCCTACCTTGCCCTTTAGAATGTCTGTGGGATGCGAATCAGGATCGAGCACTGATCTGTTCTGCTGCTGCTTGTTCTTGACGCCGGTGAATGGGAGACGATAGGTTGCTGCTATGACTGCGCCAGGCTCTTGGGTACCATTAGTGCTATCAGCTATATGAGAAGCCCGAGCACTGATGGATGAACTCGATATATTGAAGCTGAAGCCGAAGCCGAGTCACTATAAATAGTGGACGCGGAGTTCGTAGCGGAGAGTGCTACAAAATGCGCCAAAATAATGAACAATATGGCAATATGGGCGCTGCTTTCTTTCTGGATCGACAGGTCCAATACTTAAAGGAGATTAGACTACAAGGCAGCTTTTAAATACGTTGATATAATAATAAAATAGTAGTCGACGTAGTCTGGAATGGAAGCAGACAACTGTAACCACAACAGGAGACTGGAGAGGAAAGAAGTATGCTGAAGGGTGGATGATGATGCGAAGACTTGATATACATCACGTCTGGCCGGGATCATCGGCAACAACAAGATGACACAGAAGTCTCAGCAGTGGCTTTCCGCAAAGAGTCAGACATCAACAATCAAGAGGGATATCTATATAGCTGATGTTGAAGCTGTTCCCAGTGCCCCCCATTGCCCCGCCAGTGCACGTGACAGAGGTGAAACTAGATATAATACTTGTGATATATCAGGTTGGAAAGCTTGAAAACAGGTGATTAGTTCGAATGCAAGTCTATATACATGCGATTCAATCTATATTAAAATGCCAAGTAGTACTATGAGCGAAATTAATGGCATAAATAGGAAGACAAAGGACGCTTGATGAACCCGGAGTGCCACACGGGTTTATAGACCCTCCACATTATGGGGACGGCGCGCGATCAAGCAATAAGCATTATTCATAGGGGCGGTTCTGACAGCCAAGAGGATACGCACTTGACTTTCCAGCAGAAGATGATGGGCAGGAGATAGCGACGTACTCCCGCACGACCTATTAAACGAAGGTCAAAGAGCGCGCGTACGAGGAGAGCAGGGTTGATGAGTGAGAAAGGATGAGGGACCAAATCATGATCTTGGCGCGACTGACTCGATACCGTCTAGTTAGGCGTCGAGCTCCTGTTACGACTGAGCAGCACCGTTCGAACCCTCACTCTGAGACAGACTCGGGCTGGCACCGGTCTTGAGATAATGTTCCAGCTCGCCAAAGCGCTTGCCTCCTTGAATCCAGCGCTGTCGGTAATTATTCCTTCGCTGTTCAGCCAGCTTGTTCATCGTCGGCCAGTAGACGGAATGGTCATATCGGAACTCCACGTCGCCTCCCACGGATTTTATCAGATGACCTGAAGGTACATGCTGGCGCAGGTCTTCGTTGAACTTCAATTTCTCCCGGGTCAGGGGGTCAATGAAGGGAGTGATCAACTTGAAAAAGCCCCAGATGACGAATGGCACTGTGGACCACTACCGTTAGACAGGCGCAGGCGAGCGACTAGCTGGACCAGGAACACTTACCATTAATAACCAACGCCCGTCCCAGTCGCTCCGGATAGTGATTCTGGAGAATACTGAGAGTCTGTTTAGCCTGACCGATGGTCGCGTTCTGCCCGGATTTTGTTTCATTGAAGTTCACAATAAGCGCCAAAGTCTCCTGGTCTGGGCCCATTAGGTCAATGACCCGCTCCAGCATGAAGACCAGGTGCTCGACCTGACGATCACTTCTCTCAGTATTTTGCTTGGATGGTAGGAGGTAGAGACATGGCCGGCCATGAATATCATAGCCTAGAATCACCTGTTTGCCCGTTTCGTTCTCAATCGAGATGTAGTCCGGGGTCAGTCGTTCCAGGCCGTATTCGCGACGCCACGTGAGGGTTCGCTGAAGCCGTGCGATAGCTTCAGCCACGTGCCATTTCGTTGCACGGAGATACCGCAACAGACACTCGCGGGTCAAGAACATGCGTTCGTCGTCTGTCAATGGTGCCGTGGGAGCGTTCTTTGCAGACGTGGTTGGGACACTTGTCCATTCGGAGACAGCCTTCAGGACCGCTCCATATTTGGTCTGCTGATCAGCCGTGAGCTGAGCGGGAGACGGTGTCTTTGCTGTGTCAAGAGGTCGAGGGAAAGGCTTCTGGATGAGCCCATCAGCCGCAGAAGATGGGAGCTCCGATTCGATTCCTTTCTGGTCATTTCCGCCCGCGGATTGAATCTGCGCGCTCGCTTGCGCTGTGGTCGCAACAGACTCCTGATTTTCAACAGGGTTCGACGGAGTGGATAAAGCTGGAGTAGTGGCTTGTGAGTCGCTAGCTGGAGCAGGAGCAACAGCGGGAGAATCTGACGGTGCACTCATCGTGATCAAGGTTATGCTTGGAGATCCAGCTCTCCTTCTTCTGTCAGATTAGATGAGACTTATCACTTTGGGAGCCGTGGACTGTAACACAGGCAGAAACTTTTCGAAATTTATTCTCCGGCCCCGTTGTCTGCTCAGCTGCTTCAATAATAGATACGTTAGTTGCTGCGTAATGCCAGCCAGGCCTCCATCGAGATCGACATGGCCCACAGGACGATCTCGGGATAACAAAAGGCGGGACGGTACGAGGCAGTATGCCCTGATCCGGCAGGCGGTGGCACTTTAATGGGCATCACGTCTTGACGCGTCTCTCAACGCGTTTCCCCTCCAGTTTCAAACTGTGCGATTGCTTGATTATTTGGCCTTGACCAATTTCCGTCGATATTGATCGCGAGTTGGCTTTCTAATTACAATGACGGATATGGATGATGTCACTGCAGAGCTCAATGAGCTCTTTGCGGGCGCCTCGCCAGATGGACTGCCCAAGGATGTCCTTGCAGAGCTACAGTCCATACTGCGTGTTCACTCGATACCTCCTCAGGAGCTTTTCTACAAATGGGAGTCCTACTGCTTGAAGATGGGCTCGGAGGAGACCAAGCTAAATTTGGAGACGGTGCGACTTTTCAAGCGAGATGTGCAGGAGACCTTGGAGCGTGAAAGCCGAGGTCGGGCAGGCAGGCAGACGGAGAAGCGAAGCGCAGTGATAGCTACACCGCGAGCTGCAAACACGTCCGATGTATTTGGGATGTGAGTCATGACAGAAGTAACTATTCCGTCTTCTTTCTCGAAAAGGCTGACACGCATGGCTCTTAGGCTGGATGGACTAACCCCAAGTGCCCATGGTCGGACCCCGAATGGCGCAAACGGCTCAGCAAAACGCAAGTCAAACTTCGGATCGCCTTCGACTTTGAAAGTGGGAAAGGGCAATAACGACAGGTCTCCAAACTCGAAACCAGCCCCCGTGTCGGCGTTCGGCGGTAGTGCAGTGGACGGGATACAGTACGGATGATATTCCTGGAATCTTCAGAGTCTTGCTGACTCCAAGCAGATCAGTGCCCTTCTCAGAACGTCCGAACCCAGGCCAGACGCTGGAAACTCTTAATGCGCACCTTTCAATGCCGGAAGACCTGATGGTACCCTTTTCTGAAGCCAGAATCCGACCCACGGCGAACACCGATCTGAAGAAGTTTGGCTATAAACCAATGGCGATGCGAGTCGCCGAAGCATCTGAGATTTTGGACGACAGAATTGACGAGTTTACGGAGATGTATGAAAAACAATATGAAACGGGAGATATCAGCTTCGGCAGCGCGGCCACCCAGAGCACAAGTGAAATCATAGCTGTTGGACGTGTAGCTTCAGACAGCTTGGAAGGGAAGCTCAATACAGCATCTCTTGTTCTAGAAACGTCAAGACGCACAGGCGCTGGCTTGCGAGTGCCATTGAATCTAGACTCGATACCATCGGCGAACTTTTTCCCCGGACAGATCGTTGCGCTCAGAGGGATCAACGCTTCAGGAAATTATTTCACCGTCAAGGAAGTGCTCTCCCCACCTCTTCTGCCGCCTGCCGCATCTTCACCCGTGGACATAGAAAGTATCAACCAGAGGCTAGATGAAGCCGGCTCTTCGTCTCCGCTGAACGTCTTCATTGCATCTGGACCATACACGGCGGACGACAATCTCGGATTTGAGCCCCTTCAGGAGATCTGCCAAAAGGCTGCCGAAAGCTACGCAGACAGTTTCGTTCTAATGGGACCGTTCCTGGACATCGAACATCCTCTGCTCGCGTCGGGCGATCTCGACCTTCCAGAAATCCAAGGAATTGACCCTGACACTGCTACTCTGACAACCGTCTTCAGGCATTGCATTGCCGCCCCGTTGCAGAAGCTCGCTGCCGCAGTGCCCAGCATCACGATTGTGATGATCCCATCTGTTCGGGATGCACTGAGCAAGCACGTCTCCTGGCCGCAGGAGCGATTGCCGAAGAAGGAGCTGGGGCTCCCAAAGCAGGTCCGGATGGTCTCCAACCCAGTGACATTGTCCTTCAACGAGACTGTGATTGGAATGTGCTCGTATGACGTCTTATATGATCTGCGAAGGGAAGAGGTCCTGCATGGCAGACCCAAGGAAGGCAATCTGCTCACACGACTGCCGAAATATCTGATCGAACAGCGACATTTCATGCCCCTGTTTCCATCTACTGCCCGTGAGAATCTCCCCCGACCGGGAACCGAGAACGGAACTGCGACAGGGGCGATGCTGGATGTCAGTTATTTCAAACTAGGAGAGTGGTGGAATGTGCGGCCGGACGTGTTGATCACGCCTAGCTTGCTGCCCCCCTTTGTTAAGGTACTTTCTCCATTTGGTCCCTTCAGTTGACCCTCCCTATTAACAGCTCAACCAGGTTGTCGACAGCGTTCTTGTGATCAATCCCGGCACGCTATCGAAACGACGCGCAGCAGGGACATATACACAAATGGCGATCCACCCACGCGTAATAGCAGACGACGAACGCGAACAGAAACATCTCAGCCACAAGCTTTACGAACGAGCACGCGTGGACATCATCCGGATCTAAAAAGAAGATTGTACATAACCCGCCCCCGGCGTCTGGAAATTACGCATAGACATGACAATAATAATGACCTTGAATCCTTTCATCCATTGCCATCCATATCCATATCAAAACCACGAGATTTGTACTCCGTAAGACCAACCCCGAAACACCCACGCTCAACATAAAACCCATCAAGAACCCTCCGGCAAGTTGCAAAAAGCCCCCGTTCCCAGGATAAAAGAAAAAGCCGAAAGAAATTCACCGCAAACAAACCGTCCTCTTCCCCCCCATCAACCTCCCCGCGTCCTTAACCCTCACCTTCGCCCCCTTCTTCCCTCCACCCGCACCTCCACTCCCACCTCCAGCAACTAACCCCTCCAGCCCCAGATCCCGCCACACGGGCTCCCTCCTCCTCTCCATAGCCCTCGTGATCCCAAACGCCGCATGCTGGTCCGGCACCACGTCGTCCTCGTCCTCGGGGTTGGGCGGCTGGTACTGCGGCAGCACGTAGATGTCCTCGATGGGCAGGTACGAGGGGACGAGCGCGGGCGAGGACGAGCCGTAGGTGACGCCGTGGCTGTAGCCGTGCTGGTAGAGGTGGGAGGAGGAGGCGGAGGCGGTCAGGTTGGCTGTTTGCGAGGTGTGGGGGCGGGTGAACTCTTCGAAGAAATCGGCCAGTCGGGGATGGTGCATGTGGATGTTTGTGGGGGAGGAGTCTTTGCTCTGGATTGGGTTGAGATTGGTTAGTTGGGGGGTTTCTTTTTTGAATGAGAGGAGAGGGGAGGATGGTTGGTACCATTTTGAAGGATGGATTGAGAGAAGCGTTGTGGTTGACTTTGTGGTTGTGGTGGTGATTGAAGGGAGTGTAAACAAGTTGATACCGTAGATGGCAATATGGAAGAAGATGGTCATACCGATAAGATTACACTGCTCACCGCCTTGAGCTGTTCATGCCTCAGGCCACAACTGTCAACGGGGAAAGAACAGTCTACAGATATAGAAGTCAGTAAGCTATGGAATAGTATGAACTTTTCTAATTACCCGCTAACCGTTACAACAATAGCCGAACACCAGTACAAGGTGGAATAGATAATGAAACCCGGCAGTAAGAACCTCTACTAGCAATGAAAGCATGCAGATGCAGTCTCCGCAATCTACAATTTGTACCCTTTTGAATCGACGACCAAGATATATGGATCATCCGAATGCCCAATCCACTTGTTCTATCAACTTAGCCCGGAATAATTCAAGTTCAGCAAGCACAGCACGCGCACCAAGTGACCGAGTAGATGGTATCAAGATTGGTCATCACATGTTCGTACTCATCCGGTGAACGATGGGAACAGCGCTGGGGGGAAGACTGCCCATCTCGGTGACAACCATGTCAACATACTCGGCCGGTGTCACATCGTACATGATGTTCAGAAGCTGCAGGTTGGGGGTATCTCTCCAGTTCTTCAGAGGCGAGTCACCCTGAGAGACGGCATTGGACTCGGAAGGGATGGGGGCGGCAGCAGGTTTACCACCCTTCTTAGGCTCCGGCTGAGAGGCGGCGGCAGGATCGGGCAGATCTGTTACCTGCTGCAACGGCTGGGCCGTCACCAGTTCGTCCGCTTCGGCAATCTCGTTGACCACGATGCTGTCCAGAGCAACCCGGTCTGTGAACTTGACGCTCTCGCAACATACGATGACGGGGACCTCCACGCCGCCTGCACGCTCTTTCGCCGACATGGCGACCAGCGCCGTGCCGACGCGAGAGTACAGCCGGCCATTGCTGGTCATGGCGTGAGCTCCGAGGAACACCTTGGTGGCATCCTTGATGGCATGGCTGGTGCCGTTGATCAGCGAGTACTGGATGTCCAGGCCGGCTTTGGCCAATGTCCGCGCCATGTTCTTGCCTTCAAACAGCGGACGAGAATCGATGATCGATACCCGGAAGTTCTTTCCCTGTTTGTGTGCGGTAAGAAGGGTTTGTTTGACAATTGAGCTGCCCGCATAGGTCACAATCACATCGCCATCTTGGATCTTCTGTGCGGCGCTTTCAGCAATGACCTGGTCCGCAACCGTAATCTTCTCGCGGATGAAGTTGTCAATGAAGTCGCTCAATGACGCCTTGGCACTCGGCTCTGGGATGGACGGATCGATCGAGGAGATGGCCAGCTTCAGCGCACGGATAGCGTTTCCCTGGCTGATCGATAGAGGACGACACGTAGAAAGATAGGTGATTTGATGGGACAGGTGGGTAGTCAAGTGACGAGCCAGAGAGGTGCCCAAGGGGGTTGTGTAGGACTCGATGACCTGGAGAAAGACAAAAGCCAAATTAGCACCCAAACCAGACGACTCCCAAAGAAGGAGTTAAGAAAAGAACATACCCGCTTGAACGCAAGCAACGTTGCAACACACCGCGCACTGCTCCCACAAATCACATAATCCCTCATCTGCAACCCCAAAGCCAACACAGCGGGATGCACCTCCTTCCCAGCCCCGGCAACCGTTGTCCGCCGCTGCTGTCCATACAAGTGCCCGAACACAGCCACGCTCTTATCCTCCTGCTTCTTCTTCTTCTCCGCAGCCCCGCCCGCCTGCCCAGACCCGCGACGCGGCAGATGTTTCGATCCCTTCTGCGCCTGCGCGGCCGCCGAGTCCTTTGCTCCCGCGCCACTGCCACCAGCACCAGGCTGACCCTTCCGGGCAGGGGTACTGGGGCCCTGAGCCGGCGCTGCACCGCCGGTCTGCTCGCGCTCCGCCCTCTCTTTCGCCCTGCGGGCGGTTTTCTCGGCCTTGGCTCGCTTCTTCAGTTCGGCGGGGGAGAGTTTCTCGGCCCCGGCGCCGGCCTGGGCGGTGCCCTCGGTCGAGGACGCGGCCTCTTTCGATTTCGTGGGCTGTTTGGCGGGTTTTGATGCGCCGTTCGCGGCTCCCTTAGGATCGCGGGGCGGTTGTGGTTGTTGTTGCTGGGCTTGCATTTCGGACTTGGGTGGTGGTGCTTGTTTTTGTTTTTGTTGCTGCTGCGCGGGCGCAGATTCTGGTGTTGAAGAGGGAGCAGGCGTCGCCATCATGGCTTGATTCAGTCTAGGGCGATAACGAGGGACGAGAGGGGCATTGGAGACTTTTCTTGGTGGTTGTGGGGGTGAGGAAAGTCCGGCGGATCAAAGCCCAAAGGGAGTTGAGTCAGATGGCTCAAAAGGGTAAAGGCCAAGGCTGGAACTAAGGCGGCCCTAAAATTCAGGCTGCATATGGAATCTAGTGTTGGTTGACTGCAGCATAGGTTCACTGCTATGTACTTCGACTGAATCACCCATTCGAGCAGTATTCTAGAAAAAGTTGTAGTAAAAAAAAAAGAAAAGTACTCATTGGTTCATTATGATCATCTCGTAAACCAATTCATCACACGTGTCGTACTGACATAGTATCATCTCGTCGTTTCTTCAGGCAGCAAAGAATACAATACACAACGCTGCAAACAAGAATAGAACAAAAATCCACCCAACAAATGCTACAAAAATCCATCATCAAAGGCGCATTCCGAGGGTATCAAGGTCAGGCATCGTCCATATTCCCTCCATTAATTCCTTGAGACTGGTCTTGAAAACGCAGAATCAACGTGAACTCCACGAAACTCCAGAGCCCAAAAACTCCAGCATGTTCTTGAACAACAAAAAGGCACCCTGAAATCGTTGCAAAAAGCTGAGCATATTAGCGATTATTTGCTAGGACCTCTTCTAGCGCGCGACGTCGCTTCCGAGTCTCGTGCTTCTGGATGAAGCGGAATCGGTCATGGTCGGAAGCCAGTTTGCGTTTGAAGACGTCCAGATCCACCAGCAAGTCTTCCATGTCCGCCTGCATCTCCTGTGCTTTGATCTGACTGGCCTCGATCCGTATAGTATCATCCTCTTCCCAGATGAGGTCGGGCTCCGGTTCCACATCAGAACTCGGTGATCCAGGGCGGTTTTCTTTATCCCCGTCGGTAGAATTACCGTCTTCTTCTTCCAGGGAGAACAAGCCGCTTCTGCGCTTCTCGATGGTGACTGGAGGAATTGGATTCTTTAAACTGTCCAATGCCAGTTTCAGATGGTTGCGAAGCGCTTCGTTTTCCGTCTGCAGTTGGCGAATCTTGCACTCGCTAACCATCTTTGTCTCCTCCATCAGCCTTTGCATCTTCTCCACCTTCTGCTGATAGACTTCGAGTCGTTCATTCTGAATCTCAGTCTCTCTTCGATTAGCAGTAGCCAGACTGACGCTAAGCTGCAGGGCCCGAATCGTCTCCGCCATTTCTGCGATCTGTTTGTCACGCTCCGCCGCAGAAACATGATCCTGGTTGACCCTGGCACGAGTGCGTATGCGCTTGGCTTGGTCTGCGTAGCGCAGGGTGGAAAGAGTTTCCTCATAGTCCGACGGGGAAATGCACGCAATCATGGCGGTCTTCGAGTTGCCCCCCAAACTATCCTTGAGCAGCCACGTCAGGATTGAGTCCCGATATGGGACCACATCCTTCCCCTTGCGCTTCCCAGAGCGACCGTGTTTGGGATCGGCTAGGGCTGCAATAACCCGGCCCAGGGTGGTGAGCGACTTGTTGATATTAGAGCCCTCTCGGAGTCGTTGGCCCGTGGCCTCGGTGGATTTGGCTCGTTCGGACCCGGCGAGATCTACCAGACGAATTCGTGCTGTACGCTCGGTCGTTTCGTCTGTTGAAAGATCATGGTGCATCTGTTTTAGAGTAATAGTAAAGACGGCGTGCGATCTGGAAGAGGTATCGTTCATTTTTGTACTCGCAACAGTGCGAGACACATCGCCCTTCCGCATATACTTCATCAACTCGGTGAAATTTCTGGCAGTAACCTCCGTCAAATCTTTGACATACGGGCCCTCTGCGGGCGACTCGCGAATGCGGAGATAATGAGGAGGATCTGTTCGGGGGACCAACAGATCACGGACGTGTTCGTTGTAGACCTCAAAATAAGATACACGGACGTTGTAACTGACATCAGGCGACTCGGCATTCTCGATGCGCTGAAACAAGTCCTCGCAAGTCCGAGGAATCAAGCCGGGCTGTTCGGGCGTACCCATCATGGTGTAACTCTTTCCAGAGCCAGTCTGTCCGTACGCGAAGATGCAAGTGTGGTATCCCTCAAAGTTGTGGTCCAGGAACTCCTCACCTAGACAATTGTAGACGTCTTCCTGGTGGGCGTAGTGGTCATCATTAACATCGTGGGACCAGAACGAGTTGTCGAATACAAACGCCTTGTCCTCCAGGATCTTGCCGCGAGCCTGAGACTTTGGTTTTCCTTCATCATCGGGGTGAATTGCGGGCGCTCTCAGCTTGGTCATCTGTGTGTTTGGATCCATCGATATCAAGCATTCGGCATTGCGGTCGGTTTCTGGTGATACGTAACAAGGTTAGCCTGGACTGTTGTTGCATGTTTTCCCTCGGCTGTCGCGTACCTCTAGGTAAGAACTTCCTCACACGAACCACGACGCGAACGTTACCACCGGGGGAAGGACTTGAAACGCCATCGGCGAGTCTATTGGAGACAGCGACGCCTTCTCTGGCGCGAAGGGAGGGAGTCGAAGCTGAGGAACGCAGAGCAGCGGCGGAGGCAGAGGTCGACATGGTGGAGGGAGTGGTAATGCCTGTGCTGGCGGAAGCACCGCACGACGACGAGGAGATTAGAGAGCCAGGCCCAGTGCCGTGGCCGAGATGGTGGTAGAAGCGGGAATCCAACGCCATATCCTGACTGTGTTCCTTCAAAAACTGTGTAAACTGAGTAACGAGCTCGCGTGGCGTTGACGTAGGTGATGGTACATACAGACAATTGGGCCAGCGAAAGAAGGAAAGAAGGCAGCCACTTGCGAATAAAGCAGAATCGAAGAAATAACTTGTTGCAACGAATCAAACACTTTGGTGGTACTTTCCTTTTTCTCAAACAAAGGTTATAAGATTTAAATCAATTCAATGTGACTCCAAAAGCTGAGTCCTTTGACCATCAGGGGTTGTATTTCCCAGTATCGCTGTCTACATGGGGATCAACAGCGATGAACAACTGGCGAAGCTTCTGCGATGGAAATTAAAAGAGAGAAACACGCAGCAACAGCATCAGAGAGGAAAGGGAAGAAAGAGAATGATTCCAGGTCGCAGAGGCGATCGGGACTATGGAATTGAACCCACTGGAGGTGGAATTCCAACGGCGATGAAGCTGAAGGTCTCCAGGCATCGTTTGGATTTTGCCATAAATGGGTTGGTGGGGAGCCTGAGGCACGAGGTCCTGATATGCTGGCGTGGGTTGCCATAGCAATCAGGCTGACATTCCCGAATGTCCATCACTACAGATGCTTATGATAATGTCGATTCCAAGTTAATTGCGCTTCTTTGCAAGATCCTATGCCTTGAGTCAAAATTGTTTGGAAGCCTAATTTTTGAAAGTCTTTCTTTGAGGCCAGGAATGTCACATTTGCAACTACCAACATCTCGAAGGTTTCAACCGCTTTTACAAGCACCAGAATGATGGAGTCTCTACGGCGGTATACTTATGTATTAACATTATTTCGCGGCCTCAAAACATGAGACGAGGCAACTATACTGTCCTGCAAGAGTGACGCGAAATATGGGTCACTTTGGATAGGTACACACGATTCTCATTTTCCGATCCCGAACCAGTCACTTCAGGTGACCAGAATATTCAATCTCACGATCCCCAACCTATTTTGCGAAGTACGAAGTGTCTGCAGTGGCAGCGACATAGTCATCAGCCTCATCATTTCCAGGACGGTGGTCCTTCATCTTCCGATAGTCGGTGTATGAGTGGTCAGGCACTGGGTTTCCATCCCGATCCATCGAGGTCTCGAACTGCTCCACTGGCGTCCAGTCCTCGCCTTGAACTCTTGATTTGTTGGCACGCGATGCAGCCTCGTCTTGCATCCGACCTACCGCTTTGCGGTCCTGGGTGGTCTGGTTGCGTAGACGACGGGTCTGATCGTCTTTTTCGGGGAAACGCATGGAGGTGTCAGTTTTCGATGCCGGCATTTTGATGGATTGATCTGATCTAAGGTATCAGCAAGGTCCTAACGATGCGCGGTTTGGTCTTTTTCTGAGCACACTCGGCTCAAGACTACGCGAGAGCTTACCAAATTTGAACAGGATATTTTGAATATAATTGTGAATTTGAATGACTTTGTTGATTATTCAGTGTGAGTTGGACCTAAAGGAGGGACACTGACTTGCACTCTATATATCATAGGAAGTCCCCTCGAGGAGTGGCGTTAATGACACGACGATGACGCCGACACTCAGCAGCAACAGCCTCTCCGCACAAAAGATATCATCTGTGGCCATTGCTTTGGAGCGGGTCATTGTGCCACTGATTCTTCGATATTCTGGAACGGGAGGTGATATCATGGAGTCCATGAGGTCGTCCCGCCTCTTCGGTCCAGATATGAAATCGGGACTGTTGATGCTTTCCTCGATGGAGAATGATCGTGGAGTGATCCGAACAGACCTTTCTCTGTAAACACAGACCACAGTACTTAGCGCGGAATGATCTAAAGAATCTGCAAGCAGCAGGCCTAGGCTTTCCTCACTGATGATACTCCAGTGAAGTACTCTTGGCGCCATTTTGATAAGTTCGTCAGGTCCATTGTCATATGCCCGGAAGGTTTGGCTTCTAACGTGGTTGCTGCCTGGATGCCTGAGACTCATGAAGTCATTCATTGTGATCATTGCAACCAAGTCTCCAGCACAAACTGATCTCTTTTCTTTCTTATTGATCTATCTAAACAGGATGCTCTAAATCAAAGTATACATTCTCAGCGATTTCTATAGACCTGAGCTATGTTCAGCCCTATGATGCGGGGACGTGGGCCTTATCCACAGGCTTATTCTCTGAGAAGTCCATATCTATTAGTATTATCTAGTCCATACTCCAGACTCCATACAAATTTCATTTTAATCACCTCTAGCCTCGGCTCACTCTCACTAATCATTACTCATCTTCCTAACACGAACGCGTTACAATGACAAATGAAATTGATCAATTGGCATGGCAGATTTCGCAATCAGGGCAGAAACACGAGGCCATTCCTGAATAGCTTCTTAGGCAGCGAGCATCCTGCCAAACTCGTCATAGCTGCAGGACCGGACTAGTAGTAATCCGTATCACAATTCACAGTTGTAGTTTAGTCCATCCAGGTGCCAGTCGGATATTATCCGTGCCTGCTATCTTCCTTTCTCCTGCATGTTGGCTGCAGTGCAAAAATTCTGCACTCGGAGGATTAGGGATTTTGTCCGGTGTGCTGGGCCTGCTGGTTATATAGTAGCAGCCTAGCAGGGCTGACAATCGTTTCACTCTTTTGCAACCTTGTTTTATTTGATTTTTTTGTTTAATCTGTCTGGTTTTTTCTTTTTTTTTTTTTCGTTCCCGAAGCAAATAACCAACACAATGGCTGATAAACCCGGCGACGCGCCTGATCTGGAAGCCCGCGCTGCGCTGGAGACGACGCCGCCGCAGCAGCAGCAGCGCTCGCGCCTGACCTTTGCACAGCGCTGGGCACAACCCGTGGACGTCAAACATGCCGACCTGATCTGTCTCCTCCTGTGTCTGACCACGGGCCTCTGCGACAGCAGCGCCTACAATGCCTGGTCGTGTTTCCTGGCCATGCAAACGGGTATGGACTTCCTTGACTCACCTTCCTCTTGGCCCCCCCCCCGACCCCGCACCCCACTGCATCAGCAAGAAACAATTAAAAAGTACTTCCTCCATATTAACCCAAGGCCACGCAGGAAACACCGTCTTCCTGGGCCTGGGCGCCTCCGGCCAACCCACCTCCAAACCCTGGGGCTGGCTCAAATCCCTCACCTCGATCGCATCCTTCTTCGTCGGCGCGCTGGTCTTCGCGACCGCCACGCGGCACGCGGGCGCCCGCCGGCGCGGCACCCTCTTCTCCTCCTTCATGGTGCAGACGGTGCTCATTGTGATCGCGGTGGCGCTCATCGAGGCGGGCCTGATCCCGCACACGAGCGAGGACGCCAGCCTGACGGGCGGGCGGCTCTTCCTCGAGCTTATCCCGATTGCGCTGCTGGCGTTCCAGTCGGCCGGGTCGATTGCGTCGAGCCGCGCGCTGGGGTATAATGAGATCCCGACGGTGGTGCTGACGAGTGTGTATTTTGATGTGGCGTCGGATCCGAAGCTGGGGGAGGCGCCGACGGGGAATGCGAAGCGGAATCGCCGCGTCGGGGGAGTGGTGTCTTTGCTGGTTGGGGCGATTGTGGGCGGGTGGTTGAGTCGGAGTAGTGGTGGGATGCAGTCGGCGTTGTGGATGGCGGCTGGGTTCAAGTTTGTGATTGGGGTTGGGTGGTTGTTTTGGAGGGCGGAGAGGAAGTAATCGTTTTGTAGCCTGTTGTATATAAGGGAGTTGTAGATACTTAAATACTAGACATAGAGGTAGAGTTCTATATTACTAGGGTGAGATATATAGCTTACCCTTGATTGACCATGCATCCCATCCTTATACATACTAGGTTATAGTTATAGCAAGGTTAGCCCACACAGTATAACCTGTCTTTATAAGCCCACCTCCCTCTTCTGTATCTCAGAGATCATATACCCAGTAGTCAGTCCTACCCACTAGGTACACTACCTAGTACCACAGTATACAAAAGGCCAAATACCCCGCCCATACCAACCGCCAACCAACCGCCAACCAACAAAGTATGTACTCTGTATGTACTATGTAGACTGAGCCGACCTGCATGGCACGCCCTGCACCCTCCCACCATTCACCATTCATTTACTACTCCGTGGATCACCCACTCCCCAAGCCCAGCCTGGTAGTAGTTAGTCCAGCCCTAAAGCATGCAGCCTCAGCACACAGCATGCATCTGCATCTGCATCATGCAGGGCGGCCAACAATCCAACCTACCCTACCCTACCCTACCCTACCCTACTCTAACCTGTGACCTGACCAGTAGGCAACTACCCAGCAACCACTGCAGCAGCCAGTAATCAGTAATCAGTACTCCGTACACTGTACCGCTAATGCAATAAGATGTACGGAGTAGAGTAGAGTAGAAAGTGATACTTGCAGTGCCGCCCCCCCTCCCTCTTCACAAGTCATAAGTCACAACCCCATCACTGGCTGAGTCGCTAGTCGACGCTACTCGCTAGGGGTGTTCGATAGTGGGTTCAACCACCAACGTCCATGAGATTAGTGTGGACTGTGGACTGTGGACTGTGGACTGTGTGGTAGATAAATCTCCGTGTTTGATTCTGCAGCTACGGCCGTGTCACATGGAGGGCGCATGAACCGCGTCAGATGATGTCAGAGAGATACCATACCCTAGGTACCTAGCTAGCTAGCTTGAGGGGGAGGGGTAAGAATACTACTACGAGTCTACGACGCGAGGTACTCCGTAGTGACCGAGTTAACTACCTAGTACCTAGCTTAGCTGAGCTCCTACGAGGGGTAAAGATACGAGGGAAAAAGACAGTGATAGTAGTGAGAAAGTAGGTAAGGGTAGGTAAAATTCAAGTCTATCGGTACGATGGTAGTTGGTGTCTATAACGCTGGTCTTGGAACTGCACGAAACACACAAAAACAAAGGAAAAGATCAAGACAGCCGCGCTGGGAACGAACGAATGCAAACCAACCGTGCCCGAGACAGAAAGAGAGAGAGAGGAAAAAAGTCCGCAAAATGGTATCATCGAAGGATAAGAAGAGGTAGAAAATAGAAAACGGGCTCAAACCTGCATACGCAGTGAAACAAATGCAAACGACTCCCGCGCCGGAACACGAGCAAAACCCCCCGTCCCAAAAGAATGGAGTCGATGACAAGAAAAGCCCAGAAACCGGTGAGATGATTCGCGCTGATAGCGAAGAAAGGCCGCGCCGTCTGTATGTCCGCTGGTAGAGTATCTCAGAAGAATCGCGCAAACGAGCAAATCCAGTGCAACCCAAACGCGCTCAAAATGCATCCGACAAAGTCGAAGAGAGATTAAAACATGGTCGCCTGGCGAAAGGGGAGAGTCCAAACCCAAAAAGAAGAACAAAGGCCGACCGTTCGTCCGGGAGCGTCGTCCATATCTCGACGCTGATTATTGAACGAATAGAGAAACAGGATCGATAAGAAGTCAAGAAAAAAAAACCAAGAACTTTTTGTAGACCATCCCAGGATAAACCAAAGGAAATGAAGAAAAAAAAAAAGAAAATCGCCTCCCGTCTTTCGGCTACCGACCTAGGCAGCAGATGGTTTGCGTAGAATCTCCTCGCAGTTGGCGTCAAACCGCATGTTCCATACACGGATGCTGTTCATCAGCTTCTCCGTGTTCTCCAGCTCGCGGTCACGCCCGAAGATGGACTCGACGAACTCGCAGCCGGCATTGCGCCCCATCGACACGGGGCCTTTGCCACCGTTTTCGCGCTTGGCGGCCTTCCACATGAACTGTTCACAGGTGCGCAGCAGTTTCTTGAATCGCGACCACAGGCGCTCGCCACTCTCCAGGAAATCCGCCACGACCTCCTGCGCCTCGGACCGCTTGATGCGATCCAAGCACTCGTCTGCGCGCTTCACTTTGCCCGCCAACTTGATGAGCAGCAACCATAGGTCGCCAGCGACGTCGGCCATCGGGGTTGAGGCGCCGTGGTGGAACACAGTCCAGTCGTAGATCCACTTGCCCAGCGAATTCGCATCGAACACGCTTCCGAGCAGGATGATGGGCGTCTCGGTGGGGTCCCAGTTCTTGATTGAATAGCCCGCCGGAATCCCCTCGCGCGCGGCGTCCTCCTCGGTCGCCTTGGGGGCGGGCTTCGCGGTGGCAGCCGGCTTGGGCTTGGATGGCGTGCGGGTGGAGGTGGACTGGCGACGCGCCCGGGAGCGCTTGGGGGAATCTTGGTCGTCGTACGCAGGGGCCTGATGAGGAGAAGAATATTGATCAGTGGGTGGCTTTGCCTTGCGCTGAGACGAAGACGGAGGGCGACGAGAAGGCTGGCCGTAGCTGTCCCGCTTGGGTGTAGCGGGCGGGCGCTCGGTTCGGTCATCCAACACATCGTCTACCACATCCACAAAGATGGAGGAGCGTTTCGGCTGCGCCGATGGATGCGGTATCTCGTAGTGATAATAACCCCCAGACGAATAACCGGTGTGGCCGGCCGCCGTGGACATGGCCCGGCGACGACCACACGAGGGATAGCCACCAGAGAAAGCACTTACAGGATCGTGCTTGCGCGGCGGCGTTCCATATTCGGGCATCGTTTCATAGAAGCTCTGTCCGTACCCGGAGTGCCATGCGCCCGTCTCCTTGGGGGCGGCGTAGCTGGCTTTGCGGTTGTGGCGCTTCGAGGGGCCGCGAGGAGACCCAAAGGGACTCGCGAACTGGGTCGCATAGTAGGCATAGTGAGGAGAGGTCGGGGGAGAGTTCATGTAATCGAACGAGGCCCACCCGGGTGGTGGTGTAGCGTAGTGATACATTATCGACCGAGCATGGGCAACACCGCAGCTGTAAACAGAATTTGATAGAGAGAAAAAAAAACGGGAAGCAGGGGGCGTAAGGGGGGGAGAGGGTATATATTTCCCGCAAGCAAGAAGTTCAAACAGACCAGAAAACACTTGCTATCAGACGAGAGAAAAAAAAACTGGCTCAGAAACAGGAACAACCCAGAAGAGTAATATTATACAGGATATCGTTTCGAAGCAAGCCGATCGACGCCGGATAAACCGAGATAAACGAAAACCACACACACACACAAGACTCCAAGATGGATGAGAACCGTCACCGTGGTACGGTATGCAGGGGAGAGGGAGGTTGAGATTGTGTTGTCTGGAAGGGCATTTGAGCGTTGTCGGTCGACCGAGGTGGCTGCGTTGAAGCGGGATCAAGTATACGTTTTTTTTGGGGGGCGAATTGGTGTGTCAGTACTAGACACTAGGAGTAGTAGTAGTAGTTACTCAGTTCCTGGGACCCAGCTGGAAAACAAAAAAGTTCCCCTTCTTGGCAGCTAATGCAGAATAAAAGCCAGCTGCCGTCAAGATACGGAAAATATCTTGCTCGCGAGAACAAGATAGATATAGACAGATGGTGAGAAAGTGATGGAATTTGGGAACCCACAAAAGGGTGGTTTGTTTGGAAGAGTCGCAGTGTGTGCGCCCGGGGGAGGGAGGGAATCGAAGGGGTTTTGTACGAGTTTCAGTTTTGGGGGGAACAAGGACAGGTTAACTAACAAGGAATCAAGGCATAGCAGGTCGTGGCATTAAGCTGGAGCAGTGGGGCGGTATGGTTGATACTGGCGGTTTACACTACCTGTTATTGGTGGCTGTAATTATCAGTGGATTCAAGAGAATTCACAATTGGGCGAATTCCTGAACCATTTCAGGCCCAACCAGTAAGATTAGAAAGATGCTCATTCAAAAGGGGGGGGGGACTGGTTCACTCGACCTGCGAAGGACTTGCCAATTAAAATGCTTGAAGAGGGCAAGAATAGCAGAGAGAGGAGAGACTAGGTAGTTACGATGCTTTTATATCCTGGTTGGGAGGGTGAAGTTCAAGCTGGTTGATCTTTATGATTGAAGAGAAGAAAATAGAGTCATGAGCTCAACAAGCATAGTCATTATATGCTAGATCGAGTCATCTCAGTAGGAGGTGCCTGTCGACCTAGAAGGATGGTTGGGCATCGTATAGCGTATGGCAGTGTGAGTCTGACGGGTCAAATGCCCGCCTGTTTCAACAAAGAACAACCCAAGAATCAAGGCACTCCTAGATATCCACAAGGTATCTTTGTTTACTTGATAAGAGTCAAGTCTGTGTATGGGTTGACTCATAGCAGCGATATGCGTTCGAACACCATCTCCTCCATAGTCCACAGAGCATGGGGCAATATCAAGTTGCCATCCTGCTGAGAGCGTAGATATACACTGGAGCCTGGAGCCCGGAGCGATCAAACAACAAGGTCCTAACCATGGTTACTATGACTCAGTGAGAACATTGCCACTGTGGCTGAGCCATTATATTCCATCCAAGAACATCATCCTATGGATGCTGGTTGATCACAAGCTGAAGGCTTGAATCTTTTAATTCTATAGATAGACGGCCTCCTGGAAGATCGTGGCGAGGGGATTGCATCCACACGCAAGAGCGGTTACACATCGACAGAGCCATGAAGAAGACACTCAGCCTTCCGTGGGGATACGTCGCACCAGCCCATGTGCAGTGCGACAGGCTGTATCTAGTCTGATTGATGTTTATATAGTATATAGTATATAGTATTTGACTCCGGGAATCGCGTCGACTGTTCCACGGATACAGGGCGGGATACTCCCGTCACCATCCATGGTAAGCCATCTATCACTCGATTGACTAGCAGTAGACGCCATGGTACTTGGACGACATGTGAAGATGGCATTATTATTATTATTATTATTATTATTATTGAAAATCCAGGGTGAACAGGCTCCAAATCCAAAAGAAAGGTAAATTGGGTGATTTGATTGGGCTGCAGAGGGTTAATGGGTGTTACCGCTGTGACCTGCTGGGCAGCAACCCAGCAAGCAGATGGGCAGACCGCAAGTTCATTTCTTAGAGGGGAAAGTAAGAACAGCAGAATAAAAAAACTCTAAACTCCTTGAGAAAATCTCGCTTGCTCAGGATTTCGTCAGGAAAGAGTTAGAACTTAGAACAGTCTGGTTGGTGGCAGACTGTTGGATCGTACATGTCTAATGTGAGTCCCATATGGATTTGCATATTGTCCATGTCGCACTTGCAGGAGATGATTATAGGCCACGCACTCTCTACCATGATGATTAATTGCGTATTGGAATCAGCTTACTATTTGACAGTAAGCGACAACCAATCCCGACAGTCATCTTTAATTTTTCTAGAAGACGTGCTTACGCCCACCGGGGCTTCGTAGGATGCATACCCCAAGTCCAAGTCAAAAAAGAACAGAATCCCACAGTCCCACTATTGAGCTTCCATCCCAGCCTTCTACTCGCCTCGCCCAATCGAAGCTCGGTTTCTATAAATCTCTCATCACGGAGTGGTTGGATCAGTCATTAGATATCATTTCCATTTTTTTGCGACTTCAGACCGGGCCAGGCCTAGACTACTGTCTAGTGTCTACAGACTACAGTACTTCGATATCAGTTATTAACTTACGTAGTACTAATATTACACTTTGATCTCCCAGGGGTCTTTTCAATGTCGCACAGGGCGTTCTATCTAAATAGTTTCCAGCCGAGTTGATTACCCCGAGTCGCAAATAATGCGCAATGCCCTCATCTTACGCCGTATCTATCCCCCCCCGTACGGAGTCCTTAGAATGATAATGATGACAAGATAGATAGTCTAGTACCAATTTATGAATAGGTAGTGATCATCCTCGTTGAGTCAGTCAAGACCAATGACCACTAAGAAGTACACTGTAATAGCCCTGTCCTTGTAGCGTCGGCGTCAACGGCTCCGGTGCATGAATCCTTATTCCTTACTTACTAGAGAAGTTCCCTCGACTTCCCCGTCGTTAGTGCACGCCCTCACCCCGTAAGACAGACGTAGGCGACAAATTAAGCCCTTAGCGACATCTCGGAGTTTATCTGTGTGTGATACTGTGATAGCTAGCTAGAACTGTAGATAGACTAAGACGACCCCCCAAAGTACCATGCATTAGTTAGTTGCAGAGGTGGTGAGAACTGGTCTTCAGAGAGTTCATGCCTGTGTACTCTGTACTCCGTATGTACACAGTACATACAATTGGTACATACCTACTTCGTAGACATTCAAGAACTTCAAGGGCTTGAAAATGTGTGTTCACACTGGTCTTTGGTTGATCGCTGGATTCTCTCCGAGCAGCTCTCGAAATACGACAAGACAGAGAATCAAAAAAGCCCATGAGCAGAATTTTCACTCCCCCCTTGCTCCATCAGAGACAATCCATCAGAAATACCTCAGATTATCTCTCAATCCGGAGGATTATTCTTGATTTTGATTGATTAATATTTGGAATCGTTTTAATATCTGCCCGTGGCTTGTGGGTAAGATCAGAATTAATGAAATGCAGTCTTCTTTTTTTTTTTTTTTTTTTTTTTTTTTTTTTTTTTGTTACTGCTTATTTGACTCCAGCCCTCTTCCGTACTCCGTATGTGCACGGCCTGCTGGCATTCAAGTCGGTACTCCGTAAGAATGGTAAAACCTCTCTGCGAAACCTGCTTCTGCTTACTTGATCTCCTAGAAGCCCTACATACCATATCCTCACTCGGATGGGGATTTCCGCACATTCACACGAGATGGGGAATCCATGCTTTTACTGCTCGAATATGTGAGCCTAACTCCATACCAAGATCAAGCGTTGATACTCAGTGGTGTACACTGTAGTCTGTACAGTCAACAGTCAACAGTCAAACAGGCTGGGCTGTGATTATGGCTGTAACTGTCAGCGCGCCTGGAATGATAAACTCCGTTCTCAGTTGGTATGTAGGTAAACCCATGCCTGTATCCCTGTAGTTAAGTCATACTTACAGAGGACATACAGAGTACTCCGTACATAGTAGTAAATGTCTCGGCATGTTCCAGTTCGTGACTCATGTAATCTACTGTGTAGGGCTCTGGGGGCAGCCCTTGCCCTATGCCCTATTCAGGATCAGGATCATGCTCGCGTAGGTAGATACATAGATAGTGTAGATACTTGATAGGATGTGATATCATACTGGAGTGGACTTGACGCTTGACAGCGCATCGTCGCAATATATATATATATATATGAAAAAATAACAGTCCGTAGCCACAGCAACTCCTCCTCTCTTGTCTGTACTCTGTAGTGATTGTACTACGTACTATGTAGATACCTACTACTCTGTAGAGGAGACTGCAGACTGGAACTGCCCCGCAGACATCCACAGAGTGGAGGTCCGGTTCTACTCTGTAGTCTGTACAGAAGTATCGATGGATATATCAATCTACCTGCCGTTATCTTTCTGGGTAGAGATCCGCTATACTGTGTACGGACGGAGTACACTTCTTCGAGATTGCTCTGCTGGAAGTACAGCAGCAGTGACGTGTAGGATCCATCGATCCATCCCCCCAGCATAAATAGTAGGTTATTCACGCCCTATCTCCACGAACAGAGCCAGTCAGGATCGCTGAACCACCGACCAATGGGCTCGAGTACCAAGTACCAAGTACCAAGTGCCAAGTGCCAAGTGCCAAGTGCCAAGTGCCAAATACCGACTGTGAGGATACGGGTATACTATCTAGCTACTACTAGGTATTGAGTTCTGCTGGGCTGCGTTGCATAAGGCATCAAGAAAAAATCCGCTCCCGACTCCCTGACCCCGCAGACGATCCCATAGAGTCGGGGCAATGGGAGGCTGACAGCTGGCTGGGCTTTATTTTCTGGAATATCATTACGGAGTACCTAGACTAGACGACGAGTAGGCTAAGGGTGGGAGTAGATTTAGCTCGGGTTGCTTTATTTGAGTTTTACGGGTGCGATGTATCGAGGGTGTGAGTGGGTTGGTTTCTGAGATCATCGCTTGTTAGCGGGCTGATTTGGCTATATGCGTCTGACTCGGATCTTCATGGGGATAGTTGATAACTAATATACAAGATATGCTGCGCAGGCGGGGGCACTAACAACCTCATCGCTCTCCCCTGCACAGCATGCACACTTGCAGACGCCTCTTCCGACTCTCATGCATCGCATCCATCGCATCGCGTCATTTGGATTGATCACAGACGACGCTGCTGTGTCCGCAGCATGGCGATCAGACATACATGCGTACCAGCACACACTCGCTGACCATGCCCGGGAATCCGAGGTGCGTCTGCCGGGGCAGCAATAGCTGCGCCACCGGCTTTTCCAGATGATCCTCGAAGGGTGGAAGAAGATTTCGCGCGGCCCTGGCGCATCTTTCGGATGCGAGACGAAAATGAGGAAGCTGCGGCGATATCGATGCCGCCGCCCAAGATGCACAGCTGCGCGGCTTGGCCCCGCGCCACGGCTATATGTACATACTTTTCAGCCTTACATGAGACTTGTCATAGAGCGATGGGCTCATGTGATCATCGAACCCCGCCTGCGCCATGTCGAGGGCCATGCTGGATAAACCGAGTGTCAGACTGAAGCCCAAGAACGTATCGAACCCTCATTGCTTCGCAGGGATTTGGAAGGCGTGGGATAGTGGATAGAAGGGTGCTGTCAACTAACATGACGATATTGGGCGAGACGAGCATCCATAAGCCATATCCTTTCCTGTCAAAGCATCGGGTAGTGCCCTATCCTGCTAGCGGGCGCAGGACCCAAAATCGATCGAGGTGGGATGGCCGAGTTGCGCGAAAGCAGATCATTGGCGAGAATGATCAGCAGTGAGCGACTGATCCGCAGGGTCCAATATGTGTCAAATCCAGTCTCAATCTCCTTGCTTCGAGATGGCAATCAATCGCCATGTGTTTCGAGGGTCTTGGCCATGATTTCATGCGAGAAAAGCCGATGTCGAAGGTGTCGCAGCCGGGGATGTTGCCAGATAGTCCTGCTGGACAAGTCAAGATCGCAGTTTTGAAGATACCTCCGATCTGCCAGGCATAAATCAAGACATCAAACATTTAACTTGTTGATCTGGATATTCGTGGTCGTGGATACATCAATTCATATCAACACATCTTTTCTGTCACACCCACGTCTCCAATCATAATCATTTCGCGCATCAATGCCGATCTACTATACCACAGGTCGCATATGGGTTAACGGCTGGGGCATGTCAAACCACCATGTACTCCCCCTCTGCGCGCTTGGCTTGCATCAACTCATGCCAGCGAAATCCCTGCCCTTGGGGCCCAGCCGCTGACATGTCATAACCATCAAGTTGTGAGACACCATATGGTGTACCTTCATTGTGGGAATTCTGTGCCCAAATCTTCTCTAGCAACTCGAGACAGGACAGATTGTTGAAGAATCCAGAGTCCTTGGAGATATCTTTGCAGCGCTGACGAATCGTGTGACGGTGGGTCTCCAGTACACACTCAGAGCCCGTGATGAAAAGTGGCCAGAGTAGATACACATCCGACTTGACCAGCGAGATATGGTGCATGGCACGCTGTACCAGGTGTTGGATGCGAGAGTGGCCAGATGACAGATCAGGATATGCGAGTCGTTCACTGTAGAGTATTGCCGAGTGGCGAAAGCATTCCGAAATGTGGTAGACATCCTCCACGTTCTGTGGCGCGACGACATACTGCGCTGACGGCGAAGACGGGGGAGACATGTAAGGGAGACGGGGAAAAGTCGATTGTACTGGATCGCTCAGGGAGGTTGATTCCCAACGTTGCGGTGCCATCCGCCACGCTTCTAATTGTTGCCGGAGGCCGAACCATTCATCCCAGAAAGCGGGAGACAGAGGTCGTTCGCTTCGATCAGTGGGTCGTATAGTAACTGGAATTGGGTAATTATGATTGCTGCCCATCCCAGGAACGTCCAGTGTCGGCACGCCGTGGACTATGGGTGGTGGTAGAGATACCGTCGGAACAAAGATATCCGGAAGAGCTGGCGTGCTGACCTCTTGCTCCTGGCTCAGAAGATTCAAGCGACCCAACTGCGCGATATACTTGAAAAGGTTGGCGTCGCAACCGGTCAGGTTCTCGAGACTCCATTCGCTATCAGATAACGCAGCAATCTCCAGACATGGCCCGCGCAGCTGTATCTCACGATCATTTGTGGTCGCAGCCATCGTGTCGTACCAGGCAAATACGCGAATGAACCATTTCAACTCATCAGACAAGATTCGAGAACCGCGCATTCGGAGCGCCAACAGCTTGGTTACCCCTGCGAGCTGTGTTTTGAACTGGGTCACCCCCGTATCGCAGGCATGAAAGAGACAGAGAATGAATAGAGTCGCTAGGACCGAATCTGATAACCGTCGACGTGGATCGGCCAGTTCCATATTCAATGCTTTGACCGCCAAGCCTCGATGATACTGTTCCTCACGAGCGAACCCTTCTGGAGTCAGAGCGTCGTGGCCATCTGAGCAAGCCCCTTCCGTCAAGGCTCGATGTGCCAGGGAAGACATGCGCGAGGGAAGGGTCCGATCTGTTGGCATGGTCTTGCTCTCTCTTCGTTGACGCAGATTGCTCGTGGCTAGTGTTGCAATCGCCTCCTGGAGCGACTCGCTATCCTGCGCTAATCGTAGAATATGAATGCGAAAGGGGTTCGTCGGGCTATCGAAGGCCACGATGACAGGCGCGATCACTTCAGCATAGTAGCTAATCAAGAATCGCAGGCGAGGGGTCCGTCCTACTGATCTCGCCAGGAGCATCTGAGAAAACGAGGGTGAATGACGGGCAATGGACCGAGGTTTCCTTGAGCCTGATTGTGTCTTGTGTCTGTCAGGTTCTTCTGTATCATGCGTTATGGACAAATTACGGGCGGGTAGTGTCTGCCATTGCTCTGTTGCGGACGTCAAAGCCGGGTTTGGCCGAGTGCCGATTGCCCAAACATCTTTCTGCGTATGCGGTGGGGGGGAGGGACTCGCAGACACGGTGAATTTCGACTGTGCATGCCAGGCATTTGTGTCAATCGTACGGCCAGCTTGATCTATTGGTATCGGATTTGGTTTCGGAGGAGGTTCCAAGGCTGGCAAACGGGCACCGGCCTGGCCTGCAATACCAGCAGTAGCAACGGGAGAAGAAATAGCAAATGTATAGGTGGTTGGTGACACGGTCGCTTCTGCCGCCTGTGCCGCTTGGGACAGTTCTCTCTCGTTCACTGGCGAAGGAGCAGAAGTATCCGGCTTCGCAGCGGGTTGTGCCCCAGTGACAGGGAGAGACAATCCCCGAAACTTCCCTCGACTAGCAACACCGACCCCCCACGTCAACATTGTCTTGTATCCCGAACAATCGCGTCCCCGGTCCAGACATTGCGAGCAATATGGGCGTCGTCGGTCGCACGACGATCCCTCCCGAGCACAAGTAAAACAGTCATCCGGTGCACCACTGACGACCGTTCTCTTTCGTCGTTTTCGGGGAGCAGGGGTCGAGGTTGGCGGCGACTTGCGGATGGGCGGTTTGCTGGCTGGCTCCATCCCCGCGAGTCACGGATCAGAAATCGGAGATGATCATGAATGTTGAGACGAGAGTCAGCAATTATCTAGCTGGAGATGCGGAGACAGCCCGCGATGTAAGATCCATCGACAGACTTCCGTCTCTACTTGGTATCAGTTTCAAGGAACGACGAATCAAGCAGGTTCTCCCAGTGTGTCCCTGGAGGAAAAAGGAAATAGAGAGCTGGTTGGTGGTTTGATGATGATGATGATGATAAAAAGCATTAAAATTGAAGAAGTCTAGTTTGATTCGGTCCAAGACCGCTTATACTAAGTGGGAGCCTCATGCTGTCAATTCTGGCGGGATTCACTTTATGGAGAAGACGAGGAGGAGTTGAGAAGCGATTCGACTGGACTCGACTCGAACTGAGCGACTCTCGGTTTTCCCCACGGTACCTAAGGTAGTGGATGAAGCCGCTATGACCTGCTATTTGCTCCTCCAGCCAATAGTGGATAGACATTGTTAATTCATGTGAAGGTCAGCAAACAAGCCATCAGCCATCAGCCACGGCATCATCATCACTAAGGAGCATGGAGATAATCAGTAATGAGGTTTACAGAGTAGATACCTGGGTAGTTGATACGATTTCCAGCCTGATGCATATTGCATGCATCATGAGAATACCTAGCATACAATGATACAGCATGGACGAATCGTCCAGGATATCGGTTCCCATGTGGGTTTGTTGTGAATTAGTACTAATGCATAATATGCTGCATCAGTATACAGCGACCATTGCTCCCAACTCCCAGAACAAGTCTATGGATGATATTATTCGAGTAACTTGGTCCCTAAATCTTATTCATTCCTCGTGTCTAATCATGGATTTTTAAAATAGCATTCTTCAGTATGTACTCCTACAAGATCAGTTCACCAGTAGACAGAAAGATGCCTCGGTAATGCTTTCTGGGCTATAGGAAGAAAACCAGGAATTAGCCCGCGAGTGGACTACCCGCAAGAAAGCACTTTTCAATGGACAGCGCCTATTGCTGCTAGTTCCTGGTTATCAAGGTATGTCTAGGACTACTTAATTGCTTGGAAGAGGCGTATCTATGAGGGTTGGGGCAGTAGATAGCTGCAGGCCTCGTCTGGATCTATCGCAGCTGCTACCAGCAGGCACATCAGACAATTCCTCCACTATAACATCTCACTGTGAAAGTGAACATTCTTCATACTTAACAATGAAGCGAGATAGAGATCTATCTAACAGTTAACTATTCCGTACTATGTACAGTACTACGGATACTAGTCAACGTATCTACTCCATAGTGGCTTCTTCACTAAGAGCTTGGCTGCTTTCTGTGGAACAAGGCTAGACCCAAAAAAAAGGGGGCCCAACAGGATTCTAGGATTCAATTCTTCAAATAATATCTAACCATCATTCTTCAGTCCTCTAGGTAGAACTGTTGAAGATCGTCAGATTGGTGATAACGTCCACCTAACATGCCCCAGCGTCCCTGATTATCTACTAGACCTAGACAGCAGGTTATCTAGTGGATCGTGTACTTGGAATCCTCCATCGAGATTGGCGTCAGACCCCTGACAACGCGGAAATAACAGTTTGTTTCACCACTCGATGTGCGAACGACGGGGTGGACGGTTGTCTTAGGATCTACCCTGCATTATCGTCATCTAGCCCGATTTTCGGCGTCGCATCATGGCGGCATTCCGGTTTGGCCGTTTGAGGTCGCTCCTCCTTGCGATGGGTGCCATCTTCCTGATTTCGACCTTCTATCTGTATTGGACTCCGGCACCAGCATCCATGATCCCCAGCACTGCTTTCGAAGTCCCTCTCACAGAGCGCCAGATTGCCTTTTGGAAAGTCCTCAAACCTATCCTAGAGAAAAATACCCCGAAATGTCCTCCCCCCACCCGCCGAGCCGATGCCCCTGCCATGCACTTCAACCCCAACGCCACCGACCCGCGACTCGATCTGATCCTCCTCAAAGAGAACGACCGAAAGGCGATGGAAGAAGCACATGCAAGCTATCTCCAGGATATACGAGACGCGAAACGCCTGCGACCGCCGCATACAACCGGGACCCGAGGCCTGGTCACGACGGCCGGGAAGTCCTACCTCCCACTGGTGGTTTCGTCCTTGCGGATGCTGCGCCGGACAGGATCCACTTTGCCCGCGGAGGTATACATGAAGGATGCGAGTGAATATGAGAAGAAAATATGCGAAAATGTTCTTCCCAGCCTGGATGCTCGGTGCCTGGTCCTTTCGGAAATCGTTGGAAAAGAGCCCATTGCGCATTATCAGCTGAAGGCGTTCGCAGTCCTCTTCTCGTCGTTCGAAGAGATCATCTGGATGGATGCCGACTGCTTTCCGCTCCACAAACCTGAAGAATTGTTTGAGGTGGAGCCCTTCAAGTCGAACGGCCTGGTCACTTGGCCTGATTTCTGGGCCTCGACTGCCTCGCCAGCTTACTTTGAACTCTCGCACCAGCCGATTCCACCTATGTCGGTCCGACAGTCGTCCGAGACCGGTATCTTCATGGTCTCCAAGAAGACAAACTACATCACACTCCTTCTCGCTGCCTACTACAACTACTACGGACCGTCGCATTACTTTCGATTACTGTCACAGGGCGCACCGGGAGAAGGAGACAAGGAGACATTCCTACAGGCAGCCGCTGCAGTGGGAGAGCCCTTCTACGCTGTCAGCGAGAGAGTGCAAGCTTTGGGTCACTGGAAGCCAGATAATCAGGGGCTCTCCGGCTCGGCTATGGCGCAGGCTGATCCGAGGGAGGACTATGCCCTGACTAGTCAGGATAAGTGGCGGGTACGAGATCCCTCTGTGGGGAAACCGCCGCGGGTCTTCTTCATCCACGCGCATTACCCCAAGTTCAACCCGGCGGAGAACCTTTTCGGGTCGAAATGGGAGACGGCCCCGACGCTTAAAGCAGATGGCTCAGAGGGGCGTGCGTGGACTGCGCCCGAAGATGTTGTCAGCCGGTTCGGATACGATGCCGAAAAGAATTATTGGGAGGAAATCAAGTGGCTCAGCTGTGATCCAAAGACGGAGTTCCGGACCTGGGAAACCAAAGCGCAGGTTTGCCAGCAAGTGGAGAGTTACTGGCAACATGTTTTTGCGGAACCACACCCGGATGACCCCAAATTTACCGATGAAGCTTGAATATCGAGGGCTACGAAGATACTGGAAGCATATTCCGAAAGCATGCAGCAGCGAGCACCTGCATAAGCTGAACCGCCTTGAGCGCGGGATCATGACATGCGAGTTCATTCCACATCGAAATGCTGTTCATGAGATGACGATTGATTATACCACCACATAGATTGTACATACATACTCTTTTTTTAATCTTGCCTGTACACTATTTTTTTGTCTACACCTTTTCAGCTAAGATTCGACATAGATTGGACAGACCATGAACTTATATAAGCGAGCCGTATCACATTCGTCTCCTGAGATGAGAAAAGAAACCTAAAATTACATTTGCTCATGAAGAGAAGGAGATATCCTGATATCCCCTGTGCTAGACATTATCGTATTCGGAACATATCACGCGCCCACAAGCCTATTTCTTGATCCCCTTCTCCCGCAACCGCTGATCATCCTCCTCCTGCAGCTCCTTATCGATCTTGGCTCCCTTTGAGGGTTCATGGCCGTGTCGGGTAGCCTATAACCGTCAGCCATCAAAAAAAAAAAAAAAAAAAAAAGAAACATCCGTTAGGAATACAGAAAATGGCAAACATACCGGAGCCGTGGGATCCCTCTTGCTCAGCGCCGCCTCAGGCTGGTAATTCGAGCTCACGCCCGAGTGCTTCTCCTGCGCTGCGAGCTTGTTGGCAATGCTGCGCTCATCCTCTAGTGAAGACATTATCAGGTTAGCTTTTGTTGGCCATTGTCACTGTCATTGCACCGGGAGGGGGGAGCCGAGGTGTGGCAGGAACATACTCGAGTCCAGGTTCTTGTGGCTCCCGCGCTGGCCCTCGTTGTAGCGCTCGCGCTCGTTGATGACGGACTGGGGCTCGTTGCGCTGGTCGCCGGCCTCGTAGATGGAGGGCTGGCCGACGCTGGACTGGCCGGCGCCGGAGTATGAGCTGCCGGATTTCTGGGCTCCGTACGGCATGTTGTTGGTGGGGTGTGTTTTGGGGGGTTCGGATTCTGCGTCTTGTAGTCAATCGAGGTTTGATTGATGGATATTGTTCATGGTGGGAGTTCTCGAGATTGCGAAAGGCTTCGTTGCTTTATAGCAGATGATGGGACGACGATGTGATGTCATATGGTCGAGGAGCTGAGATCATATTTGTGGGGCGGATGGACGAGGAGTTTCTGGGAACAGGAGGGAGAAAGGGAGGTTGTTTTTGTTCATGCGGTGGAGGAGATGATCCTGAGCTGGTTCGGTGGATGATGGTGTCATGGTGCATTTTTTGAGGTCTCCGTTCTGTATACCTTATCGTTGCAGCTCTAGTATACCGGCTTCTCCCTATGATGGAATTGACGTCGAGGGTCAATCCTATCTTGGTCATTCAAACACAAAGAACGATGAGATCAAAATATTATTTCTGAAGTCATATCCACTTGCATACCCTGTGAAGTTAGTTGCGTTTCTCTAACATGGATACAATCACCTCTACAATACTAACTCTTCTTCTCAATGGCCATGTTGATACTATCACCAAGACTACACCACACTAACTTACTTACGTTTCTGTCATAGCAATTTTCAAGCTGGTACTCGGCTCTTGCAAGTCGAATATTAATACCGAACCAGAAGGAAACCCATCCCATGCGTCCTTGCGATCCCTGATCACGATGTGGAGACCCAGATGGGAGACGCACTTGCATATTCGTGGTACCGGGCAATTGTGGTTTTCCAATTGGGGTTGTGTACAATTGGTGGCGCAGTTCTTCGACGTCAAGCTGGATGAAATACCTACTGTAGAGGAGGTGGAATATGGTGTGTAGTCAAAGGTTCGTACTTAGCATTTATGATAGACGAGGGAGTAGAGACTAAACCAAGATAAGAGACACTCTACCGGTCTACCACAAGTCGTTAAGCGGGAAGCTTGTGTTATCGACATAAAAAATACGATGATCCACAAGCAACATTGAGCCATCTTGCACATAAAATAGAGTCCGTATGGTAGAGGAATGCTTGAATGAATGCAAATGAGGTTCAACTCTCAGGTACTGAGCGGGCTACGATATTTCTAAAAAAGGAAATCCCGAGCATATCACGTGCTGACCGATAAGCGGCCGATAACAAGAAAAGTCCAAAAAGAGTTTAGCGAGGGGTCCGCTCGGAGCAACTTTTATCGACCGCCGATGAAGAAAGTCTGGAGAATCTTGATTGCCAAGACAAAACAGCGTTCAATCAGCACACCCTCCAGGCGAGATTGGGAATATCCGCAGGCTGTCGCAATGGGAAAACGCAAGGAACTCAAGGATGGTGATGTCGACATGGGAGGCACCGGGCGCCCCGTGGACGATGATGAGTCGGACGAGGTATGCGATTGAGAATTGAGCAATCTCGGCGGCCTGTCAATGCTAATCTGTCTCTATTGATAGGATATTGATATGGTGAATGTGGATTTCGAATGGTTCGATCCTCAACCCGCAGTTGACTTTCACGGACTTAAGAATCTCCTCCGGCAATTATTCGATTCCGATGCTCAGATCTTCGACCTGTCCGCCTTGGCGGACTTGATTCTCTCACAGCCCTTGCTCGGATCAACGGTGAAAGTCGATGGCAACGAGTCGGATCCCTATGCCTTCTTGACTGTGCTGAACCTGCAGGAGCACAAGGTAATTTGGCTGTGTGCCCACAGAGTGAGAAGACAATGAGCTGACCTTCCGCAGGATAAACCTGTCATCAAAGACTTGACCTCCTACTTGCAGAGCAAGGCATCCTCCAATGCTTCTCTCGCCCCTCTGGCTCAGCTTCTCTCCCAGAACCCAATTCCACCCGTCGGTCTGATCCTCACCGAGCGCCTAATCAACATGCCCTCTGAGATCGTCCCCCCGATGTACACCATGCTTCTGGAGGAAATCGCCTGGGCCCTTGAGGAGAAGGAGCCGTACAATTTCTCCCACTACCTGATTGTCTCTAAGAAATACGAGGAAGTCGAATCCAAACTGGACATGGAAGACTCGCGCCCACAGAAGAAAAAGAAGAACTCCGGGAACAAGGCCGAGCAGTTCTTCTTCCACCCCGAGGACGAAGTGCTCCAGCGCCATGCTATTTGCTCGGGCTCGATAGATTATACGCACAAGCACGATGATGGCCATTCGGACTCCAAACGGACGTTCCAGGACTTGGGCATCAAGACCTCGGGGAGCTTGATGTTGATTGAGGCTTCCAAACTTGAGGCCGCAGTCAAAGATGTGACAGATTACTTGAAAGCTCCTGTATAAAATTATCACAGCCAATGGTCCCCATGCCTTTTGTATTCATTATTTGCAGTTTTTAGCCACCTCATGCATGTCAATGTTCGGGAAATCAGCCCTGCAATGGCTATCTTTTCTCTCTTCGAGAGGGTATAAGATCCATCATTACGACCAATTATTCATTTATATACCAGGGAAGCCACAAGGCACATATAGCTTACTCCCACTGAGTGCCTTGGAGGCGCTGCATGAGGTACTCCACCTCCACCACCTTGGTCAGAGGAATGACGTATTCCTTCGAGGTCGTTAGCAAGCCTGCTTGATCCGTTACTATATCGGGCCACTCACCTTGTACATAGCAACCACCGCATCCACATTGATTTTCGGCCCTGATTCCGAAGGGAACGCAGGGTCCGTACCGTACGTCTTGGCCTTGAGAGCCAATCGCTCCAGGACCTTCTGTTCCACCTTCGCGTCGGTGATAGCCGCCTCGATGCCCGCCAGATCATTGGCCTTGATCAACCGGACAAAGGTCTCGGGATCCTTCTGGAATTTGGCCTCGGCGACGAACTTGCCGAAGTGAATGCGACGCGACAGCGCCTGGAGCACGCTGACATCGCATGTCGCCGATGATCCGTAGTTCTCCTGTGTCTCGCCTCGGTCCTCGCGGCCAAACTGGGCGCAGACTGCAGGAAGGATATTCTCGATGTAGCGCTTCTTGATGGTCTCGTTCACGTTGACATCGTTGTCGTGGAGAATCTTGGGGTACTCGAGGGGTTGCAGGATAGGTGTCTCCAGCGCATTTGGGAAGAAGGGATATTCATCGGGGGACTCGTAGCGACGAACGCGGGATTGTAGACGCTCCTGCTCGCGGAGCAGATAGTCCATCAGACTGATCTGATCGCCAGGGATGTTGACCCCGCCGGGGACATAGATGGGCTTGTTGAGAGGGAATTGGACGCGCTCGATCAGATGGAAAGTAATCGTGTCTTCTAGTCGACTGATGTCCGAGTTCAGCGAATTCCAGTCAGCTATTCCCACCTTTCACTGGAATATCGAGAGAAGGTTGCGATCGGAGTTGAAGCTCATGCGGGGCACAGACAATTTGATCGCTAGGTGAACTTACATCAACTGGAATCTGATGTTGGATAGATCCAATGCCTTAGAGGCATCGGAGAGATCAATTGCTGTATCCATACTTCTATTTAGCCCTGAAAATCCCCAAAAAATCGTCTAGCAGTCGCAAGTCTATAATGTTCTCCGCTTACCCAGGGCCAAGAGGGGAAGATATTTGATGCCGATGATCGGGCAGGCGAGTCCCAATTATGTAGGTGACTCCAAGCACCGCCTCGGGTAGACCAGCATCGGTGACCGTGGATGAACAGGAGACGCTTACCTATTCTCCGCTGGATGCCTCTCTGGGTAATCTTATTCAGATTGAATAGTCATCCTCGCTTTTTCTATTTTGGTTTCCGATCATGAGAAGGTTAAAAAAAACTCCCAGTGGCTTAACTTGTTCAGCTGATTGATATAGATGGATAGCAGCAGTGCTGGCTCGGTTTTGGTATTTCACAACCTGGTCACATGGGTTGAAACCAGCTCTTAAGCCTCCTCCATCATAGCTTGACAGCCTTGGAAGCATTAATAGAGGAGCTTTATCTTCTTTAAGAAAGCCCACGGAGATGACTCTAGCCTTTTCCAACTGGACACAGGAAATCCAATATCTTCCCAGCCTCATTACGGAGTGCACCAAGCTGAGCCTATTACGTAGGTGAGCAAGGGGACCTGGGCAGCTAGGTATTGGAGGGCGGTAATAATACAGCAGCTCGGGAACACGGTAATTCATCGCGTGCAACTCCAGCGCAACTCAACTCTTCTCCAGCGAACCGACCAAGAGCCGAGCAAGCAAATCGCCCTTGGAACAAGGAAAAAACGAACACTTTTGAACCGCTCTTCTCTCGGTATAGACAGCCCGCATGGGTCTTTAAGTCTTGCAGTACTGAGAGTCTTCCCCCGGTTTGCCCCATGGCGAAGCAGCGCCGCGATGAATCGCCTTCTGGTTTATCAGATATTGTCGAGCCGGATGGTCTTCTAGGGACCGGCTTAACGGTGCGCCTCTTTTCTTTGTTCCCCGTTCTACTCTCATTCCCAACCCTGTCTGCTCTGAATTGTATTAGGGGGAATATAGAGAGCACTGCCCACTCATATACTGATATGGCTTCAATCTTTCCAGAGCCGGCACATCGAGGCCTTTGGGAGGAAAGTCACATCGACTGCAGGGCATTTGATGGGACCTACGACCGAGTCGAGCAACGGCGGGCACTACCATACTGCCATGGTTGATATACATCGCGAGCTACGGCGGCCGACGACACAACGCAAAGTCTTCTCCTTAACGCAGACCACCCCGACCGATCTGGTCCGCTCGAAACTATCCACGACCGAAATCCAATCGCGGGCCATCTCCTCCCTTCCCGACGAGCTCCTCGCAAACATCCCCGAGGATTCCAGCTCTTACTCCTTGTTTGAGGGCTTCAAGGCTACTCAGGACGACCATGAATACCGGAAATCGCACCGACGGCGCAGTTCGAAGGCGAAAAAATTGTTGAAGGATGGCCAGGCGAAGGAGGCTCTTCCGTCCGCGCCGACCGATCTCAAGAAGGATCGGGACCTTTTGAGCAGGCGGCTGGATCTGATGGGCGTGCGCAAGAACATGTGCAGCTCCGAGATCCATGATATCGACAATAAGATCGCCAACCTACACAATATGCGGAAAATTGTTTTAGAACGGTTGGCCGGGTTGGAGATGGAAGAGGCGGAATTGGAACATGAACGTGGGTGTCCCGCGGATCCCGGAGGTATCTGGAATAGCTTCTGACTACTGGACAGTGACGGAGATTGACAACAAGCTCGAAGACATCCAGGAGGACACACCCGGTACTCCCGTCGCCGTGTCGACTCCAAAATCGTCAGAAGCCGCTGATGACTCTGTTCTTTCAGAAGATTCTGCTATGGATGCGTCGTTTATGTCGGAATCTATCTATCAGAAGCTCCCTTCGCCGAAGAGTCTCAAAAAGCGATCAATAAGTACTGTCTACTGCGTCTTGCCTATGCCAGACCTTGTGACTGATCTATCAACCAGGGAAACGATCGATGCCCATCCTCCACGAGCATTTTTCGCCCGGATCGCAGATCAAAGAAATGCAGGCTCATACCGACATGGTCACCGCCATCGATTTCGATTACCCCTTCGGAACCATGGTCAGCGCTGCATTGGACGACACAGTTCGAGTCTGGGATCTCAACACTGGCCGATGCATGGGATTCCTGGAGGGCCATAATGCCTCCGTGCGGTGTCTACAAGTTGAGGACAACATTGTTGCCACAGGTTCCATGGATGCTTCGGTCAAACTATGGGATCTGAGCCGGGCGCGAACTGTGCCTCGGGACAATCGTGTGGGTAGACCTGATGAAGAAGACGAAGAGGATGACGGCACAGATGCTTTCTCGATACTCTCCGCTACAACACTGGAAGACTGCTATGTCTTTTCGCTTGATGCCCACGTGGACGAGGTGACGGCGCTCCACTTCAGGGGAGATACACTCATCTCGGGTTCCGCCGACAAGACTCTGCGACAATGGGATCTTGTCAAAGGACGTTGCGTCCAGACCTTGGACGTCTTGTGGGCCGCTGCTCAGGCGTCCACCATCGGTGCCGACACACAATGGCGCCCGTCAGGTCGTCTTCCCGATGCCTCTGCTGATTTTGTCGGCGCAGTCCAGTGCTTCGACGCCGCTCTCGCCTGTGGTACCGCCGACGGTATGGTCCGTCTTTGGGATCTTCGGAGTGGTCAGGTGCATCGTAGTCTTGTCGGCCATACTGGACCGATCACGTGTTTACAATTCGACGAGGTGCATTTGGTGACGGGTAGTCAGGACCGCAGCATTCGGGTAAGTTCCTTCTCGTGTATCTGTACCGGTGTAGTCGCCCTGCGTTTAACCTTCTATCAGATATGGGATCTCCGAATGGGGTCCATCTTCGATGCGTTTGCCTACGAAAAACCCATCACCAGCATGATGTTTGACACGAAACGCATCGTCGCCGCGGCTGGAGAAAACGTCGTGAAGGTCTACGACAAGGCGGATAGCAATCATTGGGACTGTGGTGCGGGACTCGGTGCAGATGAGGTAGGTCCGGCGCCTGCAACCGTTGAACGGGTGCGGCTCAAGGACGGATATCTGCTCGAAGGGCGCAAGGATGGTATCGTGGCTGCTTGGACTTGCTGAGCGAAGATACTGCCTTCCTTAAAAAACAAAAGTACATGATCCTGGGCGGCTGGAACTCCTGTTTTATATTCTATGCTGTGATTTGACCATGTCTTATGTATGGTGTGTCGCACTGTCTTTCCCTCGGGCATTCGTCACAAAGTGTATACTATGTTTTTGGAACCAATATAGAGGCGAAGGACAGGTTGTGTTTTGGACGGACGACGTATGTTACATGCTTTAATTATCTAGGTACTGTTACACTGGCGAAGGGGTATCTCGACAAGCCATACATCAGCAGAAGAATCAAATCTGCTCGAAATTTGGGATATAGGCCGTTGGATGCGATGAAACACGAAGCCAACAAAGGGAGATTGGTTGAATCAAGGTCCAACGGGGCGTATGACACCGGAAGTACAAAGGGAAAAAAAAAAGGGAAGATTGCATACTTCTTTGTAGTGTATCCTAGACATCGTAGTCCTACCGCTCTATTTCTGAATTCTGATTCTGAATATCTTTGAGAATTTGAAATTGTATCATCTCCGGGTTCTAGTGTTGATGCGATACTACTACTGTACAGATGTTCAGCCAAGCCTTACCGGACTGATCTCTATTGTGGAACGTGGATGGTTAGCAAGTTATGTTATGTAGCAACAAGCAACAAGTATCTCTCGATCAACCACCTCGGCCTCTGTCAACTCGGCCGCAGCCATATCATCATAAATATACCCAGAACGCGTTTCATCAAGGGATCATCATTAGAATCATCCAATATCCTATCAATCTGTCTTCTCCAAAGACACCCCCTGCGACAGTAGTCCCATTCCAGCAAACCACGGAAAAACACCCGCGTCGCGCTCCTTGACGCGGAGTGGATGAAAGGCATTCTTTCTTGGCTTCCAGAAAACCTTCATTTGCAGAACCCATCTGGATCACTTTAATCTTTCTGAGTTGCTCATTGTGGTGCATTCTTTGTTGCTGTGTTGCTTTCAAAGGTGTCAAAGACTCCGCGCTGAGAAACAGAGGGTGATATCTTGTGTTAAAGCCCTTCTCTTCGGATCCGCTGGCTTGTCTTCAGTTCGGTCTCACCATCAACTAACTCACTACTACATGCAATTATCTTGTCTTCCTTGCAGTATGTGTATGCTGTGATATAGACACAAGAGTTTGATCATTGAGCTTTGTGTTCCTGCAGCCGCTGCCCAAAGCTAGGAAGGGAAGGCATTTGCAGAGCGCCTGAGGCTGCGATTGAGAATCTGCTGGTTTCAATCGAATGCGTTCTCAGCGTTAGAGAGAGCTGGTCATTAAATTTGCAAGTGTAAGTCTTCACAGTGGGAGAATAATTATCCTTCAGCTTCTTTCTGTTCATGATCTATCAAACATTGCATCCGACCTCGTGTCTTCTCCTTGCTTTGAGACTGTGAAATTTCAACTGACCCTTCGCATAGGGTTGGATATTTGAACTTGCTTGGGAAAAACGTCTAAAGTAAAAATGCCGCCCAAGCGTGCAGGTACCCGGCGCGCCGGGGCAACTGCTCGCTCTGACGTTTCCATCATTCTCGGTCACTCGAGTCCGGCCGTCACCAATACGCCGCTGCCAGATGTGCCTACCCAGCCAAGCTGGGCTTATGGCTCTCCCGCACCGGCAGTACTTCCTCGCCGACTGACGGCGAAGCAAATGGGTCTGGCCGAAGTGGCTGAATCAATCGATCAAACGATACGAGAGGCTCAAAAACGAGATCAACACAACAATCCAGATGAGTCAAATGAGGGTAGTGACCGACCCCATATGAAAACTCGTCTGCGCGGGCGATCGATGGCTGCTAATCAGTCTCCTGTTCGCCGACGCGCCAAGCGAGAGCCGACACCAGATCAAGTGCAGTTGCTTGAAGGACTGCGCGAAGCGACTCTCTCTCCGAATCGAGGGTACCGAGAACCCCAGGATCAATTTGAACGATCGACTGCCACGCCAACACCCCCAATTCCACATACTCTTTCTACAGCCTCAAGTCCGACCTCGCAACTCCTCGCCGATCCCAAGTACCCGTCTCTGCCAGCTGGCCAACTCTACCCTTCTCCACTACAGCGCGTCGGCTCACCAGCTCGCAATGACATGCCATTGGAAAATTCAACTCAGAGTGCAGGCTTTGATGACAATGAATCCGTCATCTCGTGGATGGTCGAACGTGATGTCCATGATGATGACCTACAACGGACCAGTTCGAATCGATACCGCAATGAGCCACAGGGGAGGAACATCACCGCGCCACCCCGACGTTTTTCGGGGCTTGCTTTCGCCAATGAGACCATCCATGAAGAGGACGAGCCCGATTCTCGTCTTTCGTTGTCTAAAGCACGGTCCAGAGAGCCTACAGTCGAGTCTCAAGCTCGATCTGAACCTCGTCCCGATCTTAATCCGTCTCTCGAGCCTCAACAGCCCGAACCTGAAGTGTCAACAGCCCCAGCCCGAACCATCATTCCTCACTCATTCACAAAAGAAACTTCATTCCAAGATTCTACCGTGCCCCTCTCGGAACAGTCATTCACTAACGAGGCTCGTTCAATACCGACTGCTCGTTTCATTCCGAACTTCTCGTTTGGACACCCAGGAAAACAGGCGCTCAGAATAGTTGGGCTTATGATATTGACCACTCTATCCCTCTTCACTCTTTACTCCTTCAGCGACAGAATTGTCGAACTGTCCCGTGACATTATCTCATGGTCTCCTTTTCACAGTCAAACACCCTTTATTCCCTTGAACACTTCCGACTACGAGGTAGTGAATCATCTCAATAGCCAGATGGTTAAGCTTGGAGCACAGGTCTCGTCAATGTCCAAAGAACTGAAAACCATCAAATCCGAGGTGCACGATGTCGCAGCTCCAACAACTGTTTTGGAGCCTGTTCGCACCCTCCCTAAGAAGCCCAACTTCCTCAACATCAATATGGGCATCATAGTGGATCAGCACATGACCAGCCCAACAATAGAAGACAGGCGGGATCACTCTGATGATCCGCGTCCCGAAGAAAACGGACCTCTTGCGGCGCTGTTGCCCTGGGATGACCATGGGGATTGCTGGTGCAGCGCGCCACGGAACGGCATTTCTCAGCTGGCTCTCCACCTAGCACGTGGGATCGTGCCGGAGGATGTCGTCGTTGAACACATACCGAAACACGCCGCCATCACGCCGGAAACCGCGCCCAAAGACATGGAGCTCTGGGTCCGATATACTGTCGATATCAACACAGATTCTGATCTGCCGTCGGAGGCAGGATCAGCCAGCTGGTATTCTCGACACCTCGATAAACTTTTAAGCAGCTTCTCGTCCAAATCCGAAGCGTTCGAAAAGGAATACCAGTCGCCGATGCTCGCGGGGCGCTTCTCGCTGCACGACTACATAATAGGCATCCTTCGTCCAGCATACTCCAAAGAGCCCGAAACTGCCTACTGGAATGATACGCTACTGGGTCCAAGTTTCTATCGTGTTTCAAAGTGGAGATACAATATCCACGGCGCTCATCATATCCAAGAGAATAGTCTCGACGTGATCATCGACCAACCTGACATCCGCGTGGATCAGGTCGTTTTTCGCGTCAAGTCAAACTGGGGGGCAAACTACACATGCCTCTATCGTTTGAAGTTGCACGGACATCTCTGAGGTTCTGCCTACGGAGAGTAGATCCCACTTCCACGATTTCTCAATCTTAGAGGCTAGACATGTCAGCCTCCCAGGCAAACCCACGATTGCGATTCTCTGACCGAAGGATGGCCCCCAACCTCAATCTTACCTTAGCGTGTTTTCTTATTTCCCAATCTACCCTTTCATTTCTAACCAATCTACGACTTTGGGGATCCTACATGGCTTTATGGGAAGCATGGCTGGCGTTACAAAACAAGATTATGGAGAACTATGGGGGCACGTTAAAGATCGAAATTGAGATTCCCCTTGACTAGCAATATTGGCTCTTTAAGGCTGTTGTACAATACAGATTATACCAGAACTGAAATGCAACCTAAGGATACGCGCGACTATCACGTTGTTTTCAATACGTCTCGGGATTAGGCTGTAGACTACAAGTACAGGCAATGGCTCATTATAATAGAGACTGGCTGACAGACAACACAGGAAAAAAAACCTATTCTACATCTACCAAAAACCAAAAGACTTAACTCCCCGAATCAAACTCCGGGTTCACCCATGAAGGCACAGGTGATTTCCTGCGTATCAGCGCACCATACTTCTGCAACAACGCAAACACACCTGTTCCAGCAACCGCGACGATCAACGCTTGTGTGGTGAACGTCCACGTATACCCAGACTGCGCTTGCCAGGGCGCAATGAAGAACTATGGCGAAGATATTGGAGTCAGCTGAATCCCACCCTCGCAAAACACGGGGAGACATACCGGGTTGATGAAGGCACTCAGATTGAGGAAGACGGCATAGAAGATGACCACGCTGGTCGACTGGAGCGGATAGCTATCGATGATATAGCTGCTTGTGACGGTGTTCCCAACCTGGACTCCAGCAGCGACTAAAAACAGTGTCAGTGAGCGGAATGCTCTTCCGATGTGGTTGGATGCCCCCCCGGGCCAACTTACACAGGAAGAACGCGACCTGGCCCACCATCCAGTGGTAGTTCTTGTCGATACTCACGCCCCAGAGAATCAAGCCGACTGGTACATAGATAGGGTTGGTTGGTTAGCATGCTTGCTTTCCCACAATATCGTTTCGTCTGCGCCGGGGACTACGTCCAACACTCACCGGCCGTGATGAGAATAGCAGGGTAGGCCAGCCACAGCCGCATCTCGGCGACGCGCACGTTGCCGTTCTTCTTCGCCAGTCTCCCGACGATGTAGTCGCTCAGCCTGCCCGAGCAGCAGATCTCTGAGACCACCGTCCCCAGAAAGAGGCCGAGGAACAGGAGGCCCTGCACCACGGGTGTGTGCGATGCGTACGCGGCAGGCACCATCGTGATCACGGACAGGATCCACCAGTACCACAGGAACGAGTATCCGAGGACGCTGACCACGACGGCGGGGAGGCGGAAGGTGAGGATGAAGCGGGTGATCGAGTCCCAGGGCTTGGGATGGCGCATGCCGGGGATGGGGCGGAAGTTGAGGAAGGGGAGGTTCTTTGTTCTGGGGAGGTCGGGTCCCGCTGTGGGTGATTGTGCTGCTGCTGCTGTGGTGGTGGTGGTCGTCTTCTCTCGGGTTGGGTTGTTTTCTATGTCGGTGGTGGAGAGTCCGTTGACGCAAGGCGGCATGTGTTGGAGCATGGTGGTGCGAGGGTACAAGGTCTCGGGCATGAGGAAGAGTTCGAGAGCAAGCAAGGCTGCGAAGAGGATGGCGTTGAACCAGTTGATCCATGCGGCGCTCACGACATTCAGGAAGCCACCGACTGGTGTGAGTATTAGGTACCAGATTCATCATCATCAAATGGTTTCTGTTACTTACACGTTGGTCCTAGCAGGAGCCCTGAATCGATTGCCAGAACCCACAGGCCAAGCTTCTGTCCGCGTTCATAGTCGAAGAAGAGATCGTTGACTGTTGAGCAATACCCAGTCAGTGTCCTGAACAGTCTGGGCCTGACGACGCCAAATACATACCGACAGCCATCCCAACCGACGAAGCTGGACTAACGCCGAATCCTTGAAAGAAGCGAGCAGCCATATAACTGCCATACTTATCTGCAGCTGCCGCACCAATGGTCGACACCAGCGCGACGACAGTGCCAATGATAAAGACAATCCGGCGGCCGTATATATCACCGAAAGAGGTCCAGAACAACGGCCCAACTGCCAGACCCAGGGCAGGGACTGCGACCGTCCAGTTGACTTCAGAGTAGCTGATATCGAAAGTGGTCTGTAAGTCAGGAAACGAGGGGACGGTGGTCGTCGTGAGATACGTGAACAGGAAATATCTGCGTAAGGATATAAGTCATGGCTGACAGATATCATAAGGGTGATGGAAAATGGCAAACCGACTTGAGCATGACAATCCCCAGTATGGTATGCTTTTCCAGAGTCGACCAGTTCAGCGGATCTAAGGGGTCTGAAGCTGGTTGAGGGTGTGTTTTCATTCCATTTTGCTCGATCGTCGTCTCGCCTAGGGCTTCTGGCTCGATGGGCAGGGAGTGCTTCTCATCGACCACACTGATTCCCGATGAGTCCACCATATCAGACGTTTTCAGTTTCTCTCCCAATTATGTGGGATTGTATTGAAGGTATAGAGGAGTTGGCTTTCTGATTCCTATGTACAGACCAATTTTCTTACGCCATGTTACAATGGTATAAGGAATATATATCTACGAGCCTGTCCAACCACTTCATGGAATGAAGAGCACCAAAAGAAAGAATCAATCCAAAGCCCTATCTTCCACAAGTCAGCCATCGCCGAATCAAAGAGCGACCAGATATCAGGACGAGAAAGGAGTCCTTATCATCATTTTTGCTGTCTGGGGTAATTCTGCCGTCCGGTGGCCTGGATATAGCATGATCAACTACGCGACCAAAGCTTGATGACCCTGCATTGGTAGGCTGGAAAAAACCGGGTACAACTGTTTGCCCTGGTGTCTCTGCCCTGAATGATGATTAGTGTCCCGAGTTACAGTAAAATAGCGCATGGGCTTCTTGATCCTCCTGCATGAGGAATGCTTCCATGCTAATAATGGATGCAGTTGAGTGGTGTAGGTTTTGTCCAACCAACAGTTTCACAATGCACTAATCATCAACTCTAGATATTGGCTGTAGGAATTGATAAGAAAGAATGTATTATTCACATCATTCATTGCATTCTATCTAAGGGAACTTGAAACAGTCATAGATTCGATGGGCCTGGAGGCGCTCTGATGTCTGACAAGGACCTGGTCTTTGACTTTCTCGACCATCGAGATGCTTTTCAATGCTTCATTACTTATCACTGTCGCTGCTGCCGTCTAAAATCACAGGGATGGGAGTAGGTAGTTGGCCTTGAGTAGGGGATATAGACCACCTAGGAGCATATGCAGACATTATACCTTCGTTCGTAAGTATATCTGCCCTAATCATGAGGCGAGTCAACCATAACCCTCCGCTCTGACGATTCATCTTATGGAAAGCTATACACCTGAAAATCATTTCCATTTTATTCATCTTGAACAGTCTGACTTGCGCTGTAGAGACCACCAACCCAATACCCCATCAGCATTACTGGACAAGGCCAGGGGACAACAGGACGCTGTCACGCTGATAAGCACTCTCATCCCCGGGGTCATCCTCTGCTCCGTGCTCAATTCCATCTCTTCATGAACACTTACCACACAACTTCCCATTTGGGATAGTATCTGGAGAGCCACCGATGTATGATGTCTGCAGGAATGCTCCAACGGCTTTTTTTCTTAGTTTCTCTCCCCAACCCCACTGCTCTTGCGCCAAATTTAGCCGTCACCGATAAGGCTCCGGAATCGGCCTGACGTGCAGACATGGGCCAGATCTTGGAAGGTCTGTCTATCGCTTCTTCGGGACTCATAGATTCAATTAACTGGCAGGTTATCATAGAATCTCTTGGTTAATTGACTATTCCAATATCGGAATAATGCAGTATACCGTAGACTGAACCAGTACCGAGTCGTGATGTGGTCATTGCGAAGCAGGATGGCTTCTGGCCGGAGCCAATGACATGCATACTCACCATTGAAATCCTGCTTATGCATATCCTTGATGTCTGATTAGGGTGAGTCTGCAAGGGAGCAATTGAATATTCGGCGATAGGATATGGATCGGAGCACTGATCCACCGGGATGAAATGAAGGAAATGATTCGACCTACTGCTAGAACTGACTGAAATACTCAATGTCGGCCCTAAGAGCCGTCTTGCAGCATATGAGAAGATATATCTGATGTTGAGATTGCTCCCCCATGTGGTTGATGCCTCTACCTCCAGCACGATTCTCCTTTGCTCTTACCGTCGACAGAATGCGCAACGAACCCGACGACATCCGCAATATGGACGCGGATGGCCCGGACGAATATACCTCCCTCCTCCCCACGCCTATCGACATCGACAGCTCGCGGGGTCTGCTCGACGACGCACAGTCTAAAGATGAAGATGGGCCAAACCGACGTCTTATCATTGAAGAATTCTGGCATCTGCTCAAGGGATCCGTTCCTGTGATCCTCGCCTATACACTCCAAAACAGTCTGCAGACTGCATCCGTGCTCATTGTTGGCCGCTTGTCTCCCGAACACTTGGCAACATCTGCATTCTCTCTTATGTTCGCCATGATCACTGCGTGGATGATCGCGCTAGGAGGGACGACGGCGCTGGATACTCTGGCGTCTTCGTCGTTCACGGGCAGCTCGAACAAACATGATCTTGGCATTCTACTGCAGAGGGGAGTTTTCGTGCTGACCCTTTTCTACGTGCCTGTTGCTATCCTATGGGCGTCTTCGGAGCATGTATTTCTTCTCCTGGGCCAGGATTCAGATCTATCCAAGGATAGTGCTCGGTTTCTCACCTGTTTGATTCCGGGAGGACTGGGATATATCTATTTCGAGTTGATGAAGAAGTATCTGCAAGCGCAAGGTAAGACACTCCGAACTGGCGATATTGTTCTCAGCTAAAGATTCTTCGTCCTGGATAGGGATAATGAGGCCCGGGACCTATGTCCTTCTGATTACGTCTCCCTTCAATGTTCTCCTCAACTACCTCTTCTGCTACACCTTTGAGATGGGTCTTCTCGGTGCCCCCTTTGCTCTAGGCATCTCGTACTGGCTATCATTCGCCCTGCTAGTCCTCTACGCCCGCTTCATCGCTGGTTCCGAATGCTGGGGCGGCTGGTCCCAGGAAGCCTTTAAAAATCTCAGAACCTTCGCCCGTTTAGCTTTCTTGGGGATCATTCACGTTGGCACCGAGTGGTGGGCCTTTGAGATCGTTGCGCTTGCAGCTGGCCGGCTGGGAACCATTCCGCTCGCCGCACAAAGCGTGATCATGACTGCGGACCAGGTCCTCAATACCATCCCCTTCGGCGTGGGAGTCGCCACATCTACACGCGTCGGTAATCTGCTCGGCTCGCGCAGTGCGACTGGAGCGGCCAGGGCGGCAAACACGGCGGCCTGGCTTAGCATGCTGCTCGGCGGGGTGGTGCTGGCTGTGCTGATGGGAACTCGACATGACTTTGCAAAGATCTTCAACTCTGACGAGCGTGTTGTGCAGTTGACTGCCGATGTTCTGCCGTACGTTGCGCTTTTTCAAATTGCTGATGGGTTGAATGGGAGCTGTGGGGGCAGTCTGCGTGGTATGGGTAGACAGCATGTTGGGGCGATGGTGAACTTGGTGAGTTACTACTGCGGCGCTCTGCCGCTGGGGATCTGGCTTGCATTTCATGGCTGGGGGTTGAAGGGACTATGGGTGGGACAGTGTATTGCGCTTTACCTTGTGGGCGCATTAGAGTGGGTGATTGTCGTGCTGAGCAACTGGGATAAGGAAGTGGACCAGGCGTTTCAGAGGATGGATGTCCATGAGCGTCTTGAGACAGGGATCTAGCATAGTGACCGGAGAATAGTATCTACATTACACATATCAGTGAAAAGCAAGCAGAAATATATTCAAAGAATACTCATACTCCTTGCGAAGCAAAACAGAATGGAGGGCAGGTGTACAACCCCCCCTCCATTCTGCCCAGCCCCTGCTCCTATTTACGAAGGGAGCAGAGGCTGTATTCGAACCGGGGACTGACTGGATCATGCAGCTACTGCGAAGAACCTGTCCCCAAAGGACAGTTTCCTCGCAGACAATGACCACTGCACTACCGCCCCGGCTCCTTGCTGGGTAAGGGATGACGGGGGGGCATATGTTGCCTGGCGAGTTGCCTAGACGGGGGAAGGCAGGAACGGATACCTGAGAGGTTAGGCAGGCAGTGAGCCTGAGGCAGCAGGTCACGAGTCGATCGGGACATGAGGGAGATTGGAATCGCTTCGTCGTGCTTTCCCGCGTCAATGTCTCTTCGTCGCTTAAACTTGAGCAACGCTGACGTGGATCGAATCTCCGCGATGCATATCTACAAAGATAAGAGTTCAGGTCAGTTTCCTCTGTGTCATGGAATGATTTGAAAGTTTCGGTTGATAATGCCATACTCGAGATCGCTATAGTACGTTTGTTATACTATCCAGCTCCAATGAACTTCCCAAAAGGGAAGTACGATGGAGAGAGAAGAAGACGCATGGCAGTGAAACCCAGAATCGCAGTTTAGATACGCCACGGTACCCCAGACTGTAGAGAAAAGATCTCCAGTCTCCACACTGGACAATTCATCTCAGTCACAGGCTCAACAGCTGCTCCGAGTTCCAGACGCCCAATCCTGCGTTATCAACGAAGATCAGTAGGAGACTAAAGGGTGTGAGATAAGCCACCAAGCCAACTGATAAGGACCGCTGCCAACGTCTTCTGTTTCGCTGGTAATTCTGGAACATAGGGACAATCTGCATCTAATGTCATTCTAACTTCCTTTTTGGGGTCCTATGCAGCACCATACTTGTCTGTACAGGTATAGCGCTCTTCCAACTGGCTTGATGCACAGGCACTGCTTCCACCGCTAATGGCCCCTCCCCCCTGTGCCACTATTTACATTCCACAGGCGTCTTGCGTTTCTGCAGATGGACCCTGGCTGAATGACGATATCTCTCCCCTCATTGTCTGGTTTTGATCAAGCGCATGAGAACAGTGCCATGACCAGCCCAGCATATCGGTATCCACTCTACTGGTAACAGGGCCCGAGACTTTAAATATGTTGACTATACTCCTTCTAGGAAGTTGATGGGAGTGGGGACAGACCTGCAGATGATACTTGACCAACATTCATCGCATCATGGCCAATTGCTCCTACCGCGAAATCGGAGGACCAGACATTCAGTCTCTTCTCGAAGCTGGATGCCTTGATTTGGCGGATCCCGGCGGTTAAAGACGACGTACACGGTAAAGATACGGAATGAATAAATTTTGCACATCTTAGACGATGATGCTGGATCAAGTCGTCTGTCGAGGGACATGTTCATAAATATCCTCACCGTCCTCCTTCATTCTCGCATGTTCAGCTCATTCAAGCTGGTCATAGAGGCCTATCGGATCTCGGCACCATGATTACTTCTACACTTAGCCTGTTGGCACTCGCTGCCGTTGCATCAGCCCACAGTGACCACAAGCAGAAGGCCATGTCTGGTCCGCATCAGAGCCTGTGGTACAATACAATCCCTGGGGACGGTGGCACTCAGGCTGACTCCGTCTTCTCCGGCATCTCGACGTTTGGTCGCTTGCCCTACTTCCCTTGTCTGTCCAGCGAGGAAGAGAAATATGATATCGCCTTCATTGGTGAGCTTGTCTATTGTTACCCACTTCCATGATTGAACGAAGCTTACATTGAACAGGCGCCCCCTTTGACACCGGAACTTCGTACAGGCCAGGCGCAAGATTCGGTCCCAGTGGCATCAGACAAGGTTCTCGCCGCCTTAATCTCTAGTATGTTTGAGATAACCAACCATGCTTACGATGCCTATTATATGGCGGAATCAAGGCTCACGCAAATTGGGATTTAGCGGTGGCTATAATGTGCCATTGGAAGCCAATCCTTTCGTCAGTGACCTGAAGATCCTGGATTGTGGTGATATCCCTGTGACTTCGTAAGTCTGGTTGAGTCGAAAGACGACATGGAATACTGACTGGATCAGGTATGACAATGCTTGGGCCATCCAGCAGATTGAAGAAGGACACAATAGCCTTCTCATGCGCAAGCCATATACCGATGCCAACGCTGATGGGCTGTCTAGAGCCGGCAAGACCTTGCCGCGCATCATCACTTTGGGTGGTGACCATACCATCACACTGCCATTGCTACGCAGTATCAACAAGGCCTATGGGCCTGTGACTGTCATTCACTTTGACAGTCATTTGTAAGTGCAGAGCAATGACAATTGACAGAACCTCCTACTAACCTAGCTTCCAGGGACACATGGAAGCCCAAGGTCTTCGGCGGCTCACCCAGTCAAGTCGCTGCCATCAACCACGGTACCTACTTCTACCATGCGGCCATGGAAGGTCTCCTGAAGAACGACACCAACATCCATGCTGGTATCCGCACAACCCTGTCCGGGCCCTCGGATTACGAGAATGACGGCTACTGTGGCTTCGAGATTGTCGAGGCACGCGAGATTGATACTATCGGTCCGATTCTCCCTACCATGCACAATAACGTGATTGCTAATTATCCTCTAGGAACCGATGGCATCATCAAGAAGATCAGAGAGCGCGTCGGTACCGAGAATCCGGTCTATCTTTCGATCGATATCGATACACTCGACCCAGCTTGTGAGTTGATCCGTCTTCAGATGCACGCATACCATTTCTGACGATTTATAGTCGCCCCCGCAACCGGTACCCCCGAGACTGGCGGCTGGTCGACCCGCGAGCTGCGGACTATCATTCGTGGCCTTGACGGTCTCAACTTTATCGGTGCCGACATTGTTGAGGTTGCTCCAGCTTATGACACCAACGCCGAGCTCTCTACTATGTACGCTTCTTTGAAATCATATTCAAGGGCATTACTGATACCATACTTAGGGCTGCTGCGGATGTTCTCTACGAGGTTCTCACTATCATGGTCAAGAAGGGGCCACTGTCAATCTCGGGGAGAAATGAATTGTGATACGAGTATAGAGTTATAATTGCCTCTCCAAGTTCTTCAGTCTGTCATCATTTTAATCAATACGGTTTGAATTGAACTTCAATGTAAGGCCATCGAACATCCCTCACATAGGACAGGAATGAATGCGTTCAAATGCGTTCAATATCGACATTCTCTGTCTGCTATTCAATCAGTAACCTCAGTCAACCCTTCGACCCACTGGAAAACCCCGCCCAGTTCTCAGCCCTTGGCGCCCGATGAAGCAGCCCCTTGCGTCGTCCAACGGCGACCTGCAGAGTGCAGAAAGCCAATCTTTCGCCTGTCGGATGCTCAAGTGGGTCAATATTAATATTCCGTTTGCTGGCGTGCATACATTAGGGTAGTCGGACTAGGTTGCTTGAAGGAGTATGCTTAACCCTTGAAAAACCACATACAATATTAATTATCAGATGATAATGATAAATGTGGATTCTGGGGAAATGTTAATATGCATCGACAGCAGGGTTCCTTGCGTAAGGAATGGGTTCCTGCAGCTGTTGTTGTGAAGGGTTTTAAGGATAGCGCTTGTCGCTACGAATATAGATTTGGATAAGGGTGATGTGATTGATGGGGTTGATATCATTCATTATTATCAGGTTCTTTTACGGGATCATTACCCTTGAGCTTCTGGAAGCATCTTGGCAGAAGGGGACAGTTTCTGTACTCCATACGTCGTCTCCAGAGTCTAGATGGGTAGAGCTCTCTAACGACTCTGTTCAACTAGGTATTCCTTGCAACAGGTCTGATGAATACGGAATATGAAGACGGGGGGTCTACGAGCCACGGACTAGACTATCTAGACATGAACTATGGTCTAGCTAGGGGTACAGATAGTTCTGTACAGAGTCGACCTTAGGTTTTCTCGATCCATACTCCTTGCGGCAACGAACACCACACAGCAGCCGAACGGAGTCAATCCCTATCCGGACTTGGTGTGGTTCACCGTTCACTGGGTCCTTAATGCTGGAAACGGTGTCGGATCGTCGATTGGCCGGAGCGTGTTCGTGTTGACTTGGTAGTTGGTACTGGTAGTGGTACTGCTGCGTCGGGATTCCGATGCGGCCGTGGTTCGTGGGGGGGGTGTGTTTCAGGTTTCTGGATAGTGCTTGCCGTGTCGCTTGCCGGCCTGGATGTCTGGACTCTGGGGTGCTTGGTTTGATTATGATAGACACATACGTGAGTCGTGACTCCATGAGAGGCGAGGCGAGAGCACGTGCCTGTCGAGATGGCGGGATGGATGATGGTAGAGATCTCCGTACTTGGTAGGTTGTTTTACTATGACGTGGCGCTGGAGAGTCAGATTGGTGAGGTATTGATTGGACCTATCTACTGCCGCGCAGGTCGTTGCATGCGATCGATCTGGGTGATGGAGCACAGTAGTCGGCGTATGACTTTGTGGGTTTTTTTGTAGGTGGAAGTAATGCCATACATAGTCATAGTTCAGATGGATAGGGGGAGATGGAGTGACTACAGAGTACAGAGAGTTCAAACTGCAATTTCCTAGGACATCCCACAAAACCCCCGTCCTTCTGCATGCTAGTATCGGAAATTTTCACATGCAGCAGGGCTGGGTTTCATGATGACTGGGATCCAGGTAAAAATGTATGAATATGGCTCGGATCATGGATGAGATGAGATGAGATGCGATGCGATGCGATGCGATGCGATGAGTTCTTCTAAATTGCAGACTCTCTCCCATATCCACCCGAAACAAAAATGTTACACACTGTCTTTAACTTTGGTTCCTGGTGACCTGAGATGCCAGACCCGCTTGACAGCAGTTTAAGCTTCGGGCCTCGTAACTTGTAAGAGTAAGACATACAGCTGGCCTGGCCTGTACTACGTAGGCTGTGAAGCATACCAATGAGTAATGACAACATCCATTTGACAGATCCAAAATTATCTGAAAACAGCCGATTCCGTCCATGACAAACCATCCTCCCATCCCCGACAAACAGGTGGATAATGGATAGAGATTATAGATCCATTCATAAGGAACCGTGGGACCATCATCCCAGGCCTGCGGGATGCCGCCTTTGACAAGGATTGAAAAGGAAACAATATCCATCCCTCAAGGAGTTTGGAACTTTTTAGACTCGTAGATCCTGGGAGGTATGGAGTCGCTCTTACTACGTATGTCTTTGTCTGTTATTATTATTGATCAACTCTTGTTTGACTTCTTTACTGTAGATACTATCTCCTACTCCGTAGAGGCTTTATAATGCGCCTCATAGATTACGGAGTAATATCGATATGCAACGCCCCAGTCGTTCATAAGCGAATGGTCGAGGCTTTCGTTGGTTTGCCCCTGGATGAATTACCGGGTATTATTACCAGCGCATACACCTACCAACCATTTGGAGATAGATACCTTCAGGCGAATGGGCATTCAGTAGTAGACACCTAGTTGAGATAGGATTGACATGAGGATCTGGATGGTAACTATCTAATAACTTATTATGTATGGGCGTTTCATATTTCTCTATTTTTACATCTCAAGGATTCCCAGAGATTGAACTGAACGAAACCCAATTTATCAATCCCTTGTTGATTCGGAGCTCAAAGAGAGTCATCCATTGGAATCTATGGAATGGAATGGATGGAGGCTGCTGTAATTACAATACCCAAATCCCCAGTATGCGCATAAAATATCTCTCTGCTAGTGCTACGCAGTACTCCGTACTTCGAATGAGGATTCTGGATCATAAGTCTCATCACTACTAGCAGCGATATTAATGGCATTACGAAGCATTCGATAGCAACTGTTTCATAATAATACTAATAATAACGTGCCACTTTTCGTTCGCTGCAAACCTCGTCCTCGACAATCAAAATGAGGATAATGAGTCGACTTTGACTCGTGCACGATTTCGCTAGGAGTAAAGTCCTAAACAACCGACTGATGAGACCAACCAGACTAACAAGTCTAGCTAACTACTACTACGTAGATAATCTCGGCTGGTCTTTTCTGTTCACTGTTCAGGAGTTCAGTCCCAGAAATAAAACTAAACCGTCCTAAACTACGGACTCCGGAGAATACCTGGTAATTTGCTGGGAATCGCTCCATCGTACCGGCCATCTCCAAACGCCCTTCTTTTTTTCTTCCTTTCCTCTCCCCTTCGTTACTTGCTCGATCTTTATTATTACTTTTCTTTCGCTTTCCCACTCCTGTCTTATCTGCGAGGGGCGGTTGCCTTGTCTTCCCTTCTTTACTCTCCTTATTTCGCTCGATTGAGCCTGTCTAAGTGGTGAGTCGGTTCTCTCTTTGTCCGTCGTGCGGCTTGCCCATCATCCACTCCCTAAACTCTATATCGAAGCGACAGCTATCCTTCAGGGGTGTTTCATCCAAACTAAATCCACATCGTTCACCACCACAGGAATCATCAACAGTCCTTTTCCCCCTTCTGCAGGGACTTCATCGCAGTTAGGAAGTTACCTTCCGCCGTCGCCGATTGCCGCAGGACGCCAAATCGTGCGCACTTGAAACCAAAGCAACCCGACCAACCCAGCAACGACACGAAAGAGAAAAAAAAAACAATACGCAGACGAATCATAATTTTTGGGTCACTCCGACGTTCTAACGACTCATGACACCTTCATTGTCCACGCTCTGACAACTCATTGATCGCGCTCGAGTCTCATTGTCTGTCGCCCAACCTTTCCCCCCCCCCGCGCACCACACTTCTTCGCCTATAAAAGGATATGGCGGTTTCGCCGCCCGGTTCACCCACGGGTGCGCCCCAGCGGCCTTTTAGCGGCATCATGCGGACCCCAAGGAGCAACAGTCGTTTGAGTATGAGCAGCAAACTGGGTGGGGGAAGTCGCGCATCGGACGAGGATGGGAAGACCGCGGTGAAAGTCGGTACGTTGTTTACCCCTTGCGCGGGGGTGTCTGCGAGGACGGCAGATTGCCTATGCAGACTGAACTGGTTCCATGCAGGAAGCAATAAATGAAGACTGATATCTGTCGCAGCCGTCCGTGTTCGACCTCCCCTGAAGCCCACCGACCCGGGCTACGAACTGGTTCCCAAACGTTTCCAACGCTCCATGGTCCATGTCATGTCGCCGACGAATCTTGCTGTCGATGTCCCCCAAGGTCGGAAGTTGTTTGTTTTTGACCGCGTCTTTCCCGAGACCACAGACCAGGATGGTATCTGGGAATATCTCAGTGACAGTGTGAGCTCGTTCCTTCAGGGTTATAACGTCTCTATCTTGGCCTATGGCCAGTCGGGTGCTGGAAAATCATACACGATGGGAACTTCGGGCCCCAGCGAGCAGCATGATACTCAGTCAATGGGTTGGTCCCCTTCGCTTTCTACCTACTGGCGTTACTGGAACATTCTGAGCTAATAATGCAACAGGAATTATCCCCCGTGCGGCCCAGCTGCTCTTCGAGAAGTTGGAAGGTCCCACAAAGCATAACCGCAATAGTTCGACGGGCCTTCGGACACCAACCCGATACTCCATAAGCTCCACCTCTAGCTTTGGAAAGGCAAACGCTGATAAGACCTGGCAATTGAAAGCCTCCTATGTTGAAGTATGTAGCTAGAGAATTGTTCTGTCAAATTGGAGCTGGTTTATATGCTGACCTCTGTTCAGATCTACAACGAGCAATTGAGAGATCTTCTCCTTCCCGATTCCACCCCAATGGCGGACCGCAACGCAGTTACAATCCGCGAGGACACGAAAGGTCGTATCATTTTGACTGGTCTGCATCAGGTCAACATCAACTCATTCGAGGACTTGATGAATGCGCTAAGTTTCGGGTCCTCGATCCGGCAGACGGACTCTACTGCCATCAACGCCAAATCCTCCCGATCGCACGCGGTATTCAGTTTGAATCTTGTCCGGCGAAAATCACCGGGCTCTATCAGCACCCCCAAGGAGAAACGGATGTCTATGCCGGTAGAAGTCCTTTCGGGCTCTGATGCCTCCGTCACCGTCGACAGCAAGCTGCACTTCGTGGATCTGGCAGGAAGCGAACGGCTGAAGAACACCGGTGCTTCTGGGGAACGTGCCCGAGAGGGTATCTCGATCAATGCTGGTCTCGCGGCCCTTGGAAAAGTTATCTCTCAACTTTCCTCCCGTCAAGCGGGCGCTCACGTCTCGTACCGCGATTCTAAGCTTACTCGGCTCCTGCAGGATTCCTTGGGTGGAAGTGCTTACACGTACATGGTTGCTTGTGTTACACCCGCCGAGTTTCACCTGAGCGAGACACTGAACACCGTTCAATACGCGCAAAGAGCCAGAGCCATTCAAAGCAAACCGCAGATTCAGCACATCTCGGATGACAGCGACAAACATGCCGTGATTGAGAGACTCAAGGCGGAAGTCGCTTTCCTCAGACAGCAGCTTCGAAATGCCGAGGACAACGAGCGACGAAGCGTTGCGCCCCAAGAAAGAGCTGAACGACAGAACGAAAGGGAGATGGAGCTTCACAATCAACTTCTCGACGTCCAAGAGAGCTATAACGCGCTGAGCCAACGCCACGCGAAACTCATCGCCGAGCTTGCCCGTGATTCAGAACACCACCCCAATGGAGATGCCGACGATGTTGCTTCGGCCGTCGGTAAGAGCTCCGTTGAAAGGCTGAAGCGGTCCCATTCGTTCGCCGAATCTGTCGAGCAGGTCGTTCTGGAGTATGAGAAGACGATCCAGAGTCTCGAATCATCCCTGTCGAACACGCGCTCCTCCCTGTCGGTCACGGAGAGCACTCTTTTGGAACGCGAGACCAAATGCGCCTATGTTGAAACAGTCAATGCACAATTGCAAACCCGTCTCCAGAAACTCATGGACCGCGAGGCCAGCACAGAATCCTATCTGCACGAACTCGAGTCTCGACTGGATGGTCAATCGTCTGGGGAAGAGAAATACACAGCCATAATCGCGGAGCTGCGCAAGGAACTCAGCCGTGCACGTGAGAGTGAAGCTGGCTGTGAAGACTACATTTCGACCCTGGAGGAGCGTCTGGCGGAAGCCGACCAGGACATGGAGCTCATGCAGCGGGAGGTGGAACGCCTGGAACACGTCGTTGAGCGCCAAAGAAGTCTAGGTAAACTGGATAGTCTTCTCCATGAACTGGACCACGTTCATCAAAATGGCGTCAAACAAAAAGAGATCGAGGGGCTGAACGAGTCTCCTGTTCCAGCTGTGAAGAGCGCCCGCAATTCCCGACAGAGGGCGATGACTCTCGAAGTTCTGACCGAAGCCGCCGAAACCGCGATTCCCGAATCCGATGAGGACCTGGCGGAAAGGGTTCCGGGCATAGACGATGAAACCATCTCTGAGATGGAGCCTCTAGCCGAGGTTGACGACGGCTCTGATTTGGAAGTGTTGGAGAAGGCAACAAGCCGCATTGAGGTTGATTCTGATGATGAGTCTCGTGCCCCCTCTCCTAGCCTTACCGAATCGAAGATCGTTGCAGACAAGCTCGATACTGTGTCCCAGGAGCTCTTTGATCTCCGGCTCCAGCATGAGAACACTCTGACCCAATATGAATTGTTGGAAGCAAAGTACGAAGAGGCTCTCAAGGCGCTGGCTGGGCTAGAACGGGAAGCTGTAGACGAAGCGCTTGATGCAACAGTTCCCGCCCAGGGACCTGCCTCCACAACCACTGCCTCCCGGCCAGTGTCTTTTTTAGAGGATGCGAAGGCCCCCGACTCGAAGAGTGGAAAACAACGCTCGTTCTCGCAATCACTCTCCTCGGAGTTATCCTTGGTCGGGGAGTCTGCTGCTTCGCTAGAGCCCTCTAATGGCCCCTCTGAGCCTAGTTCAGAAGATCATGTGGACTCGCAGGCGTCCCGAAGCGAGAAAAACTCAAGAGAGATGGAGCATATGCGCCAGCTGCTGAATGAGCATCAAGAAGGTGTGAGTATCATGACACAGAAGTACGCTGAGCTGCGATCCGAGCACGAAGATGCTCTCACTCTGGTGGAATCTCTCAAGGCCGAGCTACGCAATTCTAAATCTACCTCCACGCCGACGACTCCCAACTTCAAGTCAAATGTCATTCGACGCAAGACTAGCCAGAGCCTTATTTCGACTGTGGACCGAGCGCATCGATCCCTCGCCGCCCTGCGAAATATCGCCGTGGAAGAGTTTGCGGGTCGTACGGATACCATGCAAAACTTTGAGGTCCATCTCGATTCCGCGATGCATGAGCTTCACTCGCGCATGGAACGGATCCAGTCCCTGGAGGCAGAGAACCAGAGCGTGAAAAAGGAGATGGAAACGAAAGCGACCATCATCTCTGGCCTCACTCGGGAGCGATCTAGTTTGCAAGGGGGTACGCCTTCCGCAGATATGGGACTTATGTCTCAGTTGCGGGATCAGGTTGTCCAGCAGGAAGGTCTGATCAACGACCTCAAGGAGGCGCATGAGGCGAGAGAAAAGCTCTTGCTTGAGGAGATCGAGGAGCTCAAGGATCTGCTCAAGACCCAGGAGGCAGCCGCCAAAGCTCAAGATGCTCACGTGGAAGAACAAGACAAGAAGATTGGTGTTCTTGAGGGCGAATTGACTGAGTGGAAGAGCAAGCATCAGAACGCTGTGGAATCCTTGCAGGCCTCCGAACAGCAGCTCACTGCTACCCTGGCCGAGCTCGACAGCGCATTGGCGACCATTGATACTATTCGCACCGACCGCGCCGCCGCAGATGAAACAACCGCCGCCAAGGAGGCCACTGCTAGAGAGTTGGAGGGGGAGCGGATTGAGCAGCAACGGCTGGTCGAGAGTCTCAAGCGGACCATTGAGGAGCATGAGTCTACAGCCGCTACTCGTCTCGAGCAGATTGCATCTCTGGAACAGTTACACAAGACGGCTCAGGGCCAACTCTCAGAGCTACTTGCCACCAAGGGCAATGATGGCCGCGAGGTCGAAGGATTTCAGTCCCGAATCTCGGAACTGGAACGTGAAATCCAAAACCACAAGTCAACTTCCGATTCTCACAAGAAGGACGTCGAGATCCTGCAGGATTCCCACAAGAAAGAATTGGCTGAACTCGAGGCCCGCGCCACTGCGGCGGCGCAGGCTGAATATAACGCGCGCATTGCGGAGGAGGGCGCGGAGCACGAAGCGGCGATGAACAAGCTGCGGGCTGAGATCGTAGAGTCGCGGGAAGAGCTAGCGAGACTGCTCGAGAAGGTCTCAGCGCTGGTCAAATCCGATATCACCGCTGATAATCTGGAAGACCAAATTCAAGATATCCTGACTCAGAAGCAGCACTTCTCTGATAAGTACGCCGAACTGATGGATGCGAATGAGGATCTCCGGAAGCAGTTGGAGGCCAAGAGCCGTGATGCCGATAAGCTACAAGAGCTCACCAAACGCGAGGCGGCCAAGGAAGCGAAGGTGAACGAACTCGCCATTCTCGTGGCCACACTTGAGGATACTCTGCAACGCAAGGATGAGCAGGTCAAGAAGAAGGAAGCGCTCATCGATGAGATTACCGTTGAGAAGGAGAAGAGCTTGCGGCTGGTGGAGGAACTGGAAGAGCAGATCACGAACAGCTTCGATCAACATCATAATCGTCTCTCTGTCATCCAGCAAGAAAGGGATCAGGCATTGGAGGATGCCAAGGGCAAGATCGTCACCTATGAGAAGGAGATCGAGACCTACCAGGTGCGGATCGAGCAGCTTGAGGTAAGTTCTACTATAGCAGAATCACTGCAAGAACCACAACTAATGGCTGTTCAGCTTCAAATCAAGAATAGCACCAGCCAGGACGGCTCGCATGATCGCAGCAGCTCCCTGACTTCGAACCTCCGCAAGAGCGCTTCGGCCGCTTCTCTTCCCTCGCCACCCCCTGCTATTCCACTTCCCCCTTTGCCGACTATTCCCTCTGGCACCAACGGAGGCGTGTCCCCTCCAAGCTCTCGTCACACCAGCAAGGAGCTAGTCAGCGTCCAGATGGTTGAGGAGTCGGAGGCCCGGATCCGCACGATAGAAAAACATCTCAATGCCGAGAAGCAGCTCACGGCCACCCTTGAAGAGGCGCTAGGTGATCTGGAAGCGCAGAGCAACAAGGTCAAGACGGACTGCGAAGCCTGGAAAAAGAAGGCATGGCAGCTGGAGGAGGAGCTCACCACTCTTCGCAAAGAACGCAATTCGCAACGACTTTCGCTCCAAGCCGTCGAGGAGGAGCGGAATGCCCGTCGCGAAGCCGAGGCTGCTCGTGCCCAGCTCGAGGAGCGGATGAATGCGCTGAATAAAAAGAAGAAGAAGAGCACTCTCAACTGCTTCTAGACTATCCTCGCCTTTCAGTGGTCTACCTCGATATCTTTTGTTTTGTGCCTCGGAGTGATGATGTTTCCCCCATGTTTCATCCCCAAGCCCCCTGTATTATGAATTCGACGTCGATTCCGCCTTTTTCATTTTCTCAATCCGTTGATACCTTTCTGTTATGTTGTTTTGTGTATCACGCTCCTCTTTTTGATACCTTTTTTACCTTCTCACGACCCGTTTACCTATGCTTCATCGGGCAAGGGATGGCCCAGGTTGATATTCCAATTGTACATTTCTACTATTATCCCTGTGATTATGTCCATCAGCTCTCTTGACTATATTTTCTGATACTCAATCAATTGTCATAAACAATGGATGGCACTCGAACTGGTTTACATGGATGGTAGCTGTAATTTTGGGTGTTTTTGCTTTCTTTCCGTATACGAGTTCACCTCAACCGGGTTAATCGCTAGCTAGTTATTTGATACCGCAATGTGCCATGACGGCTGTATTTCTTCTAGTTTGCGTGAAGGCGACTTGATACATTTTCTGACCTGAAAGGCTGGAGTAGATGAGGCTTCTAGCGATAAGAGATAAAGATAGATATGCCATCACATGACGTCGTGTCTCGTGGCTTCACTTTTCACGGAGATTCCTCCTCCATACCTCCAGACACCTCCATTTAATCTCCTACACAGGGAAATGACAGTCCTCTCTCCCTAGACCCAACGTCCAACTTTCGCGACCGCCATGACGCGCCTAAACCGCTCCAACGTCACCATCATCCACCCAGACCTGGGCATCGGCGGCGCGGAGCGGCTCATCATCGACGTGGCCCTCGCCCTTCAAACCCGCGGCCACAAAGTCACGATCTACACCTCGCACCGAGACCCGTCGCACTGCTTCGAGGAGGCGCGCGATGGGACCCTCGACGTGCGCGTGCGCGGCAACACGCTCTTCCCCGCCCACGTCGCCGGCCGCCTGCATGTGCTCATGGCCGTGCTGCGCCAGCTGCACCTGACCGCGGCGGTGTTGAAGGAACTAGCTGCGGCACACGCACACACCGAGAAGAGCAGCCCGTCTACGACGCCCGCCGATGATATCTTTATCGTGGACCAGGTCCCTGCCTGTGTACCGGTTCTGAAAACGTTGGGCCGTCGCGCGGCGCGCTCGCGGCAGCGGATATTGTTCTACTGCCACTTTCCGGATCAGCTGCTTGCGCGCCGCGACGAGGGGTCCTCGATGCTGCGGGCTGTGAAGAACTTGTATCGGTATCCGTTTGACTGGTTTGAGGGGTGGGCGATGAGTGCGTCGGATAAGGTGGTTGCCAATTCTAATTTCACGCGTGGGGTCGTGAGTGAGGTCTTTGGATCGCAGAAACTGGGGGATGTTCGGGTTGTGTATCCGTGTGTTGATACGAAGATCGATGCCCCCGAGAGCGATGCGGGTCTGTTATGGGGCGGGAAGAAGATCCTGCTGAGTGTCAATCGGTTTGAGAGGAAGAAGGATCTTGCGCTGGCGATCCGGGCGTATCATGGACTTGGGGAGGAGAAGAGGAAGGGGACTCGGTTGGTAGTTGCTGGTAAGAGCATCTTTTACTTTCGACTTTGATGAGAAAACTATCTAACAATACCTTGCCGGACTACAGGCGGCTACGACAACCGGGTCCAGGAGAATGTTCAATACCACCGGGAACTAGACGAGCTTGCTACGAGTTTGGGTTTGCAGACGGCCACCTCCAAGACCGTCATTTCTGCCCTGTCGATTCCGGATTCCATCGACGTTCTCTTCTTGCTCTCCGTGCCGACCGCTTTCCGGGATACGCTTCTTTCGCAGGCGAAGTTGCTCCTCTATACCCCCGTCAACGAGCACTTTGGCATAGTGCCTGTCGAGGCCATGCGTGCTGGGATCCCGGTGCTAGCGTCTAATACAGGTGGTCCGCTGGAGACAATCGTGGAGGGTGAAACGGGCTGGCTGCGCGACGCAACAGTTGTCGCGGATTGGACTGCGGTTATGGATCGTGTGCTGTACAAGACGGATCGGAAGGAGCTCGATCGAATGTCTGCTGCAAGCAGAGCGAGAGTCGAGAACAAATTCTCTCTGACTGCTATGGGAGACAGACTGGAAGAGGAGATCTCAGACATGCTCAGCAAGCAGAGACGACCGTTTAATGGGTTACATCAGGTCCTCTTCGCCTTTGCCGTGCTCAGCATTGTTTTGTCTATTTTTGCTGGTTTGGTTTTCAAGGCTCTTTAGATCTTATCAGAATACCCCTTTTCTTCTTCTTCTCTTGTATTCTAGCACTCTGATGACATGGGCTGGCGTTTCACCATGAAGCATTTAGATTGATTCTACATTCACGTGACTTCGCGCAATGTCGACGCGGAGGAAGGGCGAGACGCGCTTAATCGACTGAGGACGGAGAGAAGTCACAAACCCGAATTCATCTACCAGCATCGAGCTTGTGGCTCAAATCCCCCCCCCCGGGAAAATGCCAGAGGTCATCGACCTTCTGTCTTCGACTCCGCCGCCCCCAGCACAGCAGTTCCGACAGCCCTCTGTGCCGACGAGTCCTCCCTACCCGCCCCTCTCCGCCGCACCCCGACCGCTTGTGTCCGATGATGTCGAGTCGCTTTTTGCCTACGACGGCTATGACAAACCTGCCAAACGAAGACGGATAAGCGTAGAGCCTGAATCCCCCAGAAATTGCGATTTGCAGGCTTCCGCAAACCAGCTCTTCTTATTCTCCGACGACGATTTTCCCCTACCCTCCGACGGACCCAGCCTGAACCCACCGGCAAGGAACGACGAGGTTGAGTCCTCCAAGGATGTTGATATTCGGCCTTCTACGAAGAACCTTTTTTCATTCTCGGATGATCTCATCCTATCCTCCGACGGACCTTTTACGACGAAAACACCGACATGGGAAGGCGAGGTAATCGACTCTTCCAAACAGAGCGAGTCTCAGCCTACTAGAAACCTCTTTTCATTCTCGGATGATGTTATTCTATCTTCTGAAGGGCCCTTGAACATGGGGGAAACAACTTGGAATGGCAAGGAATCGGACCCCATTGTTTTTACGTCGTCCGCTCCTGAGCGGGGCGTGGAAGTCGCTCGTACACGAGACATGGCATCCCGAGGACTTGATACTATCACAATAGATGATGACGATGATGATAATGATAATGACAGACTTCTCAATGACCACGCCGCACAAAACGATCACATTGAAGACTTCAGCGATCAACTTGGGCTACCGGATATCGAGGAGATGATGAGGCACGCGAAGCCGACAAAATCTACCGAGAATCCTCTATTCTCTAGTCGAACGGCAGATTTACTCGCAAGTCTCGAGAGTCGCCCAAGGACTGGCAGTGGTAACGCGCAGAGACCAAGAACGGGCGGGCCTTCCAAGGCCAAGCCAGAGAACGATCTTCGCCTCGAAGACGATTTATCTGACGTGGTGGCCGAATCTCGCAAAGCAGTCCGGAAGCCAAGTAAGCTTACGACTGTCGATAGAGAGGCGAAAGCTCGTGAAAGAGAGGCTGCAAAAGCTCAGCGAGAACACGAGCGACAGTTGGAGAAGGAACGGAAGCAGAAGCTCAAGGAAGAAAAGGCCCGAGAGAAGCAGCTTGCTGCGGACCTGGCTGAGGTTAACAAGCTCAAGGTCGACAAGAAGGACTCGACTCCCGAGATGATCATTGATCTTGCCTCCTCATTCCAGGAAACTAGCGTAGGTAACCAGAGCGTCGAGCTGATGAAGCGACTCGGCGTGGAGCACACATTCTTCAGCAGCTCGATCCCAAATATTGTCAAATGGCGCCGAAAAGTGACGGCCAGGTTCAACGAAGATGCCGGTCACTGGGAACCGTGTCGGCAGCATATCAAAGAAGAGACCCACGTCCTCTGTCTCATCCCAGCCCAGGAGTTCGTCGACATGGTGATCTCACCCGCCGACCCAGCCACCAGCACAACCGACCTGGAACTCCACCTCCAGCGCATCAGAACCGCCTATCCAGCCTGCAAACCCATCTACCTCATCGAAGGGCTAGCAGCCTGGATGCGCAAGAACCAGAATTCCCGCAACAGAGCCTTCCAAGCCCAGGTCCGCCAACAACTCGACCAGCAAAACCCCGACAACGCCCCCTCCACCCGCCGCAGGAAACCCCCCGCCAACAAACCCGAATCCACCCCGCCAGTCGACGAAGATACCATCGAAGACGCCCTTCTCGAACTCCAGGTCACGCACGCCTGTCTCATCCACCACACCGGCACCGCCCCGGAGTCCGCGGAGTGGATCAAGAACTTCACCGAGCACGTCTCGACGATCCCCTACAAACGTGAACGCATGAACGGCAACGACGCCGCCTTCTGCATGGATACCGGGCAGGTGAAACCAGGCGAGGACAAGCCCGATACCTTCGTCAAGATGCTCCAGGAGGTGAACCGCGTCACTGCCTCTATGGCCTACGGTATCGCGGCGCGGTACCCCAGTGTCCTGGATTTGGTGCGGTGCATGCGTAGACATGGGCCGGGTATGCTGGAAGACGTCAAGGTATGTCATTCATCCCCCCCACCCCTTCTAATGATTCCATAGGGAAGGACATCAAATGCATAGACCTAACTGATCATTATCGACAGAAATCAGCAAATAAAAACGGTGCTCTGACGGACTCGCGGATTGGTCCCGCTGCGAGCAAGCGACTGTACAAGGTCTTCATGGGCCTGGATCCTTCCTCGACGGATGTCTGAATAGCGATATTGGATGTAGAGATATTGGCACTTGTTTCCTTTCTCGGTCATCGTTCTGGTTTGTCGCCGTCATGTATTTATACCCCATATCCTTTTCAGTCCTGTTTGCTTTTGCAGGTTGTTGGCATCTGTTAGAGTTGGCATGTGATAGAGTTGTATTTGAAATGAAGATATACGATCAAGGGAAAAACAAGACATATCAGTTTGTGTTGTGCTATGCAAATAGATGATTGAGATATGCCGACAAGACATCGATGATGATCAAGACCCTGAATACCAAACTCCAGACCCCGAGATCCAAGTATCCAAACCATATATCCAGATATCCAAAACACCAGGAAAATATTTCAAACAACGACACCGCTGCGCCTCCAGCCTCTCCACGCCAATACCCATGCAATCATGGCCACCCACACACTGAGGGTGCATCCAACGGCCCAGAACCCATAGCATTGCCAACCATGGCACTGGCCATCAATTGAGCCGTTGCCTCCGTCCGTGGCGTCCTGGTATCCACGGGAGTAGATGACACCCCACATCGTGGCGCCAGCGGCAGGGACCATGGCGACGATACCCCAGTTCGTGCCGAAGTTCTCCACGCCCCAGACGACCGAGACAATTATGGGGACCAGAGAGAAGGCACTACCATAGCCGAGGCCGATTAGGGCAGACGTGATGTGGGAGAGTCCGGGGTGTTGAAGGGGTAGAGGGGAGGAGAGAAGGAGATAGCCTAGTGATAGTAGGAGGGCAGATGGGAGAAGAAACATCAACCGTGAGAGAGTGGGCCGGCCAACGACGGAGCTGGAGGATGACGATGGACGGCCGGTTTCAATGTTCGCTGGAAACAGGTGAGTAGCACGGGGTGCGAAAAAGTCAGAAAGAGATCCCGTTAGCAGTCGGGCGATAGTCGATGTAAGTGCTATTGTGGTGACGTGGGTCGAGGGGAGACCTGCTGGAGGAGGAGCATTCGGAGGATATGATTCAGGCGTTAATGTTTGAATAATTGTGCCCAGCTTGATGACCGTTAGCTCGGATGCGACTTGGGACAAGATTTGGGCTCACGTTGTTGATGTATGCTTCTCCCGGACCAGTGACCAGGAAGAAGCCCAGGGCCAGCCACCACATAGTGTGGTCCTGGAGGAAGAGTCGAGTTTCATAGTTCAGCAACCAATTCTTCTTCCTACGTTCCTCCTCTTCCCTTTCCTTTTCCAGCTGTGCTGCCTGTCGCTCTTCTTCGGAAAGAGTCAATGTCAGATCTGCTTCCGTCACTGCACCGTCAATTGACTGGGAGAATGTCCCATAGGCAGCCTGCACCTCGCTTCGGGGTCGGAAGAATTCGCTCTCCTCCAGGAGTCCACTCCGTTCAAGCTCCTCGACCGCTTCATCGATGTACTTCTCCTCATCCTCGTCGACTATCCTTAGGCCAAAGGTACCAATGACCCCGAGACAAGTCAGGAACAAGGCAAGAAACACAAAGTACCGGAAGACATCTACATCTCCACGGCTCCCATCGTCTCTACGTTCACACAGTAGGTAAGTCCCCACCTGACTCTGCCACATACCACTTAGACCAAAGCCGGCAATGGGAACAGCGAGCATAATGCCCTTGTGCTTGCCCCGACCAAAATTCTTCGCGCACGTCGTCACCGCAGCGAGGTACATACAGCTTGTGGCAGTTCCAATAGCGACAAACGCGACAATCATCGCCCAGAACGGCCACCCATCACCTCCCGCATCAGGCGGTGGGCCACTCCTGTACGTAAACGCTGCGAGCAGATACCCACTGCCAAACACGAGACCCGAGGCCAAGGCCAGCGGAGATGGCGTGTACCGATCACAGAGGTATCCGAACAACGGAACGGGGAGGTACATTGAAACCTCTGCCGCAATCGAGACAGCATTCACACGGAGCTGGGTATAATGGAGTCGAGTGAGAAACAGAGGTCCGTACAGAGAGAAGGCGGTGATACTCCCAGCTCCAAGACTGAAATGATCTCTGCCGTCAGCAATTTTGCACACAGGTAGCAATCACGTTTTATAGGAAGTGGGAGAGGAGAGCCAACCAGCTGACGACCCCCAATATGAAGCTGCACACGCGTATCACCTCCTTCGCCATCTTCCGCCGGTCCCTCTCAACTATCTCATCAACCACGTTGGTAAGCAGTCCGTCGGTGCCGTCGTTGAGACTCGGGAAGGCCGAGAGCCAGGAATCTGGGCGCGATCTGCCTCGATCCTCATCATCTGCGTCAACGCCATGGAGCAAAGGTCGATTCGCATCGAAATCCCTTCTGTCAATGGCCGAGGGCCGGCCATCAGAAACGGTCATTGTGCCTCCCAGTCACCTAGTAGAGTCGGCACGCAAGGGGATAGCCCAATGCTATTGCGACGGCAATTGATTGTATATATACAGCAGGGCAAAGAGCCTCGGTTTTTGTGAGCAATATGCTTTCGTCGATCACCGTTGTATGCAGCGTTCACGTCTTTCAGCTGGGGAGGGAAATGATAGGTTGAGGAACCGTTATCGGAGTTCGGCTTTCTCTGCGTCCCGGCACAATTAGTAGATCATCATCAAGCCTCTGTGTACGTATATATAAAGAGTGACTATATAAGCCTGGTTGCTGAAGCGTGCATCGGAGACTGGCAGAAGTGAGATATATGAGGGTTTCGACGACGCGAGGCTGTTGTTGATGAGGCCGCAAGACAGGGAGGCACGTCATCCCTGGAGATACACCGCTTATCGCCGGTACACGTCACCTGATCTGAGTCGATGTCCCGTGATCAGGTCAATCAATCAATAATAATGGCTTCAGCCAAGTTCGATGAGAGACCCAGCTACTTGGGATGAGGAAGAACAGAATGATTGATCATAATAATTATCTCCTATTGATGTACACACTCAGAACATCCGGTTGTACCTATGCTTGCTAGTAACAGAACGAGAAGAAAAGAAAAAAAAAGGTCCAGGGAATCGGACAGGTTCCCAGGAGGTATAATCAATAAAACATGTCCGAGAAGAGAAACAAGGATGAAAAGGGAGGAACACAAGTCGAGAAGATCCGATGATTTCATTCACGCCATCAGAATGGAATATGCCCCCAGGTCGACAACCCTCCTCATGATGCTCCAGGCATTGATAGACAAAGACCCCAGGCACAAACATGGTACCATGATCAATCATAAGTATCGTATTCTTCGTCACCCCAGCGACCCTTTTAAGCACTTCCCCAGTAGATTCCCGTTTCAAGTCATCAGTAATTCAGCTACATGCAAAGGATTGCCCCCTCCGAAAAGAAAAAAAAAAAAAAAAAAAAGAAAGAAAGAAAAAAAGAGGATCGCGCGAGAGGCAAAAAAGCAACAGGGCAAGGAGAAAAGGGAAGAAGAGAAAAAGAAAAAAAATTAAAAAAAAAAAAAAACAGGGGAACCATAAACTCCCAAAATGTATGCAAGTAAAGATAATAGCCGACCCAAAGTAGCCAGGTGTATCGCATAGATAGAAGATCTGGCAGGAGGCGTGACCGATAACTCCGAATGTAGAAAATCCTGCAAAAAATGATGCAGGGTCAATCCAGGGACTTGCCTGTGGGCTAATCTGCAGAATGGCCGTGAATTAAAAGCTGACTTCTCCGGGATCCTCCTCCAGCACACTCTCATCCCAGAAGCGGTCGGTCGTTTCTTCACGACCGGAGTGTCTGGACCTAAGAGTAATAGCTTCACCTTCCCCTCGTTCAACGAACTCGTCTTTGGTGACCTCCTTGAGAATACGTTGGAAGTACATTCTCAGAGACCGCAGCCCACGTAAATAACCACGGTCAATGTCTTCCGGGTGCTGGGGTGGGCAGGGACAATCTGGAGGCAGCTCATCTTCGCCCGTCACGCAGTTTGCGAAGTCAACGACCTTCAAATGAACTTCGGCGTTGGTGTGCCCATCATCAGAGGCACGTCGATGCAGGGGTGCCCGCGTATTGCCATTTTGATTGTCCTCAGTCGGAGGTTCCTTCTCAGCAGAATTTCGTTCGCCATCGTAGAGGATCAGTAGGCTGCTTGCATACAAGCGATAACTCTTTAGTCGTCGAACCATATTCTCAAGCTTAGCCAACTTGTCCAAGATGACGGGAATCTTCTTTGCCACGCTTGTATAGCTCAATCCATCGTAAAGGAAGCGCGTAAGGGCATCTTGAAATTCACGTCCAGATTTGAGATCACGTCCGAAATATTTATCCTCGAAGGTGTATTCCTGCTTCTTGACATTCCAGGATTGCATGCCGCAAAGTCGGACGCCCAATTGCTGAGAAGTCGTCGTCTGGCACTTACGCCTCTGTGACTTCCTTTTCTTCTCACTGGCCTCAATCCCATATTGGCGAGTTCCCATCTTCAAATCTAAGACGCAAGGCTTGTTCATACCCGCGGTAAGATCCTCCAATAACAGGAAAAACTGTACCCTCTCGTCATTTCTGGTCTGTGCCTCTTTGGGGTTAGGCGGAACAAGCGCCACCTGGGAATCATGACTCGCGTCGTGATGAACAGAGGGCTTTGCGAATTTATCACCGATGGGGGCTAAAAGCGGGACGCCGTTACCAAGCCCATTCTTCAAACCCGCCACGGTCGGACCATTGGCCTCTATACGACCGGACGAAGACAGAGAGGCATCGCCTTCCATCGAAAAGATGTCATCTTCTTTATCACCACCATACCCGTCATCATCGAAGAACATTAGTTGGCCGCCGGGTTGATCCGAGTTCATGCTTCCTCTTCTCAGGAGGCCACTTCCCGAGTGACGTCTTCTGGCACGTCGCGTTCGAGTGAGTGAGCTAGCGCGGGGCTGAGTCTCCTCCGTCCGCACTTTCGCGAGACGACTATGATTAGAATCTAACGCGGTTGAGGCTGACGATGATAAGGCGGGGGTTTCTTTGAATTGTTCGGATATCTCAATAAACGAGGAGCGAGGTGCTTCGCCGTGGTCCGAAGCGTGGTGTCGCAGGCTCGTCGTGTGATCCTCCGAGAGATTCTCCCTCCGGTGTCCAGTGTCCGAGGATGTCCGAGGAAGGTTTAAATGGCCACGGGCATGCCGCCGGTGGTGGTGGATAGCAGGAGGACTGAATACCTCCCGAAGAACCTGCTCCTGCAGTTTCCTGTTGACAGTAGTGGCACCCCACATCTTGGGCTTTTCCAACGTTGGGTCAGACGCATTGCCCTGGGAAAGGCTACCCAGAGACTGCTTATGGCTAGAAATGTGATTGCCGTTGGTAAACCGTTGACTGCGTGAAGAAGGACTATCGGCGGTCCGAGGCCTTTGGCAGCGCGTGAAAAGATCGGCCGGAATGATGTGGCGATTGTTCTCCAGTATCACCTTTGGAATAACACCAGTGACTTGCTGATGGCTGAAGATTCTTGCCGGTTCAGCACTTTCAGACTGGCCGGGCTTGGCGGTCATTCCGTTTTGCAAGTCTTTCCCATCATTCGGGTCTGCGCCTCCATTCACTTGATCTGTGGGTTCGATATGGCTTTCTAAGGCCTTTGGCCGTTTTGGGTTCTTGGAGAAAGTCACATTCAAGACACCAATGTACCTGAGAGAACGAGCTTGTGTCAGCGTGCTAAGTCCAAATGACTAGGCATGAAGTATATTGGAAGACGGTCCGTAGAAGTGGCAGATGTCTCTTACCTAGGGAGAAACATTAGCATCTCAGGGTGGCGCCGCTCAATCCGCTCGTAGAACTCATTCTCCCGATTGTTGAGCTGTTTGCACACAGCGCGTCTTGAAAAACGAAAGACCGTAGTATGTCCACCCACTTGATGTCGATAGGGCTTGAGTTCCACGGCCCCGACAGGCGCAGACGTGCTGTGCTTCCGTCGTGGACGTGGGATCCGCGAACGTTGAGTTGGAGTGGCAGTAGGGGTCATATCAGCATCATCGGTCAAGCTAGATTTATCCTCTCTAGCCGAGACGCTACTATCATCCGCCGAAACGAACTCGGAGTCACTGGTAGAATACTCATCGCTGCGTTCCGATATAGCGCTGAGAGGGTTTTCATCATATGTTTCTAGTGCAGGAGTGTGCAGGTCTTGGAGCTCGCCATGAAGGATCCTACTGTCATTTTTAGAGCGGAGCGATATATCCACATAGCTACTCTCCTGCCCTGAAGGCACTCTGGGTGCTTTTGGCACCAGGGCCAAACTCTCTTCGAATCGCCCCACATCCGCCGATTCCTCAGGACAAGGCTGGGCGCGACTGACCTCTTCAGGGACAGTAACACGCTCATGCGGGAAGTAAACGGCCGACGAAATTTGTTCGTCGTCCTCGTCCTCCTGGGCTGAGTCCCGACGACGTTCTCGGATTGTATCCGATGGAGATAGACCGTCACTAGACACCCCGTCTGAAAAGTAGTCCCTGCCCCCTTCAGCGAATTGAGTAGGGATACTTTTCGAGAACGAAGTGCCGCGAGCGCCCCCTGGAGTCAGATGAAAGGATCTAATCTCCTCCAGCAGGCTGCGCGGTAATGGCTTTTGTGGACGTTTGCTGATAGCATCACTCTCTGTGTGGGGGCGCGCTTCACCCCTCGCTGGTTCGAACCGAGGAGCGTCTGCGAATGATGGCGGGGGCACACTTCTGGAGCTCCGCAGACCACTATCCGCGGATTTAGCTGGGCTCATGGGTTGCGAATGGGATGCGTCCCAGGTTTGACTGGGATCAAGAAATGCGGTAGCGACCGGGGATGGATCTTGCACGGGAGGCTCCTCGGGCCTTCCTTCGCGATCCTCTCTCCGTTTGCGATCTGGGGAGGTGGTGTTCTCCTTGAACAGGCCCAGATAGTGACTCGATTTGCGGCTGCGGACATGAGATGCCAGCTCCGCATTCGTCAGGTTTGCTTCAATCGAATTCTCCACCCTCCCACGTCGACTCCGGCTCGAACTTCGCTCCGGCCCGGCGCCAGTCTGAATATCCCGCGCACGTTGCTCCGGTTGGTCATAATGCGGGGCTGGTGTTAGGTGGTCTGGCGAGGGCGGCACGGAAGGACGGGTCGGCGGGTGGGCATCTTTCAACGAAGCGGAGATGAGACTGAGACTGGGGAAGGATTCCCCTAAAACAGGATGCTTAAAGCCAATACCATCCGACGAACCTTTGCCAACAGAACGCACGGCCTCCCAGACAGGGAGCTGACCGCTCCTGTCCGGATCCTCGTGCTGTTTCTCCCAGGCTACATCTGGTTTGATGGGCCGAAGCGTGGAGGAATGGACAGGGATGGAAGGCGGAAGGAAGGTAGGAGGACGAAGGGAGTGGTTTCTGTGGACGTCAACTTCCATGTGGGACCGATCGACGTGAGAGCGACGAGGGGAGACCTTGGAAGGAGATATTGAAGAAACAGACACATCGTCCAATCCCGGACTCAACTCGGACGGCAAAGCATTATGATCAGCGTCTTGTACGGGTGGAAATGTTGGTGTATTATTGGAATCGTAATCGGCGGGCAGATAATGTGTTGCAAAGATACTATCCCTCTCGGACAACTGGGGGCTTTGGGACGGAGCAGGACGAGACAGATGCTCTGCGGGAAGCGTTGAGGCCCTTTTCAGGGAAAAGCCTAAACTGGGCTTGGACCATTGATGCGCCGTAGGGGATTCGGCGCGGGAGGGAGAAGGAACTTGCTGAGCATCCTGATGCATGAGCTGGTGGTGGTGGTGTTGGTCTGGAGCGATGTGGCGACGGTGCTTGCGGGACGATGGATCGGGCCCATTAGAGCAATCATGTTGGGCAGACGCAGCAGGTGTCACCAGGGAGTCAGGCAAGGTATTCTCAGATGCAGACGGTGGGCTTGACATGGGGAGGACATTGGTTGGAGAGCTGCACGGGGAGAAGTAGTGGTGGTTGGAAATGATGGAAGAGAAAAAGGCGTTGACGAAGGAAAGATTATGGTTGGTGTTTCACCAAAGGCGGAAAGCAAAAAGGCTGAAGGAGATTCTGGCGTCACCGAATAATGCGTTAGTGAGTTTTTCATAGATAGATAGATGGTCGGAGCTAAAGTGACTGACTAGTATCCAGTAACTAATTAGTATCTAGCTAGCTGCTGATGCTGCTAGTAGATACTAGATAGATAGATCGATCCAGTTGGTTAGGCAGGGGCCGGGAAAAGAGGCAAAAGGAAAATCATCAAGAAAGATCAAGGAACAAACACCAAGCCACGTTCCGGGGAGATGTAATCTTACAGGTCAGGAATTTCGGCGTTGAACTTTGAACGGAGAGTGTAATCCAGGTCGATAATGATGTGATATTAATTATTGCTTGAAGGAGGATGAATCTATCCGGTTGGTCTACTCCGTAGCTAGAATTCCATATATTGGACTGCTTTATTGAGAGAGACAGAGAAGACGGAGAGGAGAGAGGGAGAGGGAGAAAGTACTCCGTAAGATAAGGAAGACAGAGAAATAGTATGAGCACTGAGGGCAATATGACGGATGTCGATAGTAGGGTAACAGTGTACAGTGTATGTCTCTTGTACGGAACAGTCCTCACGCTCTCTCTCGGCCGTTAGCAGGAGATAGCACCTGAATTGATAGTAGATAGGTGGTGATCGAGTGTGTCCTGAAAGATCAGTGGTTCTCAAGAGAATCAAATAGCGGAGGACTAGACTATCGAGCAGAAAAAGCGAAGGATTTCAATCGGATTCAATCCGAGCTGAGAGAGGAAGATCGATAGCTGGGAGATAGTGAGAAGAAGAAGAATGTTTGGCTGAACCGGGAAGAGAGTGATGCGGATCCTTGTCACCGCCTTTATGGGAAGCAAAAGATTTGAATCCTGGGAAGTAATAATAATAATAATGAGAATAATAATAAAAATAATACAATAATAATCCTGAATGAATAGTGGCAATTTGGCAATCCATCCTCATCCTTACACCGAGTGAAAGAATTATTGAAGATAAAAGATAGATGGATCCGATTCTATTGGCTTCTATTCCCATCTATCATAAGAATGGGTCATTTTTGTTCATTCTCTTTCATCGTGTCTCCGGCCTGAGTACCTGAGGTATCTACTTCTTGGCCCCCTCCCTTTCAACAGGCAGCAAAATAAATGAGAAGACGAGGTATACGAGTACGGAGTACCTGATACTAGGTAGGTTTAGGTTTCCTTGTGGCCGATCAGTCATACCAATGAGAACCACCGGTTCCCCGTCCCTATCCAGATTTCATAATCAATACTGAAGATTTCCCCAGAAAAAAAAAAAAAAAAAAATAGTTGTAACTTGTGGACTTGTGAGTTGTGGGTTCTCATTCTATTCCTGTTTGGGGCAAACCTCATTTCCGGCGTGTCTTAGTCTTTTAGATTCTGGAGTATCTCCAGGTCTCCACGCGGCTTTACGGAAAACTGACCACTGGAGGGAGTCATGGAGTCCACACTACACAGTATCTTTCTATCCAGATCATGAACAGAAAGGTGGCTTTGCCTCAATTGCTGCACTTGGACATTGTATGGAGTGGTCAGACCGTCAGAGGCACATATGTGCCCAGAAGATGCCCTTGTCCCAAACTGTGATGATAAGACGAGAATGTTGACCGAGATAACTTCAATCAGAACGATTCGCAGAGAAATCACCAGAGGTCCTCACATAACTATCAACGCTGCACCACACTATCAACGAGGATTCAAATTTGTGGAACGTGATTCCCGTTCGTACCACATTCCATACTACCCCGATATGCCTGGAGACTGGATGGCTCTCTCCTGGTGGTGACACTTGATACATCAGAAGCGACTGACTGAATGATATTTCATCAGCATCCAAATAGTCAATGCTCACATTCTTGGATTCCGGCCCAGAGCCATCGTCAGTCATGTTCTTCTCTTGGTCCCCTTCAGGCTCCACCAATTGCTGCCTCCACATGATCGGATCCAACCTGAGCCACCAATCACATGGCCACGTGATCAACCGGCTGGCCATCAGTGATCACGGTTTTCCCTTCCCTCCTGATCCCCGAGGCATTAATTATTCTGCCCACCCAGCCAGGTAGTAACAGTAACACTAACTAGATAACTGCCCGGATGGCTACAACCGGTTCATGTCCCGCCTTCAGGATACCTGATCAACAGGTTGCAGCCTCATCGGGCTTCTGGGTTCTTGTCTCCTCCACCTGCGTCATATTCCGATAACTGTTCTTCTGACCCTGCAGCGACCACCAGGAACTGAAAATCTGCTGCACTCGTCCGACCATCCCCAACGATCATTTGCATTCTCCATGAAGACATGTCTCTGAATGATCAAGTCTTCTGGCGGCCTCAAAGAGGGGTGCATCATAAGGTATCCTTGCGTCGCGACCCCGTACATTCGGCCCAAGTCCTTCATCCTAGTCTGGCGATAATGTCTGATTCCACATTATTGTCGGCAGCAGAACTATCTTTGCGCCATCATTCATCAGTTTTATCGCTCACAGCCTGCCGGAATGCTTCCTGGGGTTGATGTGAGTCATATGGCATCTGAAATGGGATATTACTTCATACAGTTGCGATGGGAAATGCAATTGATGTCTGGTTGCCCTCATATGGGCCTTCCTACATGCAGATATGGCTCTATACAGCCCGAAATACACATAGTGACTGCCTAGTTTAACTAACATTCGATACGAACTTATCGGGACCGCAATGCATTGAAGCTCATCTGAAGCTCTCTTACATTGCCGAACTACGAGTCTACGAAAGTACGCCTTGCTTTTGATTTCGGTTTTAGTTTGCGAGGGGGAGAACCATATGATTTAGCGACAGACCCCTAGGGTAGGCTTCGCTGTTTCTGATCTAGGTCTTCTCTCGCCTCCTGCGAACCTGTCTGGTACGTGGGGAGGATGGGCTTTACAAGTTGTACACATGAGTCCCCCCGGGGATGAACAATCTCAATGTCGTGGAGCGCTTATCTAGGTGGCAAGCGAAAGGCCGCTAGATCCCATTCCCTCGTTTCCTGTCCTTTGGAGGCTCGGTCCATATAATCTTGCTCATCCTACTCACGAACGCAACATTTAGCCCTGCGTCTCATCTCATTATTCCACCATGTTGGCAATCGCTATTCATCGCAGCTTTGAGAATCTTTCCAGAACTTGTTATAATCAATCCTATCCTGAAGAGATGTTGACAACCCCAGCACGGTCTGGTTTTTTTGGTATACGCAATCATTCCACGAAAAGAAAAAGAAGAAAAGAAGGAACCTGTCAGGTTTCAGACTCGAACGATACGCCATTGCACTAGAGGTGATGTATAGGATGGGATCTTTCTTTTGTATTTGACAGATTTCTTGCATTTTTCTCCCCCAGCCAACAACTCTGTGCACATGACAGCTATCCGTTCTAGTAGTTGGTTTCCCTCGTCTCCGGGCACCCTATATCTAGCCAAACCATTGACTCTACCACTACTTATCTCTCATCTACTCAATTGATATTTTATTGCGTTCACATCAAAGCTGCGAAGCATCTGCGACCACCCACTCAGAGTATTCACAAACTCACTGGCTGGCTTGCCTTCTGAGCAAACTCGAAATCTCAAATCAAAAGACCAACGCTTCCCAAAACGTTATCAAGATTTTGCGGCGTAGTGATCTTGCCTGCAGGAAACTTCTTATTTTGCAACTGTTATTGGTCGAATGAGATGTCCCAGCATCATTTAATGTGACGAGCATATTTCGGCGATGTGATGAGAACGAAGCCAACGGGATGTTCCGAGGGACCGCCAGGCCAACAGCCGCTGTGACTGGTGTGAAGAGATGACACCTGCTGCAGGCTAAGCAGTTGGCGCCACAAGCCCCCATCAACTTAACTCCAAGCATTGGATGCATTCAGTTCTGACCATTTAGGATGTGAGCATCCATCCCCGCAGCATGATGGGATGTACTTGCTGGCGCTTTGCCTCTCCACTAGAGGAAGCCTATCACTAGAAAGAGGTACGCTCTTAAGTATTATCGCTATCGCCCTGATCATCTGCTGGTCTTTTGCTTCCTATTTTCATCGTGTTTAAGGTGTCGCGTTATTGGCTATTGCCACTGCTGCCGAGGACTTCTTGCTCTCTTCGCTGATACTGTTGGGTGGGTGAGCGCAACTTCCGATGATATATACTTCACAAAACATTAAACACAACCACGATTATATACCACGCTATCGGAGAATTGGTAGTCGCCAAGGGATGCTTATGCTGATAGAGCATTCTTGGTTTTGATTGAAGGGGGCACTCATCGCGAAGAGAAAATATCACCACGATGAGCCAGCAATTACGTCTCGATACATCTGTTGGGGGAGGCAACCAGAGGTACTCTTTCATTCAGACGCCCTTGGAAATGCATGCTCCAGGTCAAGCAATTGAGCGACACCCAATACACCCAGTTCCAACGACAAGGGATGACCCTCAACCAGTAGAGCAACAAGTCACCGTGGCCGATGAAGTCCAACCGTCGTTCAATGAGAAAGCACATCTGCAGCAGGCGTCCATCGCGTCTGCCTATCCGCATAGTCCTCCTATCGAGCAGCATCCTGCGCACTTTGCTCCCTATGCAGAAGATCCCAGTCAGCAGCCAGTCGTGTACGATGCGGTTGTGCCGGCCTATTCACCTCGTCCCCAGTCCCCAGGACCACTCCCTGTGAAAACGAATCCTGAAGTCTCAGAACAGCCTCCAAAAAATGAAACAATTATCATCGCCCCGGATGCAAACCCACTGCACTCTCCTCAGCTACCACGATTCCCTCCGCCGATTGTAACGAATGCACCCCATACGCCTCTCCCATTACCCTATCATCAGCCAGGGCAGATCACCCACCCCAATCAGGTCGTCAAGGGCGGAGCATGGAGCCATGGCCTATGCGAATGTTCCAATATTGGGACATGTTGTCTTGGGTCATTCTGCCCTTGTATCCTGTACGGAAGAACTCAACATCGTCTTTCCAGGAAGTCGCGGAAAGAGGACCCGACAAACATGCTAGGTTATGAAACATGTAACGGATCTTGCGCGGCAATGGCTCTGCTGTGTGGATGCCAATGTAAGTCATGCGATGCTCTCATAAACATTTGAAACATGATTCGATGCTAACTCCTGGGGAAAGGGCTCCTCGCTACAGTCCAGCACACACGGACACGAAAGGCATATGGTATTAGAGGCGATGTCTGTTCAGATTGTGTCAGGGCAACATGTTGCACATGCTGCATCCTCATACAAGATGAGAAGGAATTCCAGACTCGGGAAGAGGAGCGCCAAAGAGCTGCGCAAGCATTGACATCGCCATATACAGCACCGATGCAGATGACATATGGTCCACTACAGTAATGAACCCGGGTTTGAGACGTTAGCTATGAATTATACCTGTTGATACCCACGAGCGATGACACTTGTACTCGTTGATCTCATATCACAAAGCACCCTCAGTGGCCGATGAAGGAATCTTGTCATCATGGCGGATGTCTGAAGACGCCGGTAGCGCTTGTGGCTTGTTTTATATCCTGTTGCATTCTTACGATATCCATTCCTTGCATCGAGCGATTAATATCATCGCTCTGGCGTTGGGCTCAATTTCTAGGCAGGGCCGCTTAGTCTGAATTATATCCCATGTTGCTCAATTTAACAATCTTTCCTCCCTTTCTCTTTTTTCAGGCAGGAAATGCAGATGGCTTCAGAAGTAGCCACAGCCAGTTCTCACACCCCGCTCCCTTCGTAAACACTTCACATCATCGACTGAATACTCCAAAGAGGTTTGACCAGATGCTGCTGTATGGCGCTGATTTCATCTCATTTATATCTCTCTTGAAATCCCATTGGACAACTTGAGACTATATACACCTATCACGTGACATACGGAGCGAGATGAGCTTCGCGTAACGCTACCCAACATCATTTCACCATTTACTCCCTTAGGATTATCTTGAGGAGCTCATTGTTCTGGAATGCAACTGATATGTTCGCAAGCCCGCCGACCCGGCCAATAACTATTTCAACCGGGCTTCTGAGGTCAAAATCAGGATGCAAAACTTGCAAGTAAGTGCTTGTCCCCTTTCCACAGTGAATGTGCAATGCTAACTTGCCTTCCAGAGTCCGAAGAGTCAAGTGCGGAGAGGAGAAGCCACGCTGTGTCCGATGTACTAGCACGGGTCGCAAGTGCGAGTATGAAGACGCAAGAGTTTCCCTACTCGACAACCCCCTGTCTATATCACCGAACACGGTATCGCGAGAACGTCGCGCTTTTGCCTTTTATTTCCAACATGCTGCACCCTTCGTCGGCGGTGGACTGGATGTTGAGTTCTGGCGCACCTCCGTCCCGCAGATCTGCCGCAGTGAGCCCGCTGTATGGGATGCCATCATCGCCATCGGCGCGCTATTCGAGAGTCCCGAGCCATACCCGGATTCCGTCTCTGTCCGCCGGGCAGGTGCGCGCAATGCCAACCAGAATCAGCGAGACGCGTTGGGCTGGTACTCGCGCTCGGTATCCACCATCCGCCAGCGGATTGAAACGGGTCACTTGGATATCTTTGTTGGATTGGTCACTTGTATCCTGTTCATCTGCATCGAGGCGATTCAGGGAGGTGTGGAAGAGTCGTTGTATCTATATGGCCAGGGCGTGCGCCTCATTCTGGCCATGCGCGCCCAGATTACTAGCGGCACCGTCTCGGCGACCAAGGCTTCTCTGTTAGAGGATACGATTGTTCCGATTTTCGTCCGTCTTGGGCTGCTCGCTCTTCCCATCTCGGGTGTTCCGGTGAGCCCTCTGCTACAGGGTACTGAACATCTGACAATGCAAGGATTCGTCTCTCTCAAGTCTGCTCGGGATGCGATCGTGTTTCTATCTGCGGAGGCACAGCTTTTCCAAGACAGATGCATTGAATATTTTCGGACTTCTCATGCATCCCATATGCCCCAAGAATGGATACATGAGCAAACGGCCCTATTGACAAGGCTCAGGCGCTGGCACACCGCGTTTACTAGCTTGATGGATTCATTACGCGCGAAAGATACCCTCTCTCCACAGCAGATCGCGACCAGTGCCCTTCTCTTGAATTATCATGAAGGGATATATATAACCATATCAACTAGCGCATCGCCATCACCGACCAGCACCGATGCTTATGAACCAAACTTCCAAAATATAGTCGACCAGTCTCGTATCGCTCTGAGTGCTTCGATGCAGTCAGACGGCACACAACCACCATTTACATTTGAAATTAGCGTCGGTCTTCCACTCTGGTTCACCTGCCTCCGGTGTCGCGAACCGAGAATCCGACGCACCGCATTATCCCTATTCCGCCGAGTGCCTCGTTTTCAAGGCTTCCAGAACTGCCACACCGCTGCAATCTTCGGTGAACGGATTATGATGCTGGAAGAAACATATGCGATGGCGATGAACGAAGCTCGAGGGATTATCGATCCCACGACATGGGAGCCAACGAGGACTCCCTCTGACTATCAATCCCAGAGCCCGGAGAATAGCAGCGACCTTCTCGAATCAGAAATTAGCAGACAATTCTCCATTCCAGACTCTGCATATGCCCCAAGCCTGTCCCCCGTGCTTCCTGACTCGGGAACCAGAATACCCACCGCCGTGCTCATTCCAGAAGAGGCACGCATCGGACCCATACATCTTTTCCGGCCTCAGGATGGTCTTCCTCCTGGAACGACTGAGAAAGACATTGCGAAGTGGAACCGAAGGCTTGACCAGACGTTTTTGCGCTTTTCACGGAAGGAGCGTGATTTGGGCAGTCATACTTGGCGGACAGTCCACGAATATATCCCTATTGATCTGTGATCCACGCAGAGCCAAATAGGTGAGTTCTATTAGCTGTCTGCGGATAAGTAGCCAGGGGCTTTGGGTTCTAATCTGGCAGAAGAGGCTGATCTTTTATGATCCGATGATTATCGTAGCTGGACAAGCTTTGGACTGAGTGGCCAGACAGCGCAAACGATGAGCATCTTATTTGACTGTAACATCGTAATACTCTAAGGTTGAACTTGCTGGAGCACGTTGTAACCAGCTGCTCGGATGATATACTCCTGCTCACATGCATGCATCTGGCTGCCGTGAAACCCCTTCTTCAGGGACTTCTAGACTCCACTTCAGGGACGAAAATTTGATCAAAGGCTAATATACAGATTCCACCTCGCAATGACGGAAGCCATAATATAGGCGAGAGGAATATGGTGTCTAAATTTCGATGAGGTGACCAGACCAACGATGCACACCGTTTGATATCGTCACTCCTCTGGAAGTAGCCTGCATTTTTTCTCCATCTGCATACTTGTATAGATATAACTTGCCGACCGAGTCAAAAACACTTGTAGCTAGATAGTGAAAAGCCATCTGAACAAACGCTGACAAGCTGACAACTTGGCTCAGTCGATCACAGATCTGGACCGAAGTGGCGGATTGTTCATCGAATTGTGTGTGAGACTTGAGTCTTGGCCAGCCGACTCTCTCCTTTCGCCTCCGCATCTCGACGTTCGAGTAAGCACGACCCAACTTTCGTTATTTGACGACTTCCAATATTCCCAGTCTCATTCTTAGTCGATCTTTGGCTTCAAATCGATCGTCAGTGTAGTGGATATCGATACTTGATCTTCTGCTCGCACAGCCAATTCGCTTGTTGCCACCGTCGTACAGACGCTGGAAGAAACCCTCCACGGTTGGATCACCAACGAATGACCACATTTTCAGAACATAGCACGACAAATGGGGGTCTGACGGGCTCCGTTCATCAATCTGTATCGATCAGCTCCACGAGAAGACGTATTCGAATGATTTTCCGGGTTTTATGATCCGTTTGCGAACGAAGACGACGTAAAGCGTCGCATCAGTCTGCCTGAATATGGGGGATGCTCCTCATCTGACTCCCCGCCAAATATGGGCTAATCCCACGACGACGACCACCAAGTCATATTCCCCAGGCTGTACTCCGTTTCTGCTTCCCAGTGATGGTATGTTGGTTTTACTGTGCTTGTTGACGTGTTTGAACCTGCCTTTTTTTTTTTTCTTTTTTTCTTTTTTTCTCTCTCTTTTCCGCCATGTTCTGCGGCCATTATCGCTGCATCGTGTTCTCACTAACTCCTGCGTCTGTTGCGCTTGTCCAGGCTACGTCTACCTCAATCGCTCCTTTGCTATCACCCTCACGGAAAATGCCGTCTTTGAACCCGTGTGTACGAGTCAGCCTACCGATACCAGACAACCATCCCCTGTTCTTGATACCCGCGATCCCTTCTACTCCTCTGTGACGCCACAGCTATACGCCATCGGTTGCGCGACCGTTGTCAGCTATCTCCTCGTCATCATTCTTCTCATTACGCCGCGCACGTTCTATGTCGGGGGCCCTGGAGGCGGCGCTAACTTTCTCGGTCGCCATGGTATGATCAGCGGATCATACAGCGGCAATTCCTCGGTGGTGGGCGTTGGTGGAAGACCGTGGCTGCAAAAGGTAGCTGCTATTTTGGTCGCAGTATCTTTGACTATAGCATCTGCGGATTCGTTTCGGGTTGCCGAGCAGCAGTACATATACGGCTATTCCGATGCCGAGGCGCTCACAGAAGAAGTCATCGATGGCACGGAAATCCGCGTGGTCAGAGTCATATCGAGCACGTTCCTCTGGCTTGCGCAGGTGCAGACGCTGATTCGGCTGTTCCCGCGACATAAGGAGAAAATAATGATCAAATGGGCTGGGTTCGCGTTGATAGTGCTGGACACCATTTTCAGCATTCTGGATAAGTTCTTGGTCAAAACTAACACGACGCGCCCGCGACTTTACGATGATGCGATTCCTGCGCTCAGCTATCTGTTCGAACTCGCGCTCAATCTTTTATACGCTGCATGGGTTATCTTCTACTCGTTATCTAAACACCGATATGCCTTTTTCCACCCGAAAATGAGGAACATCTGCTTGGTAGCGTTGCTGTCCTTGTGTGCCGTCCTCATACCTGTTATTTTCTTCGTCCTCGACATCGCCAAAGAAGAGATTGCCGGTTGGGGTACCTACATTCGTTGGGTTGGATCCGCCGCTGCAAGTGTTGTGGTCTGGGAATGGGTGGAACGAATAGAGGCTCTCGAGCGAGATGAAAGGAAGGATGGTATCCTCGGCAGAGAATTGTTCGATGGAGACGAAATGTTAGAGGTCACCCCATCTGAAGAGGTTGACTGGCCACGGCAACCCTTCGGAGGGGGCGATAGAGGTGGAGGAACTGGCACGTCTTCAGGTTGGGGAGGCGTTATGAGTCTGGCACATCGACCTTTGCGTACCCGTGTCGGCCTGCCTCGTAGTAACCGCAAGCCAGGCAACCAACGCAATGGAATCGCCGCCAACTCGCGAAATCGAAGAGCAGCCCGGCCAACCCCGCCCCCAGCGGCGGCCACACCGGTCAGCCGGGCCGATACCACGAGCGCAGCCAGCACTGTTTATAACGTTCATTACCATCCAGTGTCTAGCCCGACCCCACCTGTTGCCATGCCTCACATGGAAGAAGAGGATGAGATGGATGAAGCCGAGGTGAAGGAGATGACATCAACCATACAAGAGGGACGGTCCGACATAGCCCACCAAGGTCTCTCGGAACAGCAGACCCGAGAAGAATCGCCGCAGATCATCACTACGGATCATCGATGGCGAGATGTTCTGAATCCTTTTAAAAAGAGGCGTTCGTCTTTGCCCAGGGAGGTTGCATCAGCTCAAGCAGATGAGGATCCTTCAATGACACAGGAAGACCTGTATGGCGACGACGGTGACGAGACCCATGCTACTATTTCCAGAGTTGGAAATGCATTCTCCTTTAATTCAATGGCGAGACCTGGATCTGACCGACGCGGCTTGGACTCTTCTTTGCCTGTCACAGTCATTCCAGCGAGACGACGGGGTCAGCACACCTGGTCCCCGCAGTGGCTGAACGATTCCAACATTCTCGAGCCGACGTCAAATCGCCGTTCGCGGCTTGATCGTCCGGATTTGCCAGTGAAGGTGATCCAGCCGCAAGCGCGAACTGCCGCACCGTGGACGGAGCCCGAGAGAGACACGATCCTGGGTAGGAATTACGAGCTGCGCTATGATCCTGAAACTGCGGCGCTTGTTGGGTTTGACAATGATCTCAACCAGCACCCAGCTGAACATCAGAGCACAAGCCACGGCGCTGGAAATATAACTACAGACGAGATGACCGGCGGGCTCGAGCGATTGGATTCCCCTACCAGCCAGCATAGGCGCTTTACGCCATCGAATGACCCGTTGCCACTATCGCCGCTAGAGCAGGAGCAGCATCCCCAGCCTCGCCAGACACCTAGGGGTGATCCTCCAACGGAAGACCACCTACGGACGCCGTCATGATTGCTTTCATAACCCTTTATTCGCCCGCTCAGACCGCTGGAAATTCGTCTATATGGCTCGATGCCATCAAGCCCTCTTCTTCTTTCTCTTCTTTTTCATTTTTGACTGTTATTTAGCGAGGAGTCATGGTTCCATCACCTTACGGTGGCTATACCACATGTTAATCTGCTTTTCTTTCTCTCGATGACTCCGCATCGCTGCGAGGGCTGGAATGGGCCCCTACTGGTCATTATATTCCCTGACAAGCATATCCTTAGAAATGCATTGCACAGTTCTGGAACGCGTGGAGGGGGAAAAAAAAAAGGAGGGAGCATTTAGCGGGGGGGGAAGGAACATTTTCGCTATACAAAAGATACCCTGGGATTCTTATATCGACCAAATAGTATATATAATGACATTTTCTGATGCTGGTTAGACCACGGAGTACTTCTGGATGTCTTCACTTCCATTCCATACTTATGAGTCACTAATAATGTAGCTGATTTAAGCTTCACAAGCCACTTGCTCGGGAACTTTTGGATCCGATTAGATCGAAAAAGTCGCTTTTCCCGCTTCCGCCTCAGCCTCCTGAGGAGCTGTCATCAACAATCTGCGGCAACCTCATAGTCATCGGTCAGACCCTCGATGCCTACCAGCTTTTTCTTCCGAGATCGAAGTTTGTGTCAGTCCATGCCGCGACCCGATCGCCGGACGTCGCATCATGGCGGCAGTCAATCGGAACATGTTCGACGCTAGTATCACGACGGAGCAGCCGCATGGTGCGTCATTGCTGGTTCTGCCGCTGAATCTGATAGCTCTGATTATCTCCCATGTTTGTTGTCTCCGCTCTAGCATGCGATCGCATGCTCGTGGACCCGATAAAGGGATGAAGGCTGACAAGATGGTTTTCCTGCCGAGCAGCTCGATGACACCGGCGACATCGCCCGCCTGTGCCGAACATGTCGCGTCCTCAACTACATGACTCTCCCCCAGCTCTACAAGAACATCACTCTCACCTCGTACGACAAGATCCGTTATCGCGGCGATGAACCAGAAGGCATCGGAAGCGCCAGCCCCTTCTCCATGGGCCTCAACGCGGTTATCACGCGACCGTACGCCTCGCTGGTACGCTCGCTGACGCTGCGCGGCGACTGGCGGGAGAACGAGCTGGAGGAGCACGCGCGCGTCGGCCGCGTTCCCGACTCGTCGATGATGCTGAACATCGCCGTGCGGGCGGCCATCGAGCGCATGACGGAGCTGGAGACCTTCCGCTGGGAGCTCAGCACCAAAATGCTCGAGACCGTGTACCTGGGGCTGGCGCAGCTGCCCAAGCTCACCTCGCTGACCGTGCGGTTTCCCTCGAGTCGGCACCCGCGGCCGACCCTCGTCATACCGCCCATGCCGCATCTACGGTCGCTGAAGATCACGCATATCGATCCGCTGTGCTATCCTGATGATATCTCGACGCTGCTGTGGAAGGGCAAGAGGCTGCGCGAGCTGAAGATGCACTGGTCGCCGCGCATGCGCATCGAGCAGGAGCCCAGTGTCATGCTGCATGACTATTTCCGCAAGTGTATTGCTGCCAGGCAGCCGTTGAGGTTGAAGAAATTGGCGCTGCAGAATCTGTATGCTCGTCATAGTGAGGATTTCAATGCTGCGATCGACCCGAGTACGCTTGAGGAGATCACGTTTCTGAGCGAGAGTGCGGATAATGCGAAATCTCTCAACACCTTCTTCGATAGCAGCTGGCCGACGGGTCCCCCAACGCACGATGTCAATGTCAAGTCCGTTCGGCAGGACTCCACCACCAAGAGACATGCCGAGTTCTTGGGACACTTTACTGGACTCGAGAAACTGTACTTTGTCAGTGCATCCCGAGATGCAACTGATTATATCAACTCCCCTCGGCGACTATTGCCATCTTCTGCGCTCACGCCGCCATCTTTAGACCACTCGCGTTCTACCTTGAGTGCCTCCACCGATAATACCCCAGCTGCTTCACCCAGCTCGAATTCGAGCCTACAGGCCAGCATCCGTGATAACTACCTAAATACTATTATGTTGAACCATTCCGCAACTCTACGCCATCTCCTACTCCCTTCGCATTGGCCACTTTCCGCGTCCACGATTGCTCGTCTGGTGCACGCCAGCCCGCAACTGGAGCAGCTTGCTTTCGCAACCGATGTCTCCAGCATGGACACGTTAAGTCTTGTCCTCCCCTTTCTCCGCAATCTAGTTGCATTACGCCTTCTCGTCCCTGCTGGCACAGGACCGACGCCGCCAGCGTCAAATGATGCTCCACGCACCGCCAAACCTGTTCCAGGGCACTCTCAGAAGCCTTTCTCAGTCACATCGCACATATTCAACTCAGCGCGGACGCTTGCCGATATCGTCGAGATTGACGACCAGATCCTTGTAGACAAATTGAGCGAGTCCCTAGCTGATCAGCAGGTTTTCCGTCAGTTGAAGATTCTAGGCATGGGCCGCAAGGCCTGGCAATTGGGCGATTATTATACTATTCCCGCGGACAGTGTAGCCCCCAATCCAGAGCCTCAGCCCGCAACGCCCACTGTGGCCTCAACGGCCAGCCCGACTGTCAATGGACAGTACGACAGCAACTCCGCAACGAACGGCCAGAATTCTACCTCTCAACCCCAAGCGAACCCGCTCACACCCAGTGATCCTCCGTCATCCAGCACGAGGTCCCCCCGAAAGGCCAGCCAGCCTCCATCCCTACTTGGCAAACGCCCGCGCCAGAACGAGTCTCCGCCTGTGCATCCTGAAAAGAAATGGGAACCTTGTCTGAATGATTTTGGTCCATGCATCCCCACTCAGGCTGTCAAGGATGGTCGTCTCTGGAGACGACGCGTCCGGCGTGTGGGGTGGGAGGTGTTGCAGCATTGGGAGATCTGGGCTCTAGATTCCCAAGATATTTGATCATGACCAGCTAAGTCGATGCATGTCTCCTTGCCCATTATATTTCTCTGGGCATTGTCTGCATATTTGCATCATACATGATGTAGACGAATCTCCCCTCGATTGATGATTATGGAGTTTCATTGGATATGCGCGGGCAGCAGGTTGGGTGTTATAGTGCTTGTGCTTGTTGGTTGGGAGGTCTTTCACTGGCTATTCATTCACTCTCCATCTCCTTTCCAGGTAAGGCTTGGTCATGTCCCGTGTATAGAATGTCTTATTGTATCTAGTGAATATAACACAGATCTATAGTGAACAGGCCTTCTTTGTGACGTGGCCCTTCATGCCGGTCTCTAGCAAGTTATATAACCTCCACTTTCTCTTCTCCTTACCTCCTTTCTTCTACATTCTCATTTTCAACAGAATCATTAGATTGGAGATGATCCCTTGACATTCCTCCCGATCTAGTAGTAACATCCATGTCATTTCCTGTCTTCAGCCACAATGGAAACAGCAAACCAACTAGCCATCACGGACTAGGGCATGGGCAAACCAATTGACCAAAGACGCGAATCCCAAGAAGTGAAGGAAGAGTCAGCTTGAGTTCAAGTCAAACAAGGAGAGAGTCGATGAGATATTACGCCATTCCGAAGCAGTCGGAAATATTGATAAACGGACATGTGATATTGACGACCAACCCGACGACGATGACCAGAAAGAGGATGGCAACACCTCAGTAACAAGTGATACGGAAGATCCCAAGTTACTGAAGATCAAAGACATGATTTGGAAAAGGCTAACCAAGCCCGTGAATGTGATCCGCCTGCTCCCAGAGAAGTTCCTTATGAAGGTCAAACTCCCAGCAAACACACCATTTTGACACTCTGGATGAACCACCCACCTGGAACGAAATACACATGCTTGGCATAAAAGCAGGTATGACGAGAGCATTCAGAGCAGCCTGTACTACGCCTTTGGTTTTCCCAGCTTCTGCCTATGAAACGGTCTTCCTCCGACTTAAACTGTCGAAACCATGGTTTGAATGCATTGACTTCAAGCAGATGGATGGAGTGTAGCAACACGGTCAAAGCCCGTCCTCAATATACGGCCTAATCGCACGATCATCATGATCAATCCTCTCGTTGCGGCCGCTAGAGACGGCGACGGTACCAACGAGGAGGAGATAAGAGACAGCTGGTATCCAACAGTCGCTGCCTTGCAGTGTTCACTTGCGGAATTGGTAGTCTGGCGAACATGGCGCCCAATCCCATAATATTCAACATCAAACCCAACAGTGATGGGTGCTGGTCCGTCCCCGGCGCTATCCCCGACTCCATCAAGTGCATCAGAACATACATGGACTAGTGTGGGAAGCAGGTGTCTCCCCCCTCCCCAGCCAGCTTGTGCAAGATTTCTACTGGCGACACTATCCTTTCGCACCAGCTTGCCGCCGCCGTCACGGACCAGGCTCTGGTCCGCACCTGGATCACCGGGAGCAGCAGAGTTGACGAAGGGCTGTCGATTCGGGCTCGCAACTGAAGAAGGACAACCCATGGAACATGGATCATGGATCATGGATCATGAATCACCTACGCCATCCGTTCGAATTAGCCGTTGACACAAAATCAGAGTCAGCACCCGATCCGAATGGGGATTACAATGGGCATCGCAATGGCGAAGGCAACTTAATTCCACTAGCCAAAGCGGAATATTTGGTGTCCACTTTCCATTCCGCAGAAAGCCTGGACGATATGCTCCATGAGCTTGGGGACGATCTAAAGAAAGAGTTCCGCAAGTTTGCGGCCAAAACGAGACGTGGCCAGCGCAACGATGCTACTGTCCTAGATGTATTCCGACCATCTCGACTTCAGGGGCTTAGGGACAGTGGGCATGTGCATTTCGGGCTCGGGGATGCGCTGCAGTCTGTGTGAGGAATATGTGACGATAGTGGATGTTCGAGTTCAGAGGCTGGTTTGAAGAAGAGGGAGGGGAAGATTGAGGTTATCAAGAAGCTGGAATACCCGTCTAACGCTGCTCAGCTGGAGGCTGGCCTAGGGCTGTTCGGCTATTACCGCAAATACTGCCTTGGCTACTCTTATGTCGTAGAACTGAAATCTGTGTAATACCGCTACACTAAAAAGGTATCCGGATTCTAGTTAGTGGGATATACAGTATTCCATCTACGTTGGCATCTTATATCGCTGAACGCTTGGAGAAACTCAAGACCAACCTGCTTAAAGGTGCCCCCTTCAAGGGCGGCAAGCAATAGCTGGATACTTTTGATCTTACTGTCCAATCGAACGCGCGGGCATGGTATAGTGGACGTGTCAGATACTAGCTATGGATCATCTCATATCTCATACCTCATAGGAACCAATCCAAACGGTATTTCCTCAATAATATCCCTGTTAAGTGAAGTTCTATTCCAGTCGAGGCAGCCAGATACCACGTGCAGCACAATTTACAAAATATACCGAAACCCCCTTACTCCATTCGAAAGCCCATTCTGCAGGCCCTGGACCGCCTCCCTCTCGTCCCTCTCAAGCCTCTTATTCTCGCGAGCCAGGATGAGCCGCATCAAAGTCCCCAGCAACGTCGCCACCACCAGCAACCCCACGCAGATCCCCAGCGCAAGGCGGTAACGCGGCCAGTCTGCGTCGCGATACGTAAAGGGCGTCCAGATACTCGCGGTGTTCCCGACCCCGTTCATAAAGGCAAAGATAACGGCGCGTTTTGCTGGGGGCCGGGGCACGGTGCTTGCAGCCCAGCTGAGGACGGTGCCCATCATGCAGGCGCAGAACAGCATGAGGAAGGCGGCGAAGTATTTTGGGCCGAAGGCGTCGACGCTCATGAAGGTGACTAGGCCGGCGATGGCGATGGGGGCCGGGTAGAGGAAGAACCAGAAACGGGTCTGCAGCTTGTCGCTGAAGAAGCTGTGGATGTAGCTTATGATCGTTATGAAGAGGAACGGGGGCGCCGCGAGGAGGAGGGAAATGGTGTGGTTGTAGCCGAGGGATGTAGTCAGCGTTGGGAAGAAGTTGGTGGAGCCAATGGCGCCGCAGAGGCAGGTGTACATGGCGACGAAGATGTAGGCTTTCGGGTCGGTGAAAGCGAGTTTCAAGCCATGGAGTTGGGAGTGGGCGCTGCCCTCATCGACGTCGGATTCGGCGGCTTGCAGTGTCATCCGTCGCATCGCTGGGACCAGGTCAACGGTCATAGTCTCTGTCTATCTTCAGAATCATGAACATACCGACGTGTTTCATCTCGGGGGACAATGCACTCCAGTTCTCGGGGAAGTCTGGCAGCAGGTACCAGGCTATGAGACCGGCGAATATGGAAACTAATCCTGATGTCAATTGATCTTATGTCTACGAAATTTCGAGCGACTTACTGGCTCCTTCAATGATGTATAGCCACTGCCAGGCGGAGAGTCCCCGGTCACCGTCCATCCCTCTCAGGATAGCCGCAGCTATGAGGCTCCCGAAGGCATTTGAAATTAAAGAAGCGGAGTAGAATATGCTGATGCGCATATTCAATTCACTCTGCGTATACCATTTCTGCCCTAGATTAAGCACAAGCCGTTGCAGAAAAGGTCTCTCTTACCGAAAGATAGAAGATAATCCCGGGGAACAACGGTGCTTCTGTACGGAGTCCCCAGAGGCCAAATCAGTAATGGCCCGATTCTACAAAACTGTCCAGAGACTGAATCATACCAACGACTCCCAAAATGAACCTGCAAGCAGCAAGAGATCCATAGCCTTTCACCTGCGACGTCAAGAGCGTCACCAGGCCCCAAGAAACACCAAATATCCCAATGAAACTCGACGGACGCCCCAGGTAGTTTAAGAGCATATTCGACGGTATCGGGCCGAGAACATACCCAACAAAGAACACCGAGAGACCGACCTGATACTGCGATGTAGAGAGGTTGAGGTCGCGCTCCAGCCCCTGCAGACGAGCCGCGGTATAATTCGAACTGCCCTGTCAGCTGAGGTCCGTTCGAGAGGGTGGTCGTCCACTATACCGATCAATATAATTGAGAAGGTAGACCAGCATAGCGATGGGCATGATCCGAGTATCCAGCTTGCGCCGTAGCTTGGGCTCGATCTCTCGCTCATCCTCGGACAGCGAGTCAACGACAGGCACCGCCTGGCACGAGATGCTCGCATCATCGAACTGGCTCTCCTTGTGCGCCATTGCTCCCTATGTATTTGTGATATAACTTCTTGAAGCCATGTCGCCACTCACGACGGCCCTCCTCGACCTTTGTATATACTTCCATAGCGAGCTGTGGCTAACCACCCAAATATTCGGTGTTACCCTTCGTTCGTCCCTTGCATCGAGTATGCGGTGCAACCGTGCAAGGCTCAGAAATGTGAGGCGTCTGGATACGCTGATTCGTCACTATCCCCAGCATTAGCGGTGAGGTCTTCTGGACACTGAAGATTAGACGATAATGGCTTGTAGTTGTGGTGCCGTACAGATGGAATCTGCAGTGATTGTACTTGGCCACGAGGATCATTTGATCCCTTGAACAAGACTCATCTTGTTAAGATGAAGGAGGAGAGAGATCACAGCACAATTGGCGCTTTTCTGTGTGATCTGAAGCGATTTATTACGCAACCAGGCTGTGATTTTGTTTTTCTCTCGCGAATATATATTTCGGATGCTCTCCAAGGACTTCGACATAGATGGCCCCTGCTGATACTGTATGCATGCATCATTAGATGACCTCGATACAAGTGGTACCATTGATGCGAATCTAGATCGACAAGAATTAAACGACAACATGATATGATGTCTTCATGAAAATATTGCGATATACACAGTGTTAATTCAGAAGAAAAATTAAGGAGATATGTATAGATATGAGCCTTGGCGGCTCCCTCCCTATTCAGGAAATTTAGTAAATGGAAAGCAGAATGAGCCATTAGTATAGTCGACTAACGCGAAGATGCTTGCAAAAATACATTCTACTCGGAAAATTTATAATCGGGTCTTAATTTGGAAGCCCTGTTCCTCATCTATAGCATTCTCTTAGAAGGAAAAACAATCCCCGGGAAGTGAATCGCATTGCTGTTCTAAATAGAGGTCATGTACAAGAATAAAAAGTTTGAAATGATGATCGCCTTCACAGAAGATCCCGCAGCTACGGCCGAAGCTGGAGAAGCAGAAGGGAAAGTAGATGCTCACGGAGCATGTACTCTGGCGTCAAGCGCTTAGGCCTGGGCGGCAAAGCCGAGTCTGGGGCCCTCAGAGTCGAAGACGACGAACTGGCTCTTGAGGAAGATGTCACCAAAGATGTTCTGGCCGACACCGCCGCTGCTCTGGATACCACCGTAGCAAGTGGAGCTACCATCGGTGACAGGACCATAGTTGATGAGTTTACCAGGAGTGACAGCCTTGTAGCCGCCAATGATGGTAGTGAATGAGGGAACCTTGGCAGAGCAAGGGAAGACATATCCACCGTACTCATCGCTGTTTTGGGCGCCCTCGACATGCTGGTAGAAGTCGGAAACGACGTTGTCGTCGAGAAGCAAGAGAGTGGTGCCGGTGTCTAGAAAAAAAAAAAAAATTAGCGTGATGTGGAAGTCATAAAAGGAGTTATGAACATACCAGCAATACCGCTGATGGAGCTGCCGCTGCTCTGGCCACCACCAATGCTGTAGCCGTCGGCAGTGAAGGACCAGAAGCCCTGGGAGTTGTCGACGTCGGTGTAGGCGATTTCACCGGTGTACTTGGAGTGGTCGATGTATCCAAAGTCAAAGGATCCGGGAGCATTGTGCTTTAGGGTAACAGCGAAAAGAGGGCGGTCCAGACTAGACTTGACAGTGTCAAAGAAGGTAGTCTGGGGCTGGGGCTGGACTAGAATTGAATAAAGTCAGTGATATGATGTTTGGCATACAGAATTCGCTACCGAGAACTGACCTGTGTTGAGGGAGCTGAAAGCCAGACCCAGCAGTCCATCGTTGTTCTTGTCCTGCAGGAACTGGGAGCTGATTTGCGCAGCAGCCTCGACAGCCTGGCCATGGGCAGTGACGCCACCAACCACGACAGTGTCCTTGTAGACATCGCCGCTGGCACTGCTACCGTCACCATAGGAGATCTGCCAGCTGCCGCCAGGTAGCTTGGATGCTGTCCTACCCGGCTTGTAGACAGAATGGCCGCTGGTCTCAGAGGCAGGGAGCTCACCGGAGAACACCCAGCTGGGAAGAGTTAGTTGGCTTGATCGCCCATGAATTGTCGAGTAGGAGAGTGCTTACAGATCAGCAGAGCCGGTGTCGAAGTCGAGGTTCATGACAGTTCCACCGACATTGACAGGAGTAAGGTACTCCACATCACCTGCCTCAGGGGTGGTGACGGCGCTGCCTTTGCTAGCGGCGACCTTGACGCTCTCAGGGACACTGCCACCGAACTTGGTCAGAGCATGGGCGTACATGGCAGGCAAGTTGACCTGCTTCTTCTGGGCGGGCCGGGCCTGCTGCTGGACCGTGAAGCCCTTGCGCGTGGGAGGCGCAGGAGCGGCCGAAGCGATGGTCGCGAGACCGAAAACGGCGGCTGTCACTTTGCTGAAGACAACCATTTTGACTGAAGCGAAGAACCGACTTGACCAGCAGACGGGAGTATAGAGAAGGATGGAAGGAGAAGGAATGAATCTCAAGACTCCGTGTTGCTTGATGATGGAGAGAAGAACGACTCAACAGCAGGAAGTCATGACCTTTATATACCTTTCCGGATGACCTCGAAAGATAGATGTCCCAGCACGCAGCAGTCTGGACCGAATCAACCGGCACCAGGGGAAGGAAACTCCCGTCTGAGCCCCGATCAGGGCATGTTGCTTTGTCCAGAACGTAAGTGGATGAAGATCTACAAGCTCAGGGCACATTCATCCCGTTCAAACCAGAGCACACAAGCGAATGGTCACCCCGGCAAGGCTAGGAAATGATGGAACGGCACCTCGTGCAGCGATTGTCGATTGTCGATAGTGAATTCATGCTGGCTGAAGCAAATCAGCCCATGTATCCAACACCCAAGACCTTAGCGGGGACACCTCCAATGCTACGGCGGAGTAGCATGTTGCTTGGTTAGGACAAGATTTCTCTTGTGTCCCTGGGCACTCTATTCGTGCTCTCGGCGGATTGGACGGACAACTCCGGCCGGTCATTGCATGGAGGTATCTGAAAGCATGTCGGAACATTGACCTTATTCGCTATTCAACGAAGATCATCATTGGTGTTGTTAGTGTGCTTGGTGGAGACGGGGAAGGACAGGTCCCCTGGCCTTTGAGCCACTCTGGGTGCGATTTTCTGTATGGTGCAGAGAATTTGGTGTCTGGACTGGGCCCGGAGTCCGATGCGAGCCCCTGATGGAGATGAAGCATGCAAACCAGTCAGAGGACAGAGCCTAACGCAGATCAGAGTATTAGCAGGGAGAATTCGACAACGATTGGATGAAGCAAAGTAGTCACATGGTGGTTGTGAGATATGAAGAAGATGTTCCGTCGAATGTTGAGAGAGGATGAAGACGAGATAGTTGGATGGTGGTGTTTGTTGTTGTTGATGAGTTCCTGAAGATCCTCAGGCACACAGTCGTAGGCTTGTAGCAGCAACAGTACCTCCTAGGTACCTACTCTCTCTACACTCCTCCATACACTCCATACACTCCATCATTCTCGAATCAAACAACCTGTCTCAACCTGATACGCCTTGATCATCATCACCATCTCCAGACCCTGTCCTGTCCACCTCGTCCACCTCGTCAACCCCAAACGCCAAGACCCTTCGCGAGACTAGCCAGACGGCACGGCACGATTGTCACTTTGGAGACCGGCACAGCCAAGGGGAGAACCCTCCTTATCGACCTCCCTCATCAGGAATCTAGTTAGTCAAGAGTGATAGAGTGATAGAGTGATAGACACATCTCTATCACAGTATCACTACTTCAAGCAGTTAGTCTGCCCCGAAGCAGCCGACCAGTTAAACCACTCAGATGAGAGTGATGACTCTGCGCGGTGTTTCACGCGCCTTTGCAAGAATCGGACTCCGGACGAATCACCGTATAACCCCCGCCTTAATCCTTGTATTGTTAATTATACACGTAGAAAGTGCCGCTCCTGCGAGCGATAAGCATGCATGATGCATCCATCTATTCCCCTTGGAAAAGGTTGTTTGCTGGAACTGCGTGATTACTGCACCGAATAACGCGAAAATGACCCGAGACAGATAATCGTGGTCTCTTTCGGTATCAATATGCGACAGTCATACGGAGTAGATAGTAGATCGGTGTTGAACTTGTTAGGTGTACTCTGCATCTTTTCTTTTCTTTTTTTTTTCTCTTTCGACGCAGTGCTTGTTTGGAAGGGCAGTTGTTGATCTGTGCCTGAGGATCCCTGAAAGGAGACAGACACGGCGAATGGGTCTCTCAGGATAGGCTTTTACATGGGCATATCAATATTGCATGATCATTGCATTAATGATGATTGACTCCTCGATGGTAAATAATAATAGCTGCAATAATACTGACGCTGATGATGCAGATGCAGATGCTGGTGACATCCTCCTCCTGTTCCATCGTTGCATACAAGCATGAGTGCTGACGGAGTGGATGATGATGACACCCGTGGTATCCTGCGATAGCTGCCTGACATATGAAATACTTCAGGCATCAATATTAAACATCATCAGCATCCAGCGAATGCAGATAGATATATGCAGGGTGTACTACTCCGAACTCCAAACAGCTCCGCAGGACTGCATTATCACGGTGGGTATTGCTGTATGCTGCAAGCTACCCGGCAGCCATTCATACATTCGGAACAGTGACATTGACGACCGTGTGACATTGTGGCTCATTCGAGCAGGTAAACGCATGGTACTCCTTATCAAAAAGCTGACCAACACTTATAACCGTCCCATCATCACTTCCACTCGTTCACATGAAGTATGTGAAACGCCTCGTAAAGGAAATGAGACATAGGGATGGGTTTGAAACTGCCACGAGGTCAGATCAATCAGATCAACCCTGTCGATTGTCAATATAGTATGTACGCATATCGCATGATACCACTGTACTGTGATCAACACAGACATGAAAGGGAATCAATAACAAGAGACCGAGAACATCCTTAATCAAACATCCTGGGAAGACACCCGTGAGGGTTCCATTGTAGAGAATAGAGAGGCTGGAGACTCATATCAAAACAAGCAACGTTAAGAGAAAGCCACAGAACGCTAAGCATGCTTCGTATTTTGGCACTTGGCAGGGTATAGACTAAATCCTTCAGGTCCGAGGCAAATAAAAAACGATAAGGGAAAAAAAAAAAAACATAAGTTCATGTAGCTCATGACCCTAGTCGCCGTACATTAACAACAGTCATTCTTGCATCTCATCAATCGAGATAAGCATCGTCATCGGCAGGAGCCGGCTAGGAGTGTAGAAACTGGGAGGGAAGACCCTCTCGAACAGTCGAGTCAAGTCCATCGCCAGTGCCGTCGTATTGCTCATTCAGAAGAACCTCTAGCATGTCGAACTCGCCCACCATTGGCCCGGTTCCACCGAGACCGTGATCGACAACGGCCATGGAGCTGTTGAAGAATTGATCAAGCGGCAGGGCGAACCAGTCCGGAAGCCCGCCGGAGGTGCCGGGATTGTCATTCATCGACTGCGATGGAACAGTGGAGCCTTCCATGCTTCCCGGCGGGGGAGAAGTATGCGAATCATAGTAGTTATGGTACACCGACGGCGGTGGCGGCATGAATGAGACATTGATATTTGACGAGTTGATCGGCTGCGCAGGAATGGCGGCCAGCGGATCATGGCCTGACGCCATTGTCGTGTTTGTGTGATTGTTGCTATCGACATAGCCAATGTTCTGCGTGGCGTTGTGGGCGGGCGTCCAGGCATGATTCGGTCCATCACGACGACCTTGCGTGCTATCGCGAGGACGCGGCGACTGATGTCTGGAGACCGGTGCAGATGTCCGATCATGACCGTCGCCATCGCCGCCTCGGTCCAGCGGGGCAAAGCGCAGAAATCGAGTCCGAATACTGCTGGTGAGAAGTTCTAAGAGGCGAGCAATGGCGTGACTCAGGTGAACATCGTCGACAACACTCGTCCTCAACGCTTCGACCGTTCGGTCCTGCAGGTCCAAAGATACGCGCACATCATCTTCTTTGGCTCCCAGCGTGAAAGTCTGCGACTGTCAGTCAATCTCCAATGTCTACAATCCGAAATTGGGACATACCTTGAGAATGAAGATCATGCCGGACAGAATTCGGAAACATGTCCTCACTGGAGCGTGCTTCATGTGATCACCAGGAACAAGATCTTCCAGGACCGTCTGCAAAATCCGACGCGACGCATCGACAACTTCTTGGATATATTGCTCGTTAACACGGTATAGCTCCATGAGCACATGGAACCACCCGTTGTTCGATGAAGGACCCGAGCCTGGCCTTCCGTTTTGCGCCTGGGCGGCCTCGTTCGACATCGTCGTCCAGCGATCCACCACGGCTTGCAAAGCGAGCGAATTGACGTATACACCTTGCGATAACTCAACATAAAAATTCGGGTTCAGGAGGGTGTCTGTAGGACGTATCCACTTACGGGTATATTCGTATTCAATCATCAAGATGTGTCGCATGGCCGGAGCAACTAATCTGTCAGCATGTATGCCGCTCAAATGAACCATAGGAAACTTACGGTCAATGGTGTCAATGTTACTCCTCCATTCGCGAAGAAATGGTTGAAACCTGTCAATCTGATCACGATACCGTCCGCTCCTGATCAGCTCAGACGTCTGTTCATTCGACGCGAACAGTAATTGGTTGCTTTGATACATGATCTTGGTAATCCCGATCCAACAGTCGTGCATTCGGTCAATCGTTGCATCGTTGCCCTTGGAGTTCGATATTGGCGTTGGCTGGATGTCGCTCGTCCATTGGGGCAGAGGAAGCATGGAAGGTATTCCCAATCGACCACTGCTTTGCGTAATGTAGACAAGAATAAGACGGCGAAGTCGACGTTTCCGTGTTTGTTCGGCAGGAGACTCATGGGTGGTCTTGGCGTCGCTCTTCTGATCAAAGACTCCAAGCTCAAAGGCAAGTGCTTGTGCAGTGCTCAATAGCATCCAGGACATCCGGTCCGACCGCCATGCGGGCTCCAGCCACTTTTGGAACGCGAGTCTCCCTTCCGCGGTGTTGTGGTGAGATCGGTTCTGGGGCGGCTCACCGTCGTGCTCAAACTCTTTCTCAAGGCGGATTTGAGCGTGCCCATCCAGATCCAAAAGCGTATTCTCGTCATCACCCGGAGGGAAGTGTAGGTTTCTTGGGTGCCAATCCGTGAGAATCAGCAAGGCCTCAATCGAGCCCAGGGATCTCAAGTTTCCCTTCATGCTCACTTTGGCCGCACTCGGCGCAAGATCAAACGATCGGGGCTTGCTGATACCAATACCATTTCCACCAAACTTCTCCTGGCCCCAGAATAAACGCTCAATCATCCCACGAAGATATGACCAGAGTCGGTCATGGATGTAGAATGCTCGAGTATATGCCCCATCTCCCTTTGGCTTCATGTGCCGCGAGGCTGTCGTAAGAATCGTAACAGCCAAGACAGGCTCATCGGTGAGGAGGGTGCGATGCGTCGAGGGATGCGAGAAATCCGGAATGACGATGGGACTCAAGGGCGCGAGATGCTCGTAGTAACTACCATACCTTATGAGCAAAACAAAACCATCTAGAGTGAGACGAAGAGAACCTACTATGCCACATATGCCATGGATTCTTCCACTGTCAGCCATCCTGCGCGGACGAAACGCAGGCGCGACCATGCTCTGACAGCGTCGACGTATGCCGAATCTTGGAAGTTGTCTGCCGATCCATTCTGATCGCGGACATCTGTGTTTGCAGCTTCCGAGGAGGTCGCCCCCCCAGAGTTATAAAAGTTACCCATCGACATGTTCCCTGGCCGGGGTGCTCTCGAAAAGGACCCGCCTGCGCTTCGAGGGGTGCCGGCCTGCGTCATGGGCGATATGGGAGAGTTGAAGGATGACACCGACTGCCGCGCAGCATACCGATTCTCGAGGCTCTGACGATTGAGATCCTCGGTCCGTCCGGCCGCTTCGGATAACAGATGAAGGGCATCGTGACTGTTACTGATCGCAGGCGATAATAGCTCCACGGCGGTGCGGTTCATCATGGGCTGGCTACCTTCAAGTCCAAAACCCAACCCAGGACGATCGCCAAGAGGCCACATGGGAGGACGAACCGGTCGGGCATCCTGAAACGGAGCAGCAGGAGCCGTCGTAGATGTAGGCTGGTTTGGACCGTAACGCTGACCGGCATCGGGTTGGGGTGCTTGACTGGGCGCAGGAGGAGGCCCCTCAGACCACTTTTGTCGCGAATGAAGACTGTCGCTGTCGAGCGATGTCGGCTCCGGCCGTGTGCTGTAGGACCCATCTACCGAAGTGCCATTGGGAGCCGAATCTCCGACCATCATTCGCTTGTCACGAATGAGGACGCCATCGACACCTTCCTCGACCTCGGAGGGCTTCCGCTTGCGCCTGGTTGCGGAGAACTCGCATCGTTTGCTTTCACGACGGCATCGCACGCAGGGGGGAGGACGGGGATTATCGACACCTGGCGACCGTAAGATCAGCTTTGCTTCTTTCTTTTATTTTGTTCTTTTTCTTTTTCGATGTCTTTCTGCAATGCCAAATCGTATGATCGCTTCACAGGGGTCGAACTCACTGCCAAGGTCGCACTTGACCTTGCGTTTACGGCAAGGATCACAGGCCTGGTAGCCGCGACGATGCTGGGGCTGAGGCGACGGGGACTTCTGGCTCTGACCGTTCTGCGAATAGAGATCCTCCTGAAGCGAATTGCTTGCAGCCATCATGATCGTGTATCGCCGCCTTCTGCCGGGGCACAGCAAGAGGCGGGTGATGGGGGTGGATTTGGGGTATGCCGATGCAAAGCGAAGGGCCGCCAAAAAGCGGTGGGGTTGTGCCGTTTATCAAGTTATCAACCCTGACTTCTCGGCGACTTCTTAACGCTGTCGAGTCCTCCACGTTGTGATTATTGCTTGGTATGGTGCTCGAGGATGAAGAAGGATCGTTCACGTGTATGCCATACAACTGTCCCGCGCTGGATGATAAAAGGTGAGATGGAACTCGCTGATGGAACGCAAGACAAAGCGCGGATTATGAGACGAAGGCAATGTTCATGAAGCCGGATCTTGTTGGGTTTAGAAAATGCGGGGTAAAAAAAATATATTTATATAAAAATAAAACAAAAAACAGGAGAAAAAAAAAACACCAAAAAAAAAAGACGCAAGTCAGAAATGGAAGAAGTAGAAGAAAGGAAACGAACTAATGATGATGATGGTGATGATGTTTCTTCTGGTGCCCTTGCGTCGACTGACATTCATCCATCGCTTGTGACGGAGACGCAGGGAAAAATCTGTTATCAATAGTAATCCTATTAGACTCGGGGCTAAACAAGGCCAAATCGCCTAGATTTCCTGTTGTTCCTAAATTAAAGTACGGATAACAATAAGCAGGCACAAAAATAGACACCTTTCTACCTCCCAAGTATTTCAGTAAAGTAACATCACAGGATATGGCGTGTCCAATTCCATTCTGAAGGATCATCAGAGAATGGCAGAGGAGAAACTGGGTAAAATTACAAGGAAGTCTGTTTACAGTAAGTCGAGTCAAGGATGGAGGATATGCGCTCGAACGAAGATGGATGCCGATAAGAAAGAAACAAAGCTAGGAACAGGGGTAGCATCCGGATGCCGGTCAACCGGGTAACGACACAAGCATAATCAGATCACGGATGCAATAATAATGAACAGCAATGGCTCTCTAAGCCACTTGGGGGGTCGCCGCGGTGTCGCGAAAGGTCTGCCCCGACGATTGGCCCTTGCGAGACACAAGGTCCCCATTCAGTTTCGAGGTCAGTTTCATGTCTCGGCGTGGTAAGATTGATTCGTTATAACCGACACTGTCTTCACTACCTCGTCTTGACAGACTAGGGGTCAACCGTCCCGGAAACAGGCCCCGGATACCACCCGCTTTCCGTGCAGGGATCTCAGAGGTTCCTGCCGTGAGGACGTAAAGAAGGTATTTCAGGTTGGGGAGGGTATGTCGGATATCCAGAACACGCAGGCCTTGCTTATTGAGGAGAAACTCGATGTCCTTATTGAGCAAGAACACTCCATACTCAAACCGATATTGGACATTGACCGGGTACAGAGGATAGGTTCGTTGTGGCAGGGAGGCTGAGACGGGATCTTGAATGATAGAGTTCGAGAGGTTCGGATTGATGGGGTACGGTATGGGAACCGACAGGTAGAATGAGAGTAGGTACACCAGATGTGCCGTGTACCCAAGTGCAGCCGCGACCGCGTCCCGATCAATATCGTCAAAGCTCGAGTTAGGAAGAGCAAGACCGGCAATTGTGAATGCTAGCGGCTTGTCCGGAATTGGTTCAATCGGATATATTGCAAGCAAATCTTCGCAAATGCGCCGTATTTGACCCTTGACCTCTTCCGTATTTTTGTCCAACAGTCTCGTGCTAGACACCAGTTTCTGCTGGGCGTCGGGGAGATGATCGCGGGCCTTTTCTTGGCTATCCCGTCCGCGCGCCATGGCTTCTTTTCGGGCATTTATGCTGGCGATTAGTTCTTCTTTGCGCTTGGTTGTCAAGCGGAGCTGCTTTCTTTCAGCCGCAACGGCATGCTTGGTCAGCGCAAGCCGATCCTGAGCGCGCGAGGCATCGCTGGTCACATTCAAAGCATGCTGGTTCTTTTCCAGAATTGCACTGATCTGTGACTCGAGCTTCTCTCTTGTCGCAAGAGCGTCTTGGATACACTCGTCCAAATTCGCTAGCCGCATGAGTGCATCGTAGGATGATGTTGGCAAGGTAGTCCCTTGCGGCTTTGCCAATCCAGGAAGCACTGGATTATATACGGCCGGAATATCCGTCAAGTTTGTATACACCCCATCGACAAGATGGAATAGCACGGAGTTTGGGGGCAAGGGCTGATGAAAGCTATCCAGCGACTTTCCTAAGAATTGTAACGATTGCAGATGCAGCTGAAGCTCCATCAGCAGCACATACTCCTCCATGCTTGCTGATTTCGCCCAGAGCTTCAAGGTGAGGCGATCTGATCGGGATACTTCCGGCCCACACATGTTCAGATCGAAGGCTCTGAAGCTTGGGTTGGTGGCATTCTCCACAACCTCGCTCACATAAATAGGCGTATCGATACCGTCGCAATGGATCGAGAACCAAGTGTCCGCCATCCGGATCTTTGTGATATCCTCCAATTTGACCTGTCTCGTTCGCGGATTCGGATCGTTCCATGGCAGCGTACTTCTCCTCCGTAATCGCGATCCAGGTTGATGCTCGTTAGTATCAGGGTTGTCTCCATTTGTGATTGGCACTGATGGGAGGTTGGTGAATGAGCGCGATATATGCAAGGGTCGGATTGCGCTTTGCGCGAGAATCTTAGACGGCGACTGTAGGGAGTTCGGGATCTCTTCATCGTCAATTGTCTTCCCGCGAGCTCTGCTCAGGGGAGGCGTGATGACGAGATTACGGATTGAGACACCTTGTAGATGCCGGAGCTTGCGGTTCTGGTGATGGTGTATCAGCTTGGGCCCAGCTATTTTCTAAAGGTTCCAAATCCTGAAATACCGATGGAAACAGCCAGGGCTTCTCCCGACGACTACCAGCATCGTCCTTGTGCAGCCCATCCTCGGTGTTCGCTGTGAGCGACATGGCAATCGAGGATACTCAGCAATCGCAGTGGGCGTGTATTCGTCCGGTCATATTATAGGTTGTGTAGTTCAAAAAAAGTTCCCCAGTAGAATGTGTGCCAAAATAAAAATCGCCTGAAAATACACAGCGTTAGGAATATCCCAGCTGGATCAAGTGCGTGGTGGTCATCATGCTACCAGAAGCCAGCAGTGACGCTGCGGAGATGCTGCGCGGAGCCCGCGAGACGGTCCGCGGCGTCGATTCGCCCGTTTTGTTCCTCCCGTCAAAAATCGATCCACCCAACACTTTCATCCTCAAACCGTGCAGCCTCCACGCTCGAGTCAACCACCATACCCCCGAACATTTCCCCGAGTCGCAATGCAGTAGAGTGAAATACACTCTGTTCATCTCAAAGCGTATCTCAGCCCGAATCACAAACACCTAGCGGTGTTCCCGGCCGCAATGGCCTCATCGCAGTCAATCACCAAGCCCTTCCAGAAGATCCTGGACCCTACCAAGATCGGGACCTGGAAGGTCGTTCGTCGTCCGCCAATTGAGAATCACAGCGTGATCCAGGGCAAGCCTCGCGAGCAGAACTCGAATGCCTTCAAGACACAGCAATTCAAGGAGGGAGTGCGGTTACGAAAGGCGCTGAACGCCCTCACCCACGGCAAGAATATCTTCGTCTACCACAACATTCGCACCAACCAGGTGGTGTACTCACTGACACGGTATCTGGAGGTATGTACTAACTTTCAGACATATCTGCGAGTATTGTCTTCTCACGTCTCCCTCTTTCTCACCAAAACAGAAAAACAATGTCCTCCGCCAACTCATCTACCACGGCAAGAAAACCATCCCCGCAACCGTCCGAAAAGACATGTGGGTGCCCTACTACTCGGTCCACTTCCACGACTCCAAGGTCGGTCTCCGCGCCTTCCACCTCCTCCGCGAATTCTCCATGCAGCGCCAACTGGCCCCTCCCCGCGACATGATCACAATCAGCGAGCAGTACCTCGCGCAGAAGCGGCCCCGGGACCCCGAGGAAGCGAAGAAGTTCGACGAGAAGTACGCCGACAAGCTCGGCTGGCTGATGGAGAAGAAGGACCGCGCCCGCGCCGTCATGGACCAGAAGGCCACCAGCGTCGCCGACGTTGCCGCCGTCCTGGCCATCCAGCAGGAAGAGATCGCGAACGGCTTCGCGGACGGAAAGAGAGGGTTTCTCACCCGCACTGCGAGAAGACGCCGGCGCGAGGCCCGTGAGAAGGAGGCCGAGAAGGCCGCGGAACAGGCGGATCGTGTGGCTGTTCTCGAGCAGACCCTGAGCACCCCCGAGGTCGACTACAAGATCCAGGAACCCGAGGACAAGACCAAGGTGCTGGAGGACAATGGTGTCAAGATCCTCTGGACTGACATCCACAACGCCTGCTTTGCGGAGGCCTGGCCCGAGCGCGTCTGGCACGGCGAGTTGGATCTCAGCCGCGACCATGTCATGTCTGGCGAGAAGCCCATTGGCGTTGAGATCCTGGCCAACGATGGCTTCAAGGAGAAGCAGGAGTAGGTTTCCGGCGACGGGTAGTCACGGCTGCAGGATTTGAGTGATAGAATCAGTGGGGATGTGGATATTCGTATGTCTTCAAGATGACTTTGTACTTTGCACCATACAAATTGTACTTTTAGATACTACTTTACTTTCTGTTTCGGGTATGACCATGGCGTTCAGCAGACAACATACAACTCATTCGAAAAACCTCCAATTAAGATTGCGAGCCAGATCGTCAAAATTATGGACTCTGTCTCCAAGTCGCATCCAAATCAATCGGGATGAATCGAGTCGCATGTTAAATTTACATTGAGTCCATTTAGCGATACAAAGGCGCGTGTGATTGAACCATGAAAATGAGGCCCTGGTCAAGCTCTGCCAACACCGGCTTGAAGTCGGAAATGTGGCTTGAGGAGGTGATGTAGAAAGATCATTTAGTGAAAGATAACGAAAAGTCGAAAGCTGCACGCCATTGGAAACGAGTGATCCTGTTCACTGTAGCGGAGGGTCGTGCTCACAATCCCATTCGACATTAGCGACTAGAGAGCAACACGGCACTCAGAGTAGGAGTGAAGGGGGACGCATTCAAGCTCCTTTCCGTGAGACTGTGTAATGAGAAGAAAAACGATAACCGAAGACTTTCTATCCTTCCCTGTGAGATATTTCAGCCATTTCGACAATGCCACTATTCCCTTCTATGTACTCGCGCTGCCGGTCACATTCTTCACAGGAGGGGTTTTCAGAGGAGGAACCTCGTCATGCTCGTCGATAGGAACGTCAGGCCCCGGCTCATCGGTGGCCATCTTATCAAGGAGCTCTTCGTTGGCCTTTTCGGCAATCTCGGGGTTGTCAGTGAGTCCCGCATTGGCCATACTCTTTCTAGCACCTTCGACAATCTTGTCGGCCTCGCTCACCCCATATCCCGCATGCGTGGTGGGGTCACCCTCGACACCGATCGGGTCGACTGCGCGATCGACGACTTCCTTGACGCGACTGTTGTCGAAGCGGATAACCATGCAGGACAGATTATCAGTGCTGAAACGAGCAAGAGCGTGGTCAACCAAGATCTTGGATGCTTCTTGGGCGTCTTGAATATTTCGTATCAGATCTACCGCTTCTTGGTCACTACATACATCCCACAGCTGTTGTGGGAATTAGCATCGTTCAAAGGTAAATGGGAAGTGCGGCTTACACCATCGCATGCCAGGATGATAAACTCATCCTGCTCTGGCTGAATAACTGTCTCCGTCGTGTATGGGTGACCGGTGACGAGATCCTTGAGATAAGTATCACCAAGAGCTCGGGTCACCGCGAGAACTCCGTTGACTCGATTATTAAGGATCAAGCCGCCCGCGTTCGCGATCCGTTTCCCTTCGTTTTCATCACTGCCCTTGTGGTCATAAGACAAGCGTAGCGCCTTGCCGCTGCGACATAGGACGATACGAGCGTCACCAACATTCGCAGTGTAGAGGACTCGTTGGCGAGCGGCTTTCTCTTGCAATTTTGGAAGCACGGATGTAGCATTCCCAGGTTGTTCTTGAGTCGGGGTATTATCAGCCTCCGAATTCGACTCCGTGGCAGAAGCGGCGGCTGGGGCCAATGCAGAAGAGCCAGTTACAGAATGAGAACTAGGAACTCTGTCCTCCCAACGCAAGAGAGCAATGACAGCAGTGCAACCGCTGTTCTTCAATGGCAGTTTTTCCAACTGTTGATCAACAGAAGTGAAGGTCTGATCGAGGAGCTCTGGGACAGGGGTGTTCGGATTCCTCCGCATAACCTCCTCCAGGATAAGATGGAGCTTCTTGCCACACCATTCAGCGGCAAATGTACCCGCGTGTCCATCGAAGATTGCAAAATAACCATTGTCGGTTTCGATAACACTGGTTTCATCTTTGCTGGACGGAGAGATATCCCCACCCTGTCCACTACCGTTAACCTCAGCCCGGCCAGAGGGCGCGGGTGTCCCCAGGAAGTTGTAGAGATAGGAATGGGTATCTTCCATAGTCCGACGACATCTTCGATTCCGGTCCTCGGTGACACCAACTCTGAAAGATGAACGAGAGGTAGGTAACGATTCGCCAGCAGAATTGTTGAGTGACCCTTGGGGGACCGTTAGAGCTGGGTCCATTCTACCAAGCCTGTGAAGAGGATTCGGTGGAGAATAGGCGACAGTATTGTTCGCAGAATTCTCACGAGAGCTCCAACTCAACGAGTTTTTGGCGTTATTGAACAGTGACTGGGCTTTTGTGACGGTACTGCTTCTCCTCTTCTTCTCGGCGCCGGAATTCTGCTCTTCACTGGCTCTGCGATTGAAAAATCCACCAGGAGGCGAAAGCTTCTTCTGAGATACTGTAGTGTCGTCTGTCTTCACAGTCAAGGACGGCGTGTTGATGGCACCAGAGTGTGGGATAGTTTCAAGTTTGTCTTTGGGTGGGCTCGAGGAGCCACTGAACATTCTGTTCAGCAACCCACCCTGGCTAGAAAAACTTCTGCGCTTATTTCCTGCCAGCTTGATCGTAAACCTTTTGTCAAGGAGGAGGCCGAGTCGAGTGGAGTCTACAGGGATTGGGGCGGTACGAGCACGAAAGGTACCGAGGGACTGACGTAGGAGAGGGGTCTGCGGCGGAAGTGAGGGAAAGGAGACTAGATACAATGACGGCGTCAGTAACTGCTCTATCGAACTTGCAATGGCCTTGAAGTCAATGGTACTGGATGATGGCTGTCCTATACGTCCGTACAGCCTGTATTCGGGAATGCCGTTGGATGCCGACGCTAGATGAAGAATAGCGCTTGCAGACATCCATCAACTTCACTCTCGAGTAAAAGAAAAGACAACGACAATTCCAGGAAGAAACCAAGGCGCCCAACTTCCACATATGACACAGCCTCAGAATGAAGCCGAGTTGTGACATCCCAGTCAGCGTCATGGGCGCTTAGAAGCCAACCCCACTGCACGTCGATGGGAAGGGTATGATATCAGGCCGCTTCACGGAACGACAAGAAGAGAGAAACAGTACGTACTCACAGAATAGCAGGGTTAAAAAGAGAAAGATGTTCTAGATCTCTTGATTTGATCAAGATCCAAGTTGATATAATAAATAGTTTGGAGTAGATGGCAGTACAATGTCGTAAGATGGACGGGGGGAGTGGGAATTGATGGGCACTTATTATTAGCAGCAGCCAGCAGCTCTTTAGTCTAACGACGACTACGGAGTACGGAGTAGTAATTAATAACCTGGGGAGTGGAGGGGACTAGGTTGAGGCTGGCCTTGTAGCCTTACTGCCTTGAGAACTGTTTAGGTCATCGGGTCACTACTGTAGCTGCGGCCGCGCTAGGCCGAATACAGCACCATTGAAATGCTGCCCTGGAATGTATTCACTGACTAAGCCACTCTGAACAGACGCCGAGTACGGGGAGTACGTAATGGACCGTGGGCAGGATTATTGTGCTGGGGAGGCATGCTATGGTACCTGACCCGGAAATGATGGACATGTATCATATTCAGGCATGAGGTTCTTTCGTTTCAAAGACCTTCGAGTCGCATAATTATGCTCAATCCCAAGAACTAAAGTCACCGAAGCCACCTCCCTTGAACTTCTTCCGCACGGGTTCTGGTTCTGGCTCCTCATCCACAAATTCGACAATCTCGTCTTCTTCCGGCTGGGTCTGGTTGGCCAGTGCAGCCTTGAGATACTTCCCTACTCCCCCAGTTGAACTTTCGCCCCCGGCCGCTGCACCTGGTCCTCGGACTCGCTTTCCCGTCCATGTAACCCGGTCATCATCGACCTGCTGGCTCGTCTTGGTCTCGTCCGGAGCATTTGAGCCCTTAGCCTCTTCTGCCTGCTTCTGCTTGAGGAACTCTTCAAAGGGATCCACGAAGACAGTCACGTCAGTTATGCGGATGTCGGGGGTGGGTCTGTTGGTCGTGGCATTGACTGGATGAGTCTCCATCCTGTCGAGGGTTGCAGACGAGGGCGTTGGGTCGTCTATTACGTGGCCGAAAATGGTATGTTTATTGTTCAGATGGGGTAAGGCACGGTACGCAATAAAACTGGACCGAGTTAGCATTAGGCACCATTGGAACCTTGTCGAGGTAAGCGTGTTTGGGAACCTACAACTGACTGCTATTGGTGTTTTTGCCTTTGTTGGCCATGCTGAGAGTGCCTCGTGAATCGTGCTTCAGAGGACCCTCGAACTCGTCATTAAAATACTTGCCCCAAACACTCTCACCTCCTCGACCAGTGCCAGTGGGATCTCCACCTTGGATCATAAATCCCTTAATGTTGCGATGGAATGTCACATCTTTGTAGTAACCCTTTTTGGCCAGCTTAATGAAGTTCCACACTGCCTTAGGAGCATACTCAGTATGCAGTTCCAGGTTGACGTCTCCGGCAGTAGTCGAGATCCGAGCATAACCCTTCTGCTTCACCCGTCCACGTTTCAGCATATATTCCTCATCGGAGAGCAGCGCAAGGTCAGCTGAGGTGTGCGGTGTCATTCCGGTGCTGGTAAATGACGCAGCAGCCAGACCAGTAGTGTGCCGAGCGGCATTATACGGAACCGGTTTTCCGGATGGGTGCGAAACTGTCTTCTGAGATGATGCGGCGCCAGTACCGCCTCCGACTTTCGTCAATCCTTTGGCGCCGGCAGCCGACTCAGCGCGCTGGGCCCTTTCAGCGCGGGCTTTGGCCACAGATTCCTTTGCCTTCAAGATCTTTGCGGCATTTCCCAGCGCATTCACGTTGACATTGTTGGATGGGTCATCTCGTTCCCGTATTTGCTCATCAGTCAATCCGCTCTCTCCCTCTTTCAAATAGGTGAACGAGCTGAGATTCCGCGACTCAACATTTTGCGGGTCTTGTAGCGTGATGATGTCCCTGCGGCTGAATTCTTCGTCTGTAACGAGATCGCGCCACAATTTCCCCTTGATATTCAATCGCTCCACCGTATCCCAAGCGAATACATTGCCCGTATTGCGCAAAGCAACAATGTGTGTATTATCCGTCAAGACTTTATAGGTAACGGGATCGACGTACTCGCCCGACTCGTTCTTCGCAATGTTGAGTTTGATGAGCTCGGAGCTCTTGAGGGGTGTTCCGTCGACGGGATTCGTGCCATGCTTCTTTATCCAGGGAATGATGTTGGTTAGGTCAAATATCGTCCCCGACGGTGTGCAGACTGGATGCGAGAAAGGTTGGAGTGACAAGGAGCAGAAGTTGAATGGAAGACGTTTGAAGGCGGCATTTGGTCCGCCTCTTCTCGATTGCCCTACGCCGGCGCCGGCGCTGGCTGAATATGCATCCTCTGATGCCCACTCGGAGTGTGTAATCTATTCGAAATCGGGCTGTTAGCAGATTGCGAAAGAAGGTGTATATAGTAGGCGAGGCGCGTTAGATCATACGTAGAGCTTATCCGTTCCTAGGCATTTGGACGTCAGTTATGCTAGATAGAGGCGAGACAGATATGGTGGCTCACCCTTGCCCATTATCTCGGAGGAAAACAAGATCTGATGAATCTGAATAATCTCGTAGAAAGTTGATTTCGCGATTTTCTATAACGCTGAGGTATGATGTATCCAAACGCGCTAGACCTCGCCATTAAACTGCTTACGGTTAGATCTATATATAGTTGTGAGGCTAATCCCTATCGGGAAATGCGCCCATGGCTCTCTAACCGAAGTCCTTCGTACAAAAGTACCCTTGGCCATACTCCGTCCTCATACTTGCAAGCAGGACTGTTCACTGCATATATCGAGCTTCAATATACTAAAATCTTCAAAGGTATGAAGAAACGAGAAGGCTATTGACGGAAGTCCAGGCATGCTGAGAATTTGAGCTTGATATAATCATCAAAACTTCATGAAACAATTTTCCTCGGTTGATAACGCCAAATTCGTACACACATCTCCTCAGAAATAGTCGCGAACAATGACTCGACAGGAGAGCTTGATACACAGGGAATTTCGGGGCCTCTGAGTTTTTTCCTTGTCAAAGGCCTTGAGCTCACAAACCTTCTGATGGCCGCGAAGAATCATCTGGACCTCCCCAGTTGAAGAGTCCCGCATAAGTACATTCCCATTCCTATAGCCACTCATAATCCACAGTTTGTCAGAGCTTAGACATATGCAAAGCGCAGAATGTTCATCGGCCTCTAGAGTTCGGGTGCACTTGCTCTGCTCTCTTACCGCTGGCGGACTATCTTTTGTTGATGTCAGTTGCCACCATTTGACAGTGCTATCAAGACAAGCGCTCAGTATTTCTGTTCATTCAACATGGAATGAACAGAATGTATGGGCCCATTGTGTCTGGGGAAGCTTATAAGCCATTCAAGCAACAGACCGGCCTCAACATCATGCAAGTATATGTGGCCATCCATACAATCAACTGCAAGCACTTTGCCATTTGGTGAGATTGTCATTGAAGTGGCAGCACTCTCCACGCTAATAGCATAAACCATCTTGATGTGATCTGCGATATTCCATAAACGGATATCATCACTCCCTGTTGCAACATAACTTCTATTTGGTGTAAAGCAGATCGTGTTAATCCCCTCCTCGTGTCAGTTGACACAGACGCAAGACGTTGTGTAGCTGTGTCTAGGATATGGAGCTGTTTCTTCTTCCCGCTAAAAACGAGGTATTTGCCATCAGGGCTGTAATTGAGACACTGGAGATAATCGCTTTTTCCCGGCTGGGTCTCAAGATCTATTTCCGCTATGACGTTGCCGTTAGGCGAGTCAATAATTCGGACAAAACCATTACCACTGATAGCGAGGTGGTTTCCGTGCGGACTAAATCTCAAACAATAAGGAGAGTCCAATATATCGGCCATCCTTCTTGTGCCCTAGGACAATTGCAGCTGTTACTAACGTTCTGGATTCTCAATCTGTAGCGCACTGGATACGCAATGATAACACCAAGCAATTTCACGCTGTAAATGCGCTGCATAGGGAACGAAGATGGTGTCTTACTGGAACTCCCATTTAAAACAAGCTTGAGGATCTTGGTGCACTTGTCACTTTCCTCCAGTTGGAACCTTTTACTGGTAATAGGGCATCTGCAAATTTCAGAAAAAATATCATCGATCCCTTATACTCTGACAGTGATGATTCTTTTCTCAACCTACGTTCACCTGAGAAAGTCAATGCAAGTCCGGTGATCAGATCTTGCAATAATCTGCAGTGCACACAAACCGACTGGATTGTAGGAATCGAGACTCATCTTGTTCGCCCTGAAGTGAGTGCAGCTCGTCTTCTTGGTGGCTCGCTCCTCGCTTGAACAATCGTGCCCTGTGTCAACACTTTGTTCATTAGATGGTGGGAGTAACGAGGAGCTCTGTATCATGCTTGACTGGATAAAGGTATGATGATGCACAACAAATAATAAATTATGATCCTTATGAGGGCCCGGGCTATATACACAAAGGCGCAATCTACTTGTTTACGAAGGGACCTCATACCTATGTTTGTGGCTTTACAACTGTGACTTGGAACATAGAATTTCATCCGGTATTGTGAATATCATCCTCTAGTGCTACATAAAATACATGCTCTTTTCAAATGATTGGGTTTCAGGTATGATGGGAATCCGAAAGACGGACTTGCTCTCATAACTGTAAAACGCGTGCTGCAATACTTCCCTTTGATGCCAATGATTACCCATAACGCCAGAAATGTATTTTGATCGTTGAGAGAGAAAGGGAAAGAGGGAAAGGAAAAATCATCAACATGCGAGTCATCATTAGGCAGGAGGAGGCTGGAAGCGAAGGGGTACCACCCAGCGATTCCCAAAGTCTATCCCGTGTCGACGGCGAGTGCCATACTTGCGCCATACAATCTGCGGGATACCGATGTCTGCGACAGCGAGATTCCACGACAGACCCTCGCCGGCAAGAAGGGCATTGATGATACCGGTTTTTGGCGCGCCGAGGCATACGACCGATGTAGAGTTGACGCACACACGGCCATCTTCCACCATTGTCACCTCGCCTGGGAAATTGTCAGCAATGTACACGAGAATCCCAAGTATTGATATATTCAAACTCACCACTGGAGGCTGATAGGCCCGATGGGACATCGACAGACAGAATGTCAAGACCACTGCGGTTAACCCAAGCAATCATCTCAAAAGCGATGGCCTGATCATCTGTCCGAAGGTCCTCAAATGAAATGTGGATACCAAACAGTGCGTCAACAACCAGATCAGGAACAAATTCGGATGTGGACAGCCGTGCAGATAGGTCTTCCCACCGGAATACACGACCACCGATCTTCTTGAAAACTTCAAGTTGCTTGCGGCAGCTCTCAAGTAGCTCATTCTCATGCTCAAGACCCAATACGCAGACGGTGACACGATGACCTCGATTACGAAGATGCCGCGCGGCAGACACAGCCCGAGCCCCGGTCCGGTGGTTCCCTGTGAGAACAAGGATCGTAGGGGCAGCGGCGTCGTTTGACAGCAAGCCAACTGCAGCTTCTGCTATATCTCTTCCGGCGTTCTCCGTAATCATATCTTCCGTCAAACCAAGCTCTGCCACTGCAATCTGCTCGACTTCAAGAGTCTGTAGGGGGCTCACTGTCGGACAGCTGCGGTTGGTAGTTGTCAGTCGCAAAGAAGCACCTGAAACTCCAGCGCCAGCCATGGGCGATGCCGAAACGGGAGTTTTGTTCGGACGTGGACTGGTGGTACGCGAGGAGCTCAGTTGACTGCGGCCAATAGTACTGATTTGCGGCGGGACCAGAGGTTGACCTAGGATTGCACTTCCTTTTCGAGATTCTCGAGCACGCGCAGATGCCCTCGATGGCTCACGTCCCGAGTAATTCCCACTGCTCAACTTAGCATCACTCCGTTCCTGTTCAGACTCCTCGTTTTCACTTTCCTGGGGACTGTCAAGGACATTCTCCGTCCAATGTAGATTCTTCCCGCCATTGGTTCCAGGCTTCGGCCTCCGGTTGAAACTGACAAGTCGATCTTCGTCTGCCGTAGTATCATCGTTCCTGATCTCTTCAAAGACCCTTCTCTTATCAAATTTTGACAGGTTACTCTGGAAATCAAATTCGCCCATCTCTTGGATATCTGTTGCGTCCTCGGTAGCCCAGCCATTGGGATCCTCGGCATAGTTGCGACCCTTCTTCTTGCGACGTCGTCCATTGGAATCTGCTAGATTGTCCCTGTACTTTTGTGGAGTTTTGAGGTCCGGTCCATGTGCAGGTTGGACAAAGGCAGTCTGCCGCCATCCTTTCGTTTTCGGATTGGTGTTGTTCGCCCCATCATGCTCGTTGACGGCGCCATCTTTCGGAAGTCTATTCCGACCACTTTGACGGCTACGCTTCGTCGTGAACTGCGCAGCGGCCTGTAAAGGAGCGACATCTTCAACCTCATCAAGCACATCTTCAATGGCCTCGTTTGAGACCAAAATTTGAGGATCCTTCACGTTGCCATCAATATTCACCTCCAAGTTGCTGAACGGTTCCGTCAAAGCGGCGGATACGGTAGGTTCCCTGAACTGAGCTTTTTGCGGGGTTCGAGAGCGTAATTGGGCACTTGGTGCGCCTGGAATTGGATGGCTCTGCAATTCGGTACTTTGGCTGAAATGTTTGATGGGTGGCTTTCCATAGCTGACTATCGCCGGATCGACGAACGATTGTTGAGTTGGAGTCACAGATGTCTCGCGGGCGAGGTGTCTGTTCTCTTGGACAGGATAGGTAGGCTGTGCGTTGGCCGGTCCCAAAGACAGATCTGCGATGTCGGGGGCTTCAATCGAATATGTAGGTAACTGCTGACCGTTCCAAGACAGCGTCACTGAAAAGAGCAAGATTAGGGAGATGCGCTTCCATCCATTCTAGAAGCAACACACATACCGTTCCTGAGCATCAGACGTTGGCCAATGACGTTAGCCACCACTCCTTGGATGCTTGCATTGGGTGGTGCTCTAAGCGTCACGAGGACATTGTATCCAATGAATTCCGACGCCATGCTGTAGAGCAGTGAAGGGAAAGCCAAATATCGGAATTTTAGTACTCAAATGACATATGTGCTGTGAGGATAGGTATGGGGAGCGAAGGGCGGCGGGAGTCGTACAGCGTCGCAAAAGTGAATTGTCAGGCTACAACTGCTATGGAATGATATCACGTGCGCATTGACCTTATCGATAAGCACAAGTGGGGCCTCACCCGCAGGAGTATTTTATATACAACGCTCGCTTGTTGATCATCGGTAGCTCCTTACTCCGAGGATTGGATTTCGATATCTTCCAGCCTTGCTTTCTAGGGTCTCATTGTATTGTATATGGAGTAAGTCTATGAGATATAAGAATAAGCGGGGTATTCGCTAAATGAGCAATCATGCCTCCATTCTGAATGCCACCACCTTGGCATGAAATATATCCTTGAGCCGCCCATCTTCCTGCCTATGGTATCAATAGTTGTATCTTTCTGGAGAAAACCGATGTCGGTGATAAAATACAGAGAAATAAAATATGGCGCTCTCTTGTAAATGGGTTTGGCCTTACAGAGATCTGGCGTTGGCTCTTATCAGCCATATAGCTGTTGTAAAAGCTCTTCCTCGTCTAAATGAGACTTGGAATCTTTGTCTGCTAGCTGACGCGCCTTCGAGCTTTTGGGAGCAAGCACATCAGTGATACTCACAAGTTTCGCATAGAATTCCGTGACTTTCGGATGTACCATAACTTTGCGCGCATCAAACCGTGTGACTTGGAGGCCTTCTTTCGAGGTTGCACGACTCAAAGCAACATAAGCCTGTCCTTTCTCGAACACTCGCCCCAGATCGACCTTGACTCGCTGCAAAGTTTGGCCTTGAGCCTTGTGGATAGACAGAGCCCAAGCAAGAATCAAGGGCACCTGTTGGCGTTGTGCCTGGACTTCGCCATTCGGCAGTTCGATCTTCCAGGCTTCAGGTTGGCAAAGTAGATGCCGCTCGGTTCCATCTGGCTGCACGAAACACACCAGAGGCCATTTCCTGCTTACCACGATACCCCCATCCTTGTTACCAAGGCCCTTGAGCTTCTTGCGAGCATGACTTAGATTTTCCTCGTCGCTGCCATTTTCTTGCCTGCCAGAAAACTCATTTTCATTGTCGCGGTAGTATTCAAATGTTGCTTCATCCATGAAAGCAGCAACTCGCCCAATGGAACCGTTCACAAGTGTATCTTCCATGTTCTTGATGAGCATCACCTGCGCACCCTTTTTCAGGTGTATGACAGGAGGGGCCATGCAGTTAGCTAGTAGTTTTTCACGGTACTGGGCATCTTGAATCGACCCCGAATCAACTGCTTGGAAGGTCATCATCTCGCCAGAGAGCTTGACCATCCTTGCGCTGTTTGCCTGTTCGACTTCATGGCGAGTCGGAAATCTGAACACGGCTATGTCAATCTGAATGCTATTGAGATAGGAGCATGTGATCTTACAATTCAGTTGCTTCGAGAGAATCATGGAAATTGAGCGGTCGTGATAGTGATTTGAACGTCTCAATGGTGCGGGGAGTCAGCTTGCCCAATCTCATCTCGTTTAGCATATCGGCGAAATCGGGGTCCTTTTGACGGAAGACGTGAGTCAACAGGATGGTATGTTGAATTGAAGTATTCCATGTTCCTGCGGCAAAGGCAAACTTCGCCTCTCGATTGCTACCTTCAGGTACTGGTGGTAGCTGGAAGAAGTCGCCGGTAACGACAAGTTGGATCCCCCCAAAAGGACGGCCATTGTTTCTGATTCGACGGGCAATTTCTTCCAGTTTATCAAACAAGTCGCCATCAACCATGGAGACTTCATCAATGATGAGGACCTTGGTGCGGAGCCAACGATTTCTGGCTTTCTGATTTCTTTTGATCTGTGGAATATTAGCGGTGCCATCTCAGATGATATGGAGAAAGGAATCTGACTTTCTTGACCAGTTCGGGAACTGGTTCCTTTCCCAGTCCAATCCCCGCGAAACTGTGTAGCGTAACACCCTCGATATTACAGGCAGCAAGACCAGTGGAAGCTGTCACTGCCACGCGATCTGGCTCCTTACGATATTTGCTCCGCAATTGTTTGATAATCTCCCTCATAAGAACCGATTTACCGGTACCGGCAGAACCAGTGAAGAAGATACTTTTGCCTTGCTGGACTACTGTATCGAGAACATGACGCTGTTCATCGCTGAGAAATAAGGAGGCGATCTTTGGACGAGGTTGAAGTTGCTTAGAGCTTGCATCATTCTTCTGGTTCATTTTATGTTGCCTTCGCAGCTCTTTTTGCTCTTCCTTAATCGCACTGGCAGACTTGTTCCAGGGTGCAGTGGATTTGGGACGAGCCGGAGTTTGCGGTTTATTATATTCCTCCTCCGGTATCGATTCCGACTTTTGGAGCCACGGTATTGTTCGACCGGTACTGGGTTTCTGTAGGTGGGATGGAGGCGAGGACGACCAGGGATATTGAATGCTGCTGGAGGGGGGAACATGCTCATCAGGGATAGTCGGTAAATCAGGATACTTGATATCCGGGGTTGGAGATACTAAGTCGATGGTGATGGGTTCTGGTTTCTTCGAAATGTTGGTTCGCATTATACCGCTGTTCGCATTCGAGGACGTCTCCAAGGCCTCCCCCCCGATGCTCGGCCGCACAATTTTTGTCGGTGGAATGAAAGGCTCCGGTTCTTCAATGTCCAAATCGATATCATCATCAAAATCATTCTCGTCGAAATACACTGCGCTGTGAAGGGACCCTAACGCAGATCCTCCGGTATTCGCCATCTCAATCTTCCGCTTGACGCCTATCGATTGCTGCGGAGGTAGTTTCGACTGCGCTGGGCCATTGCTACTGAACAAGCTGGACTGAAGCGGCTTGAAGGAACCTGCTGAGTGGTCTTTGACGGCCTTCTTGAACATGGTAGCTTCCTGTAGATGTCCTGGAGGCCGAGCTGTCGAGTATCCGGCGGCTAGCGTGATCAGTTGTCGACCATGTATGAGGAATTGGCGGATCGGAAGAGGGCCCTTTTTGCCAATTTTGGATAGGTACATGTACAAGTCGCCGCGAAGTGTATATGGAAATTAGGCGGTTGAGAAGCTGACTGCAATTGCCGATGACAAAGACGGTTATCTGGGACTTTTCGCGATCCAGATTGCGCGTGATGGAGATCGAACGCGCTCCATTATCACACGTGACTGTGATAAGAACTTTTTTGCCTTTTATCTGCTGCGATAAGAAACCATATCAATGGTCACTCAACACCATCTCCAAGCAAGTCGAAGACAAGGATATGAGCAGTAATGTATGGAGTAGCAGGTGTTGACTATAGATTGTGTAATACTCGACGACAACGGATGATCCCGGTAAACTGAATGTCTATTTTTCTGGGCTGCTCTCCTGGTAACTCACAATACTGCTCGAAGCTGTGTTTCACTTTGCATGACGCAACTTATGGAAATCTCGACTACCTCGCACGAATGCCCAATCCCTTGAGAAATACAAACTGAATGCATAATCTCAAGCTCCAATTGAGCTACGGCCATCCAAGGAACAGTGACAGTGGCTTACGGGCTAAAAAGGGATCCAAGGACCGTGGTATACAAAGAGTCTGTATCACGTGACACTACATATCTTGACGCGCCCAAGATCAATAATGCGGAGTCTGCAAGACTTGAGTCAAATTAGGAGCACAACAGGCCCTCATCCCCCTGCTTTGCCAATCATGAAGCATGGCAAAGAACTTGACTTCGAGTATGTTTGTCTCCAATTGAGCAACTTGTATCTAGGCATGGCTAATACCATTGAAGACAAGGAACATCCTCTTGCGGGGGTGGTCCTCTGCTTTACCTCTATCCTACCAGAACAACGGGTAGGTATCATATCTTGTTCAGTCTTCAAAATGGTGCGCGAGTACTGATTGTGTCTGGGGATCAAATAGACTGAGCTAGCGACAATTGCTAGTCAAATGGGAGCAGCACACAAATTCGATCTTACGTCCGATGTCACACATTTGCTTGTCGGCGAGATCAATACCGCAAAATACAAGTTTGTCGCGCGCGAACGAAGCGACGTCGTTGTACTAAGGCCAGAATGGGTCGAAGCAGTACGGCAATCATGGATGCAGGGCGAGGACACGGATATACGGGCCTTGGAGCAGCAATATAGATTACCGACGTTCATGGGGTTATCTATCTGCATAACAGGATTTGAGGATAGTGAGTCAGGATTGCGATCGTTGCCGGATGACCTCAGAGCTAACAATTCATGATAGTGGCTTACCGCAACTATATTCAAGATACAGCTGCGTCGAATGGCGCTGACTTCAGGAAAGATCTTACCAAGAACGTTAGCCATCTCATCGCGTGGAATACCGAAGGCGAAAAATACAAATTTGCAACGCAGTGGAACATCAAAGTTGTTACGCTCAAGTGGTTCACAGACAGTATAGAGCGCGGGATGGTGCTTGAGGAAACCCTTTATCACCCTCTCCTACCACAAGAACAACAGGGCACAGGTGCTTGGAATCGCTCTGTGTCAGCTATCAAGGAGAAAGCGCCAGATAGTGGGAACTCATCTGGTCCGCGACCCCGAAAATTGCGCAGGATTGCAAGCACTAAATTGGTGGACCAAAATGAAGGAATCTGGGGCGACATCGTGGGTGCAGGACTCGAGAACAACGAGCTTAGACGGTCTACAAACAGCCAGCCAAAGCACAACCATTCATCAATGACAAGAAGAGCGTCAATTATACAGGAAGCCAAATCGTTTGCGAGTGAAACCACTTTTGCGGACGCTCGAGGATCTCGTCCTGATACCTTGGAAGCAAAGCCCACAATCAGCAATGGTTTCCTAGATGGTTGCTATTTCTTCATATACGGGTTCTCTTCCAAACAGGTTTGTCTTGCTACTTATCTCGTTGAATGTGTCTAACATAACCTAGACGAGCGTACTCCGTCATCATCTTTCGTCCAATGGAGCTCAGTTAGTGAGCTCTCTGAGCGAGTTCTCTCGTCCAGATATTCCAAAAAGAGGGCACGGACTTTATACCATTGTATCGTATCGCACACCCCAGTCTGAGGTCCCGTCTACGGATGATCTGGCGTTTGAATGTGATGTGGTCACAGACATGTGGTTGGAAAGGTGCCTTGATGCGAAAGCCCTTGTGCCGCCTGAGACTCATGTCGCCTGTACACCTGTGCCACTATTTCCGATCCCAGGTTTGTTATCAAACGCCCTGCAGTAAGGACCCGTATTAATTATTCTAGGGTTTCACGGCGTGAAGATATGCTCAACCGGTTTCTCACGTATAGACTTGTTGCATCTATCCAAACTTGTTGGTCTAATTGGTGAGTAGCGTTGGACGACCTGGTTGAAGCTGAAACTGACTTGATAGGTGCATCATACGATGAGTATCTGACGCCCAAAGCATCGGTCATGATCTGCAACGACTCGCGCACCGTCAATAATGAAAAATTGCGGCACACCGCTGAGTGGAAAATCCCAACTGTATCCGCAGATTGGCTATGGGCGTCTATCCGAACAGGCCAGAGGAAACCATTCGAGCCATATATCATAGAGAGGTCATCTCAGAGTCAAAGGAGTCTGGAAATGCGAGCTGGCTCTCGCACAGAGCAGACACATCTTTCTGAAACATCCGACAAGCCTAACAGAACAGCGCCATCGGATCGTGGAAAGGAAAAGTTGCAATCAGGCAGTTCCAAACCCAATAGAACAGCAGGTGACAGTCCTGCCAAAGAACAATCGAACCCTCGTCGCGAACAAGAAGCCGCGAAACCCCAACCGCCGCAAAAACGGCCATCCATCTCCCAAGCATCAGTATCGCCCGCAAAAGAACATCCAACAGCAAACACCGCCTCTCCCTCCAACAAACGAAAAGCGTCAGATCAACCCACGACCTCCGCCGCACAGTCGGCAATCGAACTCGCCGTAAGCGGATTCCTTAAACAAGCACGCGCGGCAAACTCCCGCCCAAAACTGGACACGGGAGATCAGGAGAGCGACAGCCTTCGCCGACGAAGACGAAAGCCGCTCCTCGGCCGCGCACCATCCCACTCCTCGGCGCAGGGGGTGTTCTCGCGCGCCAGCTCCATCGACACACTGAACGAGGACGGGTGCGGCAGCGCCGTCGAGAGCGTGCCCACGGACGGGATCGGCTCGTTCCTGAACGGCGCACGGTTCGAGCTCTCGGCATCCCAGCGCCGCATCGAAGAGGAAGAGAACCAGGAACCCCCGATGACGCAGCTGAACTACGAGGACCCGGATTCTGTCAAAATGCGAGAGGAGTTCCTCAGCCATGCGGGCAAGCTCGTCAGCAAGAAAACCCCTGCCGAGCAAGGAACCATCGTCGGCGAGGTCCGGGAACTGGAGGATGTGGGATGGGGGACTGGCCGCAGGACGAGGAACGCGGGTAAGGTCCGGGAAGATGAAATAATGTAGACATAGATTCACGATTCATATGGTTTGCTCATATAATGAATGGTGTTGCAATTTCTTTGTTTTGCTGCGGGTGTATTACTGCATGGTGCTCGGCGCCCTTGATTGTGTTGGTTTATGACCTGGTTCAATGTTATATATCACTTGCCTGGTGGAAGCTTATAAAGGCCAGGAACTATGTATGCCTCGGGAGGAAATTAGAAGTCATTGGACCTTCAAAGGTGCAAAATGCCCGAGCTAAGTTATGAGACTACATCATCTTTGATCTGATTTGAGATACTGACCTCTGTGGTGAACATACTATATTCACAGACAGTATCTAGATATAGCTGAGGAATAATCAACTGCATGTGAAGATATTTTATTGTTATATGGATAGTGCTTGAATTATGAGTATATGCAAGTACAATTTTGGATAAACACCAATGTACGCCGTCTGGGATATCTAGGATGCAGAAAATAGGAGAGTTATTGCTACACTATTGATTGACCGAAAGGACATCAAAGTGAAGGACGGACTCTTTAAATAATGAAAAGAAAGGGGTGTTGTCAAGAAAGAAAGAAAGGAAAATGATTGTACAGAATGAGAAATTTTTGAGGTAGAAGGTAATGATTGAAGGACTCTTAAGATGCAGAGATGAGAGTCGAGCATCAAGAAAAACAGGAAAAGGAGTCATACAGCGTCGTAAAATTTGCACAGACAGAAGTTGTAGGCGCTTAGCCCTGGAGAGCTGCCATGCCACCGGGCAATGGGGCGTCCAGATCGATGTTTTCGACTGATCTTCTGTTCTCTCCACTGTCTCGGAACAGATTGGAGAAGTACTTGCTGGCAGTCTCGCTCTCATGCTTTGTCTTGCTGACCTCCTGCTTGCGTCGGCCGAGGTCCTCGATACCCTGGGCAAGACTAGTCTGCATGTTGCTGGCGGGTATACGAAGGATGCGGCGGACTTCTGTTGAGATTCGTGTGGAATTCGAGTGCACATAGTCCATTTCAGAGAGAGTAGCGGCGAGCTTGCGTGACAAACGAGGGGGGAGTGTATGTGGAATCGACGACAGCATATATGCAGCAGTCAACACGGCTGTTGCATGTTAGCGCTTGTTCCACAATAGGTGTATAAGAAGGGGAACTCACCAGCAGCAGCAATGCCTGGCAGAAGCAGACGCCGCAGATTGTTGGGTCCAAGGAACTTGGCGGCGCTGAACATACTATCTACCCAGCTGCCTCCGAAGGCACGACCTCCGAGGACTGTTATGGCAGTCATGGCCATTCCGGTGCCTGCCATCTTCTCTTGGCGCTCCCAAAGGCCGGCGATGTCGAAGAAATCCCAAAGCTCCACCTCCGTATCTACCTGCCTGGCCAGAGTGTGCCGGCGGCCACGACGGAACATCATATCCGCGCGGAAGTTCAAAGGAGCAAATTTGCCTTCACCAACATGAAAAAGACCGATGTTCTGAATGAAACCAACACCTTGCACGGTCTTTGCCCGCGCATAATCCTCGCAGTCAGCGACAGATGCAGAGATCTGCTCTAGCATCGCCACCTTGAGATCCTCAGCATACTGGAATGCGGAGAAAAGACCGGGATACTCAACACCCAAATCTGCCTCGGAGACACGAGAGATGGTGTCTGTCAAAGTAGACCGCGTGTGGGTGTACACATCCTCGCAGGAATCGTCAATGCATTTTTCAATGTCATCACCGAGTTCTATCTGCTTCTTCTTGCCATTCTCGTAAGCTGGTTCAAGCTCTGCGAGCTCCTCTGTGACACGCTTGAGCTCTGATTGAGCGACGTCACGATTAACAACCGCCAATGAGTTGATGTCTGCAAGCAAGTTGAGCAAATAGGTTCGAGCAGGAGCCAGCTTCGAACGAGAGCGCTTTTCCAGAACGAATCGCCTCAAAGAACCCTCGAGGTTCTCGAAATCCTGGATCTTCTCCTTCTCCTTGCCTTTGCCCTTGCCATCACCCTCAGGCTTATCGTCATCATCGCCATGTGGGTCGGAACCTCCACCACTGCCACCGTTGGAAGACTCCAAAGCCATTGGCGGTGCGACGGGGACAGCATTGCTGGAAACAAAGTGAACCAGCTCAGCAGCTTCCTTGTAAGTGCGAGGACTAAGCTTGCCAATTTGATCCAGAATCATGCGCTCACACCGCTGCTTGTCACGAATCTGATCGAAACCGTTGACAACGATGAACATGTAAGCCTTCTCATGAGCGGCATTGAGAATGAACTCTTTGGCAGAAAGCGTGAAATGATTCGCAGCGGATACCACGAAAACCACGACGTCGATCTCTTCCTGGCGAGCAAAAACGGCGGTAGTCTTCAACGAATCCGAATTCAGACCAGGAGCATCAATCAAAGCGATATCAACCACTCCGTTGTTAAGCAGAGACTCATCGATTGTTCTCACATCTTTCACATAGACCTTGCATTGCATATACTTCGAGTTGTCAATCACGATGTTTTCGAGCTCTGGGAGAGCATATACGTCGTATGTGCTCTCGTCGTTGCGGTTGTATTGTCTGTCTTTGCGGACCGCATGAACCTCCTCAACCCCACTGTTCTCCCGCGCATCGAGGACTTCACAGAAAATGCTGGTGCAAGGTTGTTGATCCTCAGGTAGCACCTTCCGGCGCAGAAGGGCGTTGCAAAACGTCGATTTGCCAGCATTCAGGTCTCCCGTGATCAAGACCTTGCTCGATGTGTCCTCGATCCTGTCCCGCAGCGAAAGAAGGTGTTTGATGCTTTGACTGATTTTTCCATCCAGTAGTGACGCAATGGAGGCTTTCTCCAGCGAGTGCACTAGTTCAGTCTGCGACAAAGCACCAAGCTTAAGATCCAATTTCAAAATCGAGAATTCCTGTGCAATCTGTGGGCTCATCAACCTCGGCTCGGGAGTACTTCGGCGTTCCGCAACAACACTCGATTCCGGTAGATCATCGCTTCCTGCCATCGTGGCTGCGCGTCGAATCTGCCCAGGCCGTGGGAAGGGCTCGGACGCGTTGGCATCGTTTTCAAAGTATGATTGGCTCTGGCGCAAGCTGGGGCGCAAAGACGGCGAGCCAGGGCTGCCTGGCGCGTTTTGGACAGATGGATAGTGTGCGGGCCATTGGCGGTTCATGTCCTGAAGTTCCTTCAATGTTTCGATCGTCCGGGAGATTGCGCGTCCAAGTTTGGTACGATTCGAGTTACTGTGAATGAGGTCGATTAGTTGTTTCCGCACGGATTCTGCAGAATATTGGCAAAACATACTATAGCAGCTGATGAACATGGCTTGCAACCACTTGTCGTTCATGTTCCACTGTGCCCATCGATACGTCAGTAAAATGCCCCAGTACCATCATCATTCATAGCTCTATTTTTATAGGACAACGAACCAGACGGATGCCAATCTCCCATGCGAGGAGGCGTTGGCATCGGGGTTGGTATATCCACCATCAAATCCGATCGCCACCCGAGACCCCCATCACCATCCATCAAACTTCCACTCGCGAGACTGCCTCCGTATCCCGAATCCGCGTTCAACGAAGCCATCAGGGCCGTGGCGCTCTCAGAGGTTGATCCATTTCCGACGGTCATATAGGTAGGCGGGGGTCTGGGATGAAAAGGGTTTTGGGATGGAAACTCGTCAGGAGGGCGTCTCGAGGATCCCTCGCCGGCGGACGAGGCGGCCTTATCGCCGGGGAAATACTCCTGACTCATGTCGAAGACCGTGTGCTGTGCATCGACTTCAAAATTCGGGTGTTCATGCAAGAAGAGAAAATAGGATATGATGATTGTTCGAGAACGACTTTAATCTACGTGATGGTTCCACTGGGAAATTTCATGACGGCAGGCGCCACACTAGTCCCAAAAAGGCCTGGCTGCGGCATGTGACTCCCGCCCGCGGTAACTGGATTGCCGCCATCAATTTGGTGGTCGGTTTTCCCCATCAAAGTCCTTGCTTACTTCTGCCAGTTGATGTCACCGCAGGCTTCCTTCTGATAAACAGACAGACTCTCCGGTAGGACCTCACAGGTGGTAGACCTGTAAAAGCCTATCAATCTTTGTTGCTGTCGAACATATCATCACACCACATCTCATTTGTTCGCCCACATCATGAATGTATGTCATGCATCAACTACGTATCTGCCTGGTTCCCCACTTACATGCTGTCTAGATCGTCGAGTGGGCATTCGGAAAGCGCATGACGCCAGCGGAGCGTCTGCGCAAACACCAAAGGGCGCTGGACCGAACGCAGAGGGAGCTGGACCGGGAAAGAGTCAAGCTGGAAAACCAGGAGAAGAAGTTGATCCAAGATATCAAGAAGAGCGCCAAGAACGGGCAGATCGGCGCCTGCAAGATCCAAGCGAAAGATCTGGTTCGGACAAGGAGGTGCGTATTACAGCATTGGGCATTTGATGTTCTTGCCAAGTTGCACAATGGCTTATGTTTCCGATGCGATGCAGGTACATCCAGAAGTTCTACCAGATGCGGACACAACTACAGGCGATTTCTCTCCGAATTCAGGTACGACGCGGCGACCTGGATATTCGTTGCGGCCAGTGAGCTCTCATGCTAACTGTATGTAGACTGTACGAAGCAATGAGCAGATGATGCAATCTATGAAAGGAGCCACCATGCTACTAGGCAGCATGAATCGCCAGATGAATCTTCCCGCGCTTCAACGGATCGCGATGGAGTTTGAACGAGAAAACGATATCATGGACCAACGGCAAGAAATGATGGATGATGCGATCGATGAGGCCACTGGACTCGAGGGAGAGGAAGAGGAGGGCGAAGATATCGTCAAGGAAGTTTTGGATGAAATTGGTGTTGATCTGAGCCAGGCGGTCAGTGTTCCCGATAGACAACGAGCCTCTTGTACTCTACTGACAGTTCTACAACAGCTTGGTGAAACCCCTACAGATATCCAGAAGACTGCAGTTGGTGAGAGCAGAGTTGCTCAAGCTGTTGGCGCTGGCGGGCCAGGGAACGATGACGATCTTCAGGCCAGGCTTGACAGTCTTCGGCGGTGACCATACGAGGCGCGAAAGGAATCCTCCCCTAACACTTCCTCCGGATACCGTCTCCTCCTTCGAAATAACCCTAATACTGAACCGGGTGCTAGGAAGTTGGTCTTTAATGAGTTACGACTGCCGTTCATTTCTTTTGCCGAGACCTTGTGACTTTGTCAGCAATTCCAGGAAGGGTCCTCTATACCTATAACTTCTCATAAACGGCGACTTTTCGATACGAATCAATGTTACGGATCTCTATCCTGAACAATCAAGAGTGATGTTTTCTTTATTCCACAGAAACATACTTACGCAACCATGGGCTTCAGTCGAAACAGACGCTTGTCTCTGGTCTGCGATTGCCTTGATGAAGGGAAGGCCTGCATGAAAACATGTAATTTGTATTCTTTATCTCGGGAGAGGTTGAGATGCAGTTTGCTCATGACTTCATCATATGTCCAATCTATGTTAGTTTTGGCTGAAGAGGTATACTCAAGAATTTTATACAGGCAAGATTAACAAGGGTATATATAGTACATCTGGCGGTTAACTCAGTTAGAATCCCTTATGTTTGACGGAAGTAGCGCCTCGTACACCCGACTTCTGGGCCTCCTGAACGACCTGTCGGTGTGGGAGGCCCATTGGCCGAACCAGGGGAACGATTCCAACTCGCTGAGTCTTGGTCGCTGGGTTGGATCTTTCTGCAGGGTTGCTCGCAGCATGTCCACACAATCCTGCGAGAGGCTCTCGTCGATGGGCAACTCTTCATTGACCATTTGCTTCCGCCTCTTCGCAGCCGCTTCCCAACGCGCCCCTTGATAGTAGTTCTCCGGCGTTAGTCGATCTTCGATAAAGTCCTCGATCAAACCGACACCTTGGTCCCATTCTGGATCCTCCCAGGGCGCAAATCCATGCAGCAAGCCATAAACCATGGCGGCGTATTTCCAGAGGTGGCTTTGGCGAACATCGTTGGGCAGGTAGACTGTCATCTGGCCCCAGTTGCGTTGCAGGTCGAACAGGTAATTCGGTTTCATCACCTCGATTACAAGCTCTGGCATGATCTGGTATTCTTGATAGATCAGGTATGTGTAAAGATTGGTGTCGAAATCGGACTCCTTGAGTCCGAAGGACATGAGTCCAAAGTCAATGAGTTGCACCTAGTATGAACGGAGAGCAGTTAGCCAGGCTCCTTGCAGCCATGTCCAGACGAGTGTCAAGACATTGGTTCAAGGCAGGGTTGGTGGGCACATTGCACTTACATTGAGATTCTCGTCCACCAGGTAATTGAGATGCGAAAGGTCATCGTAGGAGAGATTCATATCCCGAAGATAGGCGATTGCTTCCAGAAGCTGCGATGACACCTTGCAGGCTTCGACTTCGTCAATGAGCGTCTGTTTGTGATACATCAGGAAATCCCCACAGAAAGATGGCGCTTTTATCTGCCATGGAGCTTTCTTCTTTTTCTCCTTCTCCTTCTCCTCCTTCTTTTTCTGCCTTGTTAATAGTCTTTCGGTCATACGATGATCGACACACGCGCTCATGACGATGGCAGTGTCACGAGCCTCGGTCCAGACGGACGCGAGCGTTGGGAATCTTGGGTTGTTAGTCAACAGGAGCATGACCATTGCTTCGCGCGGAATGAGACGAACTCTTCCATTGTCCATGATGCACACCATTTCAGGCTTGGATTGGCCCCAGAACGACTCCGATATGGTGCGATGATCCTCAACTTTGATTGCATATGTCATCTCGTTGGCAGGGTCGTATGGAGCGCCAGGTGCAGGCCCTCGACCTAGGTAAACGGTTCCGTATGCTACTCAGAATGTTAGTCAATCTTTCAAGAGAACAGAATTGAAGGGGGAATGGACGGCCTTACATCCTGAACCAATCCTCCCAATAATACGTATATCCTCTTTCAGCGAGCTGCAAATGGCCTCGAATCGCAACTGATTAACTGGCAATTTTCTTTCCGCTGCAGTCGCTGGCCTTTTGGCTGGCCTTTCGAATCTCACAACTCTTTCCTGGAATTCCCTGGTGTCCGCTCTGCGTTTCCTAGATCTGTTGAGCATTGTTGCTGAGCTGAGCCGGTCATACTCATGCGGGCATCTGGAGATCGGCTCCCCGGCTCTTGTCTCCAAGCTTTCCTCGTACCGACTCTGGACGAGTTGATGAAGCAGTGGGTTCTCTTGTGAGACATCGCTGTCAGGACGAAGGAGGAAGGGGATGACTGTCTCGAACCGGTCCTTCCAGTTTCTCCATGGCCGATAGTCCGCCAATGCTCGGTCTTCAGGCCTGAACCCATCGCTTGCAAACTGTCGACTGGCCATCTGAATAGATTAAGTTAGTAAAATTGAGATAGTTTATTTAGTAAGAGAGTGGAAGTTTCAGTATGTTCTGGAAGATCTTTCCCTTTCCTGTTGATAGGAAAGTCTACAGACTATATACCTTCAACGGACATCATGATAGCCCTCGTTTCTGCTTCCAAGCCTCCTTTTCTTCTATGGCAACAAAGGATAGTTCCAGAAAGCCGTTGCAAGATATAACATGGCTCCATTGTTTGGTCACAAAGGGGAAAGAGTTCATGTTTCAAGGTACAAAGGCATGCGATGTCAACAAGCTCCACAACAATGCAGATAAAGGTTTCATCTTATGTTTGTGAAGAATCTCCATAAACTGATTACACAGATGAAGATGCTTCATTCTGGTGTCTCTTGTGTGAGAAGTTAAAGAAGTCTATTTTTGACATTTTGGTGGTCCCTTGTTGTTCTCAGAACATTAGATGATTGTTCATCTCCAACACACAACCAGTCAATCACTCTTTCATGTGCAGGAAGACCTATCAAAGTAATTCCTCACTGAACCATCTTTCTAGGGCTTAGGAAAGGTCCCTAAGCATCTAGACTGCTAGGTAATGGATAAGAATGGTCGTCTAGAACATGCTTTGTCACTTGTGTAAGCTTAGAGGGGATAGTATCACCAGGATATGTTTCTCTGTCCCACTTCACTTTCAACAAGGCAAAGCATTATTAATATAGTTATTATCATAGATCTAGCCTTTGCAATCCATGAGACTGCAGCTATTGGCTGTAGATGATAGTGAAGCAACCTTTGCTTCTGGCCCCCAGCAGTCTTACTGAAGGTGTAGGGTTTCTCCATGGCTGGAAGTCAGACTCAGGGCAAAAGAAAAGGCAAAAGGGGGGCACCACGCGAGAGTCGAGGTGACACATTTCTGCTGAATACGGACAATTTTTTGGGGTGAAATTACTGTATATGAGGGATATTGTTGGGCAGAATTTTTTTTTCAAACCAATGCCGTTGGAGATGGCTTGTAGTTGTTGGTTGTCTACTGTAGTGCAATGTTGTACTTCCGATGGAAGAAAGGAAGGGCCCACCCAACGCGTGGGCCATAAGCTTGCTTGCATACTGTGTACAGATTACAGAGAAGATATCACAGGAGCTACTGCAAGTCCGCAAGCAGTAAGCACTGAGGAGGACCCAGTAATCTGCAGTTCGGTGTCCGTGGATTATTAGTGATGATGACTGCGCGCGACCCGGGAGGCGTGATCGTGCCTTGCCTTGAGACTCTCGTGGCTGCAGCATCAAAGCATGACCATCCACCGTCCACAACCACTTCAGCCAGTGAGAAGAGCCAGATGGGTATTCATCCAAGCCAAGCAAAAAGCAATCAACATCGAAGGGAAACCAGATTCAGAACAGGACCAGGCTGCCGTTTCTGCCAGATACATACCCAGAGCCTCACAGGAGGCAGCCAGTGAAGGCCTCGTCGCTCGGATCCATGCATTTGATCGTACAGCCATCTTCCACTACAGAATGAAATCACTTTTCCATCCCCAACAATCATTTGGGGTATCATGGTTTGAGTCACTGCCATCAACGTACCCAACCGACCGTCTTACACCGTACTTTGATCGATTTCTCTACGATGTTTAGTGCACAGCCACTGCCTGAGGCTGAGACCCTCCTCCATCCCATCATCGCTAGTGACAGCCTCAGGAAGCAAAGTAGATTGTCTCACGGCCCTCTTGCCCGGGCAATCTGCGCCCCATCGACCCCGTGTAGATGGGCGCTGAACCATGCATTTTTGATACAATCCTAGTCATCTTGCTTTTATCATGGACGAATCATTTCCTCAACCAAAGGGGGCGGCGTTCGTCATTCCCATGCCCTTTGCTTTTGCAGTTATTGGAGTTGGAAATAGTCGTTCTGGTGTAGTATTGAAGTGCAGAAAGGCAGAGCGAAACTCCAGGCAGAAGCCCAGATAGGCTTCATCCCACCACAATTCCATCGGCAGAAAACCAGCCGCCAGTCTGCCTACAAAAGGGCTCAAAGAACCCCTCCACATCCCTCCTCTTTTCGTCAGAAGCATGAACCAACCTTTTCATCCTTCTCGATCGCGTTTTGAGCTTTGTCTCTCATCTCGCACACTGTATGTCCTTTTAGCTGGATTTGATACTCGCACTTCTTCCTGTGGTTTGTGTATGTTGTATTGAGGAGCAGTATATCTCGTCTTCTGGCGACCTTGTTGCCCCTTTCGTGCCATCTTAAGCAGCATCCCTCTGCAGGATATGGCGATCGTCAATCAAAATATGGTACCGCCTGTCCCTTTTGCTCAGCATCCACCGGGTCATCCACGGGAGGGTCCTCGCATCATCCAGCGTGGTGCCCCTGTGCAGATGAACTCAGCCCATCTGGCAGACAGACTAGCTCAGCTCAACGTTGGCTCGCAAAGGCCCACCCAAGGGGGCTACCATGAGGGGGATGACCTCCCCCCTGTTAAGAATATCCAGACGCGTGCCCCATATCAATTTCTGGGATACACTTTCTCCAAGGCCGACCCGGCTCCTGGCCACAAACCCACCTGGAGCCGGGCCCAAAGCTCCCCGATGAACCTGAGCCAGGAGGACCTGTTCCAACTGGTTGAGAAACAAGCTAAAAAGTCCCCTGTCGCCCAGCAATACCAGGAATTGGAGAAGTCCAGGCGGAACCATGTGGATGAGTTAATCGCGGAGCTCAAGCGCGGTGATCCTCGCTTTGAATGGACCTGCGTGTACATCAAGGAGCACACGAAGCCATCAAAAGGCAGGAATCCTCGCTTGATGTATTACGAGACCCGCTCTATAGACGTTGTGATCGCCAAGAGGCCAATCCCCGATGAACGCCCGAATACCCAGCCTCATCCCAAGGTCACAGATGAGCATCTGGAAGAATTTGACGACTATCTGACGGCCGAAGCGCCGACACCGGTAAGGGTTGAGATCCAACCTCCTGGTCAATGGAGCCAACCAGTGCCGCCCAATATGCATCCCATGCAGCAACCGCACCCTCAGGTTTTTCAACATGTACGCGCCCCAGTACAGGGTAACCCTGACGCCGCAAGACAGCCACAGGTTCACCAAGCACAATGGCCAGGGACGCAACAGCAGCCTGGCATGCACCAGCAACGAGACATACACCAGCGGCCTGAGATGCACCAGCGACCAGAAATGCATATTCATGAACGACCCCAGCCAGCCTCAGGCTCAGGCCCGGCTCCTCCGCCACAAGACCAGGCTGCTCGTATGCCCATGAATTCTGGCCAACATCATCAAGGTCATAACAATGTTCAGGGCCAAAATCCGTTCGGCCAGCATGCGAATCATCCTTTCGCAAGACCACAGGTTCATCATCCGACCAATAACGGTTTCACCCAACCACAAGTCCATCAGGCCCAACCACAAGTCCACCAGCAAGCCAAGTTCGACCAAGAATACATGCGCCGGTCATCGAATCCGCATATCGGAGCTGAGGTTGAATGGCCTCCCGAATCAAGCAGCATTGGCGACGACGAGTCGGAGATATTTGACCTTGAAGACGAGAGCTCCGCGACTGACGGCTCTGAGGACATCGAACAGCCGCCTGGAAAGCCACAGCCCTGGCGGGGGAGTCTTTATCGCCAAAAGTCGCCCGCAAAGCAGAACCGCGCTGGGCCTGGGTACCGGACCCACCACCGGAAGAAACCGAGCAAGACTGCCTCAGACTCGAAGCTGAACCGCGCTCAATACCCGGCTGGCTACGTGGAAGTCATCCCGTTCAGCAGCAAAAATGCAAACCAGCGGCCGGCGAAAGCTCAGTCCAGGGATGGTTTTGTGCAGCAGCAGCAATCCCGGGCTCGGCCCAAGGTCGTTCAAAGACCCACGAGCTCGGAAGATCTGGACTTGGCGCACCTCAACGAGGATCTTCTCAAACTAAAAGGCCGCGAGAAGAATGACATCAGAAGCCGGATTCTCGACGACCGGGAAGCCAGAGTGGAACGACGCGAGAAAATGGTTGAGCATCAAGCTCGGATGCTAGACGAGAAGCTTGACGAGGCACGATACTTGGACCGCCATGTGGGAATTCGTGAGCCTCTATTCCCTCGTCGATATTATTTGTGAAAGTATTTTTCTTTTTTTCCTGAGTGTTTTTTTTTTCTCTCTCTGGTTTCTGTGGCGTGATTTAATTTCTGCTTGTTTTCTTTTCCTTTCTCTCTGGACGTTTCGGGGGTTTCGGTCAAAGGGGGGGGGGCCATACGATGATACCACAAGACATGGGGCGTTACTCGATGATACTCAGGGATATGTAATGATACTGGATGAAATGGAATAAGGTGTGAATTATATGATGATGGTTATTGTTATCACCAGGAAGAAGAAGAATCAAAACAATTGATATTTGCAGATTCACAGCCTGGTTCATGCAGCAACAGCTCACTTCACTACTACTAACTAGGTACGCTCTACGTTGTTATTGTCAGTTGTCACTGTTATCGATAAGCCCCTCTTCGGCAAAGACGCTCTCTCTCTCACCTGAGCTGCCCCGCTGTCTCCCGTTTTCTCTTCGTCCGCCATCGTCATAAAGTACAGCTTGTTTCCCTCTCCCCATCTTCCTCTTCATCAACAACACCCACCTCCCCCAAAAACTGACCCAGGTCATTACTCTCGTCTTCTCCCCATCTTTCTCATCCCTATTTTCACACACCCTTTGCCAAAATGTCTCGCCAATTCTTCGTCGGTGGTAACTTCAAGATGTATGAGCTCCCCTGGTGGCGGATGAAGACTGCCCCGCAATGGCATTGCTGGGAAGTCGTCGAAGCGCTTCACTTCCAATCCTACAGCTATTCAAAGATCACAATAACTGACTATTCTACTCGATCTTCAGGAACGGTGTCAGTGACACCATCACCTCCATCATCACCAACCTCAACCAGGCCAAGCTCGACCCCTCCGTCGAAGTCGTCATCTCCCCCACCTCCCTCTACCTCCTCCTCGCTCGCCAGACTGCCGACTCCAAGATTGGTATTGCCGCCCAGAACGTATTCGACAAGCCCAACGGTGCTTTCACCGGTGAGATCAGTGTCGAGCAGCTCAAGGATGCCAAGATCGACTGGACCATCATCGGACACAGCGAGCGCCGTGTGATCCTCAAGGAGGCTGATGATGTATGTTCTACTGCGCAGCTTGAAGAGTCAGCAGAACGGAGACCATGGAGCTTTTTTTTTCTAACACTTTTCTTCTGAATAGTTTATTGCTCGTAAGACCAAGGCTGCCATTGAGGGTGGTCTGAGCGTCATCCTGTGCATCGGTGAGACTCTTGAGGTAAGTCCATCGCTCACGTGCTATGCCGGTACCCATGCATGGGCACAGTCCTGGTATTGGATTGACCAGTTGACTAACAATCTGCAGGAGCGTGAGGCTAGCAAGACCATCGATGTCGTCACCAGGCAGCTCAACGCTGTCGCCAAGGAGCTGTCCAAGGACCAGTGGCAGAAGGTCGTCATTGCCTACGAGCCCGTCTGGTGAGTCTCTTCTGCCGCGTCCTATCTATTCACCGAAGCTCTCTAACAGTGCACCCAGGGCCATCGGAACCGGCAAGGTCGCTACCACCGAGCAGGCCCAGGAGGTCCACGCTGCCATCCGCAAGTGGCTCACCGACGCCGTCTCCCCCGAGACCGCCGAGACCGTCCGTATCATCTACGGTGGCTCCGTCAGCGAGAAGAACTGCCGTGATCTGGCCCAGCAGCCCGATGTCGATGGTTTCCTGGTTGGCGGTGCCAGCTTGAAGCCTGCCTGTAAGTGACATTCCGTCTCTCTTGATCTTCCAATAATAGCTGACCATTCACTCGCAGTCGTCGACATCATCAACGCCCGTCTGTAAGCGAATCATGTAATGAATGTCCTTTCAACCTTTCTACGGCCGGCTTTCGATCTGGTAGGGATGAACTTATGAAAAACCGGGCCGTGACAACGTGTCCAAGATCCATATATGCCTGCTTCATCCGCCCGTTTCGGCTGGTGGAGTTCGGACTCATATCTAAACAAACCAAACTAATAAAAGTGGAATGTAAATATGATTGAAATATCCGTGAACCGCTGTAATTGGTGATTCAGATGCTGTGTATTTGTGGCGTAATTTAGAACAAAACATATATACAGTCAACGCATTCATTTACACAGCGGCCATACAGCGGACCAAGATCACGACGAATACGACACCGACACCCCAACACCATGCCAATACGACTTCGCATGGCCGCCTCCGCCGCCCGCCTGCGCAGACCCAGACGCCGGCACTGACCACGAAGACGGCGAGAACGAGCTCGGCCCCAGCCCCACCCCAGCGCTGACGAGGAGCTCCTTCACGCGCCCCTCCCAGAGCAAGCGCACGTTCCACGACTGGTCGACACGGATCTTCAGGACGGATTCGTTGCCTTCGTCGGATTCGGCGGCGACGGGGGCAGGGGCAGGGGCGGTTGGCGGCGCGTAGTCGGGGTCGTGCATGCGCATCTTGCGGCGGGCCCATTCGAGGCCGTCGTGGTCGGCGGGGTCGTCCTGCTGGTGCTGGGGTTTCCGGCGCCGGCGCCAGAGTTCGCAGCCCGCGACCATTTCGCTTTCCCAGCTGTAGACGTTGAAGCCGAAGCGGGAGCTGAAGGCGAGGTTGGGCGAGGCACGGAGGGAGTACGTGGTGGACAGGGAGCCGGTCAGTGGTGTGAGGATGAGGGTGAGGGTGTACGGGAAGGTGGAGATTGGGGTGGTGGTGGTGGTGGATGATGGCGTCTCGGTGGCTGCGGGGAGCGTGCTGAATCTCAAGCCTGTCGACATCCCGATGAGCGACGAAACGGGTGAGTAATATGCTTCTGCGCCGGCGGAAAGCAGTGATACTGGTGGGGACGAGGGGTCTCTGGGATGGCGCGGATCAGGTCCGAAATTCCACAGTCCTCGCCAGCCGAATAACGAATTGTCTGTACTAAACAGGTATTCATTGCTGTACTTTCCCGTGTCGTGGCAGAGTTGTCCTAGCAGTGAAGCCTGCGGCGCTGACTTGGACAGAGGTGGCCCTCGCGTTGAGCAGACTGCCAGCGACAGCTGCATGGTCGGAGAGATCCGGCGCAGGAATAACGCATTGAGCGTTGTTGGGGGAGGGAGATGTAAAGTGGCATGGAGTAGAGTCGCTTTCTGACTGAGAGAAACGTGAGTGTTGCCATCACCAGCGTGTGTGGACTGGAAGGAGCCAAGCCCGTCCAGCAGGGAGTTCCATCCCCAATCTTCAACTGGTGCAACCGGGGGCTGGACCTGGCGGTAACCGCGTGCGAGCTTTCGTAACGGTATCAGGGCACTTCGACTAGGGGTATTATCCAAGGGTACAGTGCTGTAAAGATAGGATACAGAGCCATCGATCAAGCCAACTGTTCCGAGCGTATAGCTGGTCGCGAAGTGAGGGGTCGCCAAGGACGAGATATGGACGCGCAATCGCTCCGGTGTTGAGAAGTCGAGTAGCGCTATATAAGGTTAAAACACATAGCGAGCAACATGAGGTGATTTCCATACATTGTGCTGTAGCTGTTAGAGACGAGTATGAATTGTCGCGATTCCAGCTAGTCGCCTCGGCGAATGCGAGTTGGATATAATCCATGAAGTCGAGCATTCTGGATGGTTTGCCGTATCAAGCAGCCAGTTCATAGATATCTCACTGAGCAAGAGTCATCTCCGGCGGGAATAGTCGAGTATTCGAGGCATTGAGGGCTGGAGTTGGATATTGCACTTGTAATTGAAGCCTCGAGGGTCCGACATCATCAGCTCATTTCCAGACGCGGCTTAGCGCAATCGGATAAGCTCCGCACCAACGTTAATCCGCCTGTTATCAGTGAAGAAAAAAATAATCGTATCTTTGTGCTCCGAGTCAATTTTCCGTGTCTGTATAAATTCCAGATCTCCCCCGCCGTCGACGAACATATAGTGGTATAATTTGATCCACGTTCTCTCCTATCATACTCATTCACAATGCCTCGGTCAAAGCGTGCGAGAATCGTCCACGAGTCGAAGGTCACCAAGAAGTCACACAAGGAACAGACCAGACGGCTCTATGCCAACATCCGCGAATGTGTCGAGAACTATGATCACCTTTTCGTCTTCTCTGTCGATAACATGCGCAATACCTACCTGAAGGATGTGCGCACCGAATTCGCCGACAGCCGGTGAGTGTTGTTCCTCACAAGTGCACCCCGCATCGCAACGTGCATCATTTTTGAAGCGATGTGCTGGCGAGGGACAATACCCAGAATGGACTCGCTAACTCCCCAATCAGTGTGTTCTTCGGCAAAACCAAGGTCATGTCCGTCGCTCTTGGCCAGAACCCCGAGAACGAAGCCGCTCCCAACCTGTACAAACTCACACCCTACCTGACCGGTGCCGTGGGTCTTCTTTTCACCTCGCGCGACCCCGAGTCCGTCCTCAGCTACTTCGACGCTTTCCGCCCTCTCGACTTCGCCCGTTCCGGCACAGTCAGTACTCGCTCGTTCAGTATCCCCAATGGCCAGGTGTACTCCCGTGCCGGTGAAATTCCTGCCTCAGAAGACGAACCCTTGAGCCACACCATCGAGCCGGACCTGCGCAAGCTCGGTGTCCCCACCCGCCTGGTGAAAGGCAAGGTCATGCTCGAGCTGACCGAAGGCCAAGAGAGCTACCCTGTCTGCAAGGAGGGTGAGATTCTGGACTCGCGGCAGACCACGCTGCTGAAGATGTTCGGTGTCGCTAGTGCCGAGTTCCATGTCGACGTGAAGGCGCAGTGGACTCGCAGCACCGGCGAGGTCAAGATCCTGGAGACGGATCAGAGTGGAATGGAGGTTGATGGACAGTGATTTTCTCCTATCAATCGTGGATCTCGATTTCCCTGTTTACCCCCAAAAATTCCCTGGGCATTAATTGGAGTTTGGCATGGGCGTTTTCTTCTTCTTTTTTTCTCTCTTTTTCTTTGTCCCTATCTTTGATTTCGCAGCCTCGGATGTCATCCAAAGTGCTGCTCAAGGAGCGTACAGTGGACATAGATGAATACGACATTGAAAAGCTATCACGCACTACACTCTTTCCATTCAACGTAGAAAGTTACATCGGTAGAAAAGGAGATTCACGTCAAAAAAGTTACCTGATCCTACACTTTGTACGAGAATTTGGTATCGGTCGTTGCCTTCCAAAACGCCTTACCTGCTTCTCTTACCTGAGCATTCCCGAAGCCCGACCAGATTCCACCTAGATGACTACCTAAAATACATACTTACCCTGCGTAGTGTATTGCAGGCCCATGATGGAATAAAACAACAAGATGAGAAAAATGGAAAGAAAAGCAGATCCAACAAAAAATCACAAAGTCGTAAGAGAGTAGGGGGCGAGCACGAATGGTGCCTCTGCACCCTTGAGCCTCTGTCAGAGACTCAGCAGCAGGAGACCACCAGTGGGCAAATATACCTTGTGCGATCAGGGTTAAGAAGGTACATAGCGCTTGGACTGTGTGAGTAATTAATGCTTCGAGTCCGTCCGATATCGAGCTTTGACCTTGCCTTACCCATTGCACCAGATGGAACGAGGGAGAGAAGGAAAGACCAAACATAGGTACCCACCAGCAAACCGTGTTGATAAGCGCGATGGGATACCTGTGTGTACTTAGAGCAAGACCTTAATACCTCCTCTTGGCCCGAGGGTCCTCATAAGAGTCGTCCTCGTGATGTCTCTTCCGGCCATAGTCCTCTCGGCCACCATACCTGTCACGGTCACGTTCACGGTCGCGGTCACGGTATCGATCACGGTCACGGTCCCTGTGGCGATCACCTTCTCTGTCACGATCGTGATCACGGCGATCGCGCTCTGAGTAACCCTCTCGGGGACGGATAGGTTCGCGGTTGCTGCCTGTTGCGCCAGGACCTCTAGCGTCTCTCTCATACTTTCCACCACCCGCGTAGCCTCCTCCGAATCCACCATTCCGACCACCACCGGGGCCAGATGGGGCGTTTGGTGGAGGTTGTCCCCCAAAGCCATTACGACCGCCCTGGTAGCCGACTCCTCCGCGAGGACCAAATCTGTCACCGCGATATCCTCCTCTGAACCCTCTACCTCCAAATCCGCCTCTGAACCCACCTCCAAAGCCTCCAGGACCGGAAGGCGCACCAAAGGAGCCGGGGCCAGTTGGACGCGATGGCAAAGCTTTAGTATAACCACGACCACCTAATCCGCCGCCGAAGCGACGAGGCTTCCAGCCTTTCACTGTGCGACCGCGTTCCACATCTACAAGGACACGGCGATCCTTGATCCGAATGCCATCTGTCTCTTTGTAGGCAGCTGAAAGAGAAGTAAAGAAGAGCAGGTCAGCAAGAATGATCACAAGATAAACCTTAGCAGATTGTTAAGTCTCGTCAGAAGAAATGAGTTGCAGCAATACCTTTCATGTCCTTTTCGCGCTCGTAAACGATGAAAGCATAACCTCTATGCGGCTTCTTGGAGCCTTTCGGCGTGACAGTATCTTTGACAATACGGATCTTGATAAATTTAGCTTCTGTTTGATAAATTCTGTCTAGGAATACGCACTCTCTCAATGGGTCCGAATCTTCCAAACTCGCGTTCGAGGTCTGCTTCTTTTACATCGTAGCTGAGTCGAGCCACGAAAAGAGTTCTAAAGGGGTCGCCTCGAGCTTGAGAGTCGTTCGAAGGGTCATCTAGTAGAATATCAGCTGGGAGAACGGTTGATAAATAAACGATGAAAGCGCCATACAAACTTGCAAGCTCTCAGTTAACTGCTTGCCTAGCTTCTCCTTCTGCTCGAGCTTTTGCCGCCATTTGCGCTGAAGCCAACTTTCTGTAGCATTATAGGGTATCTCTTCTTCGTAATTTTTGACCTCTCCTAGATACTGTGCAATTCCACCGATGGTGCTCTTCTTGACATCTTCAGGTGCACGATCAATAGGATGGACGTAGCGCAAGGGTGGACGAGGCTGGAACAGCGCCAGCAGGGGAGGGGGAAGTTTGTCCGTCATATCGGCCCCTCAATGACTTCTTGGCTGAAGTATCGACTTCCAAGCACAAGATAATGAGGACAGATGGGTGAGCTTTTGTTCTCTGGGCAGTCAGTGGTTCGGAGCCGTCCGTTGAGATTCGCGTTCTCCGTTAGTCACTTGGCTGGCTGGAACCACGGGATTATGAAGCGGCAGCCGCGACAGGCGAGTTTGCCGCCAGCCAATGGGGCAATGCCTTGCGAGTTGCGATCTTGAAAAGTCCCCGAATTGTTCCTGGATAGATTGTCTGAATCCGACAGAGCCAACGATAAACAAATTACACAATGCCTGTACAAGGGATCAGAACGGTAGCTACGGCCAGAGTACGTCTTCTACTATCATGCTGAAGGTCGATTGTCTTGTCCCGAGGACTAACATGTTCCACTCTAACAGAACGGCGTCGGTGCCTTTATCCTTCAATGCAAACGCCTGGACTTCCATTACTGCGACTGGGCTGGTAGCTCCCGGGGCATGGTGTATGTTCCTATTATTGGTATTCAGTCAAGACTCAACTGACATTTATCTTTTCCCAGCGCCTTCCTGAAACACTCCCTCCCCAACTTCGCCAAAGCAAACCCTCAGATCGAAATCCGAGTATCCCCCCGGCCGCACAAACACCCCGTCATCAAGGGTCACTACATCAACGGTCGTGAGAAGGCAATCTGCGTCAGAAATCTGGAGCCCGAACAAATCTTCAAGAAGGCGAACCTGTTGAAGGAGGCCAGCGGCGAGAAGCTGAAGCGCACCAAGAAGCCTGTCACCAGTATTAACGAGAGTGTGAGAGGTATCTGGTCCCCGTACCACGGAGACCTCAAGATGGTATAAACATGTTTGGGAAGCATGTGATTGGTGTTGTGGCATAGTTATTCAGCTTTCTCTGTGTATAATGTGTATCATGGGTTGTTTCTGTTTTGGTCGTGTTCGTCTTCTTCGAGCCTTGAGGCCTTCCTTTCTATCATCGAGGGTTTTTGCATGGTATGTACAAAATGGATGTTTTTCAGAGCCAGACAAATGAGCGACTTGCGTCAATCGCGGGTTTATGTGACTCCATGCGAAATAGCAATCGGTTTTATGTCATGTATTCTGTCTATCAGACTAGATACTGGCGTAATATCGCCATGGAAGAACAAAATAGCAGATTCCTTCGCCAGCGCAGTAAAATGCAAGAGGGTATCGAAAAATGAACAGCTAATAAGGCAAAAAAAAAATGAACTCCAGCCAACACCCTAGCCATGCGAAATCCGTCATCACTCCCAGGAAAGGCCGCAGCACACCACACCGTTGATCAGAGGTATATTTGAACCATTGATCTTGGTGAACTGACAGGTTTCCCGCAGTCAATGACCTGACATTTGGAGAACGGCTTTGTCTTCTGAGAAGACTTTTTGGCCTTGGAGACAGCACGATTGCGAGCGCACTCGCCACAATATACCTGAGAGAAGGTCAGCCAGGAATTCTCCATACGGAAATGCGACACGAACATGTCCGCAGGGTTTGGAAACCCAGATTTGTTGTTTTCTTTCATCGCCTGTTCCGAGTTCCTCGTCACAATTTGGGCAGACGACGACGTCATCCTCTCCCGCGGTCCTAGTAAACCCCTCTGGTGCCGGGCTCGGTGGTTTATATGAGTCTTGCCGAGCTCTCTCAGACGTGGGTCCAGACCTCGGATACTCCACGGTAAAAGGCCTATCGCCGTCCAAATTGATCGTCAGGTCAATGGCACCGTTGGGCTCCTCCCCAATCCAGAACGTATCCATCTCGTGCGGCGGACGCCGGCCCATCTCGCGAGCTCGCCATGCAATTTCCTGTCTAAAGCTCTCTTCACGCGATAGTAGACCATGTGGCGGCATCCGTCGGCGTTGTAATCGTAGTAACTCCCATAGATTTGCCCCTATGAAGCTCTGGTTCCTGGGCGGCGGCGGCGGAGCCCGCTCTGGTTCGGATGGGCGAACTGTAGCTCCCACAAACTGCACCTCCGGGCTGCTGGGGGTATCTGTGCTGTGATCCTCTTGTGCGTCGTCTTCCAGATCAATCACATCGGAGATAATATTCCTCCCGAATCGTGGTAACCGCCCTTGCCGTGACGAGGTTGCTGGGTCCGCATTTTGTGTTCTTCTGCGATCCTCCGGTGAATCTGGCTCGTTCGTAAGATCGATTACATCCTCCGTTTGAGGAGAATCTGACATGATGGGGCGACGGAAATCGTATCCATCGCCTGGGTATCTCATCGGTGGCAACTGCGGACGATTGGGATCTCGGGAAGATGACGGTTCGGCGCTTTGATGCCAGTGAGGCTGACTGCGACTTGCTGAAGATTCAGGCATCTGGTGACGAGGTCGCTATAAAGAAAAAACATTAGGAAAAGCTAACAAGATACTATGCCAACCAGTCATTGTCAAGGTGAAGGGTGCCCCGCTCTGTGAAGTTGATGAAATCAATGAAACAAACCTTTCTTAGCCGCGCCGCCACAAACTGAACACCTGAGTCGCTACTCATGTCAAGGCAATAAGTCAATGTCAAGAATTGAAGGGATGAACCATAAAGAAGAAGTGTGAAGGAGGGAAGGGAATGTAACAGCACCCAAAGTCGGTAGAGTGTCACTGTTCATGATTAGTTGGGTCCGAGTCCCTTTGGTGGAGAGATGTCATTCCGCCCTCTGATATATAATCTGAAGTAGCCAGTGGCAACTGCACGCAGAAAAAGTTGAGAGCAGAAATCCATCCACAACAGTCAATGATGGACTCCGTTCTTTCAAAGAAGGTCATGTTTCGGGGTTGAAAAAGGCCAGGTTATCTATGCAGGGTCATTAAAGCCCAAAGTAAACTCTATAGCAGGCTGATGGGCGACTCTCACTCCTTCAATATTTGGTCTCACATTCCAGTCATTAATCCTTGAGCCTAACATGCGACAGACGAGAGTAAGGAGCGAGCAAATATCAAAGAGAATCACATATGGCTAGAAGTACAAAATGGTCTTTTGTTTCAGCAAGATATCATGACTGCTGTGCTGCCAGAATTGCGATTCCACCTTCTGTATTCAATGCCACAATAGTCTGGGCAGAAGCACCCCAAGCCACTGCTACTGCCGGCACAGCGCTACGCAGAGGCTCCGACCATTCCTTGGAAGCCTTGGAGTATTGCTGAACGGTCAGACCACTGGGGCCACCGGTGAGCAGATACTGCCCAGTGTAGTCCCAGCAGACGAAGTCGATCTGGCTGCCCGTCTCCAGAACCTTGATCTCGTTGGAGCTACGCAGATCCCAGATCGACAAAACAGTTGAACCTTCTGCCACTGCAGCAAGGAAAGTACCGTTCTCAGAGAAGAACAGGCATTTAACGGGACCAGACATGGCGTAGTTCGCGGCGGCTGTGCCAGACTTGACTTCAAAGATTTTGATCTGACCATCTGCACCGCCGGCCGCAATGAGGTGGCCATCAGGGTGGAAATGCACAGATTGAAGAGCTGGGGAAGGAAAAAGTGAATGTTAGCTTGTGCATAAATTGGGGGTTCTTGGGTTTTGCTTACCTGCGTCTGTGAAGATTTGGGTAATAACAGAGTTGGTTGCCAGGTCATACAACACATAGCTCTTATCAACGCCAACAGAGGCCACTAAGTCTCCAGTAGCATGGAGAGCAAGGGCAGTTGCGGGTCCAGCATGAGAAGTGAAGTTTGCCGATTCCTGGCCATTCTCAAAGACCTGGACTGAACCAGTAGAAGAGGCAATTACAGCTTTATCGCCTGCCCAAACAGCGTCTGTGACCGGACCGCTTGCCTGCAGGGTTCCGACAACGCGTTTCTCAGATAGAGAGAAAATACCGACAGCACCGTCAGCACCTCCAACCAGGGCCAACTCTCCGGAGGAATTGACGGACAGCGCCTTGCTACCTGGGTAGGAAGGCTCCAGGGTTTCGGTGGGTTTGTATGTAGAAAGGGCATCGCTGGTAGCCCAGCCTTCCGGGATAGCTCGCTTGCGGCGGGTCTTGGACAGACTGTCTGACATTAGCAACTGATGAACGATTACAACAAAGCTAGAATACGTACGCCACCTGTGTACTCTCAATCCTTGCTAGGACAGCATCAGGCAGCCCGGTAGAGTCAACCTGCATAGCCTCGTCGCCACCGGTGCGGCTGGCGCCAACAGTGACCTTCGACAAGGCATCACGAGCTTCGTCCCTTTCCTTTGTCAGGCGAGCGATCACCCGAACGGCAGCATCGTGTTGGTAAAGTGCTACGCTCAGCTCCTGTCGCGTCTGAGCCAAGGTCTGGCGCAATGTGTAGGTTTCCAGAGCCAGCGCATCCCATTCTTCTTGGAATACATTGAGCAGCGAGGGGATGGAGGTAAGTGTAGGAGGTCGGGGTCGGACAACCCGCTGGGTCTTGACTTCGATCAGATCGTCGGTCGAAAGCTCCTCCCCGTTTACTGGGTCTTTGCCATTCTCTGCGATATATGCTTCGATAAGCCGTCTCTCGAAAACACTGCCTGCTCGAAGTTAGACGAATGTAGCGCGGCTATTGGTCTCTTTGAACATACCGCTCTTGGGCGAGACAACGGGCACTTGGGGTGCTTCTCCCGAAACTACGATCCCGTCAATTAGTTGAACATCGGCGATTAAGATCGAGATGGTTGTTTACTTACTTGCGCACAACATTGTTCTTCCTTTTGAGTTGGTTGATTATAGAGAGTTGGCTCGACGCGAGAGCTGCGGCCGCTTTGGACTTTTCGACGAGCCAGACTTCCGCCCTGTCTGGGTTTAGCCGCGCCGCCAGAGCTGATTGATCGCCGATTGCTTGGCATCGAAGCATCTTGCATACTGTGTATTGCTTAAACATCGAGGACGAACTCCTTTTGTGCCTCAGCGACGCTACACTTGTGCAGGGTATACTTGCTCACTAAGTACGATATACGGTTCAGCATACTGAGCTGCACGAACTGCTCTGCTTTCAGGCATGAGAATGGACCGCGATTGAATACATCAGTTTGCGTCCACCTCGAAGCTCCGAATCTGTAACCAACAAATTGAAACAGGACGGCAAATATAGACACGAGCTGTCGGGCTTGTTATCGCAAATCTACTATTTAACAGTGTTCCTACGTTTACTAACATATACTGAACTCACGCAATATGGCTTTCAATGCGAAGAACCTCGCTTATGGTAGGTCACGCAGTCCTCCATGCAAAGGTACACCTACTGATAGTGATGCAGAAAATAAACAGCCAGCTTTTCTACAACGACTTAGAAATCAGTATGGAGATACGTCTGGTCGCCTCGAGAGACCTGTCGCGCGGCCCCGATTAACGAAGACCGATGACGATGATGATGACGAGCCTACATACGTCTTCGAAGAAAGCAATGAGGCTATAACAAAGGAGGAATTTGAGGCTCTTTTGAGTGGAGATACGGACAAACATGACTCAACAACGAAGTTTTCTTCAGGTCAAGACCAGAGTACACCAGCCAGCGATAAAGTTGGTCAACAGGAGACCGAAAAACCAGATCCTGGAGATCCATCTGCATCGAAGCAGAATCTAGCCGAAATAGGAGGTCCCAAGAAGCGAAAACAGGCCAAGATCATTGCAGATGAGAGTGCTGAACCAGAGACTGGAGCACCGCAAGAAAAATCTGGTACTCAAAAAGTCAAGCAGAAGCAGAAGAAGAAGAAGATTAAACTATCATTCGATGACTGAGAAGCGATTCTACTTTTAATTTGATGAACATTATACCCTTGGGATAGTAGTCATTTTCCTTGTGGCCAATATCCGCTGTCTTAGGATTGACTGGTAGTTACTCATAATCCGTCATCAACAAATTTTATCTCCTCAATACCAAGGTATATCAAGTAATACAGTATATAAAGAAATGGCAATTACTCTTGGAAGTTCTCCCTGAGGTTTCACTCACCATTCATAACCGTTGTGTTTCTTGCTTCAGATTCTCCGAAGATATTTTCTTCGCTCACCTTATTAATTATTTCCGCAACAGCGGAAAACAGAAACCAGTTCATACTTCCTCTCAAGGGACCACTATCAACCTCGCATTTTCGATTTGGGCATAGGTGAACTGCCTCATGTTTATACAAGATGCCTGTCGTTAATGTAGATGACCTCGTCCGTCTCCAGCAGAGATCTCAGGACATACGGAATGTAAGCTGCCCCTCCATCCCACTTTGATGTCACCATTCCGCAGCAACGCTAATCGTATGGCAGATTTGTATTCTTGCGCACGTTGTAAGTGGCCATGAATTTATTAGGCCACCTTGAGATCTGTCATTCTCATCATCACTGTAACCTAGGATCATGGAAAAACCTCATTAACAGACGGCCTCATTGCCACAAATGGCATCATCTCACCCAAACTGGCGGGCAAGATCCGCTATCTGGACTCACGTCCCGATGAACAGCTTCGAGGCATTACGATGGAGTCCTCGGCTATCTCGCTATATTTTTCTATGATGCGCCGGTCTTCCCCAGAGGCTGCACCGCAGCCCAAGGAGTACCTGATCAATCTGATTGACTCTCCCGGCCACATCGACTTTAGCAGCGAGGTATCAACAGCATCACGGCTCTGTGATGGAGCCTTGGTCCTTGTTGATGCTGTTGAAGGTGTATGTAGTCAGACGGTTACTGTTCTACGTCAGACCTGGGTCGACCAACTGAAGCCCATCCTTGTTATTAACAAGATTGACAGACTGGTGGGGGAACTGCAGATGAGCCCCAGCGAGGCTTACTCCCATCTGAGCAGACTCTTGGAACAAGTGAACGCAGTAATTGGAAGCTTTTACCAAGGCGAACGGATGGAAGAAGATCTTCAATGGCGAGAGCGTATGGAAGACCGTATCAATGCTTCCGCCACTCGAACTTCGCAGAAGCAGGAACAAGACGACGAGTCCAACTTGAGCACCGCCGAAGACGCAGAGTTCGAAGAACGAGACGACGAAGATCTGTACTTTGCCCCTGAGAAGAACAATGTGATTTTCTGCAGTGCCATTGATGGCTGGGCGTTTACGGTCCGCCAATTCGCCGCATTGTACGAAAAGAAATTGGGAATCAAGCGGTCCATCCTTGAGAAAGTCCTTTGGGGAGATTTTTACCTTGACCCGAAGACCAAACGTGTTCTGGGGCAGAAGCATCTGAAAGGACGGGTACTCAAGCCTATGTTTGTGCAGTTGGTGCTCGATAGTATCTGGGCTGCGTACGAAGCTACAACTGGAGGAGGAAAGGGCAAAGGGTATGCTGAACAAACTAAGTCGAGAATCCAGTCTACTGACTTTGTGTAGTGACCCGGTTTTGTTGGAGAAGATCACAAAATCCTTGAATGTCACCATTCCAGCCTACATCCTACGCTCCCGCGATCCTAGGAACATTATGATGACATTATTCTCTATGTGGCTTCCGCTATCTACAGCTGTCCTGGTATCGGTCATTGAATATCTTCCTAGCCCTCCAGCCGCTCAGGCCACCCGTTTACCAGCTCTGATCGAAGGCTCTCCAGGAGCCGACTTCATCGACCCGAAGGTCAAGAATGCAATGATCCAGTTCAAGACAGACAAAGATGAGCCGGTTGTGGCATATGTCAGTAAGATGGTCGCCATACCTGAAAGTGAACTGCTGTCTAGTAAGAAGCGCTCCGGTGCTACCTTGTCGGCAGACGAGGCCCGAGAAATTGCGCGCAAGAAGCGTGAGGAGATTGCAAAGATGCAAGCCGAGGCAGGGGTCACTATCGACCAGACTGGCGACTACGCTCGCATCACATCGGCCTTCGAAGTGACTACACTCGATGACAACGAGGAGCAGGCTGAGCTGGAGGAGAAGGAAGATCCTGAGCACCTGATTGGATTTGCAAGACTCTACTCGGGCACCCTTTCTGTGGGTGATAGTGTCTATGTTCTTGCTCCCAAGTTCTCTCCGTCCCATCCCCATGCAAGCCCTGAGCCACAGAAAGTTACCGTTACGGACCTGTATCTCCTCATGGGCAGAAGTCTGGAGCCACTGCAAACCGTCCCTGCCGGCGTGATCTTTGGCATTGGTGGCCTGGCAGGCCATGTCCTCAAGAACGGAACTCTTTGTTCGCAACTTGAGGGTGGTATCAACTTGGCTGGTGTCTCACTCAGCGCTCCGCCAATTGTGCGAGTTGCACTTGAGCCAATGAATCCTGCCGATCTCAACAAAATGGTCATAGGCTTGCGGATGCTGGAACAAAGCGACCCATGTGCAGAATATGAGGTTCTCCCCAGTGGCGAGCATGTGATCTTGACTGCGGGCGAATTGCATTTGGAGCGGTGCATAAAAGATCTCCGCGAGCGATTCGCAAAGTGTGAGATCCAGACCGGGCAGACAATCGTGCCGTATCGGGAGACAATCATCAGCAGCTCTGAGATGGCAGCTCCCAAGAAACCTGAACTCGGCAGAGGAGGTGTGCTTGCGGTTTCACCTTCTAAACAGCTGACTGTCAAGCTGCGTATCGTGCCCTTGCCCGAAGCTGTTACGGAGTTCTTCAGCAAACACGTCGGAACGATCAAGCGCCTGCAGGCGGAGAAGCGATCAGCAGCGGAAGCTAAGTCTGACGAAGAAACGAACAACGAGCAGTCAGATACAGTCCAGCCAGCCGAGACTGCCGATGCCGCTGGAGAGGCCCGGGAGGGCAGCCATCTTTCCTTGAACGACTTCAGACAGGAGCTCGCCAAGATCTTCGATCAAGAAGTCAAAGAGGACAAAGAGCTATGGAAGGATGTCGTGGATAGAATCACGGCGTTCGGTCCCCGGCGAGTAGGGCCCAACATCCTAGTCGATGCTACCGCAGTCAATACCTGCGACAAATTGTAAGTCATACCACATACCACATACCACATACCGCACCCCCTCCCCCATGCCCTACATCACACCCATGGGACTAATACCTCGGATAGCCTCGTCGACGACCCCAAGCAGCAATCCAACAGCACAGAAGACAGCACCCGTGACGCCCTGATCGTCCGCGACTTCTGCGACAAGATCGCATATGCCTTCCAGCTCGCTACAGGCCAAGGCCCCCTCTGCCAAGAACCCATCCAAGGCATCGCCGTCTTCCTCGAGGAATTCACCGTCAACTCCAACGGCGAAGAACTAGACCTCGGCCGCCTCACAGGCGAAGTCATCCGCCTCGTCCGCGAGAGCATCTCACAGGGTTTCCTCGACTGGAGCCCGCGGATCATGCTCGCGATGTACAGCTGCGAGATCCAAGCATCTAGTACGTTTCTCCCCCCTCCCCCTCCCCTTTATCCACACCCATCTTACCCCTTCCACTAACCGTCCCCTTTCTTCTCCAGCTGAGGTCCTCGGCCGAGTCTACGGCGTTATCACTCGCCGCCGCGGCCGGATCCTCTCCGAGACTATGAAAGAGGGTACTCCCTTCTTCACCATCCTGGCGCTCCTCCCCGTCGCCGAGTCGTTCGGTTTCGCGGAGGAAATTCGCAAGCGGACGTCGGGCGCTGCACAGCCGCAGCTCATCTTTGCGGGCTTCGAGGCGCTGAACGAGGATCCGTTCTGGGTTCCTGCGACGGAGGAAGAATTGGAGGATCTGGGTGAGTTGGCGGACCGTGAGAATGTGGCGAAGCGGTATATGGATGCGGTGCGTAGGAGGAAGGGACTGGTTGTTCAGGGAAGGAAGTTGATTGATGCAGAGAAGCAGAAGACTTTGAAGAAGTAAAGTGTGTGTTGTTTGTTTGTATGGATTGAAGTATGGAGTTGGTTTAGAGACTTAAGAGGCATACTCAAAAAAATATAGTCTTTACATTCGAGTCTACGGAGTTCTATAAACTTGATTTGAACACAAAGATTGTACCCCGTATGAGATTCTCCCGCATTCCATGATGAGGGAAGCGGGATAGTAGTACAAGGGTCGTGGAAGATGAGTAGTTATCCACGCGAAACAAACCTTTAATCTTCCTCCCGTGACAAACACAGTTCAGCATTGGAAAGGCTAAACCATGGATACTTGAGAGGTGGAAACGAAAGAAAAATTGGAGAAGGGGCAAATGGGAGAGAAAATGTGTTCTTATGAACAGTATTATGGATGGAATTGATTCTTCCATTGTAACAGCCATTTGCGGTATGTGCCGATGAAGAAACCATAGCGTAACAATGGGGGTATTCGTATCTATGCGTTCGTTGGCATTGTGTTGGAAAAAATCACTGGCATAATGTGACCGGCCCCTCCGATGTGGAGAACGGCACGAATAGTGTATGCGTTGGCGACCTGGAGACCCTCGTCGAGATGTTCTCAAACAGATCGACTCTGTAATCTATCATCATCATGACAGAAATATTGGAGCGACTCCGTGAGGGTCAGGAGACCGTATAGGCGGTATCCAAGTAGAGAGGTGGAATTCAGGAGGCGCCCGTTTGATCAGATATCAAAACATCGCGCCCTGTGTGGCGTGCTCAAAACGGACGGGCCACCTTTCGCAATTCTGCTGCGCCAGTGACGGGGTCTCTCATCTCCTTCCAGCTGACAGGGAACATCATATTACCAGCTTCGCTGCGGGCCATCACGACACCGAGATCGTTCCGCGCGGTGGTGAGGTAATAAAAGCTCTGATCGCCCAGGGAGATCACGGTGCCACGCACGATATCTCCAACGCGGAACATCTCGTCCATGACGACACGGTCTTTCTCGACAGCACGCACATCCTCCTTCCGGATAAGTGCCTGAAAGCGGAGCTCGTCTGAGTTGCTATGGTTCTCAGGGTTTGCGGCCGAAGTGAGGATAGAGGCGATGTTGTCGTTGTCGGAAGCTGTCTTCGAGGAATCCGGGATCTGGGCACTGCTCGATGCGTCTAGCACGACCAGAATGGACACTGTGGCCTGGCGCTTCTGCACACGAGTAACGCGCGCCAGGACAATCGAGTCGACTGCAGGCAATGTATTGTACCTCAACTTTGGCTTCGCGGCTGTGGTCTTTGCCGGTGTGGAGGGAGCGGGAGTAGGTTTCGCGACGAGTCCTGGCTGTGTGTTCAAGTTCCGCGAAACACTGACAATAGCTTTTACTTTCGAGCTTGGCTGGGTCTGTTCAATAATCACCGGCCCAGCAATGGATGCATAAATATTGGCATTCTTCACATGAGTACCTGGACCTGCAAAGTAAGAAGTGATTGAACCTAGTTGCTGGCCTGGAATAGCGAGCTTGGGCAGTGTGCTAGCCATCTTAATGCGATATCAGTCTTAAGGAGCACAGTTGTTGCACCAATGTGTAGTAATGAATTGCTGCTCTGATTGTGGTTCATTTTAGGGAAATGAAGGAAAGAGAAGCTCGTGGAGCACTAATTTTTCTAGGATGTGTTGCGGAGACCGGCTCGGGGAGATGTTTCCCCGATACAGCAGGACTGATCGATCACAGATTATTTATTATTAGGATTATTATTGGGAGAGTGATGGCGATGAATTACATTTCCCATAACTATAGGTATACTATTGATATAGATATTCAGTCCTCAAATCTGCCTCACTCTCAATACAGTATTCATGTGCACAATAAACAGGATGAAATAAGCGTGACAGTCCAGAAAGAGAACTATGAACGAACAGACAATTATGGATGAGAATCCTAGTAAAACTCATGGCACACCAAATGCTCGCTGACGGAGAGAGAATCAAAGCGTACAGAAAAGACACCGAATGAATGCCCGCTTAACACCCTGTGATAAGTAAATTCCGATGTGTTGAGGATGGGAAACAAGAAAGGTTCGACATATGGACGAGAAGGAGCGAGAAGGATATAGAGTGGAAAAAAAAAGATTCATGGCACAGGACATTCAAATACATCGCCTCAGCCTTCTACAAGTGTTTGCTTAGGGCCATTGCCCAGTAGCCCGAGGCATCGCCGTGCCAGCGCAATGACCTCGGCCTCACCATCTTCCCCGTCTTCTTCATCAGATTCGACGTTCTTGTCTGAGATTGTTTTGACCATTTGCACGATGTCTTCAGATTGGGAAATGTAGCCGATAAGCCGCTTATCCTCGGATTCTAGGAGCTGGAGAAGCGTCCATATAGCGATGTGCTGGAAGGTAGGGTCGCCGCTTGCGAGGAACTTCTTGAGATAGCCGTGGATGCCTCCGTTGGGGTCAGCCCAATCACGGACAAAGATCGAATAATCCCCGACTAATGAGAGTATTAGTATTTTTAAAGAAGAAAAGCTCGCGTAGGGTATCCGGTATGTACTCACCCTTCGACGAGAGATTACCCAAGGCAGCAGCGCTGTTGCCTTGCACTTCAATGCTTTCTGAATTCGTCAGAGGAATTAGAACGTCAAAAACACCGAGGTTGAGAAGATGCGGTTTCAGTTCATCGCTGAGAGCCAGCACAGCAATTGCGGCAGTCATTTCGGATTGAACGCTCAAGGGCACCCGCAGGACCAGATCCTTGCATTTCTGCACAGCACCGGCCTGAAGCACGAGTTCCTTGTTACGATCCGAACTTGCAGCAAGATTCCGAAGTGTCGATATGGCGTGACATTGGATCTCTTCGTTGTCGGTCGAGCCCAAGAGATCCACCAATGGCTTCAGGAAGCCCGCGTCGATGATGGGAGATTCGTTGAGAGGGTGAATGGAGATATTACGGATGCAGGCCACGGCAGAGAGGATCAGCGGAAGGTACGAGGACTGCAGCAAGCGTAGCAATGGTGGGAGACCCTTTGCACGGACAATCTCCAGTTGATATTTCTCATCGGAGGCCAGATTCCTAAGTGCAAGGGCTGCTTGGCATTGGACCTTTGGTGTGGAGGAGTCCATCAGGTGAACGAGGGATTGGACTAAGCGGGATTCTGTCTGAGCGAGCCTTTTGCGATTCGACGCATCGACGGCTATATTGCTGAGTGCGGTTGTGCAGTAGTATTGTACATCGACGTCGGAGGAGGAGAGCAATTGAACGAGGACGGGGATGGCGCCGGCGTTAACCAGTTGTTGTCGGTTGTCATCTATAAAAGCATGGTCAGCAAGGCGCACCATGGGCGAGTCAGATGCAGGCCAGCCTACCCGAATGCGTCATGTTCAAAAGCGCTCCAGTGGCATTGCGTTGTACACGCATGTCCTTGGATCTAGCGAGACGAATTAATGGGCCCAGTGCGCCCGATCGGGCAATCTTGGCTTTGTTTTCCTCATGCGTTGCTAGGTTGGTGATACATCCGACAGCATTGCACTGAACCTCGACGTTGGGCGACATCATCTGGCGGATGAGAGGAGCCAGCCCTCCCAGAGCGACAATAAGCACCTTGTTTTCCGCTACAAGTTATCAGCATCAACCAACTGTGGGCAGAGCATCGAGCAACGGACCATCCACGGCGAGATTTCCCAGCGCTGCGCTAGCGGCTCTCTGGACTTCGATATCCGAGCTCTGAAGTAGGAAGAGTATAGGCTCGAGGGTATCTCGGTCGACTTCGCGTACATCTGCGACAGGCATACCAACGTTAACCATCATTCCCGCTTCTCGCAAATCTGTGACGTACCTCGCTCAGTTATCTCCGCAAATGTCAAGCTAGCACTTCGTTGCAGGTCTACGTTATCGGAGTAAACCAAAGTGCTCAAAGCGCGAAGAGGTTCGCCAGAGAAGAAATCGGTTTCAGCCCGCTATGGAAGAGTCATGTTAGCGATACGTCGCGAAAGAGGGACACAGGAGTGATGGGATTAGGTAGAGGCAGCCAGCACAACAAGTACATGGCTTTTCAAGGAGTAAAGGATAGACAGAAGACAGCTGCGATACATACATTTTCTAGGTAGCCAAGCAGATCAGACACAGCTTCCCGCTCATTGTCGGCCAGGGTTGTCTCGTAGATGCCATCTCGCGAGCGACCTCCGATGGGACCGAGACAAGCCGTGATATGACACCAGCGGTCGACTGCCGAAAGACAGGACAGACAGGCATTCGCAATCCCACTCATACCTGCGATGACAGGAGGCCCGCAGGACCAAGTGACGGCCCCGCAAGCGTCAACTCAAAGCAAAGGTAGGTGTGAAAGGGACAGCAGTCGGTCCAGGAGAGAAGGTGGTTTCCTTTATTATTTTCCCCCTCCTTGTTATTGTTGTTGTTCTGCGGTCCTAGGCGACAGATCCTGTGGGGAAGAATGCGATCCGAGGATGACGACTAGACGAGGGAAGAAATGCAGAAAAGAAGTTCAAGTCGATTGGCGATGGAACATGGGAGGCTCTGCATATAGCAGCACTGAGGGAGCTAGGGACTAAGGTAGGCGCGGGAGCACAGCAACGTCGTGTGATAGGACGGAAGGACAGGGTGAGGTAATCGGCTTCCCGTATGATTTCGATGTATGTATGCTCCTGATCTTGCTTGTTCTCTAGTGATGAAACAAAAAGGAAGTTTTTCTTGGAACTTCTGGAATGTGAGAACAATGGGATTCAACGAGAGGAGAGGGAGAGTGATGGAGGATGGCAGAGGAATGGTGGTTGGAGCTGAACAGTGTCGACTCCGTACCTAGCTGGTCTGCTGCTCTGTTTAGGTGGGTTAGCGTGGACTTCCAGGGAGTGCAGGTAGTTATCTCGATGTCACTGAGGGAGAAGGAAGCTCCTTGACTACGAATGGCAGAAGGTCCATCTACATGACCCTTTATGGCTTTGGTCATCAAGTCTCTAACCCCCAGATCCTTGTATAATTATTTCATCTCAAGAACCTCCGGATTGTGAGGATGGAACATGATCTGGGAACAGATCCCATCGTTCCCTTGTGTCTGTTGTTTATCTCCAGTCATTTCCCTTATCCGCGCCAGCCATCCTGTTTATCTGCGCCATGAAATCAACACTACTAAAACAGACTAGAGCATTTGAAGCTAGGAGATGGCTTCAGCTTTTTGCTGGTATCGATTAGATATATTGATATCTATATCTATCGGACAATCGGATAAAGAACGACGACGATTTAAACAATCACGGGAGAAGAAATCCAGGCATACTTGGTTTATGCCTTGATCGCATAAGGTGGTTTCATCCTCCTAAGAGCCAATTGTGTTACTATTCCCAAGACCGCCGAAACAGCATCGCAGGACTCCAAAGGCGAACCAAATCTCAACGTCTCATCTCTCGCATTGAGAGACATGAAGACGACTCACTGAGGCCACGAAAACCCAATTTCTCTTATCCCATCTCTTGCCTTTGAAATGTTGACTTCCCCAAATTACCTTCAGGGAAGCTTACTGACGAATGACGTGAATGATCACCAGACAAGTGACTGATGATCAACATAATCAGGATGTTTCCGAGTGGATGGTGGGGGAGACCCTTTCCTAACACCAAGTAAATCAACCTGGCTTGGTCATCTTAGAGATACTTTACATGACATTGCAGCTCTAGCCTCAGTTTCAATACCCTGCCAAATTGCCAGCATAGATTTTCCTAAAGCAAGTGGGAGGAGGGGCATCTCGCGTTTGTTTCATCGGGATTTGAATCGCCCAAAATAGAAACACATCCTAGACGCAGACATGATAAAGTCGCAGTGATAAGCTGTCTAGTCCTCGGACAACAGCTGCTCCGAGAGATGATACGTTCGAGGCAAAATTTCCTATCATGGTCAAGACCTAGCAATTTATGGGCTTTACATGGCAGGAATGGATATCCACCACCAAGTCAAAGGCAGAAGTCAAGCAGGCTCTGCTGGCTGCCTGCAGGAAGTCATTTCGGCAGTTAAAGCAATCCAACCACAATGTCACCGTACAATTGCGCCGTGATCTTTATATCGACTTCAGCCACCAAGTCCAGATGAATGGTGACCTTCAGGTTGGAGTCCTTGATTCTTCTTGTTCTTTCCACTTGGGTCTTGTTTGGCGATCTTGGTGTGGCCGTCGTTCTCCGAAAGTTGTTGATCTTTGGTCTCGTCGCTGGAGTTTCCAATGGCACAGTGGAATCAGCATAGTGCTTCCCGACTGACATGACTATTTTGCCTTCACGCACAAGAGAGGGAATCGCAACACTTACTCTGCAGCCATTTTCTGAGGGAGATCTCACTCCTTGCACCTGGGTGAGCGAGAGAAGGTTCGCAACTTCGTGAGAAATGGAGGTATAGTAAGTCTCACGGAGGATGACAAGCACAATCGAGAGGACCATGACCTGAAGCGCGAAGAAAACAAGCGCCAGCAGGTGGAAGATCGGAAACAGCCCGCCAATCTGCTCATGACAACAGATTTCCAGGAAGGCTCAACGAAGGAACGGTTGGAGCTCAAGGATGCCAAGGTCTACGCGCATCCAGACGGGAAAGTACAATTGTTACACCGGCGATATCACTAACCGCTCCTTAGTTGTACATAACGCAGCGGCCCAGCAATGAGATGGTTTGGTTCAAGGGGGGGGGTTCTACCGTCTTCCATCCTTCGGGCAAGGAAATACGTCCGGCTTCGTCTGTATTGGGGCTGAGCAACCACCCACATTGCGATGGGTATTCTGCGATGCGGCAACCTCAGAAATGCGGTATGGGAACCGGATAAAGAGCGAAGATCATCTATGCGGGCCGTACGATATGACGGATGATGAACGAGGCTATATCACCTTGGTAGGGAGCCACTGGCTGGCTGTTCAACTGCCAGACAGCGACGACGATCTCGCATGGCAGCTCTATTGTGAACGCATAGATACGAAGCTAAGCTACCGGCTAACGCAAAGGCCGTTGAAATCCACTTGCAACGAGTTCCGGTGGTATGATATGCAGTAGTTTTTCCTATCAAGACAGAACGTGCTACGGGAATACCCCCGAAAGTTACACTGTGTGATGCATATAAAGACCCAGAGACGGGCCAAGACCTAGTTGATGATGTATGCATATATAATCATAAACGCTTCTGAAGTTGGTTTCCCTTTCACCTGAAGTATCTCAAGTCAGCACGCCCCGAGGTATAGTGCCTTCTCGGGTCTTATGTCACTCAATTTTTGGAGGGACAATCCTCCTACCAGCTTATCATCGCCTCCGACAGCCAATATCCTTGGCCCCGCAGCATGTATGTAGAGAGTAGAGACCTAATCCTAGTGCTTAACGTCTCTAGTCTCTACAAATATTAATAGTGCCCAATCCATAGCCACCGATTCGCCACAGTGGCCACGTGAGAACAGTGCCAAAGACAGTCACATCACATGAGGTTTCCTCAAAGGCTCAAAAAGGCTCAAAGCCCCTTGAAATTCTCCATGACGGACGTGTCGGAGCCAATAACATAGCCCAGAGACCAACAGTGTGCTTTGTCTCCTAGGTTGCCCCGCAAGCTAGACACTGCACTAAAAACCCCCCGAAACTGGGGAGGAAGCTTTTGTGTTGAGGCTAGTTCGATGGCTACAGGCTAGGGACGGCAAGGCGGCACGCCGGTAAGGCCTTGGTGGTCCACTGGTCCGCTGTCTGCTGGGGGACAGAAAATAACTATCTACGGAGTACAGTAGTTCAGTAGTAGTTACGACTGGGAACCAAACAACTAAGATAGCTGGAGCAAGCCACAGGAATTTAATATGTTCTGGATAGATATGTTGGAGGAGGAGGAGGAGAGGGATGTTGTCTCCCCTTTGCAGATGGCTGAGGCCATTGTTTACACACATCACAGATCGATCTGACTGCAAAGAATGTTGTCTTCAAAGACAAGGTGGAATTCCCCCCCAAACAACGTTAGTCAGTCTTGTTTATCCCATCATCCCATCATCCCATGGTTCACGATGGAGGATTACTCGCTTCCAAGCCAGTACTTTAATTGAACGTTGTTAAGGCCAGCGACGATATACCATGCGCTACTCTACTGCTGCATGATAGCACAGTCACACTGGTAACTGGTTACTCCTTTTTGCTAAGAAAGTATTTTCTTCTCCTTGAACTACTACTATTATTACTACTATCTAGTATCTACTAGTCTATAATCAACATACCATTCCCTTTTGACGTTGCCCCACTGAAGCAGATCTTACCATCTGATGGTCCTCGCGACACTCGCATGGTTGGCCACCATTTTCCTCGGCGCAAAACGCTCGACTTGCTTTTTTTTTTTTTTTTTTTTCTCTTTTGTATTCTCCTTTTCCCTCATAAACAACCATCGCTGTTGAGATCTTGAACTCTCCTCCCTCTCGTCCCTTGGGTACCTTTTCTCGGAACTCTTCTGTTGAGACTCTCACTCCGAACTGCCTTGCGCTGGACGTAATCGTTGACTATCTTTCATATTCACCCCGACCGAACCATCACATATGCCCAGGATTCCCTAGTCCGAACTGTTTGTTGCTGATCTCAGGCAAGCATCGGAGTTCAGATTGCGGTCATAGGATTTATACTCGATTGGCCTTGATACCGATCTCGCCGTCATATTCGTTATACATATATAAATACATATTTATATATATTGTTTTTTTGTTTTTTTTTTATTTTTATATTGCTTCCCTCCGCCGCGAACCTTCACTTTGCGAACTGCCCAAGTTTGTGGTGTTCCACTTTCTTAATGTCTGCCTCAACTGTTTCCGCCTCCACCGCCAACTTTCCATCCGATTCTCGCTCAGGGCCCCGCCGACGATTGAGCCAACTCCGTGCCTACACCCAGAATCATTTTTCTCCTCACGCATCTTCGTCGACCTCGTCCGCTCCTACCCAGCGCTCTTCTCGTCGACATACTTTTAGTAGTCGTGTGCCCTGGTTTTCGCCATCCCCAACTTCGCCGACAAGTCCTGAGCCTTCGTCTCTCCCTTCAGAAGGGACCTCCAACCCAGCTCCATGCCCCAACACCGAGCAATCCACCCTAGCTCGCTATAGCTCTGCTATCTTCCCCCAATATCGCGTCGCCGACATTGATTTGAGCTCCCGCGATCGTTCCTCCGATTCTTTCCGCTCGACCCCTTCGAACGACTCTGGTGACCAGGTATCTGAGACGATGGCGCGGCCAGGCGCTTCTACAGCAACGTCAGACGCGCGAAATGACACGCAGCCAACCAGCCCAGCGGGATCCATGAATCCTACGAGCGGGATTCCTGATGGTTCCGATCCGACCGCGACTGGCAGTTCGTCGTCCCTTCAGCCGAAGGGGAAGGCCACCATCCGCTTTTTCCCCCACCAGGAGACCAGCCAGAGTTCCAAGCCGTCCCTGAACTTCATCCCCGTCTCACGCACGCTGCCATCTGATAGCAGTGTGATTCGTGTGGGCCGATACTCGGAACGCGATGGCCTCCATGTGCCCAACCCGACCGAACCGTCAGATGCCCCTGTGGGGTTCAAGTCGAAAGTTGTGAGTCGCAAACACTGCGAGTTCCTATACATCAATGGGCAATGGCATATCAAGGACGTGGGGAGCTCCTCAGGGACGTTCCTGAATCACATGCGATTGAGTCAGCCGAACATGGTGTCGCGGCTGTATACCATCAAGGATGGGGATATTGTGCAGCTTGGAATCGATTTCAGAGGTGGCGAGGAGACGATCTTTCGTTGCGTGCGGATACGGATTGAGTGCAATCGGTCCTGGCAGCAGCAGCCCAACGAATTTAAGTATGGATCCTCTGCGATTGAAATCTCTATAGGTTGTGTAACTGACCTTTCTGTTCAGCAAAAATACAGCCAGTCTTATCAAGAACCTCGGCAAAGGCGACACCGCAGACTATTCCGGTTGTCGTGAATGTTCGATTTGCCTTGGCTCCGTTTTGGTGAGTATTCATTCGTCTTAAGGAGATGTTTTTCGGACGCGCAAATTTCTGACTTGACACAGCGACCGTATCAGTGCCTATTTATGGCAGCTTGTGCGCACGTTTGGCATTACAAATGCATCAGCCGCCTGATCCATACCCCTGAATACCCGATGTTTCAATGTCCCAATTGCCGCGCCTACACGGATCTGAGCGCCGAGGTTGACGATACCAACGACTATGACACTACCGAAAGGAAAGAAAGTGCACCAGAGCCCGAATCCCAACAGACACCAGCGGCAGAATCGTCATCTGGCTCGCAACCGGGTCGGTTGGAAGCGGATCGCGCCGTGGGTGATTTGTCGGATAGCGTGGTGGGAGGAGATCATCAGCAAGCCGATACGCCAACGGAGGAGGGCCTTACCAACAACATCGAAAGCATGCGGATTCAAGATGATGGTTCGTCGACTTCAGAACCAGATGTTGCGCAGTCTCCAAATTCGGTATCCGCTTCCCTCGAACGCGCTGTGACGAATGTGACTTCTGCGCCTCAGATGGATCTTTCTGATGGGGTACCTGGCCTCCAATCTCTGACACAAGCTACCAATCCCCTTCCGATTCGCCAAGCACAGCTACGTTCAGACACGCCATTTCGCTCCGAATCGTCCGATGATAACCCTTTGACGCCGAGAAACGACTCGGGACCCTTGGCTTTTGATGGACGAGCCGGCATGTCGTGAATCAGGCGTGTCGCGGGCCTGCCGTACGAGTTCAAAGGCCACGCGTGTGCATATGGCTTTAGGATGCATATGCACATGCACATTTGAGTTTCGACTTCATCATTTTCGGAAATCCCGCAGTTGACCAGGTTAGATGCATCTGATTGGATACCACCACCACTGCACCAACTCCCTCGGTCGTGCTTCCTCTCGTCTGTCAAGTTCTGCATGAGTTTTGGGTTGCCACTCGTCCTAATGTCCTGCTCGTCCTATTTTTACATTGCTTCCATCCACCTCTGCAAGACACATTCACCCCACCTACATTATACCCCATCATGCACCATCACTTGCTTGCTTTGCGCCTAGCATTCTGCCCTCTGACTTCGGCCATCGATTCGCTACTGAATTTTCTTTTCGTCTGCTGTATGGATTTGGCATTGGGCATTCAACGCTCTGCCCGTAGAACGGGCTTCCGTCAAGGACCATCGCTTTTACCCCCATCTCCAGACACCGGAACCCCATCTCGTTCGTGGAACTATCTCGTTTCCGAGCTGAATCAGTGGACGCCATCCGCATTCATCCCCAACTACTGTCGTTTAGCGTTGCGCATACACATACACATACACACCCCCTTACGAGTAGGATGAGTTTCGTTAATCTTTGAGCTTAATGCAATGGCCCCTGGTCATATTACCGTCTATATGTTCCGAGTAGAGTTGTCCCAGCGCATGTCACTACTTTCGACGTCACCGTGCTTGAGATCGTCGAATCAGCCCTTACCAGAAGGTCAGACCACTGCTGTCACTCTGCAGATACCCCGCCCTCGCCAGTTGGCGCTTGGATCGGATCGCCGCGACCACAACTCTACGGAGTTGGAATCCGAATTACTGGTAGAACTAGACAACTTTTATAAAACACTCTTGAGGATTGAGAGAGGTATACTCTGTAGATAATCCATGGATACATAAACACGCTCCGCTCCATGTAGACTGCGTCTGTGGCCGTGTCTGTTTATCTTAAATCCCAGCTACCTAGCCATTATTATTTAAACTCCAGACTTGTGCCAGATCGAACATCACCTGATTTCTCTTCTCGTCTTGTCTCGTCTCCATCACATATCGAGAACCTTGACCGCTAGACTAGAATCACTAGATTATTAGATTAGAATCCGACTCCGCGCCCCTCATCGAACCATTCCGTTTCTATCGACCCTTTGTTTTGTTTTGGTTTTTTTTGTCTGTCTTTGTGTTTTGTACTCGATTCTGTTTAGTCTACTGAAGACGGAGCGAAGCAACGCAACCGAGACTGGAAATTGATTGACTGGTTTACCCCGGCTGAACAATGAGGGTTACGACTAGCGAGCCTTCCTCGCCGACTGGGACATTTGGGTTCTGTCGTGAAGGAGGCCATCATCATCGGACAGGAACGCATCCGCATTCGCTGTCGTCGAGGAGGAAGCCGCGGCGGTATGTTTCCCCCCCCTCTTCGTCTCTGTTTTTCCTTTTGATTTCTTTTGGGATGTTGGAGGGAATTGATTGATTGATTGATTGATTAATTGATTGTTTGATTGACTTGGGGTATCTAGATGGCCGCTGGTGTTCCGGTTCATCAAGGGTGCGATCCATGGTGCGATTCTCGTTCCTGTGTCTCTGCATGCGTTGTTTACGGCGCTTGTCGTCTACCTGGATGAGTGTGTTTTCGACACCGTCGGTTTGCCGAACTCCATTGTAGGTGATTGCGTTCTTGTTGACTCGAGTATGCTCTGCGGAACCAGAATTCTGACGACATCAGATTCCATCTCTGTCTATCGTTGTGGGTTTGATGCTCGTCTTCCGGAATCAGACTTCTTACAATCGATTCTGGGATGGCCGCAACGGCATGAATACGATCAACACCTGTGTCCGGAATCTCGTTCGTACAATCGCCACAAACGCCTACAACAATAGCGGGCCGCCCACGGCCGCTGAGAAGCAGGACATCGAGCGGACGATCCGCATTCTCATGGCCATCCCCTTCGCCGTCAAGAATCATCTGCGGGCCGAATGGGGCGCGGCATGGGCTCTGGGAAGCGATGTAAATGAAAACGGTACCGCTGGGTACGATCCGGACTACGCGAGTCTTCTTCCCGCGGGCCTGGAGGGTCATGAGGATGATGGGCTGGGCCTGCCTTTCCAGCTGACCTTCTTCGTCGATGGCTTCATCAAAAGAGGCGTGGAGCGGGGCTGGTTCAATGCCCCCGGCGCAAGCCAAATGCAAGGACAGCTGAATACTCTGACCGATGCGTATGGGAAAATGGAAACCATCAAGCTGACACCCATACCTGTCGCGCATTTGTGAGTGACCCCATACCTGCCTCAAACGTTTTGACCTACGCGACTCAGTACTCACAACTTCCCTAGGATCCACCAAAAACAAGTCCTCGCGCTGTACGGCTGTGTCCTCCCCTTCGCCATGGTCGACGATATGGGATGGTGGACTATTCCAATAGTCAGTTTGGTGATCTTCACCCTGTACGGTATTGAAGGAATCGGCTCGCAGCTGGAAGACCCCTTTGGGTACGATCGGAACGACATCAAGATGGATGCCATCGTCGGGGATGCCAAGATTGAAATCGGTGCTGTTCTTTCGGAATGGCGCAAACTCATGGCTTCGGTCGATTCGAGCTCTCAAGCTGGCGAGAGAAACGGTGAGGCTGACAATCAGCCCCAGCCTAAAGCGGACTTTGTTCCTCCTGATATGTTTCTGAAAAGTGTACCAGGACCTTCGAGGTGATGACTTGTGCCCACCGCGATTGCCATGTGATGTATATTTTTTTTGTGTACTTCGATGACTCGTTACGGGTTTGTATGGTTTGGATGGCATGAATTCGGGAACCTGCAGCTTCTCCATGTATGAATGATAGACGACTCTACGTACGTGCCATCATCCCTGCACAGTGCAACTAGTACAACTACACAGTTTGTCGACATTGTGAGATGATGCCTCAGATTAAGACCATTGTCTCCTGACAGGAAAAGAAGAAGTGAGCAGCGATAAATATCAGAAGGTATGCCCAAGCGTGGTGTTAAGTCGTTCCTACCTCCCAGGATCTCTCTTGCTGTAGCGCGGATGCAATGTCAATTTGTATGTATACCTCGGTAGGATTATCCTGGCCACATGCGATCGTTTATGATATACACCTGATAGACCAAGTTATCTATTTAGACCGCTTTCATCAATCGTTCATCGATACCAAGCAAAATGGCATCAAGTGAAGAACCCGTCATCATAGTCGGCGCAGGACTAGCAGGACTAGTGGCTGCGTACGAGCTCTCCCAGCGCAACATCCACACCATCATCGTCGACCAAGAAAATGCGGCCAACCTCGGCGGGCAGGCATTCTGGTCTCTCGGCGGCATCTTCTGCGTGGACTCGAGCAACCAGCGCCGACTGGGGATACGGGATAGCCGCGAGCTCGCCATGCAGGATTGGTTCAACAGCGCCGGGTTCGACCGCGAAACAGACCTGTGGCCGAGGAAATGGGCGGAAGCGTTTGTCAACTTCGCGACCGACGACCTGGAATCGTATCTGAATGCGCTGGGGGTGAGATTCACCAGTGTAGGCTGGGCGGAACGCGGTAGTGGGATGGCTGGTGGGCATGGCAACTCAGTTCCACGGTTTCATATCACCTGGGGGACGGGACCGGCTATCGTCGAGGCTTTCGCGGGTCCCGTGAGAGAAGCTGAGAAGAAGGGCTTGGTGGATTTTAGGTTCCGCCATCGGGTCAATGAGATCGTCGTTGATCCTGATACGGGGGCTGCGCTGGGTGTACGGGGCCAGGTTTTGGAGCCGACGAATGCTGAGCGAGGCGTCTCCTCGTCCCGAGTTGGAATCTATGATTTCGAGCTTCTGGGACCGGCTGTGCTCATCTCGTCCGGTGGCATTGGAGGGAATCTGGGTCTGGTGAAGAAGTACTGGCCCGTGGATCGACTGGGTCCCAAGGTGCCGCGGTCTTTTGTCCTCGGTGTACCTGCTCATGTTGATGGGCGTATGATTGAGATATCCCAGAAAGTCGGTGCGAATGTGATCAACAGTGATCGGATGTGGCACTATACAGAAGGGCTGACGAACTGGGATCCTATCTGGCCACAGCATGGAATTCGAGTCATTCCTGGGCCATCATCCCTTTGGCTTGATGCAACAGGCAGGCGATTGCCGCCATTTCTGTATCCAGGGTGTGATACGTTGGCCACCCTGCGGCATATATGCTCGACGGGCTATGATTATACCTGGTTTGTCCTGAACAAGACCATTATTGCTCGTGAATTTGCGCTGTCTGGATCAGAGCAGAACCCCGATATCACCAACAAGAGTATTCTTCTACTACTGCAACGGCTCTTTGGCTCGAATGGCACAGGTCCGGTGCAAGCCTTCATGAAAAATGGAGAAGACTTCATTGTAGAACCGGCTCTTGAAGAATTGCTGGAAAGAATGGGTCAGTTGGGACAGAAGCATGGAGGGCCTCTCCTGGACAAGGATCAAGTCCAAAGAGAGATTAAGCTCCGTGACTCCCAAACAGATAACGAATACACCAAGGACGCACAACTGATGCTCATCCGCAATGCCCGAAACTTCTGGCCTGACAAATACACCAGGGTTGTCAAACCTCACAAGCTTCTAGACCCACGCCATGGACCCTTGATTGCAGTCAGAATGAATCTCCTCACCAGAAAGACTTTAGGTGGTTTGGAAACTGACTTGAGTGCCAATGTCCTCCGTTCGGATGGCACCCGTTTCACCAACCTTTATGCGGCAGGGGAGGTTGTAGGTTTTGGAGGTGGAGGCGTGCACGGGTATAATTCCCTTGAAGGCACATTCCTTGGGGGCTGCATTTTCTTAGGGAGAACTGCGGGTATTGCCATTGCTGAAGGATTAGCTGGGTTGCTCGTCCAGATCGAATCGTGAGTCTTGTTGTTCACATGAAACCCAAGTTTGTGTATCTGTTCGGCCGGCTGTGATTCGGCGACTGGGGTCTTGCATTGGTCACTCATTCACTCATGGTTGATTTGCGAATTTTGTTATTTTTTATCTTAGCAGCTGGCTCATTTGACCGTCTTGGACATGTGTCCGTGTCTGGGGCACTGTATGGCTTGTTAAATGGGGCTTCATATCTTAGGTTCTGGCACTTCAAATCAATTCGTATCAAGAAATCTGGATATGATGACCACGGGAATCCAGAGATATGTACAATGATCTATCTCCCGATAGCAAGGATGTCTGCTTGTCTACCCCGTATTCCGTCCGCAGATCAGCCCGGCTTCCGAGCAAAATGGCTGCACTAAATCGATTATTGGATTCAGATCGTCAGAGGTTTGCTCTTTCGGGCAATGACAAGCCCGCAGAAAGCAAACCGAACACTTGATCATGATTGACGAGTCTGCTAAGGATGCAGAATGCAGGACGCGAAGATGTGATTGATCTATTCCTCTCCCCGATGCCCCGTATGTGATGCTGGTAAGTGATAACTCATCCCGGTCTATCTATATATAGTCGTCGACACCCCGGATAGCCCTCCATCTCAATGCCCATCAATTCCCGCAAAAGAAAGAAAAGGAAAACAAAAGAGAGAGAGAGAGAGAGAGAGAGAGAGAGAGAGAGGGACAAAACCCTCCCCCAAGACCGCCAAACAATGCAGTGGTCCTCGATCCTTCTCCTCCTCCTGACATACGCCTATACCTTCCTCCCCTTCAGCGCCGCACTCTCCCTCTCCGCCCCCGACTTCAACTGCCAGAATCTCGACCGGCTCAGCAGAACAGCCCAGCGTATCAGCCCCCTCCTGGAGAAACTCATCCAGCTACATGGCGAGCATACCTCGGCGCCGAGCGCGCCTTTCGCTCCGGAGGCGAGTAATGGAAGCGTTGCGCAGGCGCAGGAGCGGTCTGTCCCCGCTTTGATTCGGAGGAGGGACGCTGCGGTGGATGAAAAGATCGCGTCGGTGCAGACCATGCTGCGGCCCCTGTTGGAGAAGATTGCGGTCAAGAAGGCTGGGTGTGTGGAGGGGATTATGCCGCGGTCTTTTGAGAGTATTCGTCGGCGGGTTGGGAATGAGACGGGTGTTGAAGAAGAAAGTGACAGTGACAGTGACAGTGACAGCGATAGCGATAGCGATAGCGATGATGAAGGGGAGGACGATGATGGGGTTTGTGAACTGAATGATGTTTTGGAGAAGCTGGTTGACACGTTGGAATGTCTGGTGTCGTTTGGTGCGGGTTTGCTGGCGCCGGTGGTGAATTTGGTGCTTGTTGTGTTGAATTCGCTGGCTGGGCTGCTTGCTTCGTTGCTTGACAAGGAGTAGATGTATGGCTTGATGCGTGTTTATGTGTATGATATTGTTTAGTTTGGTTGGAGTATAATTGCGAGCTTGGGTTCCGGAGACAGTGCTGTACATATGCCTGGATGATCTTGCTCTGGATAACTGCCACCTTCATAGCGGGGCCTCCAGCGTCAAAACACCGTCTAATATTGTGTCTGGACTGACATGGGCGAGAGCCTGAGCCACAGCCTTCATGTCACTGCCGTATTGCAAGCTTCGATCATCTTCAGGCTTCGCGATGATTATTCGATGGCGAAAGACCTTCCTTGCAGAGACGGCCACGATGGAAGGCGTCAGATAATCGATTCCATGTAACGTTGTAAGGAACCTGTCATCCATGAGTGAGTCGGCCGCTCAGACTAGGTTTCTATAAGACGTACTTTGCAAGCTTGCTAAACTGCATATTCGACCGCGCAGTTATGCCCCCAGCAACTGCACGGTTTAGTCGCAGGAACACGACGATGTCTTGCTGGTAACGGACAATATCCGCCCCTACGGAGACAGAGTTGCTCGCTTGCTGTATCTGGCCCAGCATCTATGCCCTCCCAGTCAGTAGATAATCAATGTAAAATGTTGAACCATAGCATACGTGTTGGTCAACGGTGATCTCCTGTTTGCTCGGCACAGCTTCCGACTTGCGAATGACAGATGATACAGACACCTGTCCGTCAGAAAGCCAATCGGTATTGTCTTCAAGGTAGACATAGCCATCGGTCGCTTCATGCATATGCGAGAGTATAAGGTGGTCATTCTAGGTCGTTAGCGTATCCAGACAGCATTGACTTGGACCAGAACATACGAGATGGTAGTTTAGGCTTGGGTGAAGCTGTTCCGAGACACGCACCGTAAGCGGCACAAAAAGAAAGCCGGATGGAGCTTCGATAGTCCCATGCTGCGTATCCAGTCTCTTTGAGCGCATCAACTGTTGAATGTCTTAGTAGAGGCAGATTATGCTGATCAAGCGCATCCCACCTCCAAAGCTTGAAGCTGTATGTCGTCGTCGACGAGATTGAAATTCTTTGCAACGACGATATCGACTACTTTCTTATCTCGCGAAGTTTTCCATGAGATAGGCGATTTTGCACGGTCTAACGGTTCAGCGGTGATCTGAAAGTGCCTTGTTAGTCCTGAGCTGAGGTCAATAAGATAGAGGATTCCCGTACGGACTCAGCACCCTTTCGTGTGCGCGAATGGGCAGCAGATTTCAACCCATCGGTTGCGAAGATCCCATAATAGAAATCCTCAAAAGAGGTATCGTACGAACAGTCAAGAATCCTACACGAGCGACCAAATGTGTTGGAGCATATCTAGCTACAATGTCAGCAATGAGCGAGAAAGGCGATGTCACGATGTATTCAAAAAATTACCAGGGTCAGTTCTTTGGCAACGTCATGAATGCAGTCTTCTGTGGTTTCGATGAGGCAATGCTCGTTGGCAGCAAGAGAGAGTAGAAGCGCTATCTCAAGATCGGATAACTCAAGGACTAGGCTTCGAAAATCTTTTCTATCGCCCATGGTGGCTAGCAGTGGAAGTCATGGTTGTTGATGATGGTAACTTGTAACAGAATGGAAGTAGTTTTGGGAGATTTGAATGGGACCTAAAGACACTCAGCGTAATGGTATGTATTGGTACCAGCTAATCCCGTCGAGGCTAGCGCGGGTCGGGTCTCCATGTCTCCATGTGAGCTTCATGACCAGACGACAAAACGCAGCCAAACAGACCGAGCTCATTGCTCTGTTGAACTGATACCTTTGCCTTCATTGCATCCCTACTTGGACTGATTCTCATCAATGGCGCCCCCAAACCCGCTAGCAAACTGGGAGAGATTAGGGGACAGCTTCTACAGAAAGGTCACTGTTTATGACGCTATCTTTGATGAGGACGTCGACTTGGACAACTACATCGTTGCCGGTGCACCATATGGAGGAGCTATTGGTATGTCCAAGAAATTAGAAACGGATTCCTTAAATGATGCTAAGCGTGATGATAGCTCTGCATCGGGATGAAAGCAAGCCATACAGGTTTCGAGATGCTCATACTGCCAGATCAAGCATTGACATCTATTCATGCTCCGGGAAGCCGATAAACCGCATTAATGTAAGTCCGCCATTGTATATGTGAATAGCTTGAAGTGCAAGAGGCACCATTTTGAATGGCGAAAGTACTTACGCGGACCCCGTAGTGGGAGCATGGAACGATTCGAGGACTTGGCTGGTCCGACAAGGAAGAACTGCTGGTCATCACAGAAGATGGAACAGTTCGCCGATATTTCGGATTGTATGGCGACTTTACTTCATTTTCACTAGGAAACGTAAGTCCAACTCTTCGTACAGCAGTGTACCGATGCCAATATTCAGATCAGGGAGCCGAAGAATACGGCGTAAGAGCGTGCAAGTTTTGGACTTACGGTTTTGTCGCCTTGCTTGCAAACAATCAACTGATCGCTGTCTCGAATTATGATGAGCCACGCCCCAAATTGCTAGCCCGCTGTCCGGAAGGAGAGGTTTCCTCTTGGTCCTTGATACCGCCACCGTACACTCTATCCCGCTCAGTAGAGGTGCTCTTAGCGGTCGACAAGACAATCTACCTGATTGATGCGACTGATGCAGAGGATAAAGTGCTTCAGAATGGGCCCTTCAAACATGCAAGTGTGTCCCCTACTGGTCGGTTTGTGGCACTCTACACTGCCGAGGGTAAGGTTTGGGTGGTCAGCAGTGATTTTCAGAGCAAGTACAGTGAATACGATCCACAGTCTCGAGTCACTCCTCGAACAGTTGAATGGTGCGGTGACGATGCTGTTGTCATCGCATGGGAGGATGAGATACACCTCATCGGGCCCAATGGAGCTGCTGTCAAGTGAGAAATCCCACATATCGTCCCTCGCCAATATGGCTGACAGATTCAGATATTATTATGACGGCACTGTACATGTGGTGCCTGAGTTCGATGGAGTACGGCTCGTCACCAACGATACATGCGAGTTTTTGCACAAAGTAGCAGGCAAGAATATCTGTCCATGGGACATCTATGGCAAGGCTAACCTGGTCGACATAGACGTCACGGAGGCCATTTTTCGGCTTGGATCTACGTCTCCAGCTTCAGTACTCCTAGATTCAGTGGACCTACTGGAGAAGAAATCTCCCAGAGCCGATGAGAACATTCAACGGATTAAGTCGACTTTACCGGAAGCAGTCGACACCTGCGTCAAGGCCGCTGGTCATGAGTTAGACGTCTATTGGCAGAAAAGACTTCTGAAGGCTGCTTCCTATGGAAAATCGGTCTTGGACTTGTACAACAGCGATGAATTTGTGGAAATGACCGAGAAACTTCGCGTTCTCAAAGCAGTTAGGGACTACCAAGTCGGATTTCCCATTTCTTACGACCAATATATGCGATTGACTCCAGAAAAGCTGATAGAGCGTCTGGTCAACAGACGTGAATATCTGCTGTCGATCAAAATATCCGAATACCTCCAGATTCCAGCTGACAAAATCTATGTCCACTGGGCCAGCCAAAAAGTCAAGGTCTCTACAGTCGACGACGAAGCTGTGTGTAAGCTCATTGTGCAAAAGCTTGAGGGCAAGCCGGGAATTTCGTTCGAGCAGATTGCGCAAGCCGCATACGATGAAGGACGGGCTCACTTGGCCACGCAGCTTCTGAATCATGAACCACGCGGTGGCAAGCAGGTCCCCTTGCTGCTAAACATGGAAGAAGACGAACTTGCTCTGGATAAAGCCATCGAAAGTGGTGATGATGATCTTGTAAATTTTGTACTGCTGCATCTGAAGAGCAAGCTTCCTCTCGCCAGCTTCTTCAGGATGACCAACACCCGGCCTATGGCTTCGGCACTAGTGGAAGCGAATGCCCGTGGAGAAGACACCGAGCTGCTGAAAGATCTGTTCTACCAGGACGATCGCCCTATAGACGGCTCCAATATTCTTTTATCCGAGGCATTGCACGAGCCGGAACTGCCACGAAAGACGGAGAAGCTCCAACTTGCATCTCGTTTGTTGTCCGACTCGAAAGATGCAACTGTGGTTCTCCAACAAAAGTTGATCTCTGAGGCATCCCAGTTGCTCAAAACCCAGGAAGCTCTGGACAAAGAGATTGCAGAACGCTCCGAGTACCTCGGTCTCAGCCTAAATGAGACCGTCTACAGACTAATCAAATCAGGCTATGGCAAAAGAGCACATAGGATACAAAGCGATTTCCGGATACCGGAGAAGACGTATTGGTGGTTGAGACTAAGAGCCTTGGTCGCCAAGAGAGACTGGGGCGAATTGGAAGAGATAGGCAAGAACAAAAAATCCCCAATTGGGTGGGAGGTGAGTAACTGCTCCCTGGTATCTGTGCGAAGTGCACATGCTCACATTTGAATATAGCCTTTCTATAATGAAGTCCTGGGTGCTGGAAATACCAAGCTTGCTTCACTGTTTGTTCCTAAATGCACCAATCTGCCCGCCGAAGAGAGAATTGAGATGTGGGTGAAATGTGGAATGATCGTAAAGGCCGGAGAAGAAGCTCAAAGAGCAAAAGATGTCAATACCCTTGAACTTCTTCGGGCAAAAGCGTCGGGACCAGCCGCTGCTGAAATCGAGCGCATGATCAATCAGCTAAGACCACGGAAATAGCCGATCCTGGGCGCGTCCATGAGCTCCTTTGCATTTCTTTCATTTTATCTTCTCACGTAATGTCATCGTCAATGTCGATATCTGCATGCTCCTGTGGTACAGGATTCTGCGCAACCTTTGCTGGTTTCGACCCGGATTTTTTGACCTTAGGCGCAGCAGAGTTATCGGCCATGGTATTGTCATCCTCATCCTCATCCTCTTGAAGCGCCTGGAACATTGAACCCGCCGTATTGCGATTCAAAGCTTCCCAGTCAGCCTGCATTATGATTAGTAAATTCACTCTCATGACCATGAAGGAAAACCTCGTTCATACCCGGCGCGATTTAACGGTCTTAGCCCGCGAAACACTCTTGGCCACCTTCTTCTCCATCTGATCAAACACAACTTCTGCTCTCTCCATGCCCTTTTGTTGCCTCAGGCGTTGCGCTCTTGTCAAGGGCTTGTTCTTTTGTTTTTTAGATACACCAGTATTCACACGGTCGTTCAGGATGGACTCTCGCGGTATCACTGTATCTTCAGCCCGCGGCAGTGAAGTCAACGACTTGTCGAGGTCGAGACTCGGGGATGCAGCCCGTCTCGCGGCTCGAGAGTGAATCGACTTGGCTATTGAAAGGTTGACATCAGTGTGGGGACTAGGGAAATTCCCCAATAACTCTCGAGTTACTTACGTCTTGCTTTGGCCATTTTTCTAAATATCAGATGAGGTGACTGGGAAAAGAGGAAAAAAATAAAACCCAGGCTGAATTGTTGATGTGGGTGGAGGAGAGGCCGCTTATCGATAAAGAAAAGTTCCGGGTGCCAACAGCCACCACGGCCGTAGTCCGCGGCTTCTTTGCAAAGACTGACGCGAACTGGCGTAAGGTGATTTTTGTCCTCATAACGATGCGTCAATTTTTTCCATCTCACATTTTCATCTGATGCCTTCAAAGTACCTCTATGCCGTCTCCTTTCTTGCTCCATAGTCAGCCATGAACGCTCGCAGAGGGGGATATGACATCCTCACTCAGAGTCCCTTCTACGACCACCGAAATAGCCAGCATGAGACATTACTTGAGCGGTTGCAGAACAGTACTCTTATAACCTACGGACTTGCGACTGTCTTAGTGATCTATTTCATTCTGAACTATACGGGCGTCGCCCCGTCGTCCATTCCACAGGCTTTGTGGAACCTTGTCGTCCATCTCACACCCTCTCGAATCGTGGTTGTCCTAGACTCGAAAACGACAAATCCCGACTCGACAGATCAGAATCTACACTCGATGAGCTTCCAGGCGAAAAGCGAAGCAATGCAACGAATTCTCGGGCTCAATCACTCCTCTTTCGCCGCATTTCTTCCACGTTCGAATACCTTCTCGGGATTTGGGACAGCGTTGTTGGGTAACAAGGATAGCCTGCCCCCTGGGCTCGGGAACTGGGACAATTCATGCTATCAAAACAGCATCATTCAAGGCTTAGCGTCTCTAGACTCGCTTGAGGAGTTTCTGGGGCGCAACATTCAAGACCTTGGAGAGAAAGGACCCCTCTCGACGCACGCGGCGCTCAAAACCATTATCGAGCGGCTGAATAGCGCAGATAATCATAGTCAGCGCTTATGGACCCCGGCGGATCTGAAATCGATGAGCAGCTGGCAGCAGCAGGATGCGCAGGAGTATTTTGCGAAGGTGGTGGGACAAATTGACCAGGAGGTGCAGCAGGCTACCAAGCGCCAGACCAACAACTTGGGCTTGAAAATGGCTGGGCCGGGGGAGCATATTGTCGGATCTGGAGCGTTGTCCAGAACTTTGGATGATGTACAGGATTCATTGTCTCGCCGAAATCATCCTCCTCGCAATCCTCTGGAGGGACTCCTTGCGCAAAGGGTGGGTTGCATGAAGTGCGGATGGACCGAAGGTCTTTCACTCATACCGTTCAATTGCTTAACCCTACCGCTCGGAGTGAAATATGAATATGATTTGCGGGATTGTCTTGACCAGTACATGCATCTAGAGCCTATTGAAGGCGTCGAGTGTGCAAAGTGCACTTTACTACGGGCCAAGGACCAGCTTGGAAACCTTCTTAAACAGATTGAAGACGACGCAAAGCTGCAAAGCGGTACAGAATCCCCGAACATGTCGAACGCCCTTCAGACATCGGCTCAAGAGCGATTGCGCGCTGTGGAGGAGGCCCTCGAGGAAGACGATTTCGCGGAAAAGACCCTGACGAAGAAATGCCATATTCCCACCAAAAGTCGTGTCACGTCGATAAAGTCAAGACAGGCGGTGATCGCAAGGACACCAAATTGTCTTGTGATACATATCAACCGGAGTGTATTTGACGAAAATACTGGGATGCTCAGGAAGAATCATGCAGCCGTCCGGTTTCCGAATGTCCTTGATCTAAATGAATGGTGTCTAGGCAAAAAGTCCTCCGCTTGTGATCAGAAGGACACTGAGCAATGGGATACTGACCCTCGCGAGTCTATGCTCCCTGAAGCTGGCTCGACTGCTAGTGTATCTGGGCGACTTTTCCAACTGCAAGCGGTGGTTACCCATTACGGCCGCCATGAGAACGGACACTACATCTGCTACAGAAAGTATTCATCGAAGACTTTCCCAACTCACGTCCCAGATACTGTTGTGGAGGCGGATGGCGAGAAAGAAAAATCCGAGCGCTGGTTCCGACTAAGCGATGACGACGTACAGATGGTCAGTGAGGCCAGTGTGATGTCGCAGGGCGGTGTGTTCATGCTGTTCTACGAAATGATTGATCGGTTACCCTCCGAACATACTGAAATGGAACATTTATATGCTGCCGAAGGTGAAGAGACAGAGTCCATCTCCAGTTTTGTTGCATCGGAAGATATGTCCACCACATCTACGATCACAGAGGGTTCCTGCGACACATCCCCGGCGACAAGTGTATCCGCTTCAGCAAGGGCTGAGACCCCTTTCGAAAAGGTTTAGCTCTGTTTGGTCTGTCAGGCGAATCTACTACCCTGGCCTCCTCTACCCTCGTCCATTTTCTCCATAACTTCGGACGTTCTGCCACCAAAACCAACATTTGGATTTTGTATAGTACCTCACGAAGATACCCTTATTGTATGTTTTCGGCGTTTATGGAAATATTCGAATGGCTTGTTGATCATACTATTGGACGAAAAGTCTAGTCTTCCGTACTTGTCTTCAACTTAGAGGTGGTTGTCACTTAGGGAATAATTGGGAATAAACGTGGCTTCTCTTGCCAAGGTGTTTGAAAATAGCTTGCGTGATTTCATCATCTTACTTGTTTTAATCTGAAAGAACAAGCTCCTACCTTGAATCCGGCTTCGAAGGTTTCCAGATATAGATCAAACTCCTATCCCAACCGCCCGCTAAATAGACATATTTTCCCAAAACGCCATTTTCCCATAAGAAGCATAGTACAGCACCTCATTCAGCTCAAAAAACACCCGCCCGAGTCATCACATCATGGAACTGCTCCAGCGTAACACCAGCATTGACACTGGCCCCGCCATTCGCCTCGAGAATCATGTCCCTCAGCAGCTCGTCGCCAAGATTATCCTCCTTCAGCTCGCGAGCTATCCGCCGCAGATGTCCCAGCGTGATCGGCCCATCCGTGCCCCTCGTAAACAGATGAAACGCCGCATCCACCTCGGCAGACATGGCCTCGTCAGACCGCGACCTCAACTTCGCCGCCGCGACGGACAGAAACGGCGCATAGGGCACGAACCCGGTCTCGGTGGGATCGACGGCAGAGAGAATCGAGTGTAGTTCGCTGGAATCAGAGGGCGGGAGACCTAGAGCTCTGATTGTATGTTGTGTTGTCAGTGAGCGGTCGGATTTAGATTTTCCTTTGCGGGTTGGGGGAATATGTACATGAGAGCCTTGCGCACGTCCTCGCGCGGGATCACGCCCTCCTTTTCGTTCGCGAACTCGGCGCTCGTGGTCGAGAAGAGGTGGAAGACTTCTTTGATTTCGTTTTCTTCGTCGGCCGTGATGTCGTTTTCTTTGGCGAGTTTGGATTGACGCGGCTTCTTGGGGGTTGCGGAGGAGGCGGGCGCGCCGCGCCGTTTGGGGGGCTGAGGATGCGATGTCAGTTATTGTGCAAATTGTGAGTTCGCAAGGTTGGGTTGAGCAAATGTCTGCTGCTTACCATGTCGCCGGGGTTGAGCTGAGGTAGTGGTGGTCGTCGTGTGCGATAAGGATAGCGATGATCTCGTTAGAGTAGATATGCGGATGCGGAGAAAGAGAACCAGTGCCTTCCTGAGCGGTCCATCGGCCCATGGAAGGGAGTACGATTATTGCAAATGCTGGTTAGGGAATCATGGTACCCCGTTACTGAACTACGGCTGGACTTGTGATTTCGATGATTCGATATGAGGTCTTCAGTTGCTATCTATCTCAAGTTGATCTACTACTCCGGAGTACTGAGCATTATTGATAGCACCCGATCGAATATGACGGAATCCTCGTGACTGAGACTTGCTGACGTGACCCATTGATGCCTTGTATGAGCAACATTTATCTATACTGTCAATGCAGACTGGGAACTTTCAATTCACGTTCAAATTTTGTAAAAATCTCATCAGCTATTCAAACCAGACTGTACGAATCCTTGTTATCAGATTGCCAGGATCTTTGCAAGCCACGTCCACGTCGCGATGGATGTAGAGCTCTACGTTTATGACCTGTCGCAGGTATGGAGCTAAAGATTGGGATCATGTTTTCAGCTCTGCTAATGTTTGCTGTAGGGACTTGCGCGAATGGTATGAGCGCACTCGTCAGCCCTGAAAAAATCCTGGTGGTGCTGGATTCTAACGCGGTGCAGTACTCCCTGGCATTGACAGGGACACAAATAGATGCCATCTACCACACCTCGATCGTATTGAACGGTGTCGAGTACTATTTTGGTCAGGGAATCCAAACCGCCATCCCAGGCAGCACACATCATGGGCAACCTATGGAGAAGCTGCATCTTGGCAAGACTGAGCTCCCCATCGACGTGGTTGATGAGTATCTCCAGTCGCTCGCCTCGATTTACACCCCAGAAGTAAGCAGCCCTGTTTGCAATGCGTGCTCTTCCCACCAGTGAGCAGAAGCTGAAACGAAAAACCCACGTCTACAGTCGTATGACCTCTTCCTGCACAACTGCAACAACTTCACGCAGGATCTTGCCATGTTTCTGGTCGGCCAGAGCATCCCCGAGCACATCCAGAACCTGCCGCAGACCTTCCTGAGCACCCCCTTTGGGCAGATGATGAAGCCGCAGCTCGACCAGGCTCTGCGCGGTGTGACGCAGGCTGCAGCACCTGCGGCGCAACCACTAGCCAGGGCACCAGTCACGGCTGCAGCGCGCACGCCAGTCAGCCCCGGCAAGGTGCGCCTGGTCAGCAACCTCAGCCAGCTCGAGGACCAGCTTGCTTCAGCAACCAGCTCCTGCGCGGTCATCTTCTTCACCTCCGCGACCTGTCCCCCATGCAAGGCGGTCTACCCAACCTACGACGAGCTCGCAGAGGAAGTCGGCGACAATGCGGTTCTCATCAAGATCGACATCAGCACCGCCTACGACGCGAGCAGCAAGTACGATGTGCGCGCCACCCCCACCTTCATGACGTTCCTCAAGGGCGCCAAACTCGACGAATGGACCGGCGCCGATCCGGCCAAACTGCGCGGCAACGTCCGTCTCCTCGTTGAAATGGCGCACCCTACCCACCCGCACCGCCAGCTCCCGCTCCCCGGCTTCCAGCGCACCCTCACCTCCTTCGTCACGTACAAGAAACTGCCGCCGCTGGGCAAGCTGACCCAGAAACTGCGTCCGCACGACCAGGACCCGCGCCTCACTCCGATCCTCGACTTCATCACCGCGCGCTTCTTCACATCTCCCACCCCAGCAGCAGACACCCCACTCCCCAGCACCCTTCCCTCCTTCCCAGCCTACCTCGCCTCTACCCTCCCCTCCCTACCCGCCGAAAACCGCTTCGCCCTCATCGACCTCACCCGCCTCCTCCTCCTGGACCCGCGCGCCTCCAGCTTCTTCGCCGAGCCCCCACACCAAACCCCCCTGCTACACACCATCCTCGCCTCCCCGCTCTCCTCCCCCTACAACACACGCATCACAACCCTCCACCTCCTTTGCAACCTCTCCCAAAACCCGCACCACCACCCCTTCCTCCTCTCCGACCCGCAAACCGTCCACCACACCACCGCCGCCCTCCTCGACCCAAACCGCACCCTCCGCACCGTCGCCGCGTCCCTCGCGCACAACCTCGCCGCGGCAAACCACAACGCGCGCTTCGCCGCCGGAGGCGCACCGGATCAGGATCCCCTCCCTGAGGAGGCGCAGGTCGAGCTCACGGCCTCGCTGGTCGAGGCGATCGCGCGCGAGGAAGGGAGTCCCGACTCGCTGCGCGGGATGTTGCTTGCGCTAGGTCTGTTGGCGTACGAGGCGCCGGTTGAGGGGGCGGTGCTGGATCTGTGTCGGGCGATGGGGGTGGCGGAGACGGTGAGGGCGAAGGCAAAGGCGAAGGGGAAGACGAAGGAGGAGGTGGGGTTGATCGAGGAGGTTGGGGTGTTATTGGAAAGGGGGTTGTAGGTTGTACCTTAGAGTCTATTTGCATTTGGTTACATTTGCTACTGTGCATTGTAATTGTATTATGTACGTACTACGGAGTACTATACATGAAATTCTGGAGACGGGTTCTAGGTATAAAGTATGATTGTTATACAGGGTTTGCATGATGTAGATGATGTTTGTGGAGTGCTATAGATAGACTCCGAACATTCATAGAGTTTTCTGAAATTGGAATACTGTCTACAAGAATCATGGCTCAAAAATATCTGAGTATCGGTAGTTCATTATTATGCTTAGCTCTGCTAGCAAATTGGATTGGATTCAAGACAGTGAAGCAACGCGGGAGCTGTGGTTGACTAACAGGCTCGGGGTATGAGACGCCAAACAATACAGGACAGGACAGGACAGAAAAGGAATACACACGATGGGGGTATCTAACACTAACACTGGCAGATGATATGACTCGCTCAGAAAATAGAAAAATCGAAAAAAGAAAAAAACAAGTAAAAAAAAAAAAAAAAAAAAAACACAAAGGTAGGACAGATGGAAAAACAATCATCATCTGGTCTCATGCTGCTCGCTGGAGAAAAGAAGCCCGAAAGATACAGAGAAGAGCGCCGGCTATGCACACCAACGCCATCGCGACAACGCATTAGAGATTAGGACGTAAGAAGTTGATGCAGAGTAAGATCAAGGAGGGTGAGGATTCGGGGATGAGAGAGAGGTGAGTCACAGCCATGGTGACAACCAGAGTCATTATTCTGGTGGGCAGATCGAGCGATGACCATGACCATGACCAAGAGGCATTCTGAAGCCGGAGAGATTGAACAATGGCGGTGAGCAGGTGAAGAATGATAGGCTGGCTAGTGGCGCAGGAGCCCCCTGTTGGAGGTGCAGAGAACTGAGTTGCAGCGCTGCTGAATTGCTGAATTGGTGAATTTTGTGATGCGCCCTCAGCGAGGGGGAAATTAGGTAAGCAACCCAACCAGGTCGCCCAGCTCGGGCAGCAAATCGCAGGGCTCCACCAAATTCCGCACGGCTGCGGCGCGTAAGCCTTGCCGTCCAACCAAATTCGCTGCACACAATTGTCGGTGATGCACGTGCATACAATTTCACGTCATCGTCGGCGGCCTTGCATGCTGTTTGTGGCTTTCCAGAACAGTCCAAGACCACACTTCCCCCCCCCCAATGGCTGCCTTATGATCCGCGCTAATAGCTAGCCCCTCGATGCTGCAGGAGGCACAATGCATACGGCCTCCGATAGCGGATCATCACGACGAGTGCGGAAGGTATGTCGAAAAAAAAAAATAAGGTAAAGAAGGTTGAAGAAGAATAAAAAAGAATCGAAAGCGCTATGCAGTGGAAATCAAAACTCCGAGGGCCGATATGGGGTATCATCAAACAAGAAGAGAGTCGTCATGACTGAAGTTGTAGCTGAGAAAAGAAGATGTGGTGTGACGTGAGGGAATGAGATGATAGCACCCCGAAGACTCCTAGGAGCGGCTGGAAGTTCTGACAAAAGTGGTGCGTCGCTTCTTGTCCGAAAAGGTTCGGCGCTTCTTGCGCTTCGTGTTTTCCTTATCGGTAGCGGCGACCTGGGCCACGCGGAGCGCTTGCTGAGCACGAGCGTGAGCCTGCACCTGGGCGAGGAACCGCGCGCGTTGGGCCTCTTCTTCGGCAGCGGCGCGGAGCATTTGAATCTGTTGTTCGGTCGTGAGAGAGTGGCCGCCCATGCCCGGTTCCTGAGCAGCAGATTCCTCTTCGATGGCCGATTCCGAGGAAGAAGTCGAGTCGGTCGAGAAAAGCAGGTCCTCGTCGGAGAGATATGCAGTAGCAGTGGAAGATTCGGAATCGGAGTTCAAGAGACTGGGACGGTTGGGCCACGAGGGAAAGGCACAGGCGCTGCTCATGCCAAGGACACTGGAGAAGGAGATCTTGCGAGGTTTGATGTCGAGAAGGGTGTCGTTGTCCAGGGATGGAGGAGGGGCTCTAGGAACATCTGAGCCGAAGGAAGAACCAAAGAAACCGTCGCCAAAGCTGTCGCTGATGGTTGTGACGTGGTTGACGAGGGTGGGACTGGCTTCGCTCGGAGTGGACCTGATGCTGGCCTTGCTGTGACTGAAAGCGAGACAGGGATACATTGTTCCGGTGGATGTGATTCTCTTCACTTGGTAAGACTGGGAACAAGAGTGTAGTACCAAGGAGGTATTGCGTTGAGTGTTGTTTCAGTAAAGTGTAGATTGTGAGTGTGAGTGTGAGCGTAGTAGTGTGTAGAAGAGTTGAGAGTGGAAAGCTGGGGTGAGGTCCTTAAGAGTCGATGGAAATCACCAAAATAAATACTGGAGTGGATGATGCTTCACTGTTCAGATGAGAAGTGGCAGCAGTGAATGGGTATATGTATCGACAAATGGGCCAGATCGATCGGGGAGGTGTCTGGAGTCTGGACTCCCTTGCATATCCCAACCGATAAGGCGTCGCGGGGGGGTTGGAAAATTGGGAAAATCAATAATCATAAAAAAATAATAATAGTGATTATCACAAAATTCAAAAAGAGAAAAAGCAAAATGTTTGGGCTCCACCACTCTGCAAGCAAAAATACCACACTGTGAAGGACGATCTGATGTGTATTTTCTTCTTTGGGACTCTGCTTTTTTTCCACTTTGCCGCCCCAAAAATCTAGAAAATCCTCAGAAGAGAGGTGAATGACAGCAGACTGCAACTTAGTCCAGCAGGGCGATCAGGCGGAAGGGGCCTTCCGTATGTATGACCGATATGGTTGGATGTGAGGATCAGATAGGATGAGTCGAAGCTGTGAGGTGTAGCAATAGTAGTAGTGGTAGTAGTAGTAGGTCGACCAAGGTGATCAGTCCAGTTTGATACGGGTTTGGGAGAATCATGCGAACCCATAGTCCTTTTCACTTGCGACTTTGTCAGTTGACAAGTGAGTAAAACAATATGACAAGCAAAGAGAGGACCCTTGTTCTGTGGGCGTGGACGTATCTTTTTCTACTCTGGCGGTTTCTTTATTTTCGTCGGAGTCCCTTTATTTAATTAATCCTTTTATCCTTTTATTTTGATTTAATTATTTCGGAAATGATTTATTTATTCATTATTTATTTTTCGCCGGACCGCGGGCCGGGGGAGATCGGATTGGGGGGCGGACGTGGGGATAAAAGGAATGGAAGGAACGGGGAACCAGATTCCAACATTTTCAGGATTAATTACTCTGTATGAAATAGGATAAAATAAATAGAAATTAATCAATTATTTATTTATCATTTTCTTTTTAAAAGATTATCCATTGTTTAGAAGACTGCCGAATTGTCCCCCGTGCAAGTGAATCAATCTGACTCAAACTGACCACACCTGTACAGTAATACTTCCAACAGAGCATACATACGGAGTACATCTGCATCAACAGCCTCAACTCCCACCTTGATCATTTTCTCAAGACAAGTGTCAGACTCAGACAGCCCCCCATTATCCCCCATATCCCACTGGTGTTTCAGCCGAATCCCCCGTCTTGAAGAGTAATCCACCGAGGTCCTACCATTAAATCAATGAGGTTGATAGATATCTAGTCGATAACTTAACTAGTCAACTCCGTCAATACAACCGCCACTTCCCCGGCGGTTGCTCCGGTAGATACGGAGCAGGGTCACCACTCAGCAGTAAACCACCACACACACACCTCAAAAGTAAAATTCCGCCCAAAAGTCAAAAGGAACAGCCACTGTCCAGTGTTGTGTTTTCCGAGTTCACCCTTGCAATCCGTTACTAGGTACTTACTTACAAGACAATCAAAATCCGGTTGTTCTGGCATCCAACGGGTTTCGACGTCTTGCGGTCAACAGATCCTGGGCGCTGATTGCTCTCCGCAACGGTCAAACATGGATTGATGTTTACTTATAGGAATGGGTTTTCTGAAGTTCCCCGATCGAATCACAGACTAGAAGCCTTCCGTACGTACTCCGTCCTGGAAACGCCTAGATGGCTCCAATTTTCACCGCTCCTGCTGTTTGAGCTATTCCTCGCAGCGGATGCACGATGCGCACAGAGAGGTACTCACAGCGGGCGGATGTAATGTATGCACGTCGAGAACTCGATATAAGTATGTATACATGTCCACCGACCCCACCAGATATCGGTCTGCAGTACAGTACTTCCACAGTAAGTACACAGTACTAATATTGATATCGTAGTTATCTGCTTCGTAAATAGATAGATAGATAGATATCAAGTGTTCAGGCCCTGATCTATGTGTTGTTCAACTCACACACCGCACTCGTGAGTGAATCATTTCCCTGTCTCTTTTGCAGCATTCAGGTTTCCGACCGGTAGACTGGGTAGGGTCACAATTATTAGCGACAAACACCCGAATCGCTGGTCTAGATGATTTGATCTACTCAGTCTCCTAGTCTCTTGCCAGTTGCAACCCACTTTTCGTGACTCCTTCCATTCTCTTCATGAGTCTCTACTGTGTAGTCCCTACCTACTCCCTACGGGGTGTGTGATTCCTGCCCAATCCTACTTGCTTGTGCTTGTGCCTTAAAAGGAGGGAAAATGAAACCGAAAAGCAATACTCTACTACCACTACTACTAAGTTAGTAAGTAGTGGATCTCATCGAACGGCAAAATACGCGGCATCCACGGTGGAGATCCGGCTATTATTACGGAGTTCTATTTATTTGGTAGAATAAGACAAGACTTTTGGTGCGTATGCGTCCTTATCTCTGATCCTTGCTGGTTGGAGGGGGTTTTCGAATTTCGAATTTTCTTCAGTGCGCAGTTCGCGGCCGCGGCAAAAAAATCATTTCTTACCCCCCCCCTCTAGAGCTCCCCCCCCAATTCATAAGATCCGGGCCTCGTCCTCTTTCTCTTCGGCCTTAAAATTTTCCCACTTGATGTCGGATCAGTGGCCCCTCTGCTTTTTCCTTCCCTCCCCCGCATGTGGACACTAAACACCGCGCGGAAGAAGCTGAACCCATTATTTCGGTCGTATCTCGGATATTGAAGCTGAACCCTCAATTCAACCCACATGGCGAGATCCCGACAGGATTCAGGACTCCTTTGTTGTCTGTAAATTATCATGGAATCAAAGACGCGACTAAGTATGGAATAGTTCGGTTCAGCTCGAAAAGGGAGAACTGGCAAGGAGAGCGCGTCAAACTCCCTCTTTGGGCCGATCACGAACTTGGGGGATCACTTGAACTCAGTCCATCCCGCTGGAAGTTTGGAGGTGGAAGATCACGTTCTAGCCAACCCCCCCCCCACCTATAGTAGTACGAACTATGGAGTAAAAGCGAGTTCGGAACTTCAGATTCTTACGGAGTTCCAAGTTCCAACACTCACAAAACTATCCAAAACCTACCGTCGGTCAATTGAACTCCGTAGAAACTACTCCTACGGAGTAAGTAGAAAGTAGAAACAATCCAGTCCAACGGGCCCTATACCCGTTTTGCCGGCACACTCCCCGTCTCTGAATTCTGAAAGCGATACTAGTAGCTTCGCTAGCAACCGAGCCGACCACAATGAAACACACCCATTTTGCCGAATTGGGAATCCCCGTGACACCGGCTGAGCTTGTGACTCGTGGATTTAAAATCTCGTGGATTTAAAATCTCGCGGCTAGGAGTAACTACGGACAGAGTAGGACAATTTGGGGGCACTTGTCTTGTTCCTCGGCACGTCAAGACTAAGACTGCTTTCTCCGTCTCGTTTTCTGTTTTACCCCGGGCAGAATAGATTGGTAGATCGCTCGGAGTTCTTTGAAGGGGATTACCCCATTTGGACATTAGAGAGCTGAGAAGTGAGACGGAGGAAGTGGAAGCGTCAAGGCGACGCGTTTCTTTGTGCCGCATGCGACAGGGTAGCTACTAGCTAGAGTAGCATTTACGTAGTATATTGAATTATTGATCGACTGCGCATAATTATTCTTATTCCTCTCTCCCCCTTTCGGGAGCGAGGTTACATGAGGTCCGGGGAGTCTTCAGCGCCATGTGTCAGTAGCTGTTTTTTGGGGAATTGAAATCCCAATCAATATCACAAGCTGTCACGAGTGTATGTAGGAGATGACAAATGTCTGATGAAGCTGAAGCTGGAGTCAGCGGTTCGGAGAGTATCAAGGGTCTGACATCTGGATCAATGGAGACGGCGTCACTGGGTCACTCGTCAGCTTCCCCGATGAGAACTCCTGATTCATCTGCAGCGTAAAATTCGGTGTCTCCGAGTCCATTGACATATATGTCATTGACTGTCCTTGATCTTGTTGATTGATTGTGATTTGCAATGTACGTGTCCAACAGAGATCCTGGCCCTGACAGCGGAACCTCAGGATCCATTCCGCTGGAACCACTACAGTACTTTGGGTTCATTGATTTTGACATCCAGAATGATGAGATGAGCATTGAGTACTCCATACTAAGTACAGTAGAAGCTCAGATGGAACATTGTGTCACTTGCCGAATCGGATAATTGAACTAGCATCACATTATCACAGTGACTCAAATTCAATCGCAATCTTCAGATTAACTACGATCAGTACTTTTACCACCAATGGCGTCTGTCCATCGCAGAAATTTGTCATGTCCAAGATTCAATAATTGCCTGAAAAACATGACGGCTACCGCCTATTTTGAGCTTAATCCATCCATCGTATTCGTCAGTGTACTTTTTTTTTTTTTTTCTTCTTCTTCTTGAATCTTGATACATCAGAAACCAGCAACTGTTAACTGTCACCTGTCATTTATCCGACGGCCCCCCTTTTGACAAAAAGCCCACCCCAAAGACCGGAGTTCTAGACCGTTACTTGCACTTGACCTATCAAGATCGCCATCACTCGACTCGGGGTCAGTGGCGGTTGTGATTCGTTCATCGCAAACACCCAATTAGCCATGATTCAGCCACCGCGGAACATCCACATCCACTCCCGCGAAAAGCCACAGTGGTCCGATCGACCGGGATAAAAGGTCCATCGCGAAGTACGGAGGATGTTTGTCCCAGATGCTTCGACTTTGCGAATCAGGCGGCGAGATCCTCATCTGTCCTTTATTCTTGTCGCAGCTATGTCCTCTAAACTGAACAGACGTTGCGATCAGTCAATTTTGCGCAGAAGTACCCATTGCCAAAGCTCCAAGCTCCC